ACAAGACCGGGATGTGCGCCCGTCTTTGTTGTCCTGGTTCATGCGCAAAACAATCAACCGTACAACTCACACGCAGAGACAAACCTCGCAGTAATATGTTTGTGTTATGGCATGCGAAGACGAGTGCCCCTCGATGGGTGCGAGTCAGCCCCGCGCAGAATCTGATGCATGGAAACTTCTGAGACAGGCGGCTCGGGTTCGTGTGATGGCCTTGATATAGAGTTTTGACAGATATTCGCTGCCCGCAACACGTGGCGATGCTGCACGTCTCATGTCATGGCAAAAGCGTATCTCAAGCCCTACAACGCTGCCACGCGCTGGACCGCCTCTTCGCACGACTGGCATGCGTCGTCCAACGAGCTAAACATCGAAAAGGGGGGGGATATCTCGGGGGCGTTATAATATCCTATACTCATGTACACTGCGTGGACGGCCTCTTCTAGCCACTCGTTTGACTAAGGTAGGTTTTGTTTCTGCCCACGCCGTTGGCTGCCACGAGCTCGCCATGGCTCTGGACGGTGCCGCGTCAATGCACACACCGCATCGACGTTCGAGAAACATGCCTTGGACACTACCTAGACAGCAGCCCATGGCATGGCGGGTGTCTAGAGTGAGCTCTGCCCTTCTCTTGGGCGGTGTTTTCTGCAGCTACACCATCACCATCTTCTCTACATAAGTGCCCTCCTGGCAATGGCGTCCTGCCATGCGATGAGATGAGTCTTGTCGCGAAACTAACCCTGCAATATCACCAACCACCAACACTCCTGTATACACATGCCATCCAACGCCCACAAGATGGTGTGAGGCCATTAAGAGCGATGGCAGCCCACCCGGCGCTTCCAACTGCTAGAAGATTTCTTCCCATGCGAGGTGGCGGTCTGCTTACCTCTTCTGCGCGTCCGAAGGTTTTCTGCTTCTCCTAGCGTCGAAGCAATCGAAGCTTCGAAAGAACAATTTACACTTTTTCGCGCTGCGGTCGCTCGAACCTCTCGCATCTGTTCTGAAGTGGGAAAGTCAAACAAGGACCCTTTCCCGTATGTCAGGAAAACAACAGCTGCATTCTTCTGACCGCCTCTCCTCCTTCTTCTTGTACACACCACAAATATGCATCTCACACACACACCACCACCAACAACTACCGTCCGTGGGATTCCTTCGAAAGCCGGGCCACGGACGTGGACAACGTGGTTCCAGCGAGATTTCAGATTCAGTTTTCTGCAAGCGCACACCCTTTTTTTCCCGTTGAGGAATAACAAGTCCGAGGGGGCGAGGGGGCGGCCCAGGGGCGGCCCAGCGTCTTGCCCGTTTTGTAGTCGCCGAGCCGTTCGGTGATCGAGATGAGAGAGAAAGGATGAGGAGATGGCAGTTCCCGAGCTGTCTGTCTGTCTGTTTTTACAGTCTTACCGCACGCCCTTCTAGAAGGGTAAAAGGAACAAAGAGAAGAAGAAGGGTTGAAGTAGAAACGTGGCTTGCATGTAGATGTCCTTGATATCTGCAGTACTTACATCCGATGCTAGCGTACCACGCCACCGCTGCGCAGAAACTAAACCAGCACTGCTTCGAATTGAATTGACTAATAGATTCAATTGGTCTCTTGTTGGGTCGTACGCCGGACCAGACACCGTCGCCGCTCCTGCCGCGCAGCCATCGGGATGCCGTCGGGATGCCGTCGTCGTCGCCGCCGTTCCATTTCCCCATTTCTCGGCATTCTCCCCATGGCCGTTGGTCTCGGTCATCTCCCCGGCGGCCGACCCCTTCCCCCTTCCCCCTGCCCCTTCCTTCCGGGAACCAACAACTCACCAACACACGCCCCTGGTCGAACATCCTGCAGGCTTGGCTGACCGAATAAACCATGGAAAGAAAAACCGCTGCTAACTAGCTGAGCTAGCAACGGTGCCGTGGAATCCTGATTTATGACCGGAAAACAGCATGGGTGTGAGCGGAAAACATGCGGCGGTTTCGGCGACCCGTTGCGGTCTCTGGATTCGGGTTGCCCGCGATGGGGTTGTATGCCTAAAGGGATCGTTCCGCGAATTTTCGAGCCCCCCTGGCGTGCTGGTGTATGATGATGGCATTGTGGATGATGGACTAGGCCGAGGATTGAATGAGTTCGCCGACTGAGCGAGGGTGAACGAATTCGGCGAATTAGCTAGCAGGGGACGGTGACCGAAAGCCTTGGTTACACGGCGGTTCACGAGATAGCAGGCCTTGCGCGGCTTGGTTCGGGGTCGTACGCCACGATAGGAGGTCAGTTTGAGGCACCCCTTGAACACATAGCAAGTCTCGTCACGTAGAAACCCTCCAAAGACAACGGCGGTGTGAGAATTAGGGAAGTGAGAGCATTCGACGTCACGCTGCCGGTCATACGCCTACCTCCCCCTTGAGAGTCTCTGAAATTATGCTCTCAGGTACTCAAGAACCGACTATTACGTATGATATACCCCCTAGAGCCTTTGACAACGAATTGTCGAGGCTGTGAAGCCAGGTCGCCATGTTTTGTCTTACGCATACACCTCTTTCAGTACCAACATCACGAAAGTGTCGAATTTTGTCCGGAAAGACGACGCATGGATCTCGGCGGTCTCGTCTGCGTCCCTACCGGCTTGTGTCTCTCTCCCTAGACCGTACCTTCTGCTGAGCGGGAGCTCTCAGTCTTGCAGGATTCACCCACCACACGACGGACTGGTCTCACGGCGCCAGGCAAGAACGAGGCTCTGCGATGGGAAATGAGACGCTCTTTAGTCACTGTGGCTTCTGCTCCCCGGGCAAAGGCGCCGCGTCATAGTCCTGAATAATCGAGGCTGCAGGTCCTACGAGCAAGAACGAGACCGCCAATGCCCGTGGCTGCTGGGCTCTTGGAAGGGGGGTCGTGTTGCGGTCCTGAATGCTTGAAGTTGCTTAAACGTGTGCGGATTGGCCTTGACGATCCGCCACTTCTGGACCTTCTTTTTTTCCCGTAAAATAAATGTCCGACGCGCAGGATGGAGAAACCTTGTTGGTGATCGGTTGCTGATCACCAGACGGTCGGTATTGACGTATCACGGCGTCTCGCGTGCGTCGTCGGAACCATGGCCTTGGGAATTTCTTCAGCGGAGGCCTTGGGTGGCAAACACACCTGGACGATCATCGGAAATCCCCCGGGCGTGGCGACGATGTCGACAAGCGAATGAGCGTGGCTGACGACTCCCACGAGGCTGTCGACCGGGCTTTTGCGGTGGACATACGCGGAGCCGAATAAAGCCAGAGTAGAGCAGAAACCTGTTGTGATGCAGGTGACGACAGCAGACGTCCCCGCCATCGCGGCAAGGAATGGAGAGCATGCGGCTGACTGCTGAGCTGGAGTTGCCAGGCTGTCTGTTTGTCATCTCCCGTCCGCACTCCCCCCCCTTCGGTGAAGATGTCCGTGAATGGATGTTGTGGCCGATGGGGACCGTGGAGTCTGGAGATGCCTCGGCATGTTCGGTCTGGGGCTCAAGTCGGTTGCCGCTGACCGAGATGGCGGGGGAGGGCCACCCCGATGGATCCATGCCGTGGAATCTGGGGATGGCGGAGACTGCCGATGGAATGGGGTTGAAGGGATCGTCCGTGACTGGCCAGCGGGGTATCATGACGCCGTCGTCGCCGCGTCCGTGATTCGGCCCGCCTGTCTGCCGCTGCTGCTGGCTTCCAAAGAGATGACCGGGTCCGGCTGCACGGAGCCGATGATTGAGAGGAGACCCGGGTCGGACGTCCCAGAGCCGAGCCTTCGCCGGGCGCATTGGTGATCGGCATGGTGTTCCGGGGTTGGTGATGCCGGTTCATCGGCCTTGGCTGCCTATTGCCGTACCGGCCGCATTGGCTCAAACGACCGTGAGTGATTGAAGAGCTCCGCAAGCAGCATCATGGATTCGGACATTATGCAGACTTTAAGATGAGCCCTTGTCGCTTTTCTTTGTTTGTCCCGCTATCATGTTGATGGGTGAACGGGTAGTTTCATTTTTTCTTGAGGAAACTTGGTGGCCCTCGTCAGTCCTTCCTCCTTGTGGATTCGTCAAATATGCCAAGTCACATACCTTTTCAGACATCTGAACAGCCGTTGTCTCAAAGTCAGCATTATACCGTCGACGTCCAGGCTCTTCGGCCGCATCGTGTGTCTGGAGTGATGTTTGAGGAGAGAGATGGGCTGGGATCATCTGCCTGCGAATCGGGCGAATGTCGTCTCAATATCGGGTGAATAACGGGCAAATCGGGAGCTAAGATGGAACCGGAGACGCTAAGAAGTCGCTATCCGGATTTCAGCCGACACAGCCCCTGTCTGCGGAATGTCGGGACGTCCTTCAGCATCACGTCGACGATGGATTGGCCAATCCGGGGCCGACAGATGGGGCTAAAAACCGGACCTCGACGCCAAAAGAAGGAGGGGCTCCAGCTGGGGGTGAGAGGGGTGAGGGGCATCACCTTCATCAACGTGGGGTAGCTTCGTAGATGCGCTGGAATCTCGACACCTGACCGCGTCTTGGAAGTGCTCGTGGATTCGTGTCACTTTTTCCCGCTCGGCTGTTTGGAGGAGGGGAAAGCGGGAATACGATGATTTCTAATGAATCCTGCGCCTCGACATGCCTTATTCGCCTGTCGTTTTCCCGGCAGCGATGCACCGGAGCGAGCTACTGACATGGCCAAGACCAAGGTCCCAAGGAAGGGCAATTACGTAGAAGACCACTACCGCTTCAGTCCATGAGACCAGAGACTGGGGCTGCTGGCTTCTCATACCGATACTCCGCCGCCCATCCGGAGATGGCCCGCTTCTGAACCTCGTCGTAAATCTATTTAATACCTTGGTCCTTTCGGGAAACAAGCTGTTCGACCTTGTCTGACTTCCAAATCATCCCACCTTTTCCCCTCGTGCCCGTGCCAGTGCCATTCTTCCGCGGTCTTTCCAAGTCGAAGCGGCCTTTCTTGTTTGATCAATTGCGCATTCTGTCGAGATACCCAACCCGTTTTCACAAATTTCCGAGCTCACAATGGCCGATTTCGAAGTGGAGGAGCTTCTGAAGAAGCTCACCGTCTCCGAGAAGGTCGACCTCCTGGCTGGTAAGACGCACCGTCCTAAGTGACGCCCTCACACCTCACACCAGTGCTCCGACGTCATCGACATGAAAAAAACCGACGAACTGACATTCAAACCACCCAGGTATCGACTTCTGGCACACCAAGGCCCTTCCCAAGCACAACATCCCCTCCGTCCGACTCTCAGATGGCCCCAATGGCGTTCGCGGCACAAAGTTCTTCAACGGCGTCAAGGCCGCCTGTTTCCCCTGCGGAACGGCGCTCGGCGCCACCTTCAACACCACCCTCCTCGAGGAGGCCGGAAAGAAGATGGGTGAGGAGGCCAAGCTCAAGGGAGCTCACTGCATCCTCGGCCCCACCATCAACATGCAGAGGTCCCCACTCGGCGGCCGAGGCTTCGAGTCCCTGGGCGAGGACCCCGTCCTCGCTGGTCTCGGATCCGCCGCCATCGTGAACGGCATCCAGAGCACCGGCATCCAGGCCACTCCTAAGCACTTTGTCTGCAACGACCAGGAGCACAGGCGCAATGCTGTCCACAGCATCGTCACCGAGCGCGCCCTGCGCGAGATCTACGCCCTTCCCTTCCAGCTCACCTTCCGTGACGCCCAGCCCGGCGCCCTGATGACCGCTTACAACGGCGTCAACGGCACCATGTGCAGTGAGAACCAGGAGCTGCTCGAGGGTCTGGTGCGCAAGGAATGGGGCTGGGACGGCATGATCATGAGCGATTGGTACGGCACCTACAGCACCACGGAGGCTGCCAACGCCGGTCTCGACCTCGAGATGCCCGGCCCCCCGCGCTTCCGCGGCGAGCCCCTCAAGTTCAACGTCTCGACCGACAAGGTCCGCCAGCACATTCTCGACGAGAGAGCTCGCGCCATGCTCAAGTTCATCAAGAAGTGCGTGGCCACCGGTATTCCCGAGGGCGCTCCCGAGTTGACCGGTGACACCCCCGAGACCGCCGAGCTGCTGAGACGTATCGGTGGCGAGAGTCTGGTTCTCCTCAAGAACGAGAACAACGTTCTTCCCTTCAAGAAGGACAAGAAGGTCAGAAGAAATGATACAAAAGCCTTGTGAAAACACCCGCTAACTGTTACCTGCAGACCGTCGTCATCGGCCCCAACGCCAAGATCTGCACCTACCACGGAGGTGGCTCCGCCTCCCTGGCCGCCTACTACGCCGTCACCCCCTTCGACGGCATCAGCAAGAAGCTCAGCTCTCCCCCCGAGTACACCGAGGGTGCCTACTCTCACAAGCTCCTCCCCCTTCTCGGCAATGTCGTCAAGTCCAACGGCAAGCCCGGCATGACCATGAGGGCCTATAACGAGCCCCCCACCGACCACAGCCGTGAGTCTCTCGACGAGCTCCTCCTCACCAAGACCGAGCTCCTCCTCGTCGACTACTACAACCCCAAGCTCAAGTCCAACCTGTGGTACGCCGACTTCGAGGGCTCCTTCGTCGCCGAGGAGGACTGCACCTACGAGCTGGGCCTCATCGTCTGCGGCACGGCCAACCTCTTCGTCAACGACAAGCTCGTCATCGACAACACCACCAAGCAGCGCCAGGGCGACGCCTTCTTCGGCGCCGCCACCGTCGAGGAGAAGGGCCGCGTCCAGCTCAAGAAGGGCGAGACCTACAACTTCAAGGTCGAGTTCGCCTCCGCCCCCTCGTCCAAGCTCCAGGGCGACAACGTCGTCTTCGGCAGCGGCGCCCTCCGCATCGGCGGCTGCAAGGTCATCGACGACAAGGCCGAGATCGCAAAGGCCGCCGCCCTCGCCAAGGACGCCGACCAGGTCATCATCTGCTCCGGCCTCAACGCCGACTGGGAGACCGAGGGCAACGACCGCGCCGACATGGAGCTCCCCGGCTACCTCAACGACCTCATCTCCGCCGTCGGCAAGGCCAACCCCAACACCGTCGTCGTCAACCAGTCCGGCACCCCCGTCCGCATGCCCTGGATCGACGACGTCGCCGCCCTCGTCCAGGCCTGGTACGGCGGCAACGAGACCGGCAACGCCATCGCCGACGTCCTCTTCGGCGACGTCAACCCCTCCGGCAAGCTCTCCCTCAGCTTCCCCCAGCGCGTCCAGGACAACCCGGCCTTCCTCAACTACCGCGCCGAGGCCAGCCGCACCCTCTACGGCGAGGACGTCTACATCGGCTACCGCTACTACGAGTACCTCGACCGCCCCGTCCTCTTCCCCTTCGGCCACGGCCTGTCCTACACCAGCTTCGCCCTCAGCGGCCTCTCCGTCGCCGACAAGGACGGCAAGCTCGCCGTCGACGTCACCGTCAAGAACACGGGCTCCATCGACGGCGCCGAGGTTGTCCAGGTGTACGTCGCCCCCAAGCAGAAGGCCAAGATCAACCGGCCCCTCAAGGAGCTCAAGGGCTTCGCCAAGGTGGCCCTCAAGGCGGGCGAGAGCAAGAAGGTCACCGTCGACATCGAGACAAAGTACGCCGCCAGCTACTTCGACGAGGAGCGCCACCAGTGGTGCGCCGAGAAGGGCGAGTACGAGGTCATCGTCGGCGACAGTAGCGCCGTCACGGACAAGGCCGTCAAGGGATCCTTCAGCGTCGGCGAGACCTTCTGGTGGACCGGCTTGTAAGCGGACGTCATTTCTTTCTTGGATAATACGATGGATGGTACGAGAAAAAGAGGGAAAAGGCAAGGGCGGGTTTCTTCATGAGCATTTCGTTTTTTTTTATTTAGTCTTGGGTATGAATGAATGATGATACATATATACTCATTCCCGTCGTGGGGCAACGTGAGCGCGTCGCCGCAATCAAAAGTCCCCTTCCCAATCGTGTCGTGGTGTATCGTTTCATGTCATGCGTCATGGTCGTCAAGGAAGTGCGAAAGTCGCCGGAGTGTCTTTATGCTGAGCCCGAAACAAAAGAAATCAAACGCCGTAAGCCCACACTCCTCCTCTTCACGGAGAGCTCACGCGTTTTTCCCTCAGATCGCCGCCGCCGTCGGTGCTAGGCGTCATGGTATTCTCCATCCTCTGCAGCTCGCACGGCGGCAGCCAGGGCTCCGCGTCGCCCAGGCGCTGCACGGTCAGGCCGGCATTGCCGGCGTTCTTCATGCCGGCCTCGAGCTGGCGCTGGTACGAGATGCGGCGCAGCCGTTCTGCTTCGGCCGGTGTGAGGTGGAGCTGTTGGTTTTGATGTGGTTAGCCGTTGGATTCGCACAATGCAACTCATAAGAAGGGTGGGTATGTCCACTCACGTAGAGCTCGACGAGGATGGCGTGGATGGCGAGGGCCAGCCACGAGCCGGCGCCGAAGACGGCGGTGAAGCCGGCCGCGATCTCGGCGGGTTGGCGGGCGTCCACGCCGGCGTGGACGAGGACGTTCAGGCCGGGGTTCGCGCCCGAGAAGTAGGCGCCGCAGTCCGGATACAGGCTCATGATCTTCGTCTGGTTGTGGCGGAAGATGAAGTCGAGGACGGCGCACTGCTTGACTTCGTAGTAGGTGGGGTCGGTGCTGGCGATGACCCTGGCGGCCAGGAAGCTGATGATGCGCATCGTGATGATGAAGCCGGCCTTCGGTGCTTGTTAGCTTGATAGACCGTGAGAGACAAGGGTGTGTGTGTGTGTGTGTGTCTTTCTTACGTATACCCAGGCCCTGAGCATCCATGCGCGGTGCTGTTCGATCTGCAGCTTCTTGACGTTATACACAGCCAAGCCCAGCGCCCCGAGAAACATGATACTCCCCGAGCCCACGGCCGTCTGCGTGCTCACGCCGCCGCCGAACGTGCGCCTCGCGATCATGAAGACGCCGACCATGCCGACGACGCTGAGGAGGAGGACGAGGTACCCGTTAAGGCGGTGGAACAGGATGGCCCTGTGGCGTACGGCGGGGACGAACTGGAAACAGGCGAGGAAGCCGCCCGGCAGGACGCCGGCGAGGTGCAGGAGGATGCCGACGCGGTCGGCGCTGCCGGGCTGGTAGTAGTAGCACTCGCCGGGCAGGGCGCGGTTCTTGCGGGCCGGGTCGCAGAAGGCGCCGTCGAGGTCGAAGTACATGAGGCGGGCGAGGGTGAAGCCCATCATGGCGCCGGCGGTGATGACGAAGAGGGTGAAGTTGTAGCCCCTCTTGAAGCCGAGCGGGTTGTAGATTTTGCGGGCGAGGGTGACGAAGCCGCTGGCCGCTGGCGGGGTCGATGATGATGACGGCGGAGGAGGCATGATGGGATGGGCGAACTGGGGGGGCTGAGACAAAGCTGCCGCCGCTTCTATTTAATCTTGTTCACTTTCTTCTTGTTGAAGAGTACGAAGAAACGAGATGAGTTCGTAACGTTTACAGCCGGGGACAGAGGCGGAGGGCCTCATATACGTTGGAAAGCGACCCCGTCAGACAGACCACCTTGGCAGCACCCAGCAAGTCGGACATCGATGCAAAGGTGGTCCTCACCTCAGCCTCAGCATGGGAAAAGAAGGAGGGGAAGATGCGAGATAGATGCCCACATGGGAGAGGGCGAAGGCAGGGCTGGGCCAGGCCTCTCAGCACATGCATAAGATCCGGATCCTCCGCCAAAGACGCATCACCGATACTGGGGGCATCTCAGGAATTAGCCGTTTGACAGCGCACCGGAGCCATGTCTCATGAGATGCATGGCACCATGACATGCTAGATAGATGGAGCTTGGCTCGCTTCCTCCAACGACAAGACGCGCGAAGCCTCGGCCGAGAAGGTGGGAAATGCCACATCCGGACTCGAGGTAGAAAACCCAGTCTCGTCCCATACAGGGCGGCTAAAATGCGCCGTTGGCCCTTCTCGGAACGGGAATGGAAAAGGGGTGAGGGGTGAGGAGGAGGAGGAACGCTTAGGTAGGCAGGTGAAGGAGGCGCCGGGAGGCGTCGCGGGACGGAGCAGCATGCATGCTCACCGGTTCTGCCACCGGAGCGGGCTGCTGCTGGCGGCAAGGAGGACTCGAGGACTCGAGAAGACGGGGCTGAAGCGGCCAGTGAGGAGACGAGGAACGAGGAAAGGCAAGGCCGAGGTCGTGAGGCTTGGGGTTAGTGGTTTGCCAGAAGGATGGGTTCGCTTCCCAGCACCGACCCGGGCGAGGGAAATACTTGACGTGCAGTTGGCGTGTGGGCGCCGAGGAGCCATGCGAACGCGATGCGGCCGTACGGGAGGGATCGAGTGCATGCGGGCCGCATTAGTGTCGATTTCGGGGGCGGGGCGGGCGGCCGGGCCATGGTCAAAAGATGAGATGGCCGATGACACTTTGTAGCGGTGTGTGTGTGTCTGGTGGTGAGAGACGTCTGGACCGGGAAAAACTCATCACATCACATCATGTCGTCTGCCGTTAGTCTGGCTCGTCTAACACATCTGCTGCCTGCCGTGCAAGGAAGGTCCTCGATGCGGTTTGCCGATGGCCTTTTCCTCCCAACCATCTTTCCAATAAAGCAGGGATGGGAGGAGTCCGGGTTGGAGAGCCAAGGCTGACGCCGCACACTTGCGTCGTTGGTGTTGAGTTCTCTCTCGGTTGGTAGGACAGAGGCGGGCGAGGCCATGTAACACTTGTTAAGCCAGCCTGGTTCACCGCGCGTATTCGCTAGGAAGGCCTGGAAAGAGAGAACAAATCTGGAGATTTGAAAAAAAAAAAAAAAAAAAGAAAGAAAAAAAAGGGGGGGCATGAGTTGGGTAGTTGCAAGGCAGAAGACCTTTCGCCCTAAGCGAGTGCATCGCAAACACGCGAGCGTCGTTGGTGGAAGTAAGAAGCAATGCAGTTGGGCAGGTGAGAATGCAATGCCGGTGACGGAACGTTGGAGCATTGACCCTTTTTTGACGTGGAAAAAAACTATTGTAATAAAAAGAAAGAATAATTTGCCCGAAAGGTAACACGCAGCACACTATTCCACGTTTAATATCGCTGGTTGAATACTTGTGTGATAACAACGACGACGGATAAAAAGCGTAATGCTAGAGCTGCGAGCAGCCAAGGCAATCAATCGTACAGGTAGCGACAAGTAATAATTGCAAGGAAAGAATACCGTAGATGATATTCCTACAGAGCAGAGGCTGGTCCCAGCTGGTCACATGACTGATCGCAGCAGTACGTATTCTTTTTGCCGTCTCCACTTTCCCGTGTCGCGTCCATCCACCACCGCCGTCCAGGTTCCTTCCGTGTCCGGCCGCGTCTCCGCCGTCCGAGTCTCACCACCCCGGTTCACTCATCCTCAACCCATCCAACAGCGTCGAGACCACCAAACAGCACACCCTTTCTCACTCTCCAAGGCTCAGCATCAAGCCGTCATCAAATCCCCCTCCCCAAAAATGTCTTCCAACCCCCCAAAACCACCACAGACAATAACATCCCAAAAACAATCCTTCCTCACGGCCCAGACCCGCCTCCTCTCGCAGCCCGTCCGCCCCTCCCGCGCCTGGCTCGAGGCCAACGCCGCCTCCGAGACCCCCCTCCCAGACAGCGCCGTCGAGCAGCCCCTCACCCGCCTCAACCACGTCCTCTCGCAGCACTGCCGCCGCGCCTACTCCCACCAGGCCAGCCGCCACGTCGCCGAGCAGATCGACGCCCTCTACCTCTCGCACCCGTCGAGCGTCCCCGAGGACGAGCCGTCCGAGGGCGTCTCGCGGACTCTGGACCTGAGTAAGTCTAAATATCCAGAATACAGTTTGATCGGGCGTATTGCTAAACATCCAAAGCCGACAACGCTGCCGTCAAGTCACTCCCGGCGTCATGGCCGGTCGAGAAAGACGCGACCGCTTACCCCATGGAAGCCAAGCGGTACGCGGAGCAGTACGAACGGCTCAAGTCGCTCGCCGAGCAGAGGCAGCAGGCGACGGAACGCGTCGAGAGGCTGCGCCGGATGAAGGCCCTGCTGGACCCCTTCCGCTCGGACGACTCCGGCGCCGGCGTGCAGGAGAACCTCATCAGCCGCGACGGAAAGATGGAGGCCGAGTTGGAGAAGATGCGAGGCCTTTTGGCTCGCGTCGGCGGCCGCGTCAGTCTCTTGCCTGACTCTGACGACAACGGAAGTCTCTTTAGAGATGAGGAGTTCCGAGCCGTCGAGCCCGTAGCTACTGGGGAGAAGCGGAAACTGGACCACCTGTTGGACAGTTTCTAAAACCAGCCAATTGCGGTAAAACCGTACTGTAATTCATGATTTGTATTCTATGATACGGGCGTTAGGTTCTAGGTTTTGAGGATACCCCAGTTACGAAAAGTCACTTTCTCCCACCGCAGCATCGTCATCCAGTGTCCATCAAGTCCGCAATTTCGTCCTCGGCTTGCCCAAAGAATCCGCACCCGGAACGCCCAGGCTTCTTCCGCCAAGCTCTGAACGAACGAGTATCGACGCATCCCGAAGATCTTCGCTGGTTGGAGCGATGCTCTTCTTTCTCTGCTTGATCTCACCCTCCAATGTTGCATCCTTCGCACTGTCATCAACATCCAGACCTTTGGTTATGTTGCTGCTCGATTCCGCATTATTCGACGATGCTGCCTCTTCAGCGTAGGGATTTGGCGGGACGACCCGAAGCTTGACAATGGTGTCGTTGTCTTTGTCGTCTTCGGGCACTTTATGGTAAACGCGGAGTCCCACTACGACTACAGCGTTCCAAGGATCTTTCTCGAACTCGTCCTGGTCGTCTACATTGACTGCAGAGTTCGATGGCGGCACGCGTGCAGGACTGCTCGTCCGCGCCTCGACCGCATCGATCTCAATCTCCCATTCTCGGTCGGAGGGTTCGTACAAAGAGGAGATGCTCGAATAATCATCATCGTCAGACTCGCAAAGCCTTGACTCTAAGACTTCTGATGGAGCTGTTGGCTCGCTTCGCGCCTCGTCGCTTTCCTTGGGGGCGGCTTCGTCGCCATTACTCCTTACACTGCCGGTTACGGAGCGTGTATCCATAGGCGACATTTGTACTTCCTCGGTTGTATGCTCCTTGGTCTTCTGTGAGTCGTCAGGAACTGCCACTGACAGCTTGACTGATTTATCCACAGGCGGCTTTGCTCCATCCTGATTCCCGGGTTCAGTGGGCGGTTTGTCTGCGGCGCCAGAGTTGTCAGTCTCTGCGGGTCCTGTATTTGCTGTCTCGTGTTTCTTTCCGTTTGAGATGCTGAGGTGTTCCGTCGCGTATTCGAGGTCTTGGATTTTGACATGCTTCTTGATCGAAGGCTTGCCTCGCGCCGGACGTCCGCGAGAGCTTTCCGCATCGGAGGGAATATCCGGCCCGGAGCGATTCTTGGCTTGCGCGGCTTTCATTTTGTCGACCTTGGCTTCGCGTCGCGCATTGCGCTTTGCAATCTTCTTGAGGTTCCTCTTCATCGCCTGGGTCCGCAGGTAGTGTTCCTGTTCTCGGTCTTTTTGTATCTTCCGTTTAATCTCGGCACGATTGGTCTCGCGTTGTTTCTTCTCTTGAGCCTCTCTCGCTGCTTTCTCCTCGGCGGATTCAACAACTCTTCCTTTGCTGTGAGCAAGATCGTAGGCCAAGCCGATGCGAGTCAGCTTTTCGCGGCGCCCTTTGGCATTGTTTCTAATGACCTGCTCGATGGGAAGGATATTGCTATATCGTAAGGCGTCGATTCGGACGCGAATCTCGTAGCTGCCAGCCTCGAGGTCAAGCTCCACATTTACAGAGCGGTTCATGCGGTAAGATGCAGCACTCCGAACGACATAGTCCTCCTGGCCAGCTTTGTGCAGACGGAACTGCAATTCGAACCTGTATTGACCTTCCAGACCCCTGAAGTAACGATCATCCAGCTGAGCAAGAACTAAAACCACCGGACCGGTTTTGGAAAGTTCAAAAGCGAAATGCGTGTCGTGGTAGTCAAGAGTCCACGGAACTGAGAGAGTTGTCCAGATAGACGTGACCTTCCAATCATGGTCAAACAAACGAGTGATGTCGAAGATGTTGTACTTCTTGAGTAAGTCGTGGTATGAGATCCAGAAGGCCCCGTCGTCCCCGAACTTGTGATTGAGCTTTTGCAGCCAGTCTGGAGTCCATTCCTTCGAACCATCGCCTGTTGTCATTAGTATGGAAAATTCAGTTAAACCAATAAATAGACTCACTCCAAGCACCCCTCCATTCTCCTTTCCCCCAGGGGTTCTTGAGCAAAACGAGTCGTTCATTGTCCATTTCGACAGCTTTCATGACGCTGTAGGCATGCATTTCGATAATGCCTTTACGCTCGCCCCAGCCTTTTGTTGCAAATCCAGTGGAACAACCAAGCAGACAGTCTTCGTTGACCTTGAGAAGTTTCTCCTTCCAGAAGTACTCCTTGTCCAGGATATCTGAAGTGTATATCTCTGAAGTGACGCCCCCGGTAAGATCCTCGATGGCCTCGCCGGTGAAACCGCCCTCGATGCATGCATAGTCCCCGTGTGCCTTGGCATAAGCTTTCTCAAGGAGTGGCAACCAGGTTTCGTTTGGGTTTTCGCATTGAGCAAAGTAAAGAGCGCCACTGTTTGTCTGGTAGATGCGCCGGTAGGCTTCTTCGGAGTTGACACGCTCGCGGTCCTCCCAGAGGATACGCTCTATGTATCCTTCGTCGTAATCAGGCTTTGTCAGATACAGCTGTGATGGAAGTCAGCTTCTGTTCAGCTTTCCACCGAAACAAGCCGTCTTCTCTTCAACAAGAGCTGCGGGACATCGATGCCCGCCAAGATTAGCAACGCACCTTATCGTCGATGATCTCGCTGTACCATTCCCCATCTCTGTGGAATACAAAACCATATACACCGACATCCTGGTCGTGGGCGACGCAGACCTTTTCGATGAGCCCGGTCTTGTTGCTGAGATTGCAAAGCGCAGCCATCAACCAGCAGTCTCCGTCTCGACCTTGACGCACATCATTAGCGGTGGGACCGTCGATGTAGAATTGCGGATTATCAAAGATGTCGACGACTCGCTTGACCGCCTTCGGACTGAACGAGGACGGCGTCGGGTCCTTGTCCTTGGTGTTCCAGAGCGACTCGAGACAGTCTCGCCGGTTGAACTTGAGATCGAACTCGAGGTCGAAGTGGGGATCCCGGTACTTCTGGTTCACTCTCCGACACTCTTTCACGATCTTGTCGACCTTTGTCTTGCAGACGGCGGCGGCCTCGTCGTATGACGTCTGAGTGTTTACACCTGTGGCGGCAGCAGACCGCCGAGCGACCTTCTCGGCATATTCATTTTGCGGGATAACGGTAGTTGCTGTCTGTGGTCAGCACTGAAGCCTTGCCAGCAGGAAGAAGACTTTGACTAACCCTTGCCCGGGGTCTTGGTTGTGAACTTGGCCCAAAACTCGTCGATAATGTCTTGGGGAGGTTGTTGTTTCGCCTTCCGAGGTTTATTGCTATTGGCGGGCATCACGTATACGTGTCTGCGGCGTTGAGGGTTTAGAGAGGGGTTGCTGACGGGAGATGACGCGCCAGAGATTACGGAGCTGGAGCTGGAGCTGGAGCTGTAAGCCATTTCGAGGGCAATTCTTCGAATTACACCTGGGAAGGAAGCTGCCGATGTTCTTTCTTTCCAAAATACGACTGCCTATTCAACAGCCATCTGCATGCAGCTAGAATAAGCAGGGCACAGCTGGGGAAGCAACCCACGGGCAGATAAGCACAAATCCGTGGACACTGATAGAGGAAAAACAGCGAATAGAACCAGACTTGAGGTTGACAGAGGACAAGGGTAGCGAAAATCACAGTGCCGACTGGAGAGAGAGACAAATGTTCAATACAGGCACGGAATGCCACGTTGGGGGCCACGACTTTTATATCAGGCCATCCGGCGTCGGCGGCTGAAGTGTCCCATGATGATGAGCGTCCTTTTAAGCTGCTACTTTGTGTTCCCACTAACGCACGCCGGCTGACAACGGGTGAGTCCAGGCTGGAGCACCGTTACACTCACTTGCAGGCCAGCCGTAAGAAGAGCAATCAGGAGGTGACTAACAGCATGACTGGGCTGGCGCTAATAGTATGCAGGCGGGTACGACATCCTTAAACCGGGCATGTTGAGTTGGAATAATCCATTTGCTGTGGTGCTTTGCCCAAGCATGTAAGCAGGCAGAGAGGAGCAAGCAGGCAGAACAGAGGCGGGTGGCTCTTACAGCCAAGGTCAGGCTGCCCTGTGGCAGAAGGACCCGACAGGACAATGCAGGTAAACTTGCACCTGCGACATGTTCCGTTTGATTGAAGCGGTTTGCATGCGAATACACAATTTGGCATCGAAAGACAAGGCGACGTCCGTGGCTCGCCTCAAGAAGGACTCCTCCTTCCAGCCACCTGACTAACCCCGCATTGGCGCTTGCTGGAGCTGAACCACGGTGAGCAGAGCAAACGGACCGTCGTCTGTCAATGAGCGATTTTCGGGCCACCATTTTCGAACATTGTCGTCCAGCCGGTGACTCGTGTTTGAGAAATCGACAAGCCAGGAGGCCGTTTCTGGGATACGACACTGAAGGCGACCCGGGGATGGACCCATTTATCCCGGGCTGCGGCTTGTCGCCGGAATGTGCCGATGGTCAGAGCTTCCCCCGCGCCGTAGCCGCCGCTACCGACGCGAAAGAGGGACGCTCGGCGCTTGGATAGCTTTGAGTATTCACAGTTTGCAGCTCGACGCAGAAGCGTGGCTGCTTGCAAGCGCATCCACGCCAGTCCGGCCCTTGAACCTACGTCCAAACCTCAGCCAGGTCGTGGCACAGTGGCTGGCTTCAAATCCTGCCACGACAACGTGACCTCCAGCCCCTCCGTAGTCTGTCTATATCGCAAGCAGCTCTTGCGAAACCGTTATCTCGTTGCCCGTCGAGCTGCCAGTCTACCCACTTGCAGTGCCAAAACTCCCCGAGGCTATGCGGCGCCTGTCCCTAACTTCAGCATCAACCGTTTCAAGTTCATCTCGGAGCGCCCGTCACAACATCAGCTTCCTCCTCCAAGGACACTCGAACAACTCAGTCAACTGCTTCTTTTTTTTGTGCGTCACGCCACAACAGCTTTGCCGTGGTGTCCACCATTTCTCCCTTCGAAAGGGTCTTCTACTCAACAACCACTTCCACCGCCCCAAAACTCTTCTTCTTCTTCATAAGAAACTCGGATCTCTCACCTCCCCCCAGCCCCTTCTTCTATTCCAATAAATCTTTCCCGTTCCGGTATGCTTGGTAGCCAATCGCCTGCAGACAAACATGGGTTGCCAACAGACCATCGCAGACCAACACACGCGGAAGTTCAGATCCTCAGCCGCAAGCCGCCTCGACACCGTACTGTCATGTGGAATACTATCGTTGCCGCCGTCGTCCGCGTCCAGTCATGCGTTCTGCGCCGGCCGTGGCCAACGCCTTGTCTACCTGACAGCGAGTGCCGTCTTGTAGTCAGGCCGCAGATGAACCATGGACAGCCATGAGGGTCATGAACTTTTCTTTCCAAACGTTGGAATGAAGATGCATACAAATACGTTGAGACCGTCCGTCGTGAGAGTCGTTGCAAAGAACCAAGGGTGCTATGAAGAAAGGAAGCCTTTCCCGTTTTGTTCCAGAAAATGAATCGTGTTGACGAAGGGGAATCCCAGTAGACGCCGTGTAAAGCAAAGGATGCCGATTGGCGACAAGCCGTTTTTATGCAGAAAGTAAAGTAACAACCAGAATGAAATGGGCAAGGTGCAAGTGCAGTCGTAGTGATGGGTAAGTGCGAGGGGCGTAGGTAGTCGTGCTGAAAACATAAGGAAACGACATTGCCGTAGCAAAGTCGTACGGCGCGCGGAAGAGCTGCGATATGATGCTGACGCTTCCGACGGCCTGGACCCGAAACCACCTCGCTAAAGAGGGGAAATGGCCACAGACCTCTGCTTAGGCAACGGGGGCGATGGGCGCAATCGGCGCAACAGCGGGCGCGGGGATGCCGGCGGGAGCCGAGATGTCAACATCGTTGGGGATCTCGCTGTTGGCGTTCTTCTGGGGGCAATCGCGGGAGATGTGACCGGCCTCACCGCACTGGTAGCAGGTCTTGCCAGCAGTGTTCAAGGGGCCGCCGTTGGGGGCGGTGCAGTCGCGAGAGATGTGACCGAGCTTGCCGCAGGCGTAGCACTTCATGGCCTGGGCCTGGCAATCTCTGGCGAAGTGGTTGGGGCCACCGCACTTGTAGCAGGTAGCAGGGCGGGGACCACCGGCGAAGCCGCCGCGGGCGTAGCCTCCGTATCCGCCGCGGGGAACAGGAGGTCCGCCGCGGCCCATACCAACACCGGCAGGGTTGGGGCAAGCACGCTTTTCAATATGTTAGACGATTCTTCATCAGCAACCTGGAGGGATCTCACAGCAAGGTGGCCGGGCTGGCCGCAGTTGTAGCAGCGACCGCTGGTACCAGCGCCGCTCAGGCGCAGGGTAGGGCAGTCAGCCTGGACGTGACCCAGGCCCTGGCAGTGGTAGCACTGCTTGGCCTCGGTAGTGCGAGGAAGAGGGCAGCCGTTGGACTCGTGGCCGGGCTGCTTGCCTGTTTTATATTGTCAACGACGGCTGAGTTACGTTGAGGCATGCGACGCATACAGTTGTAGCAAAGGCGCTCGGCGGAAGAGCAAACCTCGGCGTAGTGGCCAACATTGCCACACTTGTAGCACGCGCGGCGAGAGAGAGAAGACATTTTGACTGTAATCGAGCTGGTTGAGTGACTGTTAGCTGAATGGCTCTTAATCAACATATTCTGTGCCCTGTGTCCTCGCCAGTGCCTCGCCGGCTAGGACCAGCCTGGTGTTTGATGATGTGCCGTGGTGTCCACGTCGCAATTGAGCCGATATGCCTCTGTCTTGCTGATTTTGGTCCAGCGCATGGTGAAGACACATCCAGCTGCAGTATCGCCAGCTCGACCGCCCCGCGCAAAACCCTCTCTCAGCATCGCCTGGTAAGGAATGCGCTCTGCGTGACGTCGGTCACTTTAGAGGGGTGGAATTGCAGCGCGCCCGTCTGTAAGCGACTTCGAATCCTGAGGAAATGCGCTCCAATGGCGGGCGATGAGGTTCGGAAATACGCGGCCAAGCTCCAATGATGTAGGCTGCAGTGATGGCATAGTGTTGGCGTTGTGGCACAAATGCGGCTGGGGGGTTGTCGCAAATGATCCACCGAGGGCTTTTCGGAAGAGCGGCGCATCGGGACAAGATCGAGTGCGCGGGGCCGAGGGAGCGGGCGAGGGGTAGCGCAAGCCAAGCATTCGCGTTGTGCGACAATGAACAACATTGACGGAGGCCGGATCGATCGTCGGGTCCGATGTAGATGCGGACTGAGGCGGCTGCAGAAAAGATTGCAAGTTGCGCATGGCCTTGGTAGCGGATGGAGAGGATTGCGATGCGCGGATATGTTGGTGTGTGTGTGGCGATTCAAACGACAGGCGGGGTTGGCGCATTGGAGGAAGCGGGTTGGAGATGTGCAACGGTTAACGCGCCTCTGCAGTGACGTCGCCTCGAATAACGCATGGTCTGAATTGACCAAGATACCGAGAAAACCGTGTTGTATTGCGCGAGCGCAGCGTGCTGATGGCGCTGGCTGATTTGCTATGCTTGGCAGTCGAATATGCGCGCATCGAGAGTGGTATGCGACTGCAGGGCGATCGCACACCAGGCCAGCCGGCGAGGAGTTGAGGGGTACGAACTGAGGCGAGGCGAGGCGAGGCAAGGCGGAGGACAAAGGGCAAATCCATAAAGGTGATGGGGGGACGGCAATGCGAGGGACGCAGGTACAGTTAAGAGCGAAACTCACCTTTTCGCGAAAAATTGCCTTTGGGGAAAATCGGGAACAAGAGGTCGTGTCCACGAAGGTTGCGGTTGTTAAAACGGGCAAAAAATAATAATGTGTGAAGAAAGAGGGGTCCGGTCCGATTCTAGTAGCGAGAAAAAAAAAAGTCCAGTACGGCGGACAACGGAATGATCCTTCCGGGGTATTCACCGGAGCAGAAGAGGGGGAAAAAAGCTGACTGTTTGACTTGACTAGATGGAAAACCAGGGTGAATTTTCCAACCGGTGGTAGCAGTGATGTATTTTGGTGGTGGAAGAAGCACGAAGAAAGGATTGGAAGGGGCAGCTACAGCAGGATAAAAGTAGAGAAACCGGCAGAGAGAATGGGAATGGGCTGTCCGTGTTCCTGCGCTGCGCCGTTCTGCGCGTGGTGTCTCTCCCCGTCTGTGTCTCGCAGGCTGCCAAAGTCACCTCGCCTCGCCTCGCCTCACCTCATCTCAGTCAGTGACTGCAGTAGCGCCGGTGAGAGTGGAAGTCTGCTCCTTGAAGTTGATACCAGAACGGAAAGGACAGCCTGAAGCAGGCCGGGATAGGCTGGACTCGGGTGTGCTGAACAGGATAGCCTGGATGGAGAAGCAGGAGCTAGGCCTGGATAGCGCGTGTAGCAGGGGGCTTGAGGCAGGGGAAGGGTATCTCGTCACATTATTAAGAGAGGGAGGAACCTCCTCGCATTGTGATGTTTGGTAAGAACGTGGGTTTGATCTGATGGTTAGGTTGCTGAACGCCTGGGTAAGATAGGTGGTGATGGGTAAGCCGAATTCAAAGCGCATGTTGGTAGGTAAGTTGAGATTACATCTATTGAATATTCAATAAGAAAGGAATATGTTAAGGAAGGTAGGCTTTCATTCTTCAGAGGAAAGAGCAATGTGCAATGTTGGTAGACATATCCGTACCTTCTCCGTCCGTCCGTCAACCGCCACACCATCACAACACCAACACCTGCAGCTGCACCTTCCTCTTCTTTCTGCCGCACGGCCTCCTGCCCATGTCATGTCATCAGGTGTCGTGTTGGAACTTTGACCCTTCACTCCCGATTCTCTGTCTCAGCGTAACCCATTTTCAGCGTCGTCCCCTTGGGTGCCCGCCTTGGGCGTCACGTCACTCATACCGTTGAACGTACCGCGAGTGGTCGGTTAGGTCCAGTCTCCAGGTCTTGGGGAGATCCAGGTACATGGGAAAGACCTGACGAGCAGCCGGGTACGCCCCCAAAACTGGCGACTGGGGCAGACACGACGTCAAAATGTGGGAGAGCGGGGGAGAAACATGGCGCCAGGGGCGGCGGGGACCAACTGGCAACGTGCCTCTGCTATTCTCAAGTATCGCAACGGTACCCCCGAATCTCCCGCTTTCCGCCGGTTTGATGATGGATGGATCTGGCTGGGCCTGATGAACGATTCGAAGGCAAGGTAAGACAACATATCCTTTCAGTCACTTGACATGTCGAACCCAATCCAGTCAGAATCCAGGAGAAATACCGACAAACTTCAAAACTCCTAGTCATTCTTCGCGGGAAGCTAACGCAGGTCACAGATCAAGTTTCACCAGATACCTTCCTAGCCGCCCTCGGGTGGTATTCCCACCTCAAACCACCATCTCATCACTCGAGGAACTCCTCGTGCTTCGTACACGGCACTTCGTTACCGTCTCCCACCTCACGAATTAGAAGTTCTTGCCGCCAGAGCCACGCCAATAATCGCCCATCCCCTCTTTTACGATCGACTTCGAGCCCCTCCTCAAAACACCGCGCGCCAAATCCCACAAAAGCGAAGTACCTGGCCCTAAGTTGGTTGGTGTCCATGTGGCGGTGCCTGAACCGAGTCCACGTCTGTGTGTCTCACACGCAAAGTCGAACCGATGCAGCCGTTGCGCCCTACGCTCCAAGGCCTGCGCAGGGCCGTCAGTCAAGAATTTCGCAGGACCTCCCTGCGCAACTGATCTTTTGCTCGAGTGCATCTGCAGGTCGCGTGCAATTGGGTTTCCCTGCGCAGATGCGAAGACATTAAAGAGAGTCAGCCGTCAAATTGTCTCTGATAAACCTTCGGCTCGGGCAGTCGGTTACGCGGCATCGCGTGGAACTATCTGACTGAAGAATGCGCGATACCGTTCGTTCTATGGCTTCCCACCCCCCAAAACTATTGGAAGGCTAGTTAACCTTATTCACCCATCCGCCGCTGTACCTTACATGCGCATTTGAGTACGTTCAAATAGGGCGCAGAGACATCTGCAACTCAAACGGGGGCCTTGGCGCAACTGACTTCTACCCGGCAATCGTCAGCACAGTTCATGTCGTGGAACCATACTCGGAGTGATTGCAAATCACTGTCACCGAGACGCCGCCATAGCTATACTGATGCAACATCGCTTCTTATTTGCGCCTCTCTCGTCCGCTTGAGTACGCGAATCGTTGTTTATACTATATGTATACACTCTGCGCTTTATATATGCCAGATGTAGCCCGACTGCCGGAATCGACTTGGCGGCCACGGCAGACGCTCAACCATACACCAAAAACTTTCCTCTCCACGCACTGACGCTGTCAGCTGCATGCGCCAGATTACTTCCTCAACGCCTCCATCAACGCCGCTCTCCGCACATATGATCACATTAATATAACAAGTCTGTCTTCTCTGTCGGAGTGAACAAAGGCCTGCCGCAAGTTTAAAATGGGGCTCGGCGCTCGTTCATCCGTCCAACTTCGGAGGAATGTGGCGGAAGTGGGACCTCGGTCACCCCCGGCGCCATTGACCGGGGTCGGGCGTCCACGACGTAACTCACACCGTCCTCTGATGCGTACGACGGCGGCCGTGGCCCGATGTTGCCATGTCCCGAGCTCGAGGGGCCGTCGCCGGATGCCGCGTTCGGGTTGCGTTGCCAGTATATCCGGTTGGGGTCCACGCGCTTGAATTTTGGTCAGCTTCCGACGCCGTGAAAGGTCCCTCCATGGGTCGATACATACCACACTTTCTCTCCAGAGACCATAGGCGGGCGGCTTGGCCTTGGCCGCCTCGCTGATTTCATCCTGGTCCTCTTCGTCGCGAGCCAGCACTACCCTAATGGGTTCTCTGGGTACCGCGTAGCCGCCAGGGGCTATCAGTTGTGGCATTGGCGGTCTAGCTTCTTCGTCTGCGCGTGGCCGAATGACGAGCATGCAAAGCCGGATCAAGCCGTGACAGAAAAATATCGTGGTGAACAAAATAATGAGTATCAGGAGCACAGTGAACTCGCTGCTGCGAATGTTCTGTGTGAGAGACAGTGCAAGGTCTGTTCTGTTAGCGGCGGCACATCGTCCCGGCAATATCGGAATCACTTACAAACAGCCAGCAGGAGCGCTAGGAAGGTGCCCGAGATGAAGCACCGTAAAATCTGCGATCGCATGCGCCGCGACTTCACCCAGGGAAGACAGAGCAGGAACCTTTTCGGGTGTCCCTCGTCATCCCCTTGCTGTCGGTCGCGCTGTCTCCGCCGTCTTCTCCGCCGCCCTTCCTGGGCCATCTGCGCCAGATGCATCTCTGCTGGATCTGGCCCAGTAAACCGTCGTGTCCTACCGCGCGTTTCTGATCGGGAGCTCTGTGCAACGGGCGGTGGCATAGCCACGGAGGCAGGCTGCTGTCCTGCGGCTCTCGTCATGTGCGGTTCGGGCAGCGGGTCGGTGGCTGCTCGGTTGGGGTGTTGTTGACCCGAGTTGGGTCGCGAGTCTGGGCCATTGGAGCCGCTGGTCCACGATCTCGTGAGATGCGGAAGATTCAATCGAGTTCCTGGCAATGTCGGGAGACCCAAGTTGAACCGTGGGGTCTTGGGGCTTTCGGTCTCGCCATCATCGAGGCGCTGCATCCTTCCGCCTGGGTGCCTTCGCGAAGACAGCGCGGGCCTTGTTCCAGGTAGACGCCTTGGTCGAGATCGCGAGTCTTCCTGCATCTCTGGCTGCGTAGATGGTCCAGCCAACGCCTGTTGCTCGATATCCGGTCCGTGAGAGGACCGTCCCCGACGCAGGAAGTCCATGGCGAAAGCAGCCGAGTCGATCCGTCACCCGTGGTGAGAGTTGAGATGTGAGTTTGGATTATCGCCGTTCAAGGTTCGTCATGCTTCGGCGGGCACGGCGAGGGGATAACCGCGAGTCACCGTCGTGCGTTTCGTCGTCTCCGCGCGGATGCCGTCGACCGCCAACGGTGCGAAGAGTGACGAGGGAGTCCCTTCATTCGGGTTGGAGTAAGCGGCGAGTCAGCGGCACTGGTGAGAACACCTTGTGCGAACAAAGGTTGTTTGTCGTGTCGTTGTTTAGGGCGGCTTCAACGGCCGGGTAACGGTCGAAATAAAGGGGAAGAAAGGGGCGAGAACAATGAATTGAGACCGTTCTTTCAGGAACCGGCCAAAGGGAGGCACAGAGGCGTGTGGCAACGGCGAGGGGAAAAGGAATTCGATGGCTCAAGGGAGGGATACTCGCGATCGAATGGAAGAGCAGGGAGGGTATCAAGAAACACAACGCTGGCGACGCAATCTAGCTCCCGGAGCCTGTAAAGCTGACGACCAGTTTGAAGGAAAACGGAAAAGATGAGAGAAGGTGAAAATGGTGTTATTCAGACCCAGAAGAGAAGAGACGAAGCCAAAAAGGCGCCTGGCGCCGTCGACATGACGCTGGATGGAGAGATCGGAGGATGTCAAGAGGAGGAAATTGAGAAGAAGAATAAGGTAAGGTCTGGTCGGCTGCCGCTAGCTAAGCGTCGTTTCCCTCGTGTAGGTACCTCCAGCACACCAGCAAGCCCGCAAGCCAACAGTTCGGTTCGCTAGGACAGCTCCAGACTCGAGGCAAGGCAAGACGAGGATTGGGATGCAAGGTGCAAGCCGGCAGATATTGGTAGGGTTTGGAGACTTAACGGAGCTGACGAGAGTGCCAGCCAAGATGCCTGGGTGTCACTGGACAGACCAGAAAAAGAAGCCCGCGTCTGCAAAAAGCTGGACACACAGACAGCCAGTGACCAGTCTCATCCCAGGGCGATCTGGGATTCTGCGACATGGAAGGGCAGAAAAAAACGACAGGAAGACGACGACCTCTCAATTGGTAGCACGCACAGCGGGAAAAGGAGGGAAACGTGCAGCTTCTGCGGCGTCGAAGACGGGGAACATGTTGCATCGGGATTGGACCCTTGCGCGCAGGAGAGCCAAACAGCCCAATGAGAGCACCAGGGAGACGGTAGGGATGGGCAGGAGCCTCATTCTCGTCTGTGCCAATTTTGACTGATACTGTAATTCCTTCGCGCGTTCTCTGAGTCTGCGCGCGCGGCGGGTTCAGCGCAGCGCTGCGCTGCGAGACCTGAGAGGCTGCTCTGGCTCTGGGGTGAAAGAGACGGATGGATTCGCCATCACTTGTCGACTTCTGTGACAGCTCAAGTGTTGCATAACCGTCCAGGGGTCGGGAGCACAAGGGGGCTCATTGGACGAGCGGGAGCAGGTGTTTCGGATTCGACGATTGCGAGGCGCTATCCCGCTTTGGGTTAACCGCCGTCGTCGACCAGAGATCGACGGGTCCCGGGGTAATTACGAGGCGTCTCTGGTTCGGGTCCAGGTGCCACCTCCTGTGTGTGTTTTGGTGGCATTTCTTTGGCGTTTAGAATCTGAAGGAGGCCAACCACAAGACACAGAAAGGAGAGTGACAATGTTGGTGAAGTTGGCGACAGGTTTAGCAGCCACGCGCGCTTCATACTGCGCCGCATCGGAGGCGCTTCTGTTTGATGTTGTTGTTGTTTTCCATCGAGCAAGTTGTGATTTCAAGAATGTACCCTCGACTTTGCGACAAACATGGGGGCCGCTTGCTCGTTCGTCTCCACCACTCATCATTTGTCTCCTTATGAAAAACATTAAGAGAGGGTCCAGGATCAAGTGACTTTCAGATAAGGTACGGATACGGGCGCTTGAGACGCCCAAACCGCGCTTACATAACTACCTTACCCCGTCAAGGACGTCGGATTTCCATCAAGAGCCAACGGCGGCGCTGTCTTCAACGTGAATCTCTCGAACAACCTCGGAGTGATCGTTGATGATGCAACTCGGATTCTTCCAAACGAGGAAAACTAAATAAAAATCTAACCTCTCGGGATCGCCACTTGACTCTCACGACCCGCGTCGTCAACACCGACCGCTTCTGGGACATCTCAACCGTCGGATTGGGCGCCATCTGTCTCATCGTCCAAAGTCACATCCGACCATACCCTCTCCAACTGGCTTCTGCTTCTGCCTCTGCCGTTGTGTCGTCAGTCAGACCTTGTCCCTTCGTCCATAAATAGCCCCTCGAGTCGTCAGATGGAGCCCCAGCTTCCCGAGTTCCGACAACTCTCTCTGCTCCAGTAAAAACCCTCTCAACGATTTCGATAGAGTTCACCGAACTTTACCCCTCTTCATCACCCTCAACAGGTCAATTCTGTACTCGGCAAGAGTCCAGAAGAGGAAATACCCATGGGTTCTTTGCACTGATTGTGCTTTATTTTTGCGCGCAACATCGTCGCATCGTATCGTGTGATCTGGCTCATCTTCAGATAGGCTTTTCGCCGCAAGTTCCCGGTGACGTCTCTGCCCACACGTTGATCTGCTGGCATCGTGAAAGTCGTTGGCCGTTCTCGCTTCCATCGCTGCAGCGTGGAACGCTGTTAGCCGAATGACATTTTCTTTCTCCAGACTCTCTAGGATCAGCCGCTGCCGAAAAGACCACGCCTGCTACCCCATACGAGTCCTGGATCTTCTCGCACCGAGGCAGCGGTCGTCAGATGTTAAACGTTGACTAGCGGGCCTCGCTTGTGCGAGCCGAGTTTGGTCCAATATGAAATCACATTACTATTCGTTTTCCCGCCTCACACGGGGGAACCCGGCGAAGTGTCTCAGGGGTGTTCCCAAAAGACGGAGAGCAAGGAAACACCAGACGAATTGGCCGTGGGCCGTGTCACTCGCCGAGAAACGTGCTCTCTTGAAGGGCTACGTACGCCAGTACCAGTAGTAAAGCGATGCAGAATGCCGAAATCGGCATTTTCTCTAGGGTATCAAAGCCACCGCTACTCGAATCGACTTGCCTCTAGATCCATTGTTCCAATCGCCGCCCCTTCCTCCGGCCTCGGCTCGCGTCTTCCTATCCAGGCCTCTATCGTAGGAGCCGAGCTCATGAAGCTTCCGGCGGAAAATGCTGGTTCCGGGCCGGCTGTGTTATTTCGTCATCGTGAAGTTAATCGACATGTCGTGGTCCACCGTCAACACCAACGTTTCCTGTGCCAGGCGCTGCAACATGGCCAACACCGTGATGGCTATGTACGATAACATGCTGACAATTTGGGCCTATCACTCCGGTTTACTTTGATCATCTGGACCGGATCACCGAAGTTCTCCCAGAAGCATGTTGCGATCAGATGACGCGGACAGCACTGCGGTGGTGGGTTAGCATCAGGCCTCTAGAATAATGTCGGGTTGAGAACATACCAATTGGCTCCTTGCCGGGTGCAAACTCAACACAGTTGACGGTCCCCTTGTGCCCAGGCAGCTTATACATCAGTTTGCCCGTCTCGCTCGACCAGATAGTGGCAGTGCCGTCGCCGGAACCAACAGCCACCTTCTTGCCCTCCGAGTCCCAGCTGGCGCGAATAAGATTTTTCTCGAGTCCCACGGAGGCGCCGTCAAACGTTCTGATGTGCCTATCAGTGGGGGCGAACGGGCGAATGTCCCATGTTCGTACTGTGGAGTCCATCGCAAACGACAGAAGCGACTGTGAGTCTGGTGACACCCTGAGTGACGTGACAGTATCCTGGTGTCCCAGCATGGAGTAGACCACCGATTTCTTGCGCAGATCCCAGACTTTGATATCGTTGTCGATGCCTCCGGAGTAAACCTCATTGCCGGCCTCGGACATGGCGATAGCGGTGATCGGGAACTCCGTCTGGATGTGGTCCACTGCGGTCTTCGTTCTCGGGTCCCACAGGCCTATTGAGCCGTCGTCGCTGCCGCTGACAAGCATTTCCTCGCCTCTCTTGCTGATATCCACCGTGTTGACGATTTCTTCGTGGCCGACGTATCTTCGTATCCTGGTGCCGTTTTCCAGGTCCCAGCTTGCCAGATGCGTGTCTGCTGACGCAGAATATACTATTTTCGAGTCCCTAGACCACTGGAGATCAAGAATGGCGCCGCGGTGGCCGTTGAGGATGCCGTAGTTTTCGCAGTCGCCGTAAGTCCGCCAGAGCACTTTGCAAAAGTTAGCAAACATTCCTGGAACCTTCAGAGCGCGAACTAACAAATGCTTCTGTCCATGGATCCTGAGGCAATGAAGTTGCCTGTGGGATCGAACTTGGCGGCAAAGATCTCGCCGGAGTGGCCAGTGAGCTCCATGACGGGAGCCTGAAGGCCGCTTGTTCGCGGTGCCTGACATTTCAACATCAGCCATACATCCCCCAATGAATGGAAGGCTTTCTCACGGTTTGGATCAATGCGCTACTTCCAGAGCCATTGAGCCTCGCCAGCGCTCCTGTTGACGACCCAACATTTTGACGCTTGACGATCATCTGGCCCGCAGGCTCATCAGATGCTGGTCTTTTTTCCGACATTTTGGTTTGGGCGTGTTCTAGTCAATGGATTGATTGAGAGAATGGAGTCGATTCCTTGGGCTGATTCGTCTGAGAGGTCTTGGTCGTGTGTCGAGATAGTTAATTGCAGTCCTGTTGTTGATCGCAGAAAATGTGCTGTAGCTGAGATCATTGGCCCACGCGCGACCGCGGCGCGGAACGGAGCTTGCTTCTGCCGATCCCCGAGCTTCACCTCACCTCAGCACGCAGCACGCAGGTGCATGCTGTGGAGCTCTGCTGGACTCCACGTCAAGCAGGTACCCACTAACTCTCCGGAGCTCTTCGACTGCGCTTATCCCGATAGTAACAACGACCCCTGCGTTTCCGACCTCCAACTTCCTACCTCAATCGTCAACTGCCCGCTGCAAACCGTCGACGGCCACGAAATCGATAGCAGGAACAAGGCGCCTGCATACTGCGACTGACGAGTGTATGCGCCTGCGATAACGGCCACGGTAGCATCGTTCCCCGACTCGTCGACTCCATTTGCGATTGCAATCCGCCGGAGTTTCGAGACCGCTCTTGCATATCTCGACAACGTGAACTCGAAGCCGCGCGTGCGTCGCAAACATGGCTGCAAGCAAGGCGACTCGCTTAGGCGAGGAGTGCGTCCGTCTCTCTTGCTTGCAATTGACAGAAGCTAACTGCGCGGCAGGATTTGGAAGTGCGTCTGATAAACCCCCAGTGCGTTTCGAGACGGTCCTGACCCCGCGATTGCAGAACCCGCATCGACAAGGTGAACGCCGAACTCGTCACTCTGACCTACGGAACGATCGTCGCACAGTTGTGCAAGGACTACGACAGCGACTATGCCGAGGTCAACAAGCAGTTGGACAAGATGGGATATAACATTGGCCTCCGGTTAATCGAAGACTACCTGGCCAAGTCGAACACGATGAAGAGGTGCTCCAACTTTCGTGAGACAGCAGACATGATCGCAAGGGTAAAGGGTCCCTAGCTTGGGTTGAGATGCATCTCTGCTAACCTGGGTTATTGCATCAGGTCGGTTTCAAGATATTCCTCAACATCACACCGCAAGTCACCAACTGGACGACGGATAACAAGCAGTTCTCCCTGGTGTTTGACGAGAACCCGCTGGCGGACTTTGTGGAGTTGCCCGACGACGGCCGGGCGCAGGACGAGCTGTGGTATTGCAACATCTTCTGCGGCGTGTTGCGGGGAGCATTAGAGATGGTGCAGATGCAGGTGGAGGCACACTTTATCAGTGACGTCCTGAGGGGACACGATACGACGGAGATGCGAGTGTCGTTGGTACGCTACATTGACGACGAGCTTCCGCCAGAAGACGACTGAGCTGCACGCACCTCGCATCCAGTTCACCACAGTCATTCACGAAGTCAAGCCATGAGACCAACTATCAGACCGAAACGGCCCTCTTCACCATCTTTGCTATGTGTCTCAGCCTCATGTTATGGATAGAGCATGGCGAATTGTATGGAGCCAGCCAGGCGATGCAAGTTCATACTTGTAGCAATCGCACGTCGCAGTAACAGCAACTTGAGCTTGTTGAGGTCACCTGCTTGGAAGGGTTGCGGCGTGTAGCAGATTAGAGAGACCAGTGCAAGAAAGAAATACGGCAGTGCTTTGTTGTACTGGTCCATAGTGACTGAACACTTTTCGCAATATTCGTTGGGCCAATACCAGCCCATGTACTGTGCAGTAACAGAAAGATAATTCGAAGACGACGCGCGCAATGCTGCCTCTATTCTCACGGCTCGCTCACTTTGTTTGTTTGCGATCGGCATGGTAAAGGCCGGTTCGGACGGCCCCTGGCCCGTACCCACGTTGGCGCGGGTGACGGGAGTTAATTTTGACGACGTGAGGTAACAGGCAGCCGCTGCGGGATAACATCGCGCGTCAATGCATCTGGGCTTAAATGAGTGTGCAGTCAAGGTCGATTGTACCATTTGAACACATAATGCCATGTCACGATGCCACCGATCGTTGAGGTGTTGGGAGTACGATACGGGGGTTGTCGGCCGGTTTCGGCCAATGTGGGGATACGGGGACCCGGGGCCCGGGGTGTTGACCGGGGCGAATCGGGAGAGTCACCACCAAAGAAGTAAAAATACAACGAAGCAGGAGCACATGACTATTGATGATCGGCCAAAAAGGTATTTGAAAAAGTCTCTGTGGGACCCGGAGACGAGACTGCGGCCAGGTCAGGTCGAAACGGTTATTTCGCATAGGTAGCTGGTGACATTTGAGGTACGACCAGTGACGGTGTCGGGTTGGCTCGATTATTGTTTAATGCAATAACAAGGAGGTCCGTGCTTGTATGCATGAGTTTCTGTTTTATTTGGCCCCTTGATTTCATTGGGTTGATGGACGGCACATGGTGAGGTGACTGAAACTTCACGAATGTATTCTTCAGCGGTGTGACTCCTCGGGCTTCGAAGATTGATGTTCACCTTGAGAATCCGTTCTGTTGGGCCCAAGGTATCCACGGAGGCCGGCCGGTAGGGGTTGGCCGCTAGTGCAACGTGACGGTAGGTGGTCTGGAGTTCTGGAGTGGGCTCACCAAGACCCGACCCTTTGGTGATAAAGGCCTCCAAGACGGCCGAGCCCGAGGCCGCCTGGCTGAAGATTCCGTACACGCATCTCCAAGTGCATTGTGTGGCGCAAGGAATTGGATCACAGATTTTAATCGACTGACGCAGATACCCAGAAATTAAGAGCATGATAGCGTACGCCCCTTTAGACACATAGGTACGATAGCTCTAATGTCGAGCTTATGTCCCAGCACCTCGCTAAAGCACGGCGGCTCCTTACCGACCCACGTTCGGATATTCATTGTTCGACGTAGCATCGCGGTTGAAGCTCCTACCGCCTCATTAGGCGTCTCAGTCGAATCGATGGGTTATCTGAGACTACGCGCTGAAATGAATTCGCAGACTAAGCGATGCGGCTTGAAAAGGAAAGAAAAAGTATTCTTTGTCGCCGTGCATCATCGTCATGTCGTCCTCCGAGACGCGCCCGGGCAGTCCACCGCTATTTTCTGCTTGCGCGCCGCGGGAGGCAGCTCCGGATTGACGGGACCTTGCCCGTCCACCTGGCAGCAATAAGGATGCTCAATGATCCACGCCGTCCCCCACCACGGTAAGTTAAACAGGGGACCTCTAGGCAGGTAGCCGAAGTGAGGTAAGGAGGCGAAGAAGAATGATACGGATAAATGGGTATCTGACGTAGCGCTACACGATAAGGCAGGCCAATGTGGCGGTGGTGTCGAGCTTGATGCAGAATGCAGCCCTACGACCCTTTGACAAACGGGGTTCTTGTAGAGACATAAACCGTGTAAGCAGAGGTAGCGACCCCGCATATTCACCACTTTATGTAAAGCTTGGAGTCCTTTTTGCCTTTGATACAAGGTGCTTCTTGCCTCAGGCAACGACGTTCTCAGAAATTCGCGCTTCATTCTCAGACATACCCGCGTTATTCGGCCCCCAAGCTGCTCTGACAGTCACCCAGCTCTCAGTTCCAGGTCTCCAGACTCCCCCCCGAAATCTGCCCAAGCGTCCCAGGCGAAAATTAGGAAAATCCCAACCCCATCCTTTCCACCTGTGGTCTGCCCGTTCTGCGTCTCTCCCCTTCCATTGCCTTGCCTTGTCCAGTTCGCGCCCCTCTCTTTCTCTCTTCCTCCTTCCTGCCTCTCTCCTCTCCTCTCCCCCTTCCCTCATCAAATAAACCCCCCCCTGGTGGCCTCGCATGCCGAATTCCTACACAACTTGGCTACGAAATACGCGTCACTTGCTTCGTTGATGGTTCCGCCGTCCGCCCCCGAGACAATTGTCGAATTCGCTTTTGGATTTGCCATATCGGCCTAGCGCTGCGGGAGAGAGGGACGACTGCTACTGCCGCTCCGTGTAGAAGCAAGCAAGCTTGTCTGGCAGGATCGACGACGCCAGAACATCGGTGCCCCCCCAAAACCCAGACCCAGTGCCAAAAGAGAGCCAAAACGCCAGACCTGGAGAAGGAGACCTGGTCCCAAAAACCAAACCCAGAGAAAGCCCCCGACCGAGCTTCTCTTCCGACTCCCCGTCTTCCCACTTCCATTTCCACCCTCAAGCCTACCCCAATCTGCTCTTCTCTTGCATCTGGCTTCGCCGTCAATCTCTACACTCTCTCACATACCCATCGCCTTCCTTTTCGCCATCGCATTCGCCGCGCAATCGCCATCGCCGTCGCCGTCGCCATCGCACCCCCCAAACCAACTAGGACCAGCCACCCGTCGCGCTGCACGTCCTCCCAACTTATCCTTCTCTGCTCTTCCTTTTGTATCTCTCTAATCGCGCACGCATTCGATCCCGTCGCGATCAGCCAACTCCATCCACTCTCTCCAACTCGCCTGTGCCATCTGAGGCTCCCCCCAGGTACCTTACCGCTGAATCCGACACGCCTTTCCGCCAGTCGGCGTTTAGCGCACCGCGTACCACGCATCCAGCACCACAGAGGTGGCTGACCGAAACTTTTCGACGACCGCGACTCTCCTTTCTACCGACATACAACTCGCATCCATCAACCAACCATTTTTTCTTTTATCTACCGCATCGACTTCTTTCCATCTAGCCGGGCAGACCATTGTCTGCAGCCCGGCACACCGTCGTCACCATGAACGTCAACGTCAATCCCAACATGGCCAACATACAGGCTATGGGCGGTCCTGTCGGCGCACCTGTTCCCATGATGAATAATGGCGCAGTTGCTCCTCAAGCCGGCCCTCGACAGATGCCTTCTATCCCGGAAACCCAGCGCACTCTGCTCAACACCTATATTTATGAATACTTCCTCCGCCACCAAATGTACGATTGCGCGCGATCGCTCGTCAACGGACCCCACAACGTCAACGTCAATAAGGAAGGCGGAAACCAAAGGAGGGATGAGAACGGCAACGTCCTCGGCAACGGGCTCGGCGACGATCCCATGGACACCGACTCCAAGGACGACATGGACGCGAAGCTCCCCGATGACCTTCCTGCCCCCAAACTGCCCATGCCCGCCTCCGAATCGTCTTTCCTCTACGAATGGTTCTGCCTATTCTGGGATATCTTCAACGCGCAAAGGACCAAGGGCGGAAACGGCATGGTCAACCAATATGTCAGCCATACTCAGGTAAGCCATCTTCTCCTCCAGTATCTGCCTAGCACGCTCTCTTTGGATGTTCGCGTTGCTGACTAAAACACAGCAACAATCTCGCATGCGGCAAAACCAGCAGCAGGAGATGCTGCGCCAGATGCGCCCCGATGGAATGGCTGCTCAGCAGCAATATCACACCCAAATGATGCGCAACATGCAGAATGGTGGCATGGCCATGAACATGCAGAAGGGCGGTCTTGTGCGAACCGCCATGGCAAACAACCAGAAGTGAGTAACGCATGTTGTCTACCCCAGTTAACCCGTGGGACTCTTGCTGATGCGCCACCACCCTAGTCCTCAAGCCATGCAAATGCTTCAGCAACATGCGAAGCAGAACCCAATGCAACGTGACCCCTCTGATATGGACGGCAACCGCCAACGCCCTTCGTCGCCTGGATCCGGAGAAAACGCCCCCTCGCCTTCGAAGAGACCTCGTCTGGATGGGACGCCCTACAACCCTGGCCAGCCTGGAATGATGCCGAACGGAAGACCACAACAGGGCATGCCAGGCCAGCAGGTGGGGACCACCCCAAACGTAGCCCAAGCCCAGCAGATGCTCATCACCAACGGCATTAACCCGGCATCGCTGACCCAGGCGCAGTTCACGACATTCTCAAATCAACCGCCTGCTGTCCAGGCAAAATCTATTGCTACATATGCTGCAAACCTGCAGCAACATCAGGCTAGTCAGATGCCTAACAAGCCTATGCCCAATGCCAACGGTCCTCAGGGTCAGGGCTCGCCAATGATGGCTCAAGGACCGGACCAGGCTGGGTTGGCCGCTTACTACAACGCTCAGGAGATTGGACCAGGTGGCATTCGCCCTGGCCCTGGGGGTGCCCAAGCCGCCGGTGGAAGTAACCACGCTCTGCAAGACTATCAAATGCAGCTAATGCTTCTGGAGCAGCAGAATAAGAAGAGACTCATGATGGCTCGTCAGGAACAAGACAGTATGGGCGGAGCCATGCCTAGGGGAGACGGGCCTGCCGGTCCTGGTGGTCCCGGCGCTCCCCCTGGCCCCAACGGCCAGCCGTTCCCAGAGACGTCACCTCAAGGAGCTAGGACAGGCGCGTCTCCCAACCCGACTGAGCAGATGAAGAGAGGCACACCGCAGATGAACAACGCGGGTATCCCATCACCGCTGCCGGAAGGAGCTCAGTCTCGCGGCTCGCCCAACCCAATGAACTTCATGGGCAACCAGATGGATCCCAACATGGCACCTCATTTCTTCAAGGGTATGAACAACATGGACGGAAACATGGTTGCCAACCCTCAGATGAACAACGGCATGCGTCCGCCCAGCTCGCACCCCGGTCAACCCTTCAACGGCCAGATGAACCCGCAGCAGATGATGGCTGCCAGACAGCAGCAGGCGCAACAACAGGCGCAACAGCAAGGTCAGCCGCCGCAACAGCAGCCAGGCCAGGGCAACCAGCAAGTCCAGTGGCAGCAGGGTGGCCCGAACGGCCAAATGGTGCCTCAAGGCCCGCAAGGTCCGGTCCAAGGCACGCCTCAACAGCGATCCATGCCACCGCCATCCGCCCCTGCCGCGGCGAACGCCAACCGGACAAACACGTCTTCACCCCAGCAGGCCGCTGCCGCGCCACCTACTCCTTCCCAAGCCAACAAGGCCGCACCGAAGAAGAAGGACAACAAGAACACCAAGGCGAAGGTCAGTACTAGTACGTTACGTGGAGGCTTGAAACACGCACTAACAAAGTTGCAGGCCGCGACGCAGAAGAAGTCAAACACCAACTTGAACAGCGGAGCCACCCCAGCTGCCGACGGAGCCCAAGACCAGGAACCGCCGACTCCGGCGACACCCATCACTCCGGTCAACACTGCCGGTTTCGCCAAGAACGGCCCGAATGCGGCCGCTCCCGCCGTTCCCAACGGTCAGCCCGCTGCTCCCGCCCCTGCTCCCGCACCTCAGGTCGCCCCTCAAACCCACTCCGACGCGAACCAGAATGGATTCAACATGGACAGCACCAACGGCATGGTCGACTTTGGTGCCATGGCATTTGCCGATCCCCTGGTCTCCGACAACGTGCTCAACGACTTCGATTTTGACTCCTTCTTGCATGAGGATGGGGACACCCAGGCCTTCGACTTCAACGGCTCCTTCAACATGGAAGGAACCAACGAAATTGGAGCCGATTAAGTTTTCTTCGAGACTGCGTCTACATAGGTGTTTGTTCTTTCAAACACTGGGCAAACACTGGGGCGCTTCTCTTACGCTTTACAGTGCTGGATCAGCTCCCAGGATATGTGCAACAAATATGGTGTGGCACAGAAAAGAAAAGTTCAAATATCACATCTTTCGTCCGGTTCACGATGGCGGTCAATGTACCAAAAAGGCTTCTCGGTGCCGTCGCCTGAGAGCGTGCTCGACATCTGCAGTCTGATTGCGCGCCAGATCCTGTTCTGGCGCCGATGTGCCTGCTGTTCATTCTATCTGTCATGCTGTCTCGACCTCCTGCTTACTCGTGGCATTGGTGGGCTTGCCTCCGTTGCCTACTATCCTATGGGCGCACAATGGGCGGGACCGTGTCAATGTTACTCAACGCCTTCGTTTTTGAAGGCAATCTAATTTCATGCGTGCATCTGCCTGGGGTAACACGCATACAACCTTACGGGACCCATGGAGTCGGTCGTCCATACAAATGCCACTCTCATGGCGCCCTTGGATCATTGGTTCTGGCGTTCTATGGGAGGGTTTCGCAAGTCTTTGCCGGGTGTCCTCTTCCTACCTCTCCAACAGTTGGGCGAAATCATTGATTATATGCGGCATACGATTTGAGATTGCGGAGCCCGGGTTTTTTTTTTGTTTTGCTGTGGGAAAGTGAGTGCCAACTAAGAGGCGCGGAAGTCCAAAAAGGGGCTGGGTGATGGTAGTCGTCGAGTGAGAAGGAGCATTGTATTTATTAGAAGGTTTAGGACACTTCACACCCTGTCCAACCATCGTCGTTCATCCTAGGTCTTGTCAGATTACTGTGGCGTGTGGAACGGTATTGGCTTACGAGGATCAATCCATCTTTTTTTCATATTGTTCGCATGTAACTCTCCAAACTCTCGCCGTGATCGTGCTCCATAGCTCCAAGTAAAGATGCCGGATACCAAGACCGTGCTGACTTGGACGGTGGCGTTCAAGGTTTGCTGGGTAATTTCGGAGTTTTAACATATGTGGGGCCGTTGAACGCCGCCGGCCGGTGATGTGCAAATCCTTTGACGCCAACTGCGCGGGCCGTCTCCGGATGATCGACCGACGGCTCACGACGAAAGGCAGGTTGGTGGAGACGGCTCACCAGCGTCATCCTGACCGGGTTGCCGGCGCGAGTTTATCTGTTGGAGTCAGGCCGGATCTGCTTAGCAGTTCAGTCGGCTCTCGAAATATCTCGAAGCCTCTAGGATTTACAGCCGCTTGCCTGTGTTACGCATGCTTGTGACGTATGTAATATAACGATAATACCGAAGACAATACTACCAACGGCGGCACACACACAAGAGCAGTGGCTCGCAACCCATGCCTGGGGGGGATCACCGTTCACCTCACTCGGCGCATCACGCCAAGACGAATGTAAAAAACAGGAGTATAACTCATTATCGTGATCATCATTATATGTCTGCCATCTCGTTCTAGTCTGTTCCTATATATCGGGACGCTTCTGGTGCAATGTTGATCCTGTCTCTCTTTCTTTACTACATCTGCTTTAAATCCGCTCAAAAATGTTGTGTTTTCTTTTTCTTTTCGAGTTGAACAGTTCGCCGCCGCAAAAAGTCGCTAGTGGAAAATGAGGTTGGGGTATCTTCTGTAAGGTAACGGCGCCCGCCTTGGGGAAGGCACACTTGGATGATGACGACGGCAGCATGGCCTTCGTCGAAGGGGTCGATGTCGGGGGTCGGACTTATGCCGTCTCGTAGACGGCGACGTATCCGACCTCCATCATGCTGCCATAGCCGTCTTGGGTGGCGTCGGTGGGGTTACCTGGCAGAGTACCGCCTGAGAGAGATTGTGTTAGCCGGTCATTCGTGTAGAAGGAAATCGTTTCCAGTAAGACTTACCGACTGCGACATTCATGAGGACGTAGAAGGGGGCGTGGGCGAGCGTGGCCCAGACGCCCTCGTCTCCAATGTCGGCGCCAGTCAGCGTCTGGAAGACGGCGCCGTCGCGCATCCAGGTGATGGTCTCGGTGAGCCAATTGCCGGAGGTGCGGTCCCACTGGAGGGTCCAGGTGTGCCAGTCGTTGTCGGGGATGGCGGTGGAGGTGCCGCGGCCGCTGGGCTCGTTGCAGATGCCGCCGACCTCCTGCTGGCAGTGGACGGTGCCGGTGGCGGTGAGCTGGCCGTTGACCTGCTCGAAGATGTCGAGCTCGCCGCAGAGGGGCCACTGGGTGCCGTGGCGGACGGCGTCGCCGAGCATCCAGAAGGCGGGCCAGATGCCCTGCTTGTTGGCGTTGGCGCCCATGCGGAACATGGACTGGACGCGGAGGAGCTTGCCGGGCTGGGGCATCCAGGCGGCCTTGGACTCGATGCGGCCCGAGGTCCAGTGGCCGTTGGGGGACTTGCGGGGGATGAACTGGATGGTCTCGCCGCCCGAGATCTGGAGGTTGACGGAGGAGTCGGTGTAAGTCTGGACCTCGTTGTTGGTGTCGATGGCGAGGGTGATGCCCCAGGTGTCCGCTCTCGGGGGCGAGCCGGCGTCGCCCTTGAAGGTCTCGGACCAGATGACGTTCATGCCGTCGACGGCCGGGGGCGCGAAGGCCGTGGCGAGCGGCAGGAGGCCGAGGATGAGGCTAGAGGTGAGCATTGTGATGTTGTGTTCGTAGGTGACGGGTTCGTTTGGCTTGGTGATGATTGCCGAGTGAGAGACTGATGATGATTATTGATTTGTTGGTTATTTTTCTGTTGTACCGGGCCTGTTGAGCTGGCTGCTTGGATAAAATGTTCCAAAAGTGAGAATGACTGGACGGTCGATATACGACGCGTTGAATGAATGTAATGTGAGTGATGCTATCACCAAGAAAGGAGTGTAAGTGGCACCGGAGGCCAGGTCAGAGAGAACGTAAGAGGAGGCGAGAAGGCGACAAGCACATCTTGTTGAAGGGGAGGAGAGGCCAGGCTCAGCATATATACAGATAGGAGAGGTCCATAACAGGACGTGCAGTTCGGGACAAAATCCTTGTTGGTCAACAGAAAGTGGGCGGCTAGGGATTTCTCCTCGGTGCGGACGGGGCTCCAGAGTCCAGCAGAGAGATCAGGCTGGCCACTGAGCCAACCCACACCCCATGGCAATCCTCCGAAGCGGTCTCCATAGTCGTACATGGTAGGCCGTAAGGCAGAAGAAAAGAAAAAGAAATTGACGGTGGGGAGTAAGGATGAAACGCCCAGAACCCGATCAGGAGCACCCTCCAGTGGCGGTGATGATGGACCGCTTGGCTCGTTCGGGGGGAGGTTTCCTCTCTCGACAAATCACGGTGCGGGTTACGACCAAAGACCCAAGAATGGCTTCTTAGCGGCGCAAGTGGGTTGTACTGTTGTTGGCTGTGGGTAACACAAGGGCAGCAAGGCCAGGGTAAGAGGAACAAATAAGCAGACGGTGGACTTTCGTGCAAGTCGAGTACCAGATACCGAGCAAAGTTGTGTTCCCGGATGATAGATAGCGAGGGATACTACCTCTGAACACACCAGGGGCAGCTCTCATGACGGGAGGTGGCTGATGAATGCTAGGGAGTCCTGATCTGCGCCGGGCCTGACATCGCAACAGCAACCGCACTCAACGCACTCAAGGGCGACAAGGGCACCTTGGCGGTCGGCGGCGGTCGGGACCAAGGCGTTGCAGGGAATGCAGACTCGCATATGGAAGTGCCGGTGCAATGAGAGGTGCACAAACTGGCGAAATGGAGATGCAAACCAGGGCAGGCGAGGGGCGCAGAGGCCTCACAGCTCATGGGTGCATGATATTGACATGGAAGAGGGAAAAGAGACGGGATGACAGATGATAAGGGGGGCCCAAGTTGGTCAGGGGTTATCTTTCGAGTTCGAACTTGCGTGGGGCACGGCGCATTCAATTCCGGCTCCAAGACCATAAAAAACCAAGACCCAAGAACCAAGCAAACAGCCAAGGATCGACTCCCGCTGCTGCATTGGCCATCCGATGCCATTGGCAGTTCATAAGGAGAAATAAAGCGCATAAGCTCCATCCCTACCACTACTTCCGTAGCTGAACATCTTTCCAAGTCTGTGCCGTTTGGAGAATGGGGAATGGGGAATGGGGGCGGGAGAGAAAAACCTGCAAAAGGAGAGAGGGACTCGGTCATGGCCGGGAACCTGGCAAGAGACAGACCCGTGAGTCGTTCATCCCGAAGCCCCGGGACGGACGAGGAAAATAGGAACGGGACCACTCGACGATGGGGCGCTGCTCATGGCTCTTTCTGAATCAATATTGGTACGCTTGGTATTGTGATCAACTCTGTGCGCCGTTACTGTTGGGAACGTGAGGGCATGATAGGGTTTGCTTTTCCCGTTTCTTCACCCTCTTCCCGGGTCATGTCTTTGATGTTGGCGGGTGTGACAACGTGGGGGGTTGCTTGTCGATGTGATCAATATGAAGACACGGCGCAAACTCCTTTTCTGACTGCTTCTTCTGAGTGTGCGCGCTTGTGTGCGCGTCTGCAAAGATCGGATCGCCAAGTGCCCCCTGTTGCAATGCAGCCTGCCCAGCCTTACTTGGGCCGGCAATGCATGTTCTGAGACAAGACTGACAGGGTTTCTCCGACAGGGACTGGCTGGCGTGCAGGCGCAGTCTTCAGAAGCGGCGCGAACCAGAGGCAACCAGTTGCCAGCACACCGTGACACCGCACCGCCGCAGTGGATGGCAGCTTTGAGTCTGTGTCTTTGTGGAGATTGAGATGGATGATGGACCGGTGGGCAGTCAAGCGGAGATCTGTGTATCCACCGTCTCCCTGTCCTATTGCTCCTTTGTCGCGATGAACTTCGGGCAGCCGAACCACCACCGACAGACTTCGCGGAGAGTCTGTAGATGAGCGAGAAAAAGAGAGATAAGCGAGTGTATTCCATGAAAAAACACACCGGGACACACCGATCTTACACCGTGGATGAAGATGCAGGTAACGCGGATGGTCCACCATTGAGACATCGCCCCCGGCCGCTGAAACCAAAGCACACAAATCGGGGAAACGAGCTGTCAACTCATTTTTTCAGACGAACCACTCCGCCTACCGCACGTTGACGAGAAAAAAGCGGCCTGCTCCTTGTTCACTTTGCATTTTTGTTCCGTGTAATGCTGTGCGCCCGATGGGTCACGAGTCTAGCTGTTCAAGACATGCGCTTGGCTGTACCATGAGGAATTGTATCCGTCTTGACCCTTCGCCCTCTAACCTCCGCTCAAGAAAACCAGCTCTGTCTCGCCACTGGTACCCGATATCTAACCATGGCAGGACCAAATGGTTGAGATGGTTGTGTAACCATCAATCGTCCTCTTTTGATCGGAATGCTCACCGCTGGCCTCCAAGACGCTTGCCAAGATGCTTGGTGGTGCGTTGAATGCGCTTTTCCAGGGCGCGCCTGCGCTGAATTGCTTAATTGCCAATGTCGTGTAACTAGCCGCTGCTTCATCTATAATTGTGTATGCGGTTTATCGTGTGATTCGTTGAACCTGCAACGTTGTGCTGGTGACTTGAGGTGTTTGGTTCGGTCGCACGTGACCTCTTTCTTGGCCTCGACTAGGCGACGGTGCTGCGAAGGTCTCCGCATCCAGTAGTCTTCTAGAGACAGTGATGCAAAATCTTTCAGGTCTGGCTACCATCTGATGTTGTTGGGGGAGGAGCAGCTGCGGGCTGAGGAGTTGCACCGAAGACGTCGCCCAGCTTCTCACCCAACTGAACGATGGTATGTTCGTATACTCGCGCAACGTCCATGTAGAGTCTGTCGTCGTCTTCATCCCAAGCGGAGCCAAATACCTCCTCTTCGGTCTCCGTGTCCATTTCTTCGACCTCGTCGTCATCCTCCTCTGGTTCCTTACTGAGAACTTCGACAATGACCAATCTGGTCTGCTCGACAGAACTTCGACACCGCACCATGTCTGTGGTCGTCATGCCTGCCCTCATACCATTCTCAAAACCGGGCAAGGGCTCTTTGGTGTCAATATCCCGGCCACTCAAAAGACTTGCAAAGCAGTGATCCAATTTCGTGAGCACGGAAAACGTAGCCTTGGGTGAAGGCGGGAAAGCGTCGATCCATTGAGTGAAGTCGCTGGCGATTTTGAGAAGAAAAGGAATTTGCAGACTTGCTTTGGAAAAGAGTCAGTATCTTTTCAGATATGCCGGGAAGAGAAGTGTCTTCTTACGAGTTGCAGAGAGCCAGAGAACGTCGATAACGCTATGCAGGTCCTTGCACAGTTCGGCAAAGCTCTTGTAGCCGATGATATCATCACCAGATTCATCGCTGCCGTGTTTTTTGACATACCGCCGGTTTACTATTGACAAACGCTCTTCGACATACCGACGCACGGTATCTTCCTTGCTTGACCCAGGTCTTAGCGACTTGGCGCGAGGATGAGGGAGGGCCGCATTGGAGCGGGCGGAGGAGGTGCTAGGTGCTGGTGAGGGGAGAGTCTGCGACGGGAAGAAACCTCCCGGTCCCGACGATGACGAGCCGTCAGCCATTTTCAATAGTGTTTGATGCTGAAAGTTGTAGATTCAATGAGCTCCAAGGCATCGTCAGAGCAATGCCATTTTTATGATGTTGTGCGCTGACGCCTCAATGATGTCTGCCCCTCCAGGTCGACGGCGTGAGGCTCAGGTGGTGCAGTGATTGATTACATCAGTGACATCTGGATGTGGGGCCCAATCACGTCCCGTCTTACTAAGCACTCAACGTCAGGTGAACGCCACGGGACCTACAGGATGGGACAGGACGGGAAGGTCCTCTAGCGCCACAGTCAGCTGTGGCTAGTGCGAGTGACGTCCAGTTCAATCAAAAATTTCGGCCTCCGAGCTTCCTTGCGCAACGCAGCAGCCCCTCGACCTCAATCTTGACTTCGAACCTCACAACGCAACTCCGTGGAAAAGCCGATCCCTTTCTCCTCCGCTGACGACCCATATCACCGCGGAAGATTACCACAAGTTTCTCGCATCAAAACCAACAAGTCAGCTCAACATGCCTGCCAAGAGAATCCTCGTCGAGCGATCTGGATCCGGACGGTCCCGCCAACCCAAGGGCTACTTCAGATCGACCTACGATGCTCTGACATCCGAAGAGAATGCGCCTGTCGTCCGCAGCATCGTCATCTTTGGCGTAAGTCTTTCTTGCCCTTAGAGTCGCCTTGGGATCAATTGACTGACCTTGGCTGCAGGCTGCTGTGACTTTCCTCTCCAGCTCTTGGGGCGAGTTTCTCCTTCCTCCGTGAGTAATCTCCCTCGTCGTTCCTGCCGCTGTTGACGGTTTCTGACCTGCACTCCAGTCAATAAACGATGCTTCGATTCCCGAATGACGATCCATGTATAATCACACATTCTTGTTGCCGCGAATAAAGCTGGCTGTATACTAGTTCGGAGACGAGTAGCCTCGAGGCTACGGGGGAATGGCATACGAGGTTTGGCGTTATCCTCAAATCTACGACTTGCGCCCTTTGGGTTAATGAATCTCACTCTTACGCATCAAGCTTGCTTCCACTGTTCGGAGTATGCCTACCTGTGAGACGTTGAGCTGGCGCGCGGATGCGACAATCGGATCGGTCTAGCCAGCGACCCCGCATGATATCGGCCCGTTCAAATAACTTTCAGGGCGGAATATGCCTCACAAAAGAATCAAGAGAGACAAGAAGTAAAAGAACTTTGCTTGGTCATTGTCATTATTGCCGTATGCGGCATCGGATTAGACTTCCTAAATCGTACAAAGCACCTCCCAAGCTTAGGCTAGGACCTGCCCGCCTCTTACATCAATGCCGCATTCTCGCAAGTGCCATTGCACTTCTGGTAGAGTGAGAGAGCTGCATACCCACCACACATATCCGCCGTGCTTCCAGGACACGGCATCTCGCAACTGCCGAGGAGACCCTTTTTGGGCATACGGTCTGCGGCTACGGAGTTCCCGCACCAACATTCCTTGGCGTACTCCAAACCGGCGTACTGGTACCCTTGGTCGTTGCAGTATTTGACGCAGAACTCGACGGTCATCGTGTCTGAGGTCTTCCTTGCCGAAAGTGTCCGGCCTTGACCTGAAGGGTCCCGGGCACAACCAAGATACTTGTACTTTAGCGTGCTCGTCACGTCTTTGTATCTCCATTGAGGTTGCGAGATCTGAGTCGTTGCGCCGCATCCTGACTGCGGCTGGGCGTTTGCTGGGCCAGGCTGGACAGGATTGCAGCCGGGAAGAGCGCTGAGCTGCCCAGACACTGGCTCGTTGACCTTGACGGGTACTCTGCAGCCTTTCCTCGTCTCGTCGTCGAAGAACTGAAAGACGCCACACTTTTCGAGTACGCCGCTGTCATCTGTGCATGTCTTGATGGCAGACTGAAGCACCGGGATGTCCCATCCGTTCAGGAAATCGCCGTGGAGACCGTAGCCGGTGGGATCGCTGAGTATTGTTAGCAACCATAGCTTTGAATGGTTGAGATTCGGAACTTACCCGTTGGAAAGAACGAAAGGTTGACCGTCGCCATACCACTTGTCTTTGAAGTCGTTTACTTGGAAGATGATCTCGTAAAAGAGACTGTGATACCGTTAGCCATCCCGTTGCGCCAACCGACATGGACTTGTGAATTCCGTACGTTACAAATCTCTTTGGATGAGACGCGGGGCATCGTCCGGTGCTGACGCCGCTGGGGTAAGCCATGTGGCTCTTGTGGTCTTGGGAATCGACATTGACGCCGTCCCAGCACGAGGGGAAGACGATTTGAACACGAAGTCCATCAGGACAATTCCGATTCGGAAACTCGTTCGTCTGAGGACCGCTATTCCCTAGGCAAACATAGGAGATGCCTTTCTGCTCAACACTGCTGCTGTTGAAACTTCGTAGTCTTGGGTCACCAGCCAGCATACGGAATCCCTTGGGAAACGCAAGGAGGCCGTTGCTGTATTCTGGGTCTTTCGGGTCTGACCTCAGCCTGAAAACGAAATGTCAGTCACATCTCTTGGCTCATGCCGGTGGAATATACTGACAGGTAGTATATGAGCATGCCCCCTGCTTGGTTGACGCTTGTGAACTTGCCGTCTTGGCCGCGGTAATAGAGGTTCGGAGTCCAATAATTGCTCAGGTCGGCAGTCACCTTGCAAGTTGAGCAGGTAGATGCGCGAGCTTTCTCGTATGTCATGCTGAAGTCAAAGCCACTGCCACCCATGACAGTATGGGCATGTCCAGACAGCGCCCCGGGGTTGACGATGGGATCGGCACGTTCTACTACCACGGGCCTCGTGCAAGGTATTTTGAAGAAGGCTGCGGCATGGCTAGCGGCTAGCAGCCCGGAGAAGAGCGCTCTGACGGTCCTCATAATTGACAGTTGAAGTTATATCAACTAGGGGAAGTTGGAAAAAATCTATAAGAACAAATTTGAACAAAACATAGGGTAATGTTGTCAAGATAAGAGAGGTTGATATCCTAAAAAGGCAAAGATGGCTGCTGGCAACGTAAAGGCAGCCTGCTCAAGATTAGAGCCGCAGAAGTCAAAGTAAACTGCAAGAAGCGCGTATTCCACCAATGGTGCGGTGATGAGCATGGCTTCAAGACCGGTAGTCATGCGGACATGACGAGGTCTTTTAACATCTCTTTGCCTCATCGCCGAGCACCCGTTATCGACTACGGCCTTCGACGTCGACCACAGAACAAGCAAAAAAAAGCCATGATTACGGCCCTTACCATGGCCACGGAGCAGCCAGCCCCATTGTGCTGGGCTTGGGTTATCGTAGGACAAGAGAACAAGGAGGCATGACGACTCGGTTCAACTTAGTCTGAATGCGTTTCTAGATTGGCTGAAGACTCGGCAGTGCTCACAGATTGGGAAGGCGTCTACAGATCGGGTCATCCGGGCTATTCGACGGCGTTTCTCGGAGGCGGCTCCGGGAGGCAGTACAGAAGGAGGGGCGGCGGTCGCGAGTATAGCTGCCCACCCTCAGGATAAGCTTGCTCAGTTTCAGCCTCAAGTTCGACGTACTACATGTCTGTATCTTGCTTGTGATTCCCTTGCTATCTTTCTGGTTATACAGAGGTATCCGGAGGACGGAGAGTTGGAGGTGTCGCAAGATCTGATGCGTGTCAAGATCCTGCACGGTGAGCGGCGATTGTCACCAAGGAACCGGTCCAGGAGTCGAGCCCACGGACCAAGATTTGGGGGTTGAATAATTTTTGTCTTAGACATTGGTGTCATCTGGAGATACGAGGGGTCCTGTTTGAGTCAACATCATCCCCACCGTGCAAGCATCCGTCATGCGTCGGGATCTCGGTCGGGGCACATAATCGCGTTTGGGGTGTTGTCAATCAGAAGCCACCGGATGGGGATTAAGGGGACAGTTGGAAGGTCAAACGGAGAGCTGGCGAAAGATTCCATCTGCCAAGGTATTGGTAGGCTAATCAGAAAGCAGAGAATAAAGTAATAGGTCACAAGGGCTGTGGACGGGCTTATGCCCAGCTGGGGAGTTGGTGAGAGACAGGTGGCGGGCCCGCCAGACGCTATGGTACCCGTTTGGGAGATTGGAATTACGGTCTCGGTAAGTTGTCTCCTGTCTTACCTACTTTGGAACAAACCGACTTGTCAACTGTTCCCGGAAAAAAAAGGCGAGGGCTGAGAATGTTTTCGTACCTCCCGTCCCTTCTGACCGAGCAGATTAAAGAAGAGTAAGTCAGGCATAGCAAGGAAGAAGAAGAGAGTATGAGTCTAGACTTCCATTGTCCACAAGAGGGAACTACCGCTAACTGCTGGGATAACGGCAAGTTCCCGGGACCTTGGGACATGATTATTTCCACTGGGAATACCATCGTAATGGGAATTCAATCGTGCCCCGGGAAGCAATCTCCGGCTCTGTGCCGTGGGCGGGGCCCGGACACTTGGCTGCCAACGGAAGCGACGGCATAAAAGGGTCATAGTGGGGCCGTAACGGCTGCCGATCCTTCGGAAGTCTCGACTGGTGTCTCTCGGGAACAAACCAGGGTCCTCTCTTGGAGGCAGGTAAGACAATGGCATACTTTTCTGTTTTATGGGCTACAAGGCGCAGCTGAACTCTCTCCATATCCTCCGTCGCTCCAGCGCCTCGTTCGTCAGTATGACCCAAATACTTTCGCCCGTTTCAACTCGATCTGTAGCTACGAGAGAGGGCAGGTTACGAACTTGTCTTGCCTGTCATAAAAGATTTTGATACCATCCAGTTCACATGCCGAATGGGGACAGTTTTTCCAAAAATCTATTAGGACCGTTTCTCCCGTGTCTCTCTGTCGGATCCGACAAATGACCTACTGGGCGTTGAGTAATCTTGGCAGTCTATCTGTTCCGTCATGCAGTGTCATTGACGGTGCCTGTCATATCATCAGGATTAGCTTTTCACTTGTCTCTGCTACACCGAGATTTTCAACCCGGGAGCCGCCTTCTGATCGCAGCTTTTCTGGGGAAAGGCGGTTCTTCGGTCGCATTTGATCCGGGAGACGCGTGAGATTGAAAACCTGCTTTTGGCTCGTTTTCCTTCCGTTCATCCGCTCCCGGTTCCGAGACGATCGCGCCAATTTTGACATAGTATGCTTGAACGTCAACACATGCCCATCTCTCTCGAGGGCAACAGCAGGGCCTCAGGTTGGCCCAAACGCTCTAATGATGTTGATGTGGAACTCACGTCCTCGTTCGAGAGCAATCACATATGATACTCGACCTCTCAAATCCATACTGGTGATCGTTCGGCTGGTTGTCTTAGAATACCACCCGTGTGGAAGACTCCTAGATATGACAGCCGCGCAGAGCCCCAAGATTGGTTTATCGCTATGATTCAGAAACAAGATGCACTTCCCTCGCGGCGGCATCAACGGATGAAGCAGTATTGCTTGAGTCTGTCACTCTATTCCTCTCCAACAATCGTCCTTTCAGGCCTGTCTATACCCAGAGTTCGGGACGGGAAGCGGCTGTCGTGAATGGGGTTGCTTCATCTATAACTTGCGTTGATCCGCCCTGACAAGTTTCATTAGCAGGCGGCACCGTCTATCGCCGGCCACATTTCATTTTCCTTGGCCAATGGTGCCGTCTTTGCATCCTAATTGATGATCACTCGTTCTCTAATATTCATGGGCAGAAGCGACGGAGGACCGGGTCTCTTCAAGCTCTTATAGAGTCACCAGTATTGCCCAAGGCTTTGGAATCCTGGACTAAGTCAACACCCGTCCGAAAATTGCTTTGGTATGTCGCTTGTTCCCGATGTGTTTGAATGAGTTGTTTCTGGTAACACGACGTGAGTAGAATCATGGCGGAAATCGACCCGTACCGACAAGCCTTCGAGCTCGTGACAGGAGATGGCAGACATTTGCAGATTGATGTCGAGATCGTCAACATCGTCTACCAGGAGAACATAGGCATCTGCATCAACTATGGTTCGCAGATCGGTGCGAGCTTCATGATGCTTTTGACAATCATTGCCATGACGCCCTCCATCAAGCTCATCAAAGTTTCGCTATGGATTCACATCCTTACCCTTATCGCGAGCACCATCCGCATGACACTCCTTGCCGCTTACTTCACTTCCAACTGGAACAACTTCTACTCGACCTGGACGGGCGACTACTCCAGAATCACGGCAGGGGACTTTCATCGCAGCGTTGCAACGGAGACGATATCCTTGATCCTCCTCATCCTGGTCCAGATCTCGCTCGGAATTCAGGCTTGGGCTCTAGTCAATCTGTTGCCGGGATGCTGGAAGTGGTTCTTTACGGGACTTTCCTTCTTTATATCCACGGCGGCTGTGGCCTGGCGTATGGCCTTCACCGCCATTCAAATCGAAGCAATCTTGCTGATCACGTTGCCGAACCCGGATTGGATACGGTACCAAAGCACCATCATTGGCGCCGTCTCGATCTTTTACTATTGCGCCCTGTTCAACATCAAGCTTCTCATTCACTTGGTCAAGAATCGTGGGATACTCCCCACGAGACAGGGGCTGAGCGCCATGGAAGTGTTGGTCATCACCAATGGTCTTCTGATGATGATTCCAGGTGAGCATTTGCTAACTGTCACTGCTATCTTTCAGTGTATCCGATATGCTAACATGGGCATACAGCAGTCTTCGCTTCTCTGGAATGGGGTCACTGGACGAACTTCGAATCGGCTTCCGTCACCTACACCTCGGTCGTCGTCTTTCTTCCGCTTGGGACCCTAGTTGCATCTCGCATTTCGGGCAACACGTCTCAAGCTGAAGCCCAGCGGAGCGGCTGCACATTTTGTTCCAGCACCCCGCTCAAGATGGGATCTACAAGCGGTTTGTTCAACGCGTATGGGAGCACGCAGCGGGGCATCGTCACTTCGCATGTCGAGTCTGCTTCATCCCATTCTCATTGTCGTAACCGGACCGATTCAGTTGATCCGATCGATCTAGAGCTGCGACGTATCGAGGATTGTGAGAAGGGCATCATTCGAGTCAATCGGGAGGTTCAGCTCTACGAGGAGCGCGTCTAAGGGAATGGCTGCAATACCTTCCCTTCGTGAAAAAGACGGGCTTCAGAGAGCGTAGTGAAAGAACGCAGCAGCGCAGGATTCATACGGCAACATATCTCATTCCATAACATCTCTACATTCTTTCTTAATTGCGATTTGAGACGAGTAACAATAGCGTCCACCACATTAGTACAGCGTTCTGTCTCTCTCGCACACCCCTCTCTCGAGGAATGGGCTAAGTAATTTACCTTCCTTTTGAGATCTTGCCATGAAGCATTTTCAGGGCAATATCAGACTGCAGTTCCTTCTCGAAGACTAGTAAAAGTATCAGTGCGTTATCAGTTTGGCTGGTGCCACTGTTGCTCTTGCTGCATTAGACACTGCCGCAACTTATATTTAGGTAGGAGCAGTGAGCTAGTTTGCCTTGACTGGGAGCTTTAAGCTCGTGTCTCCTTCTGTTGTTTTCTTGACTAGCATTAAGAAGAGTTCATTGCTAAATGGGAAGCTGGTCTTCTCGATGGGAAACAACAGAGAAAGCCAATCCACAACACCGCATCTCTGCCAAAACGTCTTGATGTGTCTTTGGACCTCGCCTCTCGCAACTTTACGGCTGGACAACACCTATATTCGCCTCGGTCCTGAAAGAAGATCGCTGTACCAAGTTCTATCCGTTGTGGACCAAAAACCTCTTCACGTCTGGCACATCACCCACAATCGCCCAGCGAAGTCCTTCTGATCTGCCAACTCCCTGTCATGGACGGAGGTTCCAACGTACCTCTTCGCGAGGTAGGGGACTCCGAAACCCATGATTTCGCACAGGCAGATCTAAAGCCAGCACCCCTTCGACTCTCTCCAAAGGGTGGAAGTCATCGCGGCTCATCAAGCCAACGACGGAAAGGGCCTTCTCAACAACACAGTCCCGCACGCGCGGGATCGGTTGAATCCAACACCCTTGGAGCAGTAAAGCCACTCAGAAAAGCTTCATCTTCATCTCACAGTCTTGCCGCCATGGTCTCCAAATTCGAGATCTTGGATGCCATGTCCAACCTAGAAAAGCCTACGGCATCCACCTACCCTGAGCTGGGTACCGGGGTGTCTGGTTCGCCGACTGCATCTGACTTCGCGCGACATCGATCCAATCGAGACAGTTGCGGCGAGGATGATGAGACCCATCGATCGTTTCCAAGCCATTTGGAAAGCGAGACATTGGATTCGAGCCTAGACTCGAGCAAGATGTATCCCGACAGCATCGTATTTCGTGGCCGTACATGGAATTCGAGACCAAGCGGCGCTTTGGTTTCTGGTATGACTACCACAAGCACCGATCAAAATTGGCAAAGACCGTCTGAAGTCGTCACTGGGGGAAGAAAGAATATTGTGGCAGAGAGGCGGCGGCTTTTTGAGCCTCCAAATGGTAAGATCATCAGATGCTCCACGATTTCATCGTACCTCAATGTAGCTGACGTCGGTAAAGGATCATCAAGCAGACCTTGCAAGTCAGAGAGCATGCCACTAACCATGCGTGGAACACGTTCCCCTGAGTTCCAGCCTGCGCCGTCCATAAAGCTCGCGAGATCCAAGACATGGCAAACGAAGACAGCGGGGCTCAGAAGTGGTTCGAACGCCCCAGAGCCTCAGATAGAGGGCGTATCTGAACGAGGAATGGCACATGATCAAGACACATCAAAGCATGCGTCACCGGATTTCGGAGACGGTAGTTCGCCTCCGACGAAACGGCAGACGCCCAACCTGACGCTACCTCGTGTATTCAGCTCGGGCTTGCGCGGAAGCATCTCTAAAGCAGCAACTGTATCTAAAGCCAAAGGCAAGTTACGTGGCGCTATTGACACCTTGTTCTCACGGGACAGCAGCTGGTTGCCGTCAGCAGAAGAGTACCGCAAATCGACAGCCCAAGCAACCTCAGAAGAAGAGGATATCGCCGTAATCCGGGATGGTCAATCCCCAACATCTCTTCAAAGTTCTGCGCCTTTCGACGTGAGCAATGGGAAAACGGCCCTTAGGGAGACATCAGGCCGCTTTACGGAAGTACAACTTGGACCAGAAGAAGTTGCCGTTAAACCTATTCAAAACAAAGTCACCAATTTGCGGAGGCTTTTTGATAGAAGTTCCAAGGGAGACGAGGGTCTGCAATTCCGCTTGCGTGCCAGGCGCCGCCACACAGGACCACCGGCAAGCCCATTCATCGGTCATCGTCATGCGAGAGCACAGTCATCTGACATTGATCACAAATTCCAGACAGAAGTCCCGCGTGACTCTTTCGAGCCACGCCGTTCTTTACGACACTCCCATGAGCTCCGAATCTCCAGGGACACAGTACGCTCTTCACTCAGAGACCGCATCAACACATTTGAGTCACTCTCTCAAGCAGAATCCAGTCCACGGAAATCGAAAGTGGGGGCCTCCAAGGACTATCGGTTGTCGCCTGGTCAAAAAGATGAGAGTAACACAAACACTGCGAAGGGTAACATGAGCCGTCGTTTCGACAGCCTTGGCTTCAAGCACGGGCGTGAAGTCTGGAGAAAGTTGTCGGCGTCTTGGGACAAGAGCAAGTCGGATGACAGTAGTCTCGGTGACGGAGGTGTTACGGGTGGCTCACCGAAACACCCTACAAATCGTCAACCAAAGGGGGATTGGGGTGGTGATATCACCGGTAAATCTGTCTATTGGGTTCAAAGTAAAGCTAAGAGTGACATGAAAGGGACCACTGGCTCTAGGGCCGGCTTACAGCGGCTGAAAATAGGCCTGCAGCGCCTCCCAGAGCGGAGGAGCATGCCGGATATACCGCAAGGGCCACATGAGAAAGGAGGAACTGCGGCTTTCGATGGCATCTCAGAAGAGGAGGGTTCGCGCCGGTTGCCGATCAGCACTACAGGCCCACTCGTCAATATCAGCTGGTTCCCGAACGAGCAGGCTTCTCTGCGTTCCCCTGATAAGGCAGAATACGACATGGCTGCCTCAAACACGAGGAAGTCGAGTTGGGGAAGATGGCGTGCTTCACGAGCTAAAAGGCTTGTTGTGGCCAAGAATGGATGCAGGATCCAGCAACCTCAGCCCATCATCCCGATTGATCTGGGTGCGCTGGAGCGAGTGGCAAGTCTGGGAAACGAGGACAGAAACACCATGGAGAGCTGACTGAAATGAAGTGTTTTTCACCCAGCATGTCTGAGTGTATTGCGGGCCTGTGTTCATAGCGTATCATTAGTACAGGAATCAAATGTGTAAGTATCCCATGTATTCCACACCCAGAAGATGCATATGTGCCAAAGGCAGCTGAAGTACGCGAACCGATTTGTGCGCTGAGCAGGATTGGTGAAATTGTGTTCGTGTTCCCCATGGAGTGCGTAAAATCACATCGTTTGGCTACGCTGCAAGTCCCATCCCTTTTCCTATCTTCCGGACCAATGCCTTCTTCAAATACCACTCACGAGCTAGCGAGCGAGTGGTCTTGGCAAATACAGCTGGTGATATGCGGCCCCGTTCCACAGCCCGGCCCAGGACGAAGATGGTATCACCAATGGCCTTCTCCTCGGCCACGAGGTTGTATAGCTGATTAGCCACGACCGTGGGCGCTACCAACAACTCATCGATGTCTGGAGCCGTTTGGCGAGAAGATCCCTCGATGACCGCGTCGGCCTTACGGAGAGCATCGACGAGGATATTCGCGTTGGATTGGAGCAAGGCCGACGTCTGGCTGAGGGTGCTCATCTCGGACTGCAGAGTCGAGAAGGCGTTCAGCATGGCTGTCCGCTGCGCCTGGAGGCCCGTCATGCTCTCCTCGTTCTGTTGCCTGCTACGCTGGCGGCGGAAGTGGAGGCCTTGTGCGAGCTGGTGTAGCAGGGCGTCCTTTTCGGGATTGGGAGGTATCGGCGGCGCGGGTACGGAGGACGGCGACGGGATGCTGAGCGTGAGAGGCTCGTCGAGGAGATCCGGTGGCGGGGCTGGCTTCTGTGCTTGTGGCGGCGGCGGTTGGTGTTGTTGCTGAGGGGGTGGCTGTTGATGTTGTTGTGGTGGTGGTTGCTGGTATTGTCCTGGAGCCGGTTGCCAGCCGGGCGGGGGACCGTTGTACTGCTGGGCGAGCTGTTGAGGAGGTAGGTGAGCCGAGGCGCGGCGGGGGTCTGCGAAGGATCCTGGGTGCTGGGGCGCCCCGTCTGGGTGAACCTGCGGCGGCGGCTGGGGTTGGAACTCGCTTTGCAGGCGCGGAGACATGGTCGATGGGTGCTGCGGGTGCTGGGCACCGGCGGCTGGGGGTAGAGGCGGCGCGGAGTCGTAGCGGGAGTAGCTCTGGCTCTGGGGCCGAGGCGGCTGCTGTCCGGCGTGCTCTCCACGGACACCCGGGGGCAGAGGTGGAAGAGGAGGGCCGTTCCTAGCGTCGGCGGGAGGTGGAGGGCTACGGTACGAAGGCTGGGTGCTGGACGTCTTGGGCGGCGGCGGCGGAGGTCGAGAGTCGTCTAATGGCGTCTGTGTCGGCGGACGGCTGGTCGGGTGAGGAGGTAGCGGTGGTGGTGACTGGCCGTGTGATTGAGGAGGGGGAGCGGGTGTTGCTGGCTGCTGCTGCTGCTGTCTTCCTTGCGGTCGAGCGATGACTGGGGGCTCCTTGGCGAAGACATCTCGGAGGATTGCTAGGAAATCGAGAATGGTTGATTTCTATGAGAATCAAGGTCAGAAGGGGGGCTGAAAAGGCAGATGGAGAAGAAGTAGAAGGCACATACATCCCAGAAGGCGGACCAGCCCACGAGGTAAGGGTGGTAGACCTGGCCCTGGGGGTCTACGTGCTGGCCGGGACGGACCATCATGGACTCGGTGGGAGTGACGTAGACGAGAGGTGCCTCTCGGGGGTATGCGTGAGGAACCCATACTGAGATGGGGAATCGATACGTCGTCCCTCTGAAGATGACCGGTATGGTACCGGAGAGATGGAGTAGAAGAGCAGACGCGCCAGTGTCGAAGGCTGTTCGCAATGTCAGCATCTGTCCGACGAGCAGCAAGTGAGTGAGAGTTTGTCGTACTGTGGACATCGGTGCGCGGCGACAACGAGGGATACTGCGACAGAGCCTGGGCGACGTCGTTATATGTGCGGTTCACATCGTGGTATTCCTAGCAACAGGCGACGAGTTAGCAGGGATGCGATAGGCTGTGTGGGCATGACGGGGCGATGTACGCTTGTGAGGATGCTATAAAGCCAGTTCAGGACGTGTTGCTGGACGGGCATCGTGATATCGTGAAGACGAGCAGCGGCGGCAGGAGGCGGGAGCTCTGTCGGGGTGGAGGTCGGGTTTGGAGCCCGAGTGACGCGCGAAGGAGGGGGATGGCGACGACGGCACGGTCAGGCAGCAGTGAGGGATGGAGCCGGAGGCATGTCGGGGACGCGGGGCCGGGTGTCGTAGTGCTAGTGCGCCGAGATGCGAGTAGCAGTACGGCCGGCAGAGTCGGTCGGTCGGTCGGGGGACGGAAGTACGGCAGGTGAGACGGAGGGGCGGCGGTTGAGTCCAGTGGTGGCCGTTGGGTCGGGTGGATGTTTGGAGCTTGGGGATCGGAAGGAGGAGAGATGACGCAGCTGCTGTGTTCGGTGCAGCTCACAGCTGTGAGTGAGCTGCGGGGCGGAACACTGAGTGACGATGTGGGGCCGAGCTTCAAGTAAGGTAGGTATCTTGTACCTGTGCTGTTTACCTAAGGAAGCACCTTGATGAGCCTGTGGAATTGAAACACCAATGTTCAGGTTTCTTTATTCCGCCTTTTTCCTTGATTTATTCTATTTAATTCCGGGGAAAAAATGTCAAAATCTAAAGGCAATTGATCTGCTAAGTAGGACTCTTTCAAGAAGACTCGAGTGGCTAGTAAAACCACCCTCAAGCCCAGCGCATCACCTTACGTACGGTGCGTTATTGAAACGAGTGAATTGACAAGAGAAACGTCTGGGCTGGTGACAACCGAACGCAGTAACAATCTGACAGCCATATGACGGCTCCACGACGAGGGTGCCGTGTCTGGCAGAAACATCAAACGGCTGATGAAATCTTGACTGCCAGGTACATGCCCCCATGGCAACCTCACTTTGTAAGCTGAATAGAAACACCCGCTTGACCGGCCGGCGTCGGAGGTCCTACCCACTTCCCATGGCAAGTAAAGATGCACCGACAGACCTGGCCGGACGGGACGGCACCGCGGTCGTCGGCGTCATGCAACCATCGGCTGATGAGGGATGATGAAGAACCCCGATGAGTTATTTTCCCTCCCGCCCTCTCATCCTGATTCTGTCAGATCAGATAGCCCGGCATCCCCGATGGCTGTTCTTTCATGTGTTTGGGTTTCCAGTTTCTCTTTTTCGCCTCTCGTCTCGAGTGACCGACTCGGCTTTCAGTGACTCAAAACAGGCCTAGCTTCGAACCTGTTTCCTCGTTGCTTTCTCGTTACGATATATTCCGGTGGTGTTCCTGCTTGAGTTGATTAGTCTTCATCACATGCGTACAACAGTCTGTTCTCCGCTACCTTATCTTGGGTAGCCACAACAAGTATTACCAACATCTCGATTTCCAATCGCCATGACATGCGCGCATTGCAATATGATCCCGCGAAGCCTTCAGATGTACCCCACTAATCCGGCTTCGGTGCTGTCTGCGTTTCATCTCGCACGCCAACCCCTCCAGATGGAAAAAAATCAGAGGGGAAAATGCCGTGCGTAACCACGCAGATCTGCTAGCTCATGACTTGCTCGTGTACGTACCCGTAACCGCGCCTTTCCTCAGCTTTTCCAGCCCAGGCGAAAAGGTCTCGAGGGAAGACCCTGGAACGCTTTTTTCCTGTCCAATCCCACTCAACCGACCGGGACCGCGGCGTTGCACACCTCAATCATTAATAAACACCTTCCCGCTGCACATCTCTTGTTTCTTACAACTCCCGTCACCCAGGCCACTTTCTGCAACTTTACAAGAGTCTTTGCAACTCAACTCCCGCTCTGGCATTGAATGCTCGCAACTTCAAGGACTTCGCACGGCTGAGGAGTATTCCAGCATTATCTGGATACTCCTTGCGTCAGGACCTTAGTAAAATACTGTCTTCAGTCTCGCACACAATCAACTCTTCGACCCAGTCTCATCTAGTGTCACCCGCCTCGAGTTTCAATCTCATCAACAAGAGTCAATCCGCCAACCGCACAAGCAGCGCACCACACTCCGTCTCCCAGTTGGAACTCCGCGACACGCCGAGCTAGAAGCATTCAGCATGCTTCCTCCCATCCCCGTGCTGTCCGACTACGGAATCTCACCCGACCATGGATTCCTACCGGACGTTCTTCCACTGACCCGACTGCCGGATCCCTATTATAACAAGTGGGAGGCCGTCGTCGCCAATCTTCAGGCGCTGGTTCTTAGTCGTCGCCTTCGTCCTGTCGTCGACCGCCTGCCGGTTCTCTCCACCATCGGTCTGGAACACGACGCAGAATGGCGGAGAGCCTACTCTCTGCTGTGCTTCATGGCACACGCCTACGTCTGGGGCGGCGATGAGCCCTGCGACCAGCTTCCCCCGGCCATCACCGTCCCGCTCCTTGAGGTTTCCGACCACCTGGAATTGCCTCCGGTCGCCACCTACGCCGCACTTTGCCTGTGGAACTTCAAGCCTCTCTTTGTTGATGAGGACATTGACAACCTTGAGAACCTCGCTACTCTCAACACCTTCACCGGTTCCCTGGACGAGTCTTGGTTCTACCTTGTTTCTGTCGCCATCGAGGCGCGTGGTGCTCCCATCATCCCGCTCATGCTGGATGCTGTGGCAGCCGCCCGCCAAGGAGACTCAGCTACCGTCACCCGCAGCCTGCGCAGCTTCGCCGAGCGCATGACGGACCTGACCAACATCCTGCAACGCATGCACGAGAGTTGTGACCCCAACATCTTTTACAACCGCATCCGCACCTTCCTCGCTGGCAGCAAGAACATGGCCGAGGCCGGACTCCCCAACGGCCTCAACTATGAAGACGGCTCCGGCAAGGAGGACTACCGCCAGTACAGCGGCGGCAGCAACGCTCAGAGCAGTCTCATCCAGTTCTTCGACATCATCCTCGGCGTCGACCACCGACCGACGGGCGAGAAGCGTGACCCCTTCTCCGAGTCGGAACGTGAGTCTCGGGCCCCCGTCCCGCAGCACAACTTCATCATGGAGATGCGCCGCTACATGCCGGGCCCCCACGCCCGCTTCCTCAAGGACGTCTCCGGCATCGCCAACATCCGCGAGTTCGTGGAGTCTCACAAGCAGGATCGCCAGCTCTGTCTGGCCTATGACGCCTGCTTGGCCATGCTGAGCGCTTTCCGCGACAAGCACATCGCCATTGTCACTCGCTACATCATCTTGCCGTCGCGCGAGGTGCGTGCCCGCAGCAGGTCGAGAAGCCCCGAGGCCGCACGCCAGCGCGTCAACCTGGCCACGGCTTCGCGTCAGCGCCAGTCCAACGCCCAGGGTAACAACCTGGATGCTAACCCCAACAAGAAGAATCTGAAGGGCACCGGCGGAACCGCCCTCATCCCGTTCTTGAAACAGGCGCGAGATGAGACCGGCGAGCCGGCCGTCGAGGAATGGACCCGCCGCTTCATGAAGAGGACTCACAAGTCGGAAGGCAAGGGGGATTTCTTCCTGGGCAAGCCGGAACTGCCCGGCCCCGTCGCTGAGGTCGAGGTGAGCGGCTTGGCCGGCACCTGGACCGTCGACGACGACGTCGGCGGCATTTGTCACTACTGAGAAAGCCTCGCGGCTAGTTGATTTACCACGGACATACACGGTTGGCGTGAAACCCAACCGGCTGTCATGGTGGAATGATATTTAGATCCCGCCACGGGACCCTGCTTCATATTAGACACATCGCGATACATGCCGGCAGAGAGCTTGTGACGCGGACTTTCGTGATCTCCCCCCATTTGTACATCCTCCATCCCTCCGAGTGTATCATCATGTGCCTGTCGGCTGGCATTGCCAGTAGAACGGATTCAGAGAAACGCAGGCTGCCCCGGCTGCGCATGCTGACGGCGTAGGCCACGAGCTGGCGTTACACTGAGCCCACACAGGCACCGTCCCTCCGCCTGGGACTGGTGTCGTCGTCACAGTCGTAGGCGTAGACGTGCGGGTGCTCGAAGCAACCGATGAAGGTGCCTGTGTCGTGGACGTCCGGAGACTACTAGTGAAGGATGAAACTCTCGAGCTGGACGAAGACGAGGTCGCCGTTGGGTTGGTGCCTTGGGTGCATTGCCAATAATCTAGCCACGAACGTCTCAATCATCTATACGAACAAGCACGTCGGAAACACACCTACAGTCCGTGACGTATCTGCAATAATACCCCGAAGTACACTGCAATCTGGTCAACATCTCTCATCGACCCTCACACCCACGACACCGTACCTTCTTCTGAGCATCCCAGGTGATGCTATCGCACTGCTCGTTCGGCCCGGCCGTCTCCGTCGACTGCGGAGGCCGCCATGTCGTGTCGGCCGGCATCTGGAAAGCCGGGAAACTCGCGTCGTCGGCGCGCCGACAGCCCGAGCGCGCGATGAGCTCGGCCGGGCACCGGACCTGCGCGAAGGACAGGTCCGGGTTGTCGGCGTTCATGAACCAGTCGAAGCGCCACTGGCAGCCGGGCTGCAGCTTGGCGGGCAAGGCGGAGCACTCGCTGCGGGCGGAGACGCCGCCGTAGCGGGCGCCGGGGAACTGGAAGCCGAACTGGCCGGTGCAGCCGTCGAAGATGCCGAGGCCGCCGCCCGGGACCATGATGTCGAAGTGGTTGTTGCTCAAGTCGCCGCCTGTTTACCGTTTTTAATCGGGAGGTCTTCAAGGGGGAGAGAGCTCTTGTTGTTTCCGAGAAAGCGTACCTGTGTTGGTCGACTGCACTACCATGATCTTGCCCTTGTTCTTGCCCGAGGTGAAGGTGATGCTATAGTCAGTCTGTAAGTCAACAGGGAAGACTTTCAGCAGCGGATTCATGCGAGAGATAGCTCACGCGTAGCAGCCACAGCACCAGCTGGCCTCGGTGCCCCCGCTGATCGCTGTCGCCGCGAAACCGTACGAGACCAGATCGTTGACGGCCCAGGGCGCTTGGTTGGTGCACGTGTAGGCCGAGCCTCCGCTCTCGCAACCGCTTTTCACCTCCGGGCCCAGGGGGTTGTCGTTCTTGTCGCAGGTGAGGGCCGGCTGGCTGACCGAGGCTTTGTCGGGCCAGGCGCAGGAGGGTTTGCAGCAGTCCCAGTACCTAGGCGATGTTGAGTGAATGGTGTCTTGGATTGGGTTTTGTTGGTGACGGACCTGGTTGACTTGCCATTACCTGTTGCGGCTTCGGCCACGAGAGGTGAGAAGATGGCTGCGATGAGAGCGGCGGTGAGATAGGAGTGCATGGCTGCGATATGTTGAGCTATTACACAACTATTTACAGTGTCGGATTTCTGTATAACCGAAAGGATGTGTATAGTCTACTTATACGACCATAATGTGTCGCCTACCTAAGAGCATTACGGGTACCAGTGTTGAGCTAATGAGAAGATACACCAACTCTTTATCATGATTCAATTGTCTTCAGTATATGGAATAGGTAACACGGTAGCATTGCTCCGTCAAGAGCGATTTCCCACTAATCAGACTTGGCACGATGGGATGTTAGTAGCCAACGTGACCATCGGACTGTGAACACATGGTTCCCTCTCGAGGGCTATGAGACGATGTGAGCGAGATTATGGGCTTGAGCAAGTAGTTAGTTTATGGGCCATGGACCGGGCTTTCGGGTACGCAGCCGGAATGTGATGGGATCAAACTGTCAACAGGCAGGCTATCCAGGTTTCATGGATACCTTGAAACTTCTATGTAAAGTCAGGACACTACGGAACAGAGCCAAACGTGACACCGAAATGGGCGAATTCGTAGTTCCGAATGCTCAAAACAGACTGGGTCGAATTCGGGCCGGAGGTTGACGATGCCGTTGTTTCCTATTGCGGAAATATGTCAGTGGGTCATGGAGGCATCCGTCCTTTTGGAACAAATTTCGATGGATTCTCTGATCGATCCATATAATGACAGTTGTCATGGTGTTGGGATCTTGTTAATGGAATTGGCTACCACCTTTGAAAACGAGAAGTTGAGGTTGAAAAAGATTCAAGTACTGATGTGCATAACTATGCATATGCACTTATCCAGCTCCGGGGACATGAAAACACCATCTCGTAGAACAGTAAGGCGGATACAGCAATATAATATTGTGCCAAAGTGCGTGTTGCAGCAAAAGCAACACACCCCTTCGCGCCCTCCACACGTCCAAACCCAAAACGGCACGGATCTCTACAGTAATTAAGGTACCTTCCAAGTTCCACGAAGAGGAGCGCGGCCGCTTCACCCATCTCAGATAAGCTCCACCACCAAAGGCCAGTCCATCGCTCGTCCCCGGCTCACACATCCGGAGCACCTCACAGCTGCCCGCCAGTTGCGACCACCAGACTCCAAGGCCATGAACTTTCCCGCTCCTCAAGCAAGCGCCGTCAACTCCTCTCCCCTCAACCCCAACTCCAACTCGACCAACAACACCGCCGCGCAAAACGTCGGTCAGCAGCAGCAACAGCTCCAATTCCCCCCCTCGCGGCTCCAATACCACCACCCACAACAACAGCAACAGCAGCAGCAGCAGCAGCCGCAGCCACAACACCACTACGGCCCGCCTGCCCCGTCCTCCCCGAGCCCCCTCTCGCCCGCCCAGCAAGCACTCGCCCACGCCCAGTACCAGCAGCTCGTCCTCATGAACGGAATGAACGGCGGCAACATGGCCGCGGGCGGCGGTATCGGCGGCGGCGTGCCCACCCCGGCAGGCCAGCAGGCCGAGCTCAACTACATCTACGGCATGGTCGAGGAGCTCAGCCGGCAGCTCGCGGAGAACCGTCGCGTGACGGAAGACATCGTGTCCGGCCTCGGCAGGGTGCGCAACCGCGCGAGGAACCAGGGAACGAACAACGACGAGCTGATCCACAGCGCTGCTGACGACATCCACGGTACGCACCAGGAGAACTGCGGGGAACCGTGTTCGCCGCCCTCAATATTGCTCTACCAAGATGCTGACTTTCGCAGCCCAAGAACAGAACCTCGACACGTTGATATCCATTCTCTCCGAGTCCCTCGAAAAGGCAAAGTACAGCCGCGACGCCAACGCCACCCTCCTCTCACAATACGCGACCGTCCTGGCCGCGATGCTCAAGCAGTTCCACGAGTACAAAGCCAAGCACGTCACGGACGTCGCCTCCTGGCACCGATCGTACCGCTCCCAGCTCGCCGAGGCACGCGCGGAGAACAGCAGGCTGAGGGAGCAGATCTGGGAGATGCAGGAGCGCGCCGGCAAGGCCAACGAGCTGCTGCGCACGTTCCGCCGCAAGTACGACGAGGACGAGGCGAGGTGGGACCGCCGCGTGGAGGACGTCGCCGCGCGTCAGGAGCTGCGCTTCTGGAAGCGGATGGCCATGCCCGAGGTCGGCGACGAGGACCCCTGCTGGAGCGACGACGACGACCTGATCGACTCTGCCGAGAAGGAACGCCTGAAGGAGCTGGAGGTGAGGGCTGCGCAAGAACAGCTCGCCGGCAGCCAGCAGATGGGCGACGAGTACTCGCGGCCGCAGTCTCCCGAGAGCGCCATGATGGGCAGCGTACCGATGCAGAGAGACTTGGGGGTTCCGATGGGCATGCCGGTGCCGCCGCCGCGGCCCTCCAGCGCGACTTCAAGCACCGGCTCCTCTGGCCAGTAAGGACAACCGAGGGATGGTCGTTTTTGGCGTGCTTTGTTGAATACTAGGGGGCATGGATTGTCTCGACACAAAAGTCAAATGGCGTTGGGGATCGGGTCTGGGAGGCGCGCTCATGGGTGAGCGATCGCATTATACCTCATGTTACGTTTTGCCATGCAGTAATGTGCCACTGGCCATCATTATCACATTGTCACGAATACCTTAATGGACACGAACGATAAATATCCTGATGAAAGTATACACCAAATCATATTGCGCCGAGCACACTGCACACAACAGAGCCCAGGAGCCCAGGTCCTGTTCTCCCCGAACGCCTGATGGTATCATCTCAAAAAACCCGACTGCCAACAAAAACAAAACCCGAACATCCTAGATCCATGACAAGTGGCACCTGTATGGTATTCCTAGGCGGTAACGTCTACTGCGGCTTCACGACGTTGACAAACGTGGGCTGTTCGACATCCGCGCCGGAGCTGTCAGCATGAAGCCGGATACCTGTTTGTACGTCCACCTCCTCGAGAGGGATTAGGATCGGCTTCTTTTCCTTCAGGAATTTATGCTGATAGAAGCGGTATCCAAAGTAAAGAATCGGAGGGATAACGGTTCCGATGTTGTCCCTGATGATGGCCTCTGCCGAGTATTCGCCGCCAACGGGGATAATGGCTGTGATGATGTTCGCAAGCAACCCGATGATGCAGATGATCAAGCCAACCCAAGCACCCCAAGTGCCGAACGGGCTGGTCCACAGAAGCGTCTTGTAGTCATGGCCCTTAGCGGCCCACGCCTTGCGGAAGCGAATATGACTGACGCAGATCGAGGCCCATGTGTAGTAGTTGCTGGCCCCCGAAAGGCTCAGTAACCAGTCGAAGATGGCTTCACCGCCCGGAGCCAAGTTGACGAAGGCGAGCAGGCCGACGATGAAAGTCACCGCGAAGGCGTAAATCGGCACACCCCACTTGACCGTGGCACCCCAACGGGGACCCATGCCCTTCTCGCAAAGGGCCTGGAACGCTCGGCTGGCGGCGAAGATGCTGGCGTTGGCCATGGACACGATAGCGACGACGATGAGTACGTTGAAGAAGTCCGGAAGATGCTTGATGTTGGCCAGTTGAGCGGCGAGCGTGAAGGGGCTGTACTTTGCGCCGTGGCCCGTGGAGGCGAGATCCGGATGGTTGGACGGGACGACGAAGCCGAGCAAGAGGAGGGAGATGATGTAGAAGAAGAAGATGCGGGCGAATACGATCTTGGTCGCCAGTGGTAGAGCCTTCTGGGGGTTCTTGCATTCGGCTGCGGTGAGACCCAGGTGTTCAGTACCGCCGTACGCCATGCCGGTTGTACGAAATACGAGGAAGAATCCGGAGGCACCATTGTTGATCGCGCCGGGGTTAAACCAATATTCGGCGCCCGTTCCGTGTCTGTATCATGTTAGCCATCTCCGATGTGACACCACAATATCGTTTAGGGACTCACCTGGGATCAGAGGGCACGGCGCCAGAGATGATGAAGATGGCGGCAAAGATGAAGACGGTGACTGCCACGGCTTTTCCGATACCGAAAGCGTGCTCGAGCTCGCCGAACCAACGAGATCCGAGGAAAGCAGTGCCCGTGAGGGCGAAGAGAATGGGCGTGATGACATAGGCTGGCTGGAGGTCTGGCACCCAGTACTTAACCTGAGCCGCAATGGTGGTGAGCTCGAATGGGAAAACGATGAGCCAGTTGAACACGAAGTTCCAACCCATGGCGAAACCCCACGGCTCCGAGATCATGCGTCTCGAGTAGTCGTAGAAGGCGCCGGCAACCGGGTACGAAGCTATCTCTGAGCGTCAGTAAGGTGGAGGATGAGGGCTGGAGGCTTCCATTTGCTTACCTGCGAGTTCTCCAAGACAGCCCATGGTGCAACCGACACCGAAACCAACGAGGGCAAAGTTGAGGACTAAGCTCAAAGGACCGCCGGAGCTCAGTGCGGCACCAGAGCCCACGAAGAGGCCGGCGCCGATGGAGCCGCCGAGCGCCATGAAGATCATCTGGCGAATGGTGATGTTGCGCTCCAGCTTCTCGCCCTCACCGGAAATGGGTTCATTGCTGGCACCTCCGGTGACTGTTCGGGACGCTGACACCTCATTGTCGATATCGGCGGCCGTTTTCTTGGTATCGGAACGAGCCAATTTCATGGTTTGTTTCCAGGCGAATGGTAGTAGACTAGAGGTAAATGTTGAAGGTTATGACTGGTCAAGGATTGAAGAGTAGACGGTATTCAGTATGGAGTAAACAGAATAATGTCACCATGAAGGCAAGGCCGTTGAACAGTGGTCCAGGAGATGAAAACAGATAGGTACACTCAATAAGACCCAGAGCAGATAGGAAGGTACATGTTTCTGATTTATATAGACATTACGAAGCGGGAGCGAAGAACGGTGGCGGGAGGGGCGACTCTGGGGTAGAAGCGGCCATTCCGGGGTAGGAAGGCGGGCGCTTTAAGACCGACCTACGATACGCCCATCCATGGTGTCGTGACCTCCTCACGAACTGCAGATAAGGTCTCACAAGGCGGCCTGCCGACTCCGCCGGGTAAAGATAAGTAACCGAGCCATGGGAGGGTGAAATTTTCCATAGAGGTGGCTCTGGACAATTTGGACGACATCGCTAAGTCAACTTGTGATCAGCTTGGGATGCCTATCTCATGACGAGTACCTCACTCCTTATATCTGACTGTATAATCCCACTTAACTTCGAAGAACTGAATCAGACGTAGATCACGTCAACTTCGACATCCGCGATCTGGGCCAGGAACGCATCGTGAGACTACCAAGGCCCTCAATTCACACATGACCAACTGACCATTCAAAGTAAAGAAAGGCTTATCTATTCCCCAATTGTCTTCGGTATCTGCGCAACCTGGATGGTATGTGGAAAGTCTGTTCACGAGAACGGCTTGAAATTGTCAACTACGCGCAGTTGTGGATGTCTGTGTGGCGATTTCGATGCAGGATGATACACACCAACACATCATTTTGGCTTTCTCGAGCTGCAACTCATCAACTCCGGATGCTACGAGAAATTGATCAGAAACACCGTCACTCTTAGTTATTAGGCGTGATATGGAGTTTGAGGATCATTGACTACTTGCCTTCTAGGCGTATACAGTCTTCCACGGTTATCATCGCTGCCTCTATGATTTCTCGCTACTAGTACCTCTAGCCTTGCGCTTGTTATCCGTTATCGTTGTTACTACGCAAGTGTTCGACCAGGAATAATCACCGTGGAGTGGTGTATCACCGTATCGCAGTCAGGGAGGTCATCATGGTTCAAGCACTTGACGGAAGAGTGTATCACGCGACAGTCCTGTACGCCGAAAGTCAATTTCAATTTCTAGCCATACCCCCAACAAGATCGCAAAGCCTCAGCATCGGGCTGTCATACTCCCAAAATCATGATTGTATCGTACATTCGTGTCAACTCCTTATCAAACAGAAAGAAAATGGAGTCTGCTGGACTTATCCGGAAACTTTATTGTACAGGCGTATTAAGCAGAATTTAGTACCCGCTCTGCTCTCGGCGGTGGCCATCCTCATCATCTTTGGAGTTGGTGGCCGCGTCTCCCGCATCCTTGATGGCTTGCTCATCACCTCTAAGTTTGGCGAAATAGGACTTGATGTCCTCGGCGCCAATCGCCTGACCGCTCTCCGCAAATTTCTGGAAGAAGGGCTTCAGCTGATCCTTGAGATGATTGTACGCCATGACACCCTCGATCGCGCGGACGCGATCGACGTTGCGCAGAGCACTCTCACCTCGCTCCAGAAGGCTTCCGCTGCCATTGGTCGAGCCTCCATGCTCCGATTCACCGCCATCAGAAAGGGGCGGTTCGTAAGTCTCTTCCTCTTCAAGAAGCTGCGGATGCGAATCCAGTTTGAGGTAGCAAGACGAGCATCGACAGATATGGTTGCGGAAGTCCTCTTTGAAAAAGAGTGAGAATTCCTCTTTCGGTGGCGATGGTAACGCACTCCACTTGCACGCAGATGCTTCGGTTGTCTCCGTCTTCGTCTCCGGCTCTGTAGTGGCAGGCTCCTTCTCAGCAACCTCCGGGTCACTCTTGAGTCTCTTAGCCTCCGGTTCGGCACCGTCATCCTCTGCCTTCCGCTTGGTTGACGATTCCTCTTGGTTCGCCGGGTTCCCGTCCTGCTGGCGGGAGAAAACAGCAGGCAGGAATCCTTTCGCACCCGCGTACTTCTTGATCCACGGGTTGGAATTGACGCACTTGTAACACAGGAAGGCCTCGAAATCATCCTCCCCAGGGAATCCGGGCGGCATGGGCACGTCATCATCGTCGTCTTCCTCTTCCTTGGTATCGGCCGTCGGATTGCTTCCTGCTGATGGTGCTTCCGCGTCTTCGGCGATTGCAGGCAAGGTGGTGTTCTCGATAGCCTTTTCCTTTCCTTCGATAGTGGTCTTCTTTTCTTTCTTCATACCCTCAAACCAGGCTGGGCCCATGCCAACGAGGCAGCCGGGATGATACCAGTCCTCGCCGCAACCGCCTGTCTCGGCTGTTCCCAAGCCCAAGCACTGAAACATGGTGCCCTTCTGCTGGAAGGGATCGTAGTCGCACTCGCACGCGCAGAATCTGTTCCTAAAGTTCTGGTTGTACTTGTTGTTCGCAGCTGGCTCCTCGGAATGCACACCACCCTTGGTGTTTGTTGTGGAGTTCACTCTCAGGTTGCACGGGCTGGTCGCAGGGTACCGTGTCGTGCCGCAGTCGCAAGTGAAATTTCTCTTGGTGAAAATCTCGACGAGTGTATGTTCCCCGTGGCATTGTACCGAGCACGCGTAACAAACACCAGCTCCATCGTAGGGATCCTTCGGGTTCGCGGGAGGAGGGTTGCAGGTCAGGCAGGCGAAGACACTCTGGCGGAGGGAGCCAAGAATGTTGGTGCAGTTCTCGATACTCTGAGGTTGGTTAGATTTGTTGTTCTGAAAAATCGGGTGGCAACGGCGAGACGTACGTATGGAAGAGCTTCACGCGCATCAGCCTCGAGCTGCATCTGATCGCGGATGAACCTGCGGACTTGCTATTAGTTTTCGACGTTCGCGTTCAAAGAAAGAAAGCGGTGACATACTCCGCAGCAGTCTGAGAGTCGCTGGACTTTTGCGAAGAGAAGCTTCCGCTGCGAGCTGCCTTTGGCGCAGGCGCATCAGCAGCAGCAGCATCGCCAGAAGCAGCTACCACAGCTGGTGGCGGAGGAGGATCCATGGACATTGTTGTGACGGGAATGTTGCGGATGAATTGAGGTCGTTTGCACTTGCTTAATTATGTCCGGGCGATAGATGGAAAAGTCCAGAAGGCGATCATGAATTCTGGGGTTATTCTAGTGTCGTCGAAGAGTCGCGTTGGGGAAGGCAATGGGAAAGTAAGGTACGTCAGATACGTGCCCCGGCACCGAGCTTCAACGGCCCATCTACGCGTCCTCCACCTTAATTACGGCACAGAGAATGGCGAATGTTAGCAAGATGCAGTAGCTTGGGTGGCCACGCTAACATCTTCACTTCAACCCCCTGTACCACTTTACGCGCTCACCGACGCGTTTCGCTTGAGACGCGACTGGTCCACTCTCCCATCCTCCGGGCAATTGTCCGCCCCTCTTGATCCCCTCCCTCTCCTTTACAACCGCTCCTGTCTACTTCGTCGCAAAATTTGTCACAACCTGTGAAGAGGAATATCTCCTGTGCATGCCTCTTTTCACACCGCAAACATGAGGTAAGACTTCTGAGACCTAGTTACCCCTCAAGACACATGACCCACCCGTTGCTAGGGGGAAAAAGACTTCTTTGCTAACCGCCTATTCAGTTCTCCTCTCAGAAGCAATTTCAGTTCCGCCAACAGAGGGACTCCCCAGCGGACGAGTCGTAAGCGTGGTCGCACGAATGGCGACGATGGAACTTCCTCTGTTGGGCCTGGCTCCAGCCCGATGCCCTCATCTCCTCCCGCGCCTTTCCTTGCCCACGGCGGTGACGACGATGAGGATATTGAAGATGAAGCCGAGATTCAGGACGACTTGGATGACATCGATGAGATGGCCGAAGATGATGTAGACCTGTTCCGAGAAGGATTCGAACAAGATTACAGAGCCAGAGAAGACGATGGCTACGACGCCGCCGACATTGATGACGAAGGCGACTTTGACAATATGGATCTGGGTGCAAGGAGAAGACTCGAATCTCAGCTCAACCGCAGAGACAGAGAGGTCGCCCGCCGCCAGCGCATTCCTGCTGCGTTCCTTCCAGGTGAAGATGATGAGGGCGACATTGACCTCTCGGCTCAGCCCCGCCGTCGTCGCCACCACTACGACGAGGACCCGGACGAAGACATGGATGCCGACATTATGGAAGAGGAGCTTTCTCTCGAGGCCCTGCAGGATGTCAAAGCTGCCAGCTTGGCCGAGTGGGTTTCTCAACCCTCTGTTCAGCGGACAATCAAGAGAGAGTTCAAGGCCTTTTTGACTGAATACACTGATGAGCATGGCGCCTCCGTCTACGGAAACCGCATTCGCACACTCGGTGAGATCAACTCCGAGTCTCTCGAAGTTTCCTACGACCATCTTTCTTCCATGCAAGCTATTCTCGCCTACTACCTAGCCAACGCACCGTCCGAGGTTCTCAAGCTTTTCGACGAAGTGGCCATGGACGTCGTGCTCCTGCACTACCCCGACTACGAACGTATTCACTCCGAAATCCACGTCCGCATTTTCGACCTGCCGGTTCACTACACCCTGAGACAGCTTCGTCAATCGCATCTGAACTGCTTGGTCAGAGTCAGCGGTGTCGTCACCAAGAGAACCGGTGTATTCCCTCAGCTGAAGTACGTCAAGTTCGACTGCACCAAGTGTGGTGTCACTCTCGGACCATTCCAACAGGAGTCCAACGTCGAGGTCAAGATCACCTACTGTCAAAATTGCCAGTCCCGTGGGCCCTTCACACTCAACTCAGAGAAAACCGTCTACCGCAACTACCAGAAGCTCACCCTCCAGGAGTCTCCTGGCACTGTTCCGGCGGGTCGTCTGCCACGACACAGGGAAGTCATTCTTCTGTGGGACTTGATCGACAAGGCCAAGCCTGGTGAAGAGATTGAGGTCACTGGTACATACAGAAACAACTACGATGCTCAGCTGAACAACCGAAACGGATTTCCCGTCTTCGCTACGATTTTGGAAGCGAACAATGTCGTCAAGGCACACGACCAACTGGCTGGTTTCCGCATGACGGAAGAAGACGAGCAGGAGATCCGCAAACTCTCTCGCGACCCCGCCATCATTGACAAAATCATCAACTCTATTGCTCCCAGTATCTACGGCCACACGGATATCAAGACGGCAGTGGCTTTGTCCCTGTTTGGAGGTGTCGCTAAAGTAGGAAAGGGTAATCACCAGGTCCGTGGTGACATCAACGTCCTGCTACTGGGTGACCCTGGTACAGCCAAATCCCAGGTGCTCAAGTATGTCGAGAAGACGGCCCATCGGGCGGTGTTCGCAACTGGTCAGGGTGCCAGTGCAGTCGGTTTGACGGCGAGTGTTCGTCGAGACCCTCTCACTGCTGAGTGGACTCTTGAGGGCGGTGCTCTGGTGCTGGCAGACAAGGGCACATGTCTTATCGATGAGTTCGACAAGATGAACGATCAAGACCGAACGTCCATCCACGAAGCTATGGAACAGCAGACCATCTCTATCTCCAAGGCTGGTATTGTCACGACTCTGCAGGCTCGCTGCGGTATTATTGCTGCAGCAAACCCCATCGGCGGACGTTACAACTCAACCATCCCCTTCTCGGCAAACGTCGAGCTCACCGAGCCCATTCTCTCTCGTTTCGACATTTTGTGTGTGGTGCGCGACACGGTCGAGCCCTCTGAAGACGAGCGCCTCGCGCGATTTATCGTTGGCTCGCACAGCCGGAGTCACCCTTCATCGCAGAAGCCCGATTCGCAAGGCGCCGAGGATTCGATGGATGTCGAAAACGAATCCGAGAGGCAAGACACGCAAGCGGCATCACAGAAGAAGGAGGGTGAGATTCCTCAAGAGCTCCTCCGCAAGTACATCCTCTACGCACGTGAGCACGTTAGCCCGAAACTGTACCACATGGATGAGGACAAGATTGCGCGCCTTTTCAGCGATATGAGAAGGGAGTCTCTTGCCACCGGCGCGTATCCCATTACGGTAAGCATTTCAGAGTCTCACGTCCAGCACTACTGCTAACAACGACTTAGGTGAGACATCTTGAAGCCATCATCCGTATCAGCGAAGCCTTCTGCAGGATGAGGCTCTCTGAGTACTGCTCGGCCCAAGACATCGACAGAGCGATCGCAGTGACGGTGGACAGCTTCGTTGGTAGCCAAAAGATCAGCTGCAAGAAGGCATTGGCGCGGGCTTTCGCCAAATACACTCTGGCCAGACCTGGGGGCAACTCGCAGAGGAGGACGGCCACTCAAGGATCGAGACAAACAGCCTCGGCAAGAGCATGAGTAAGAGGTAGCGAACTATTTTGGGGGGGATGATTCTTTGTGCGAATTACGAAAGGGGCAGGGTTCTCAAATGCCAGCAAATCAGGCTGGCGGCGACTGGCGAAGAGGCGAAGCGCACGTATCCAGGGTACAACGTTGATAGATATCAGATAATGTGGACATGGCTGTTTTTCTGCTGCACTGATACGGGTGGATTCCTCCTGCGACTTGGACTTTTCCAGCCTGAAAGCTCGTCGGCGATATGGAGTGTTTGCTACCTGTTACGATTGCGATGTGATTGTCCAGACCAAGCGAGACGTATGTGTCATGCCGTTTGGCAACATGGCACAAGACGGCGATGAAGTCAATTTAGGAGGCGAGCTATCTGATGGATTGGATTGACCGCAACCCCTGATGGCATCAAGAGCCCGAGGCGACGGGACAGACAGGATCAGATGAACTGCGCCAAGCTTAACCTTGGGATGAGAAAGTCCCCGCAATGATGCCTGCCTGACACGGACGAAATTAGAAACCGTTTAAAAGCTGCCTGCGATGCGGGTGATGCGATGGTGTCTTGTCATCTGTAATGCGGTTGCACAGCCTCAACTCCGAGGGATTGTCACTGCCTTGCAGCTCTACAAAGTAAAGGTAAGCTCTTCTGCATGGCCCCCATCATGGATGATCGCAGGCAGCTACTGGTGGAAATTGCACTGGCCAGATTTAATTTGATGGTCGAGGTGTGAAGCATGAACGACTTCCACTGCAACTCACGACCTGACTACGTGATACGATATGTAGAGATTGGGTGTTCAGTTCTTTCGAGGAGGCCAGTTGAACTAGAGGTGCCAGAGTCTCGGGCCGCTGATGCAGGGCGATGATCCTTCGTCGTAGGGTGCGCATATTTATCCATTGATGTGATTTTATGCATTTTATTATGTTATGCACATAACCACAAACTATCTTTCTCTCACTTAACCCCGTCTCATATGTTCAACTCAGTGGAGGCCGATTTTTGCTGATTCTCACTCAGCCAGGCGAAGCAACGATGCTGACGTTGAAGGGAGCCTGGGACTTCATCTCGTCTCTTGGACTTTGAATCCTCTTTTGATCCGCTTTCTATGCCCCGAAATCCTTCTATTCGGGGTATCGGAAGTCACAATCGTCACGCAAGGGACGCCGTTCTTGTCCCGCAGTACCCGAACAAGAGATGTCACAAGTGGCCATTTGTTGTTGGTTGGGCCGACCTCTTTGCATAGCCTCCCAAGATTTTTGCGTTGCTTTATGGCAACGTTCTTCGCCTTTTCAATCTTTCTACATCTGTCTCCTTCTTTTCTTGGTCACTTGCTAGGATTACTGCATCGGGGGAGTCTGCCTTTTCCCCCCCTTCCAAATGGCGCGGACCCCAGCTTTCCTCCCCGAGCCTTCACCAACATCAACACCAAAAGGAACCTGGAACTTGGCGAGAAGGAACGGCCAAGTTCGCTCGTCTGTAAACGACGGGAGCATTCAAGCATTCTTGGATACAGACTGGGTTGTTCATCCACGTTCTCGGCTGCGCATCCTCATCTGGCATGAGGAAATGATCCCCGGAGTGATGAGCAGGGCCAAGAATCCAAGTCAGCCGCAATTGAGGCTGCAGAAGAAGTCTTCCGTCGCCGATGATGCCCGGGTCCGTTGCCGGTAGCCATTAATTGCGGATAGTCCTCCGCCCCGAAGGATTGACTCTAAAGAACCGTTGTCCTCCCCATGCTCATCGAAACGAAGTACGTTTGCTCCCAACATCATCTTTTGTTCCTCATTCTCTCCCTTCCTACATCTGTCGTCTCACAAACAATATTCTGGTCTCATCTCCTTACACAACCCTCTCTACTCGCGTCAATTTTGTTCACTTTGACTCTCATTGTCTTCCTCCTTCGGGACAAAGTGACCCTCGCTTCGAACTCCATCTGCTACAAGGAAAACTCAGCCGGACGACGACAAACATATCACCCCCTGCTATTCCTCCGACGTATGCGCTCTCCCGAGTCTCATATAAGCTATTACTTCTTTGTCCCTTCGCGTCGCACTTGTATCACGGACACTTGAATCACGCAACGCGCGACCGCCCTCCCACGGCTTCATCGTATGCTAGTGCCCGCCCGCTTGCGACGATCTTCACCCCTTGCCTCCACGAACATTCCAACACTCCCGTCGGCGCCACCTCCATCACCCTGTTTGCCCGTTAACAAGCACAAGAGCCCAAGGGGGTTCATCCCTTTCCAAAGAGTCCGAGCAGGATTCTGACATCAGAAGCAGCGCCACTGCCGCACCTGTCCCTTCAACCCCCAAATAATGTCTAGTTAGATAATCAATCCGCGTTGTTTGGCTAGGAGAACCCGCGTTTTCATTGATGCCCGCCATGGCAGACAGCGATCATAGCCGCATCCCTTACTCCCTACACCCAGTCCCTGAGGCCGAGGAAAGCCATCTTCTCGATTCGCAAACACACCACGACAACGGGTCCCCGCCCTCAGGAGGCCTACTTTCGTCTTCTATCTTCCGACGAGATGGGTACCAGTCAATGCCAACTGGCTCCATCGATCTTTCATCTCTAGACGGTGTCACTCAAAATCGGCACACGCCTCAACCCGAAACCTCCGAAATTTATGAAAGCGATCCTTTTGGCATTTCAGTGAAGAGCGTGGGAAAGAGGGTCTCTTTCAGACGCGTCCCCGTTGGGTCTAAAAGCAGCCTGCGCGCAACGCCTGGTTCTTACGACGAATTACCTGGCTCGCCGGAGGCAGGAACCACATCACCTCGAATATTGGAGTCTGGACGGATTACGCTTTCTCCCGAACCAGACCAGCGCCTCATTTCGCCTTTACAATCGCCTCTATCGTCTCCTCACGCAGCCAAAATAGCCATTCCAAAACGCGGGTCCTCGATGGCCTGGCACGACCCTCCGAGGGATCCTGGTCCGTGGCAGTCATCATCTGGTGAAGATGACGGTGACATTGGACGGGCAATTCCAAGAAAAGACGACAGTAGGGAAGAGACAAGATCGGTTGCTTCCGATGGACGAAATCACCCTCACATGCGTGGGAATCACCAAGCAGACAACGAAGATTTCGCAGACGACGAAGAGACCTTCCACAAGAGATACAGTATTGCTAGGCACCACACACCCGAAATATCAGCCCGCAGTCTACTAACACGAATCCCAGGCCACGTACCACACTACTGCGATTCTCGAAAGGACGTTCACAGAAGGCGAGCCAACTGGCTGTCAATTTCGATCATAGTTCTATCGATCTACTCGACAGGTTTGAGCTGTCTCTGGTTTGTGGTTGCGGTAGTGCAACCTCGATGGGGACCGACCATTTCATCAAGCGGCGGCATGGCCCCGTCGACAGCAACCATGGTGTGCGCCATGTTCGCCAAAACCATTGAAATTTCATTTGTGACCGTCTTCGTGGCCTTCATCGGCCAGGTTCTGACGCGTCGTTCATTTGTGAAGAAGTCGAAAGGCATGACGCTGGCCGAGATGACGATGAGGAATTGGGTTATCGTATGTCTGCCTCCGTCTCCTCCACCAGACCTACAACTCTAACAGTACACAGCAACCCGGGTTCATGTTGACGCACTGGGAAACCCTCCCCTACGCCGCAGTCACATTCCTGGGAGCGGTCTCCCTTATCGCGACAATTGCGTCTACGTTTTACACCACTGCGTCTGACGTCATGGTCTCACCTAAACTGAAGTTCGGCGGCTGGGAGAGTAAGGAGCTGAACGGCCATGTTCTGTCTTCTTACGCCAATACTTTTGCCACACAAGACAGCTGTCCCACACCACTGCGAAAAGAAGATCCAGATGGACCGGTCTTTGCTGCGAGCTCGTGTCTCGATATACAGTATGCCGGACAATGTGAGTCACTCCTCAATAGCGACCTGTGTGTTGTTTCGAGTGCTGACCTAACACAAAGCCTATCGCAACCTGGTGTCGTTTCTGACTGAGTGGGATGAAATCAATCATAATGGAACAGGCGCGTCACTGGACATGTCTCATCGGCCTGTGGGAACGACGTTATTGTACGACAACACAACTTTAACGTCAAGTTGGATCAAGAAGGAATACAGCAACGTAACTCAACAATTTGAGAACCATGGCAGGATCATTCACAACGTTACGATGGCGATGCCACATCCTGGTAAGACAGCACGATATGTTTTACACCTGTGCTACCAGACTGACAACCGATGCTCTCAGGGGTTTACGGTGCAGCGACGCACCCAGTAAACAAGATCCTCCAACCAAACGATCTGTCGGGGGTCGGAGAATATGCTATCAGAGCGAGCGTTGTGTCTCCGGTCATCAACGTCATGTGCGTCAATATGGACGAAAACGAGCTTGCACCTCTGATCTACACCGAATGGCCAAACCGCAAAACGAACAGCACGGGAGTAGGGAATCAAACAACAGGCTGGTTTGGATGGGATGGAGAGGTCCCTCAGCCTGCCGAAAATGAATGGCTTAACCGAACAACAGTTGATGATATCTTCCGTTGGGGTCCCCGATATCAAAGACGCCCTCCTGTTTTTCAACTCGTAGGTCGTCTTGGAGGCGGGATGTAGTTGAAGTTGCTAACAGAATAATAGTATCCTTCCAACTTCAACATGATTACCAATACTACGGTAAGAATGAATCATCCTCAGATGGTTTGATGTGGGTTCTAACTTGCTATAGGTACACCAGGGTGATGCCATTTACCTGTTGGCGAAGTCGGCCGCCATTACGAACTACACTCTTTGCGAGATGCGATCCTGGGTGACGCCCAAGTGCTCAACCCATTTCAACATCTCCGGAACAGCGGGCGCACACATGCAAGCACACTGCGAAGACCCCGACGACCTGGACAGATACGATCGCTCAGTGCCGGAAGTCTCCCCTGAAATGGCTGTCGGAGACTGGAGAGTAAGACTCTCATCGGAAAACACTACTGCATCTAGTAACTCACCTTTTTACAGAACGTAGCAGACCAATGGCGACTTTCGATGGACATCAACGGCGGCACCGTCAACAATAACGCCTCCAATGCCCGAACACTCACACAGTTCATCCTAGAAGACGGCAAACTCAACCCCCTACTCCCGTCCATGGCCGAAACACTCGCAGTGTTCGCCTCGTCGACCCTCATAATCGGCGGCCTGGGCTCTCCCTTCGTCCACTACTGGGGCTACGAAACCATGCAACTCGGCGACCCAGGCGCCCTCGCTCCTTTCAACGCCTCTATCCGGACGCAGGAGTACACCTCTTCGCATGAGTACGAATGGCAAAACGTCTTCTACCTCGCCCTCGTTCTCGTCTTCGTCATCAACGTCTTCTGCCTGGCCTACTTCCTGTCCCGCTCGGGTCTCGTCACCGACTACACGGAACCCCAGAACCTGTTCGCGCTGGCCGTCAACTCACCGCCCAGCCAGCAGCTCAAGGGCAGCTGCGGAGGCGGGCCCATTAAGCGTGATTTCGTCGTCCCATGGAGGGTGGCATATGCCAAGGGCCCGAATCATTACTTCTTTGAGGAGGCAAACAGTCGGCCTTGGCGGGGTAGGTATGCTGAGCAGGACATCTCGACCGATTCGGAGTACCAGGAGGCGAAGGAGCGGAGCAGCTACAAGAGACTGAGTACAAGCCGCAGGTGGCTTTGATGTCAGTCGTCCATCGCACGTGGTGCCAAGTAGAGAAGATTGGCGTAATGACAAAAAACCGTAGACGGCGGCTCGAACTTTCATCTTTTGGTGTTTGGAGTTTCAAGAGATACCAGTTGGTTCACGTGGTGCGCCATAGCAACCACACCATCTTTTTGCTTTGAACAAGACGTCCGGACTTCTAGTCTCAGTAATGTTGAATAATCGTCACGTCTTTTTTTTCTTCCCTCTTGGCGTTTAGTATTTATTCCTGGATGTCGTGTTTGCTCGGCAGCAAGGCCTGTGCATTCCCGTTTTGCATGACATCGAAGGGCGGCATTAATCGCCGTCCCTCAACAAGGTGATACCTAGTCGAAAAAAGCCGTTCGAGGAATTGAGGCAGTGCAATTCTGAATTCGATCACTCCCGTTTGACCATGTGGCCGACTGACTAGTCTCCCACCATCCCGCGGTAGTGGACTTAGACAGACAGATGGGCACCAAAGTACCATATGTAGTGGTTAGCTTTGCTCTGCATCTGCCATGTCACCGAATGACCATCAAGCTCCCCTTTTATTTTACCGCAGTACGCCGGCTTAGATCGATCATCATCGTCAGCCTCGCACCGCGCACCGCGCACCGGACCCCATTTCCTGTCTCACTTGGGAACTTGCATTGGCGCGAGTTGCGGCGCCTGGACATTTTGTGGCTTTGTCCGGCATTCCACCTCCACGCCAAGCTAAGAGTGAATCCTTGGGGGTGGGCGCCTCTTAGGGGCAAAAGTCAAAATTGCGGGAAACATCAATCATACACACCGCATGCCTTCCCCCTCTTACCCGGTTACGTTTTCAGCAACAACCACCTTTGCAGCTTTTTTTTCTGTCTGTTTATGATTTCTTGGCATCAAGCCTCGCTCTCGCCTCATCGCCCAGCTGCGATACGACCCTCCGGACGACAAGACAAGACTGGGCCAGGGTTGGTGGCTCTGGCTGTCGATCTTTGCTTCTCATCTCAACGCTACTCACTTCGCACCGCTCGTCCTCCGTATCTCCAACACTTCCGCTCTAACATCTCACATCTACACACCCTTCACGAGTCTGTCGACCATTGTGCCTCGAGTCTTGGCATTTCGCATCGACCTGTGGCATTGGTATTGGCATCCAATCTCGCTTCTCTCCAATCAACGGCACCCGAGATCATCTGTCAGCTTTGCTTCTTGGTGTGCCTTGGAACGTCTTTCAGAGCTCGGGAAAGCCATACAAACACCGCCTGCATCTCATCCAGCGACGCTGGGCAACTTCCGTCCAACGACGAAAAGAAAAAGAGGGGTTTAAGCACGCAAATCATCGACTCCGGTCGCTCGCATCTTCTCTTTGGTCTCTTTCCCGCTGTGGAATGCAAACAATATCGACCACTAATTCGACAAATGCGATCATCTTCGGCTGGTCCTTGAGATTGAGAATACTCCACGGGCAGGGCAACCGACCGGCACGAGCACGAACGGTCAAAGTCACCACGGAAACCCGCCATAAACGTGCAGCTGTCAAAGGGTAGACGAGCCCGCTCACAGTCAAAATGCGTAAGTCTACCACCAAAAGAAAACCCCCAAATCCATCATTTGAAGATATGACAGTCCCCTCTCGCTTTTCCCCTCCTAATCCACAACCGTTCCAGTGTCGTTTCTAACTCGTGCACAGCATACTATGCGAGAACCAAGGGCCGGACTCAGGAGATCCCGCCGGACGGCAGCCGTTCACCTCTCCCGGGCTCCGGCGCCCGGTCGCCGATGCCGCCCCGGACACCCCTCAGTAAGTCCGCCGTGCTTTGACTCTGTCTTACCCACTCTTCCCTTCATCCACCTCTCCAGAGTATCTCCATTCCGGGCCCGACCCTCCACTTGGTTCCCGACCGGAGTCTCCACCTCATCTCATCCGTTATTATACAATTCCCTCTTATCATCATACCTCTACATCATCGCTGTACTTTCAGAGGACATAGTCATGACTAACCCATGAACAGACGGACGTCCTTCTTCCCGTTCCCTCCCGGATCTAAGCGCCGACGTCCGCGCTGCCCTCTCAGCGCCAAAACACGACGACATATCTTTCCAGCACGACTTCTGGACCCGTTGCCGCTGCTGTCGGGGCGGCCGAAGTCCCCTCGCTCTCATTCGCAGAATAGTTCTCATTCCACTCGCCAACTCGCTCTACGCACTCGAGGAAGCCGCCGAGGCCGTGCCGCCCGTCGTTCCAGCCCTGATAGCCTGTCTTTTCTTACTCATCGCATTACCATTAATGATTGCCTGGAATATCATCTGATAGAGAATTTGGGACTAATGATGTAGGATGAGTTCACTGGTGGAGGTGAGAGTGATTGGGCGAGGCAGGTTTGCTACGGTAGACGAACGGCGTGATTTTCCACGCACAAGTGATGGGTAGAGGAGTCTCACAACAGACATAACTTGATTATTGTACTATTACAACCGATAGATAAGACGAGACCGCAACATACGACGGTTCTCAAATACCCTCGTAGCTGACATCAAAAGGGTTCAATAATCCGCCAAAGAAAGGCACGCCCCCCGTATCCGGAGACCACTGCCAGATCCGCGCAATCTCGTCCAGCAGCTCCCTGCTCACGCCCTCCGCCAACGCCTTGCCGGCATCCACGTCCGCGTCCAGCTTGATCCTATACCAGTCCCCAATCCACCCCATCTTCTCGACGAGCTCCTCGCACGACCCGCCCCTGCTGTCTGTCTCGTCAAGATCCGCATCGCCGCCCCCGCCGCCGCGGCCGCCTTCGGTCTCCTCGAAAAACCTCCTCATCCTCTCCCTCCCCGCCTGCACAGTCCTCCTCGACAACCCCGCGATCTGCTCCGCAATGTCGAGGAAATCAAGCGACGCCCTCGCCGACTCCAGATCCCATCCCTCCGCCTCCAGCACCAACAACCGCGTGGTGGCCGTCACCACCGCCTGCGCCTGGCAGATGGTGGCCGAGGTGCGGTACAGGAATCTCTCGGGCGGCATGGAGACGAAGGCCGCGTAGAAGGCCCTCGCGGCCGCGAGGCAGTCCAGGAGACAGGTTGTGCGGTATAGCGGCGTCGAAGTCCCTCCTATCGTGGCCGTTTCGTATAATTGCACCACCAGCGCGTTGTACTGCATCCACACGTATGCTTTGAAACGTCAGCATCTTCAAAATACTTGCCCCGTCCAAGGACACACCAGTCGCGCATTGAGGGAGAAACAAACTCACTAGACGAAGAATCCCGCGGATCGACCTCCCCCGCGATCGCATCCATCTCCCTCCGAATCGCCGTAGCCTGGGCCTCACACAACCCCGAATACGACTCCCCCGTCGCGCGGTTCGCAAACGACCCAAAGATCTCCGACACCCGCCCGGAGATGTGCGCCAACCGCGCCATCCTCGCCGCCATCGCGTCCCCCGCGTCCCCGGACCGCTCCAGGCTCTCGCAGCAGACGTCGACGTACAGCCCGGGAGAGAACCCCGCAGCCTGCTGCTGCTGTTGCAACAGGGGGTTCCGGCGGGCGAAGTGGCTCGAGTTGACCGTCACGACGTAGAAGAGGCCCAGGAAGGCGCGCTGCTCCTCGAGGGTGTGGTGCGTGGTCATGCCGGCCAGGAGTTTGTCCGAGAAGCAGTCGTCCGGCTGTTTCGGCGCGGCGGCGTCCCGGGTCGCGAGGACGGAGAGGGGGATGCGGGTGATGTTGAGGGTGTGGGCGTAGCCCAGGGCGAGGTAGACCAGGCGGGTGATTTGCTTGTCGTAGAAGTATTTGATATCGGCCCTGGAGAGCGTTCATTAGTACTGTCTTCTCTTGGAAGATGGCAGGGGTTACGGATTCGGCGTCTAGGAAGTCATTTGTATACTCACCACATAATGATAATCATGATCCCTTGCAAAATGTCCAAACTCTCCTCGTCCTCGAGGAGCATGCGACGACCCAGGTACGCCAGCACCTCATCCCGGATCTCTGCGGCGCGGGAGCGCGGGAGGGGTGCGGCCACCAGCATGATCGCGCGGAAGAGGAACGGCTTCTCATCGAGTAGGTCCCGTGCCGTCGTCTTCCGGTCCACAACCACGAATGGAAAGTTTGGAGTGAAGAGATTGCGGAAGTCGTCGAGGATGTATCCCGCTTGGCGCCATGACAGACCAAAAGGGGGCGCTGACGAGAAGTGGTTGTTGACGGCGTAGTGTCTCCGGTCGTCTTCGTGTCCAGATGCTGAACTTGACGACGACGTCGCTTTGTCCGTGGTGACCAGGGAAGCGATCTGTTGCTCCAGCGAAGCAATGCGGCTGTGATCTGGTCAGCCTCAAGTTCGGTCAAGTTTTCACGTCTAGTTGCTGATTCTTACTTCACAAGTGGTTTCTTGATCTGTCTCGGCCGTCTCACGACCTTGGTCTTCTTGGCGGCGCAGTCGATTCCCAAACGCTCACATCTGCAAAGTCAGCCTCGAATTCCGTTCACAGAGCTGTTCCCTCTCCCGCCGGATAAGCTGTTTTTGCAAGACGTACCGGTCACAGAGGTGCCTACTGGAGTTCTCATCGCGGAAGTTGCAGCGCGCCTTGGCCTTGGTACACGGCTCACAGGCCCGCAGACGACGTAGCGGGCTCGGAGGGTCATACATGATGAGATAGCCGGTATCGTTTGGGGTACTGAAGATAATAAGAAATGAAGAATAGTTGGTGTAAGTGATCTCTCGACGTTGCCTGATTTTATTTCTGTTGACTCTGATCCAACCGCGTTGTTAGTCAGGTCAACGTAGACGACGCTGGAGCAGGTTTAATACCGGAGAGAATCAGCGGAAGGCTCCTTTTATTAAAACAACACGAACTCCAAGGGATGTGGATAGACGGGGTCTGATACGCTCCCAACCCAGATGGCGGCGGCTGAAGTGTCCGTTGACGTTGTCGCCGGATGAATTCGCGAGTTCTGGCTTGGAACGGGATAACGGACTATAGCCAGGGATAGTTCATGGTAGAAACAAGGTCAGAGCGACTGCAATTCACTAACTGGTGCTAATCGAGCAACCTCCACCCGTAAGCAATCCTTCCGGCCTTTGTTCGGCACTGCAGCTGACAACGGTTGTGCTGACGGGGAGTGAGGACGTTGCGCCATCTATCGTGTCAACCCTTCTTTAACCCGAAAGACTTGTCATGCCTGTAATATCTGTCCAAGTGTACAAGGTATTCGTTGATGAAGATGCTTGTTGGCGATTTGCTCTCAAGCCAGCCTTCGGCGACGATGATGAAGTGGAGGAGGGCGGTTGGTTTCATTTTTGTTGTGAAGGTGCGATTTTGGGGTGTGAAGGTCTATAAGAATGATAGACGATCATGATCCTGTTGGATGGGAATTGTATAAGTTCCTCAATCCATAGTCTCATATGCAGTCGCGATAGGAAGGCAGTGCACAGTGTAGATGGAATCAGCGCAAACTGTGGTGTGGAAATCGACTCTTGAGGTATCTATCCGTAAGCAAGATGCCTCCTACTGTGAACCAACTATATGAATTTAAGGGGGGAGATAAAAACTGTTCACTCATCCTACTATGAGAGGATATAGCCTCTCAACCCGACGTGTAATGCGTCAGTACCTTTCCAGGCTTGTACAATACCTCGATGATTCGATCACCTTTCTGAGCTGGTCCCCGGGGGTTTTGTCCAACGTCAGATACTTGTATCTCTGGGGTCAAAACTGTTTCGTCACTTGCTGTCTTGATCGCTGTTGTCGAGAGGGCTGTTTTCGGTCTTTTCAACCCATTTCAAGAGGTCCAAAACCGTTCAGTCCGATTTCTTCAGACGGGACCGTTCCCCAAGCCAGAGTCGCCAGAGTCGTGCCATCTGATGTGGGAGTTTGATTAGCTTGAACCGGGCAGCAAAACAAATAAAGTGGGACCGCTTTTTGTTTTCTTTTTCTTTAGCTCGGAAATTTCAGACCAAAACAAAGGTCTCACTTTGATGTCACGCCAAGCAAGGAAGGCATCCAACGTTGGGCACTTGAACAAATACACGGTCGCACGAAATCCGATTATTGAGAATGCAGTGAAGACGCGATAAATTTGCGCGCAACGATGAAATAGGTATCATTAAGAAAAAAGGGCGTATAATATCCTTTGCGGCATCCTCATTTGACATATGGCCGCTTCCACGTATTATCCGGCCAATCGTTCATCATGCCGGTGTATACAGCCGGACATTTCCTCATAACCACGTCTCTCGTGAGACTCCAATCCTGTCATCGGCGACCGGGTCGAGAATCATAATCGATAGATGGGATGGTGGATGATGCGTGAGTGCAGTGATGAAGAGTGTCGAAACACGATGCTGGCTCCTCTGGGTGTGTGCCAGCGGCGGCCCTCTCGTGTAAGTCGCCGTGATCAGAGGGCCGCCGATATCAACTTCAAGTGTCCGATTTGAAGTTGTCCATTACTTCCTCCACCTCAAGGTCCCCGTTCGTTCTGTTATGGTGTTGTTTAAGCAGCACCGGCGGCCCTCTTGGCCTTGCGCGCAGCGATGCAGCGAGAAACCCAGAGACCGATGAGACCGCAAGCGACGACGAAAACGATGCAGAAGACGACAACGACGCCGGCCTCCTGAGCAGCCCAGTTCTGGCGCTTGGCGAGCTGGTGAACAGCGTCACGGGCGACGATGGTGTTAATGGCAGGCATTTTGAGTGAAGTTGAGTGGAGAGTCGGCTGGACGAAGGTAAAATTGTCAGCGGATGTAAGAGAACAGAGGAATTCGCAACACGACAGAAGTAATATGACAAAGAATGGCGCCAGGCGAGTGAAATATGTATGAGTGAGCTCGTGGCGAGAGCGACTGCAACTGCCTCGGGCCAAGCTGCACCAGGGTATCCGTACGGAGTCGCATTGGACCAGAAACACATCAGTTGGTGCGCACAAGCTTATCCAATTGAGGCATTTTATGGAGACTGCCGCCCGTGATCGTAGAATGCCGACCCTGGGCGGTCGGTGTCCATCGTCATTCCCGGGGTATCCGGCGTTCGGCTGGCCGATAAATCTCCGTTGTTTCTCACGCTTCACTCTTGCGCGACGCCGGGCGCAAGGCGCAGGAGTAGGCCGTGACGCGCCGGATTGAGCCCGTGGGTTCGGAGCGGTCTTCGGGTGTGAACTGGCACGGAAAAGATAAATATTTACCTTTGGGTGAAGCTGAAAGTTTGGCGTCGATTGACAGAGATGAGAACTGAGGTGGGGAATGAGACCGGGTGGTTCGATCGCAGTTCACTGGGGGAGGCTGGCTAAAGTCGCAGGGCGCACTTTGTCAGCAGGGAAACAAAAACTGGGGTCAGCTGCTGGGCAAGGGAGAGAGCTCACGTTGGGCGAACAACACGCGACGAGAGGGGAATTGGAATTGACAGTGGGAGGAGGTGAATCGATGTCAATTGGGGGGGATTGATCGTCGAGTGAGTTGGAGGAAAAGAAAAAGAGGAGGACGTAGGAGAAGGTCGTGAGAGGGCGGACGAGGTGGTAAATAGCTGCTCAAATAGTGGCCGGACGAACAGGTGCGACTGAGAGCGAGGAGTGACAGAACTGTGACAGTGAGTCGACCTCGACGGAAAGAGCGACGGCATAGTTTCATCAGCTCATGGCGAGGACGACTGAGGTACTCGACTGGTACGCAGTCAGGTAGTTGCGATGTGAGGTGAGGTAGGATCCGGTGCTAGCGTCATGTCACAGGAACCAGCGCCAAGAGGGCAGCAAGAAAGCTTGTCTCCAAGGATGCCGGGAAGGCGGCAGGGTCGCGAAAGGCAACCGCTGTGGGGAATGTCTGTAGCGTGCCTGCTTTGGGGAGGTACCTTTGGAGTACCCTTACATTGTGATATCTCTTATTTTGTTTTTCTTATTTTTTTTTCTGGCTGCACCTTTTTAACCTGCAGGTTGCGGGAATTTCAAGTGGGGGAAAGCAAGTTGGGCGCACAGAGATTGGGCGATTGGATGACATGGGCAAACTGATGGAGACCGGACCGGGATGGGGCCCCAGCACAGTTTTCCCAGTGGGTTCATAGGCCAATGGTTCGAGTGGAAGTGGATTCGGGTACCTCGTGGCAGTAGGGAAATTGGCTGTTTGCACAGGTACCGCCTGATGGCATCGTTGTCGCCCAGGCCCGTCCGGGTGTTAGTCGTCAGGTAGGTAGGTAAGATTCGCAGAGTTATGGCTGATATGAGTGATGATTTGCCGTGCCGATTCATGGTACACCAGACCGCTACATAGCGTGTCTACTGAGTAAAGGTAATTCATCAGCACGACTGGCGCTGGGACTGGAAAAACGGAAATGGCCTTCCAAAGGACTCCATTGCCTTCACCGGTGCTTGGGGAGATTTCTCGGCAATACCTCACAAGTACTTGGTGATGTCTTCCCGGCTCCTTTGTTAGGTAACTTACCTAACTTAATGTCCCATTACCTACACCTGCGTCTGTAAGCGACGGTTTGATGACAATACCTTTACCTTACGGATACCGTGCCAGCTTGCCGCTCCTCAGACGCCCTGCTTCCGTTGGTAACACCCTCCAATTAGTCACTGCTTTGCCGTCTCATTCTCTTCATCCCGGAAACGCTGCCTTGCGCTGTTTATTTCTCCGTACCTGTGCCACCAGCTCGAGTCGCCTGCTTGGCGGCTCAGTGTCCTTCATCTCGCCAAATCACAAGCCTTGGCGTCTGTGGTGAGCAGCTTTACTTACAACTATCAAAGCCGCGCAAATGCCTCAATGCCTCAATCCTGGTTGGCCAGCTACGAGCATCATCAACTGCGCCCGGCCAAGCTGCTGCGGAAGGATTGGCAAACCGTTGGCAGACTTGTCAAGAGCTCCAAGGCCAAGAACTGCTCGAATCAGTCAGGCAGTTGCCCAGACCACGGCCAAGCAACAAGGCATATAACTACGCGGGGTCAAACAGACGGGGCAATTCGACTGCAAATCCAGGCATAATTAAATTGAATAAAAACGTTCAACGGACCGCCAACAACAAACAGAAAACAGACCGGGAGTTGGGGTCCCACTCGGTCTCCATCTTCCCATCCCCATCATCGCCGCCCATCACATCGGATCGGGATTCGCGCCCAGCCAGAGCCGATGCCTGGTCTACTGACCTGATGACTGACCACCGCATCTTTTCTTCGCTTCGCAGGGTCACAGCGTCCATTCTGGCCAGCTGCTGATTCGTTTACAAAAAAACCTCATATCAAGAGCCAACCCAGGCCGGCCTACATCCATACCCATTACACCGCAACGCCCCAGGCAAGCCCGGTGAGACCCATTGCCCGAGTTAAGGTAAGACCGGGTATGGTGGAGGTGCAGGCCGAATCCCTCCGCCCGTTCCGCTGGCCCAAGTTCGAAATTTTCTTTCAACAAGTCCTTGTTGTTGCTGTTGCGGATTCAGCCCGGCTTCTTCATTAAAAGACCCGGGACTGCACGCTAGTCCTTATGTCCGGCCTTTGCCCGTTCCTCCAAACAAAACGGTGCCGCCTCGGCTTCGTCCTCGGGTGCCAGCCACCACAATTCTTTCTTGAAACTCTCATTACCATCCAGCTCTTGCCTTATGTAATAAGTAATCTAACGGGAACTCGGAGAATCAGATCATTCATCGTCGTCTGGCGGAGAAGATGCTACCTATGACGACATGCAGACCTCAGAGTTGCCTTATCTAAGCAATCTTATCTGCTTATCCCGCAAGGACCACTGAAAGGCAAGGGCATCACAGAGCAGTGGTCAAGTGACCAATCACTGCCTGTGGCCCGTCCCGGCCGAGGAGTTGCTTCGTCCGATGCTGAACCGGTGGAGGATCGGACGTAGCTGCCAAAAGAGCTCCAAAGCTCACGCGCACGCTGCTGACACACTACAGACATCACGAGGGCGTCGTCATCACCTAAGAGCTTAGGTGGTTGATCTTTTTCTTCCTTGATGCAGACAAAGTTCTTCCCGCAACCAAGGTCTTTGCCAGTCTTGACCGTATCTGAGATCTGAGGCGACTTAAGGATACTCTGCTGAACAACCAGGACTGCGTCACTCAACCATCCCCGCATCATGACGCTCCTCGGTCACTTGAAACGGGTCCATAACCACAATGTCGCGACTTTGCGCCGTTCGCCAACCGCGGAGATATCTGGCGCTCTGGGTGACTTGGGAACACTTCTTCCCCTGATGATTGCGCTTGCTGTTCAGCGCTCCATCTATCTTGACAGCACTCTGGTGTTTTCCGGCATATTCAATGTCGTGACCGGCGCCGTCTTCGGCATCCCGCTTCCAGTGCAGCCGATGAAGGTCAGTCCAGTTTCGCATCTCAACTTCATTCGGCGTACTGATACGTTGATATAGGCTATTGCTGCTGCTGCAATCTCGAGAAGCGAAGACAGTGGCATTAGAACTGTCATGGCCGCCGGACAATGGGTCAGTCTGGCGGTTCTCATCATGAGTCTCACCGGCTTGCTTCGCTGGGTCACACGAAACGTCCCCGTTCCCGTCGTGAAGGGAATCCAGCTCGGCGCAGGCCTTTCTCTCGTCATGGCTGCTGGTTCCGGTTTGCTTCGCGACTTGCACTGGGCTCACCCAGTGCTGGACAACAGACTGTGGGCGCTGGCCGCATTTCTCGTGCTCATCTTCACCCAAGGGCTGCCGCGGTTCCCCTACGCTCTTTACATCTTCGTTCTCTCGCTTGTCTTTGCGTTCATCTCCATTCTGACCGCTGACCACCACGAGCCGCACAACCTGCCATGGTTCCACGTCTGGGTTCCTCATCTGCTTCACTGGAACTTGAACTGGTTCAAGTATAAGCCCATCACTATGGCCATCGGCCAGTTACCTCTCACTACACTCAACTCAGTCATCGCTGTGAGTGCCCTTGCAGCTGACTTGCTGCCTGATATGCCGACGCCGACTGTCACCGGCATGGGCATCAGCGTTGGTATCATGAACTTGGTGGGTACATGGTTCGGAGCTATGCCTGTGTGCCACGGTGCAGGTGGACTTGCAGCGCAATATCGATTCGGCGCACGTAGTGGGGCTAGCGTCATCATGTTGGGCCTGTTCAAGATAATCTTGGGAGTAGTGTTTGGTGGTACCCTTCTCGACTTGCTCTCGCACTACCCCAAGAGTCTGCTTGGTGTCATGGTCATCGCTGCTGGTCTCGAGCTCGCCAAAGTCGGACACAGTCTCAACCACGGTGCCTCCGATCTGTGGGAGAGCTCCGTGGGAGAAGGGGCAGGCGTCCTGCGCCAGCATCGTTCGCTCTCTGAGGATGAGAGGGCTGAGAGGTGGACGGTCATGCTGATGACTACTGCCGGGCTGCTTGCCTTTAGAAACGATGCAATCGGCTTCATGGCGGGTATGTTGTGCTTCTGGGCCTATCGGATTTCTGAGAGGGCTGCGCGTTGGTGGCAGTCCAAGAGGCCCATCTTTGGCGAGCGAGAGCCTCTTCTACGTTAAGTCGGATATGTCGTAGTAGATTGAGTTTGTCCTGAGATCTTAGCTCGAAATCGAATCGACAGCAGTGGATGCTGTCCTGACATTGACCGCATTCAATGATACCACCGTAGATGACCTGGAGTGATCGGGATCATGCGTCTATGTCTACGACATCTCAACAATGAGAGAGTACACAGAAGAGGGTTTCCAGCATGTATATCCAATGTAGATGAAATCTGCAAAAGATGAGGCTTTTACTGTGGGCGGCAAGGTATAGTAGGTCTCAGATACAAAACTGCTTTTCTGAGGGTCTTGATGTATGCATCACTCGCTTCGCAGGACGGGGCTTCAACACAAACAAAGTTGACGCAAGTGACCGGTCCACAAGGGTGCATGCATGCATCGGAATGAAGTCCTCACCGACAATGATAGTGTCATTGGGTGTTGACCGAGAAGTGGGACGATCTACACAGGGAAATGGCCACGAGAATCGCCTTGCCGCCCCAAGCGAGGACCCTTTCGGAGGGTATTCGGATCTTGACCGAGAAGCATCGTGAAGCGCAGTCGCCGACCACAACGTTGCTTGCCATGGGGTAGTCGCTGGCGATGACTCAGACTGAGCATTTAAAGATGGGGACGGGAGATGCCAAGATGCCCGGAAAATGCTCGTTGACGGCTGCATCTTCTAAAGAGGGCAGCTGCGCAAAGAGGAAAGATGCACCTGCCTTACTTTAGCCATATGCAAAGTTTTGTTGAGAAGGCGCGACCCTTTGCTCTTTCCTGCTGGGCCGTAATGGTCCATCGTACTTTCCATCCGGAGAGAAGAAACCTGAGGTACCTGCACCTTAGCTAGGTAGGTAAGGTAGGCAGCGACCCGGAGGTTTGCTCCTGCCAAACCGCTCTGGTGACTGCAGTGAGGTGAGGGAGGTGAGGTGAGGAGGTCCGGGCTGTCCTTTGACGCGCACGGGCCAGTCCGCGGGGTCGGAAGGAACCTCGTGCATCGAGTAGCCAATCAGAGGTCCAGCTTCTCTCCGTCCCCATCTACATTTTTTGGGATCTCTCATGTCAGTCGTCACAGTCTTCTCAGGTCCAGCCTCGTCGCATCAGACCAAATCGCCTTTCAGGCTTGCCGAAGACGAAGGAGCTGGTCTGTCCGCTTACAGAGCAGCGATGACTTCGTCCAACGCCCACCAGGCCGGCCACGCGCCAGTCCCGACCACGCCGCCTCCCAAGACGAACAAGTCGCCAGCCTCCACCCGACCTGATCCCGACGACAACAACGCGACCACCACCGACAAGCCGCGCGCCGATGCTTCCACCGCCGCCGCGAACAACACCAACCACACCTCCATCAATCGCCAATCCACTCCCGTCGCCTCCGATACCGTCATGACCGATGCCGACCCCAACACCGCCCTCGTCGCGACCTCCCAGCCTGCACCTGCCGCCCCGATGGATGCCGATCCCTTCGCCTCGTCCTTCCCCCATACCCCAATGCCCAACATGGACCACGCGTACATGATGATGGCACTCGCGCACATGGCAAATAATCAAATGCCCAACCAGATGTCCCCTCCTCCGACCGTCACCCCTGCTCAGGTCACCCTTCCCAGTACCATGGGCAACGGGAACGACCCGCTCGTCGCAAGCACACATAACCTCACTGCCGCAACCCAAGGCCTTGAATCCTTTGCGCGGATTGAATTCCAAGATAGTGTCTTTCAGATGACCACCTACGCCGTTATTATCGGCCGCGACCAGAAAGCCTTGGTCCAGGCGCGAAAAGACGATCGGCGCAACGCCGAATTTCGGAGGAGGGCCGAGGAACACGAAGCCATGGGGCTTCCACCTCCCTCGCCCGTCAGGCACGACCGAGGGAAGTTCAGCAAGTCCTACGTCAGTGAGGAGGGAGGCATGCTAGGACCCGAGTCCGATAGTGAAGAGTCTGGACGTCCGGCCAAGCGACGCAAGACCACTAGTACCGGATCGTCGCAAAAGCCCGAAGAGGAGGAGGCGCAGGAGAACCTCATCTCCAACAGGCAGTATGTCTCGCACACACCAGGCGCAGCTGCTGTCGACCTGGCCTCTCTGCGCCCTTCCCCCGACCACATTCCCTTCATCGGCATTCACTCGCCTGGACCCGACATCGCCAGCAAGACCAAGGCCATCTCGCGAGAGCATCTCAAGATCCAATTCAATAGGAAAGAAGGGGTCTTTGAGGCCATTCCCATGCACAAGAACGGTTTCTTCATTGAAGATGTACATCACAAAGAAGGAGTCGCCGTTTTACGAAGTGGCGATCATCTCCAAATCAAGGACGTTGACTTTCGCTTCATCATCAGAGGTGTGGCGGAAGGCCGGACAGGCGCGGAAGAGTTCGTCGAAGAGGAAGAGAAACTCAAGAAGAACAACAGACCTCAAGGCGGAAAGGAGATGAGCTTCGAGTTTGAGGCCTCACATGGAAACGGCCTGCTCGATGATGACAGCGATTCGTCACTCAGCTCGCCGGCACCATCTGAGAATGAAGAGTCGGACCAAGAGGCGGAAGAGGAAGAAGAAGCCGACGTCGATGCCGACGCGGACGCTGAGGCAGAAGCAGAAGCAGCAGCCGATGCGGATGCTGATGCTGATGCTGACGGTGAAGCCGATGCTGATGCTGATGTCGACATCGACATCGACATCGACGCCGACATGGATAACGATGCACTTGCTGAGGCAGACATACCTGGTGAAGAAGATGAGGACATTGAGCCCAGCACGGAAGTCAAGGCGGAAGAACCAGATATGGGCCAGCACATGCAGCAGCCGCCGTTATTGCCGCTTATTCCAAAGAAACGAGGGCCTGGCAGACCGCCCAAGAACGGCTTCATGTCAAAGCGAGAGCAGCGCTTACTGAAGAAGCAACAGGCGGAAATGGCGAAGAAAACATTACCGCAGCCGCCTCCTGGTGAACCTCCCATCAAGAGAAAGGTTGGACGGCCACGAAAGCATCCGCTGCCAGAGGAAGGGGGCGACCGGCCGGAGAAACGCAAGTACAAGCCCCGGAAGCCAAAGGGCGAAGACGGCGCAGAAGGATCCGATGCGGAAAGACGAGCCAAAGAGAAGAAAGAAAAGAAGGTTCGACCGAAGTCGCCACCTCTGGAGCTCAAGATCGAGGACTACACCGAGGAACAACTTCAGAAGCCTAACAAGAACTATGGAGTGCTCATTGATGAGACTCTGACTGCAGCAGGCCCGGACGGCCTCACGCTGAAACAGATTTACAAGCGAATCACGCAGAGATATCCCTGGTTTTATTTTCATACGGAGACAAAGGGTTGGGAGTCCAGTGTGCGGCATAACCTCATCGGCAACGAGGCGTTCAAGAAGGACGATACAACAGGACTTTGGTCGCGGGTGCCAGGCGTTGAGCTTGACGCGGGCAAGAAGCGCAAGGCCTCTTCGCCAGATCGGTCCATGAGCGCGGGCTATGGTCATTACAATCACCCGATGTACGCTCAGTACGCTCAGCAGCAGCAACAACATCAGCAGCAGCAACAGCAAGCCCAGCAACCACAACAGGCACACATGCCTCCTGCGTACCAGCAACTTCCGCCTGGGTATCATGCTCAAGCCTACGCGGGCCAGCAAGCACAAGCTGCAGCCGCTGCCGCAGCGAGAACACCTCAGTACTCCCCTCCAGGAGTCACTCCAACTCCTGGCCAACCCGCACCGCCTCCGCCAGCTACACAGCCAGTCGCACCAGTTACTCTCCCTGGCTTCGGACCTACAGCTGCCATTGCTCGCCCTCAGGGTGTTGCGGGTCAGCAACCAACATACAGCTCACCATACGCCTCAAGACCTCCCCCGACACATCCTGCTGTTAAAACAGAAGATGGAGTTGCTAGAACATCAGCACTGCCTCCTCCACCACCTGCTCCGGCCGCCATTCCTGGAGTCCAACCACAACAGATACCCGCTGCCGCACCGCAGCAAGCACGACCCACACCAACACCACCAGCGCAAGCCGAGCCACGTCCGGTCCTTCTGCCAAAGATGCTGACTGCCGTCAACGGGCTCAAGAACGGCTTGATTGAAAATTTGAAGAAGGCCAAGAATCCGAAGGCAGAAGCCATTGTCATGTCTGCCCTCAATCGATGCCTTGGACTCAAGAGTACTGCCACCGAGAATCAGGCCATGGAAGATATATGCATGAAGGGAATACAGAAGGTCATCGATGGCTTCACTGGCCGGAGCAGTACGCCTGCATCTGGCGGCACACCACAACCCGGCGGCACACCACAGCCAGGCGGGCCAAGCAATGCCTTTGATCCAAAGGTCTTTGCCGCTCTGGTTGGATTCAAGAACGTGTCATCCAACGCGCTCAAGGTCCGGATCGGAGAAGCCAAAGCCGAGGCTGTGACCTTGTCTGCAATCGACCGTGTGCTGGGCCTAGCCGACGCCAGCATTGTGCCGCCGCCGGAAGCCGGTGCTTCAGGTTCGCCGGCACCGAGCTTCGATGGAATTGAGTCTCACCTAATGAACTCGGTGAAACAGCTTTTGTTGGGTCTCAACCAGAAGTTGCATTCACCATGAACATATATCCGGTACGATGGGAGAACATGAGCAGACTTTTAGGCAAAACTGTACGGACAGCCCGGGGCCCTTAGAGGCAGGCTCGTTGTTTTTTGGGAGGTCAAGCATGATTATGAAATAGCGAATAGTGTCAAATCACAGCGTGGCTACGTGTCGTCGTTTGATACTGAGAATACAAAATGATTTTGAATTACTTTATGGTGGTGCCCGAGGAGCTCTTGGCCACACCCCTCAAGGTTATTGCTCCACCCCTCGTATCTGCGGACGTCTACACATGCCAACCGCCTTGTATATTTTACTGACCTATGAAATAAGCAAGATGTTGAAACAGGCTTCCTCCCGGGTCGACACGATGTATTGAGAGATGCCTAAAGGCACTCTTAACTCTACTATATCTCAAAGAAACCTCCCTATAAACGCCATGCTATATGCACAAAGATTCCGCATCCGACTCCAAGCAATCAGAATTTAGTCGGCGAGCTGGTATACAGTGATCCATGCGAAGACACGCTGGCCGTTGCCGATGGTATACCACCTCCTGTTCTATGTTGCGCCTGCCTCATCCCATCGTCACTCATCGCCGGGCCTTGTGCCATCTCCTGCCTGCCGGCCGAGGTCTTTTGCCTCCTGATATCAGCAGACTGACCGTACGGCACCGGTGCTCTGGTGTGATCGTCCCTGCGGCCCCATCCAGGCGCGGCGAAGTTGGCAGCCGCCACGTTCCCAGACAGGCCCTCGGCGGCCGCCGTCTGCGGCGAGGCGTAACGCAGTCGATCCCTGATACGAGGCGGCGCTCGGAGATCTCCCCACGCGGCCCCGTCGTCGTTCGGCCGCCACGAGTCCTGTCTCGTCGGGGCCTGGGGGATGGTGGGCAGGGTTTCGAGGAAGGCGTGGTCGGGTAGCTCGGCGGGCCGGTTGTGGTCCGACATCTCGTGGGACCTCTCCTCGTTGAGCATCTCCCAGGGCCCGCGGTGAGGCGCGACTTCGCTGCCGTAGGCTTCCGAGGGGCCCCAGCCTGCTTCCGGGTGGGCTTTGTTGTCGGGGGGGTCCGGGTACGGGGTCTCGTGCAGGGTGATGGTGTCTTCCGAAGACACGTCCGAGTCTTTTGTGTTTCTCTTGGAGACGGCCAGGAAGCTCCACTTGGGCTTTTGGGGTCTCGGTCGCGATATCGGCGGCCGGTTGCTCTTTTCGGACCGGTTGTTGCGGACGATGTAGATTACGAGGATGATTGTGATGCAGATCAGCGCGAGCCCGCCGAGGATTCCGGCGACGATGGCGCCTAGGTTGAGACGAGGGCCCGAGGACGATGAGTCTGTCGGCTCTGTGCTTGTCGGAGTAGGAGATGATGTGGCTGTGGTTGCTTGGGGTATCGAGGTCGATGAACCCGGTTGCAAGGATTCGCTGGGAGAAGATTTCGAGCTTGCGTCGGATTGCGTTGAGCTGGGGGCTGAAGTTGAAGTGGACGATGGTGAGGACGTTTTGGATATGTCTGAACGCCCGGTGTTGGGGATCGTTATGTCGGGCAGCGATGTCGGCGTGATTGCCACGAGGTTTACTTCTGGTGTGAACCAACACCCTATACTGAAAAGCTCGATGTCCATTCCCGACGTCATGATATTCGTCATGCAGTATTGGCTCGTTTGAGAGCTTGGGAGCATCCGTACTGTCAGCTCACTTTCTCCAACCGACAGAGGAAGGCGGTATTATCCGCAAGGCGAAGAGGACTGACCAAGTGAGGGTTGCTGTGCCCACTCGCCCGCAGCCAGTGCTGCAGTCGTATAAGTCATAGCACATGGCGGGAAAGTTGCAGTCATAACCATCTGTGATGGTAATGGAGCATGGGCCCCAGAGCCTGTCGGTCATGGCATGACGGCAGATAGATCCGGAATTAGCTATCAGAGGCCTGCTGGCAGCACCGCTCACATAGCCGCAGACTGTGGTCGTGACGAAACGTCTTTCGTGGAAGGCTTGTCGAACCGCGTGTGTCGGCGGCGCTGGGGTCGGCCGAGGGAAACCTGAGAGCCCGGCCGAGTTGCGGCTTGGGGTCTCAGCTTGCGTTGCTGTTATCGCGACGGCGATGATACTTGGAAGGCTCGCAACTATCATTTGGGCCCGTTTTCGCAGAGAATGATTAGGTAGTGTAAAGACGAGAACGAGTGAGTAATACAACCTCAACGATAGTTGTGTTAACTGAAGGGAAGAACGTCCAAAGAGTGAGAATTAGAGCCAAGTCCAGCCGGCAGTGTCGAATCGAAAAGAAAAAGCGGACAACCTCTGACAGCAACACTAACAACGAGAAACTCAGGATGAGCGCGGCACGAAAAGGGAGCAGCAAAAAGGGCGTTCTTCGTGGGGGCCTTCTCTATTTAGACGGCACTCTCTCAGCCTGATAACTTTCTCTCATCGCGTACTAGCAGCCAAACCCAGCTCTTGAGTACTGACCCGACAGTCTGGGAATAGTCTCTTGGCTTCAAACGTAACGCGATAACATTGGCCACCTCCGAGCTCGAACCCGCCCGTTCGAATGTGGATTGACGGAATGGGAAGCTTTTCAGTCGATTCAGGGCAACAACTCCGCAGAAAAGCTATGCAGAGGTCTCTGACAATGATGGTGCGGCAAGCAAACCAACAGCATCGTCTACTGAGCGTTTACAACAAGTGCCTCATTGGTCCGGGGGAAAGCGGAGTCTGGTAATCGCGCGGCAAGCCGACTTTTGGCGGGTCTCTAATTTCGGCCGGCATAAGTGGGTCGTCTCCGCTGCGCCGCTCGCCGGCATGTCTCGGCGTCGGACACAGCAAACGCTACAGGATGCTGGGAAGAGCAAAGGGAAGAGAAAAGGATTTGAAGCTATTCACATTTTCCTACTAGATCTTTTGGGACGGACAACTATGTGAGGAATTACGATAAACCGGCAGGCTAAAGTTGCGGGCGTTGGGGGTGGGTATGTGTGCCAACACACTCTTGCAAACCAACAGAACCCAAGCACTCGAGGACAAAGGCCCTGTTTGCTTTTGCGTCTGGACCCCGGCTGTGTTTGTGGATCCGCCAAACTCAGTGAGTCTTTTAATGTGACCCTCCTTTCTGCAATCTAAAATGATCACTTTAGGTATGTTTTGTTGGTGATCTGGGGTCCGGATGCCAGGGGGAAGCGGACTGCGCGGATGACGTTAAAACCATAGCCACTTCTGCACTTTCAGTCTCTTTCTTTCCTTTCAGTTTTCTTTTGCGACTTCGCGTAGTCGAGCGATAGCTGCCTTCAACACGACGAAATGTGCCCGTAGGCATATCGACAATATGGGTGCATATGTCTTCCTTGCCCGGATTAGCGCCATCTGCCTGGCATTTGTTACGCTGCTGGTAGGATATGATCTCTACTCAGGGAGCGAATATCTTGAAGTCGCCTACAGGCCCTTTCGTGAGAAGCCTCTGCTTTGACTTCCGAAACAGATAGGAACCAAAATGCTAATTGATCCCAGGGCATGGCTACACAAGCATCGATACCAACAGTACCGACAATCCCAACAGCAGCGGGTTGACCACTGCTGTGGACATCGCAACCACACCGATTCCCACTCCGACTTTTGCAATAGCCCCCCCGCCAACAGAAACGCCAGATGGCGATCCAGAAAAGCTCGAGAGCGCCAAAAAGTACATCAAATCCATTCTTGATCCCGACGACAAATCCCTTCCAAGGCTGGACTGTCCTCGCCTCGATTCCCAACGCTATGAGTATCTCAACCCGAATCTGAGTTACCAGAAGCGCAGATTCTTCTTTGCCCTCAACATTCGCCAAAAGGTGGAACTTCTCCCGCGTCTCATGGGTTCCATCATCGAAGCCATTCGTTTCCTTGGGGTCGAAAACTGTGCATTATCAGTAGTGGAGGGTAACTCCAATGACGGAACCTACGAAGTCTTCAAGTCCCTGGGACCTGAAATGAAACGGCTGGGAATTGACTATCACTTCCAGCGCAGCGATCTTGACCCCGGCGCCGGTGAGCGCATCCCGAGGCTTGCAGAGCTCCGCAACCTCGCTCTGTTGCCCCTCCTCCAGCGCAGCAAGCACTACGCCTCCGACGCAACGGTCCTTTTTCTGAACGACGTCGCCCTCTGTGCCGAGGACATCCTGGAACTCGCGCACCAGCGCCTCAGGTTGGGGGCGGACATGACCTGCGCAATGGACTGGACGTACGTTGGCGCCGACCCGACGTTCTACGATGTCTGGATCAGCCGGACGATCGCGGGCGACTCATTCTTCAACATCCCCGCAGACGGTAATTGGAATTCGGCTTGGAACATTTTCTGGAACGAGCCGACGACGCAGACGCTCTTCTCGGCGCATCGTCCCTTCCAGGTGTTTTCGTGCTGGAACGGGGCTGTGGCGATCACGGCGCGGCCGTTACTGGATCGCCTCATTCGGTTCAGAGCGCATGGTGAAGGTGAATGCTTCCAAGGAGAGCCTTCGCTGTTCTGCAAAGACATGTGGAACAACGGGTTCGGCAAGATCGCCGTCGTTCCTAGCGTCAACCTGGAGTATAGCGACGAGGCTGGTAGGAAGATCAAGGCGGCCAAGGGTTACACCAGTCAATGGGCGACAGACGATGAAGACAGCAAGCCAAAGTTAGAGTGGAAGAACGAACCCCCGGAGAAAGTCAAGTGTATACCCAGTTATGAGAAGCAGACTTGGGAACCATGGAATCAGGGCTTAGAATAATGGAAACATAGAAGTGTACATATAACATAAAATCATAGAATATTCGAACCTGTGCCAGCATATTCGTAAGTTCTTCCGTCAGCATGCAAATCTCAATGCCTCGACTCTCCGTTTGATTAGAAATGATTTGCCTCCCTGCTTGACTTTCTCACAAAGAAATCTCTCCCAGCAGTCGGGATCCTCCATATCGAGATCTGCCAGCTTGAGTGACCAGTACTTCGAAAGTCTGCCGTCGTCATCGAAAGGCTGAAGCTGAGCCCACCTAGTCCACATCCTCACGACCGCCTCGGCTCTTGATGTGTCAATCTCGAAGAACTCGTGGTGTTGTCTGTAGCAGACTGAACATCGTTCCTTTCTCCGTTCGTTGTGCAGTTGGAGGTGGATGATTTCCTCGATCTTGACGTAGTAGGCGCTCCGGATTGTGAAGTTCACCTGCGGCTCATAGCTGCACTGGACTCCCCATTCCCGCATGCGCCTCTGCGGGTTGTTTGTATAGCCGATCTTGATCATTCGGCAGCTTCCACCTCCCCGCTCATGATGATCTCTGGGCAGCTTGTAGCCGTAGATGTATCCGTCACCTTTATCGGCAGCCTTTCGCTCTCGAACGTTGAAAGGAGCCGTCAGTTTTTCAACGATGTCGTTGTTGATCCGGCCGGCCGTCTTGGGTCGTTGGTAAGGCTCGAAGTAGTGAATCCTTGGCTTTGTCTCTGCACCAGAGTGTGGGATTGGTTTCTTGTAAGCAGCCAGACTATCTAAACGAACATCTTTCTCGTCGTGTTCTTCTTTGATAGGTTTGGCTGAGCCACTTGCTTCTTCGGTCTTGGTAATGGGCTGCGGGATCTTCAGGATTCGTATGGCTCGTCTTTCGGGTTGTTTTGAGAGGCATGAAGTAGTCGCCGAGGAAGGCTTCTCGGTATCTGCCTTCTTCTTGGTCGGGGACGGTTTCACTTCGAGGAACGAACGTAGACAAGTCGTCCACTCGGCCACCTTCTCTGCAACTTGAGTTTGATGCCATCTCTTGCAGAGGACTAGAGATGCCAGCTGTTGGAGGTGCTTTGCAGCAGACAAGATGCTTCCACTCTTGATGATATCCTGCAATACGTGTGCGATCTGAGAACGAGAAGCTCGGCTGATGGGGTTGCCACAGGTCGGTTTGTTTTTGGAATGTCCTCGACATTGAGTGCAGTTGTCAAGCTTGGGATCGAGGCAGCTTCGAAGCTCGCTGGTGCTTTGGACCCATCTGGCTTGAACAAGAAGATCCATGACTATGTAAAGATAGGGGACGATGTGACGAGGTCTGACCGATGCTGATGAAACTTTTTAGGCTGTGTTTGATCTTGCAAGAGACCTGTTCTAGTTACCAACGATTAAGCAGTCATCTTATAGACCAAAGACAGTGAGAGAGGCATCAGGGAGGCCTCGATAAGGCTTTCGGGCTCGTGGTCCCAAACTGGCAGACCACCCTCCATCTCGAAGGGGGGCAGTGAATATTATCAAGCCTGGAAGCTGATGGTGGGCAGGGCAAAGGACTAATTCGTCGGCTGCTATCGCGTGACAGATGGTGTTAAACTCGTTCCAACACGAGCCGTCCCTATCATGGTTGTCCCCCTCGTTGTGGAGTGTAGTCAATGTTCATGCAGCGATTCACGATGTAGGTGAAGCTCTGCGTATCTTCCACATCAAGCACTTCTTTCGCCTTACTTACCAGTCCCCAGTAGTTCAAATTTGACAATCCCAACTGAGCTTGCGAATTATTTCTGAGAAGGGTCACTCTCTACACATGAGGCCTCTCAGTTATGTTGGTTGATGGCAGGCATAACCACCCAAACGGGCACTCAGCGCCGAAAGTGAAACCTTCGGATCCGGCCTCTCGGGTCAACACATGGCGCAGGCACTCATGAGCTTGAGAATGTATCACATACAGGGTTGCCAAGGTTTGAACCAAATTCCAACACATGCCAGTGTCTCCTGCCACGATATTGAGCAGAACGGTTCGAACTCAAGCCCTTCACTACGGGCGTGGTTAGTTCATACGAAGCTTTGAGACTCGTGCAATGGCCAAAATACGATTGAAAAGAACATGAGAAAAGAAAACCGCTTAGAGAGTCACAGCCAAGGGTATGTCAGAGATGTGACCCCGTGTGGCTGCGCCTAGGCAGCCTGCTGCCGGCGGTTGCAACCAACACAGCCCTTCTGAGACCACAACATCGTACCGTCGCTTCATGGGCCGCCAATGCGGTCTCTACTCGTGAGTTAAACCAACTATTTGCTGTGTGAAGTGGAAAAAGATACCAACAGAAAATGGCTTACTGCGGACACATACCGCCAGAAAGTGATGGATTGACTTGACCCACAATCTGTGTACAAATGATCACACGAAGACAGATTGAATCTGCCTAGGGTCGTCAATTTCTTTACGTTCCAGATGTTGAAGACAAATATGATGAAGAAGAAAGGCCGCCGATCGAGTTGTCATCTTTGAACTTGAATAGGCGTCGTGGTAAATCTTGACGCTGCGGCGGACGGTGATGTTGGTTGGTAAAGAGAAGTTGGATGCAACATGCAGGGGCTCTTGGGCCGTAATGACTCGTGAGCTTGCGCAAAAAGCGCTGAATGATATTTAACTTCAATTACATCATGCAGATTTCCCTATTTGCAAATATACAGAGTAATGTCACAATAGCATGGGTCTTCGACGTCGCTGCTATCTCCTGCGGTTGAGAAATCTCATCGGGTCGCGCCGTTATTCCTTTCTCTGCCTTGCAACTAGATCGAGCTTTGGTTACTAACATGTACAGGTCGTGGTCGAATCTCCTCGTCGAGCTAGCGGCAAAACTCAAGGAGCGACCAATGGAGTAACTCGACCTATTGCACTTCGCAACCCACGCAATGACGATCTGTCCGGCTTTAGGGGATAATCGGACCGCACCCGGCTGACATCATGCTTAAGTACGGTCAGCGCTGCCAACCTCATCGCTGCATTTAAAATGCAATGAACTTCTGATTTATCAACTTACTCACGGCGTTCAAAAAGAGAGCAGAAGCAACAATCCCCTGCGAACATCAACGAATATGGATTTTGGCTCCGAAACACAAGTCGCATCTTCCAAGCGGATGTACACCGCTCGAGCCGACAACTATGAGGACTCTTTCCACCCCGAATACAGCAAGCGATTCATGGTAGTTGCCGACGTTCAGCCCGGCGAGCGGGTACTGAGTCTTGCCTGCGGTACCGGTCTAGAGATCTTCATCGCGGCCGAGAAGGTGGGCGAGAGTGGTGCAATCGTCGGTGTCGACATCACGGATGCCATGCTAGCCAAAGCAAGGGAGAAGAAAGAGCGCCTCAAGACCCAAGCGAGCATTGAGCTGTACAACCACGACATCACGAACCTAGACACCCTACCGGAGCTTCGGGGCCAAATGTTTGACGTGATAGTGTGCTCTAGCGCCTTCGTCCTCCTCGATAACCAAGAGAAAGTTGTCACTTCGTGGCAGAGCTACCTAAAGCCCGGCGGTAGATTGGTCGTCGACATCACCCATGAGGACAATCACAAGTTCGGGCTCTTGCTGGAGCGCGCGGTGAATAGGCTGGGCATGAGATTTCCCAGCAACAGGATTTGGATCAAGGACAGGAACTCCTTCAAGGAAATCCTGGAGAAGGCCGGATACAAGGTTGAGAAGATCGAGGAAATGGATCAGCTCACCGGGCACGGCAGTACTTACTACGGCATTGACGAGGTAGACGAGCGGTTCGATTGGATTACTGGAACCTCTCTGACGATCAAAGTGGAAACAGAGGAGTTCAAGAACAAGACCAGGGCGTTGTTTCGCGAGGAGTGGGAGAAGGACGCAGTTGATGGCAAGGTGGAGAACGCAGATGCTGTGTATGTCTATGTGGCGCGAATCGCGTAGGCAGGAAGACCCGTAATCTAGTAAGACAGCTGGAAGTAAAAAGACTTGTCAGATGTCTACAATTTTGCCTTTCCACTTCCCTTCATGTTTGGCTTAATAGGGATCTTTGGATGATTTCCTTCCAGAGCCAAGCCTGTCGCTTTTTCGAGTTCTTCTACGGCCTCATACGTCCTGCCCAAATGGACTTTGATCGTACCGAAGCCCTGTTTCTTTGCCTCTTTCAGATTCTCGCCGATGTCATCGAGGAAGAGGATGTCGTCCGCCTTGATTCCGTCGGCCCATCCCAAGGCCCGGCCTCTCTCCGACTCGGCGTTCTTCACGGCGTACTCATTGACGGTCTTCAGAGCGAGTTGGTATATCTTGGGGTCGGGCTTGCGCAAGCCAACGTGTGCCGATGAGATGAAAACGTCAAAAAGACTGCGCACGGGGTCGTCCAGGAAGTCTTTCCTCCAGAGCTTGTGCCCCTCGGGGAATATAACGGTATTGCTCAGTGCGGCGAGAATGTACTTGCCACTTGCCTTGAGATTCTTCAGGGCCGGGAACATCCAGGGGTCTGGAGGTATGGAGTTGGTCATCATGGTGTTGAAGAGGAACTCGCCATCGATGTCCGGAAGTGGCGGGACCTCCTTGGGCAGTGATGGAGTTTTGGCTTGTTGTGTGGTGTAAAAAGCCTCCCAACGACCTTGGTCGTGAAGGTCGTTGTTGAAGCCCTCAAAGAAGGCCTTGTCCATGGGAATTGAGCCCGTCTCAAGGCGATGCCAAAAGCCGGAAGGGCTTGTCTTGGAGATGGAGTAGTTGACCCATCCAGGCGGGATACCGAGACTGAGCTCGTAGTCGAGGATGGATTGAAACGGGGACACGACCTGCAATGGTCAGTTGAAGGGAACGAATGCAGTCATCAGATTCGGAGGTCTCATGGCCAGCTTGAGTATGTTGCATGCAAGCCCAAGAGGGAAGTTCCACTTACACACACTCCACCAATGTCGCAGAGAATAACTTTGGGTTGCTTTTGTCCAGTCATGTCGTCTACGGCTTCAATGACATGGTCCACGAAGAAAGTATCGGATCCTTCCAGTGATTCCATGATCTAGGAAAACGACATCTGCATCGTCTACTTGTACCGCGATTCAGCGCGTCGCTCTGGAGGCGGAGACTGCACGCTGGGGCCGAAGCCTGGGGGAAGATTGCCCCCACCTCGGTGACGATTCCCGTGGACCTCGGCCCAAAGTGGGAGTCTCTCGCGGCAGTGCAGAAAATTGCCAATCCACTGCGGATTTGTATGACCACGTGACTCGTCCCCAGCCAAGTTCCTGACGACCCACGTGACTCGTCACCGACCGACACAGAAGCGGGTGGCTTGGCGGAGCTAGGGCTGCCAAAAAATCGCCCACACAAATTTATCGCGATCCGAGGAAATTTCCGCGCTCTCTTTTCCTTCGATCGACAACCCACGACAAGACCAATCCGACAATTTTGCTGAGCCAACCGCCCGCCAGCCAATACCGTCAAGATGGTAAGTTGAACAAGCAAATACCAACACCAAACCCAATCTTCGGCCGAAGACATGGAAACGACGACCACCTCTGCCACGTAAAAAATGGCATGGCCCTAGCTGCAGGCAGAAATGTCTCTTGGGGGAAACAGGAGTCAAAGCAAGATGCTTCGGATCGAGGGTCAAATCTGAAGCGCAAATTGCTGACTCGGGATTTTCAATCGACAGCCTTTCCACAAGTTGGTGAAGAACAGCGCGTACTACAGGTTAGTTTGCTCCCGAATTACCCCCCTCATCACCCCTCAATTGCAGCGCAATCGCAACGTAAGACGCAGAAGATGCTGACCGGTCTTCCACAGCCGCTTCCAGACCAAGTACAAGCGCAGACAGCAGGGCAAGACCGACTACTATGCCCGTAAGCGTCTGATCACCCAGGCCAAGAACAAGTACGGTGCTCCCAAGTACCGTCTTGTGGTCCGCTTCACCAACCGCGACATCATCATGCAGATCGTCACCTCCGAGATCTCTGGTGACAAGGTCTTCGTCGCCGCCTACTCCCACGAGCTCCCCGCCTACGGCATCACCCACGGCCTGACCAACTGGGCCGCCGCCTACGCCACCGGTCTCCTGATCGCCCGCCGCGCCCTCTCCAAGCTCGGCATCGACAAGGACTTCGCTGGTGTCGAGGAGGCCACCGGCGAGTACACCCTCACCGAGGCCGTCGAGACCGACGACGGCGAGCGCCGCCCCTTCAAGGCCTTCCTCGACGTCGGCCTCCACCGCACCTCCACCGGTGCCCGTGTCTTCGGCGCCATGAAGGGTGCCTCCGACGGCGGCATCTTCGTCCCCCACTCCGAGAAGCGTTTCCCCGGTTACGACATGGAGACCAAGGAGCTCGACGCCGACACCCTGAAGAACTACATCTTCGGTGGCCACGTCGCCGAGTACATGGAGACCCTCGCCGACGACGACGAGGAGCGCTTCAAGTCCCAGTTCCAGCAGTACGTCGACGACGACGTCGAGGCCGAGGGTCTCGAGGACCTCTACACCGAGGCCCACGCCTCCATCCGTGAGGACCCCTGGAAGAAGCCCGAGGGCTCCAAGAAGACCAAGGAGGAGTGGAAGGCCGAGTCCAAGAAGTACAAGGTCGCCCGCCTCACCAAGGAGCAGAAGGAGCAGGCCGTCAAGGAGCGCATTGCTGCTTACCGTGAGGAGTAAACTTGTTGTAACTAGCGGTTTAATTCATTCACGAGTAGTGGTGTGGGGATACCAAGGAGTGGGCATTTTTTGACGTTATGGCATGACTTTCTTGTGCGTGTTTCGCAAGGTCTTACGGGAGTTATCAGGCAAAAACAAAAAATCCGGAAGGGGATTTTATGATGGTCACGGGAAAGGAACTTCTACACAATTCAATAAGATATCCCAAATGCCAGACGTCAAACACCATTGAAGTCGAGAGACCTGGACAGCGAGTGAGACATGTACCGTGGCTAACCGACTTGGCGATCTCGTCCAGGTAGCCTGCGCCTGTTGTGGTGGTGCAACAGCGCCGTCGCGCAAGCCGGAGCGAGACGGCGCGAGGACGAATGCTTGATTGTTCGCTAAGGCAGCCCAAGTCAAGTTCGTGCGTGGATGGGTGATGGTCTGGATTGATTCGGCTAGACCTGGCTGGACTCTTCAAGAGGTTGCATTGAGACCAGTGCGAGATGTCACGATGTGTGATGAAGGCCAAGGAGAGGGCACCAGGACCCCGCATGGGAGCACACCAATGATATCAGATCACGCCAGCGAAAATGTGAAAGGCGACGATCTCCCTCGAGAATCAAGAGAGGGCATCTGCGGGTTTTTTTTTGCTTTCCTTCTCCCGTTCTCACGAGTCCGGGGTCGGAGGGCACCGGAGTGGTCCCGGCGGCAATTGTTGAGCATCGGCGCTTTAGCCTTATGGATCTGACGGGGCCAGGTGGGCGATGATGTCGGAATGGGCAGTCGAACGATGTCGAAATTGAGGTGTTTTATGCTTCTGGGCATGCCCCTTGGGCCAAGGGACGCGCTTGTGCTACTGCGTGATAGAGGAGTATTGCGACGGGCTAGTCCCACAAAGTGTCCGAAAACCGACGATGGCGACATGAAGCGGTAGAGAGGGTCCATCACTTAGGTTCCTCGATTCGAGAGCTCTGCTCAGTACAGATCAAACATCAGGTGTGCGTATCCAGGTCGTCTCGCGCGCGGGAATTACGGGATAGACGGAGGTTGTGGCGGCGGGGTGGAAGGACCCAGGAAACGGTTTTCCAACCAAGATTCCCCGACACCGAAGCACATCATTTCTCGCAGCAAAAAAGGGAAAGGCGGGTGCTGGAGCGGCAGTCTTTGAGGCGAAAACCGACCAATTGCTGCCGAACCGAGAGACGAGAGCCCACCAACCCTGGCCCTGCCCGAACGATTTGCAGGGTTGAAGGTGGATGGTCCAATTGCCTTCACCTGGCGGTGTCCGTCTTTCTGCTTTTACCCAAGAGGAAATGGGGACACCGCTGAATGGCAGCAGGGGAGAACCCCAACCGCGATGTCCGCTCCGTGGAATTTGGTCCTCGTGACCTCGCGATGCTCAGGGGGCGGTCAAGTCGGGACTGAATATTGTTGAAATGCAAGATGAGAGTCCCATGTGGACGGCTGAGTAGAGCGCAGCCGCCAGCGTGATCGGATTCCAGGGACACGTTCTTTGTTGGTTAATGCAAACGTGGAGAGGACCTGGACCCTGAATCGTCTTCGCCCGTCCGCCGAGCGGCAGCTGCAACAGCTGCAACTGGCAAGTTTCTGTCGTGCCTGGAGGCTTAGCAACATTCCTCACAAGTGAAAGCTACGAGACATGACCAATGGAGCTAGCAGGCCAGGCAGAGTGTGTAAGGCAGCGAATGCATGTTGCTGAAGATGGCGAGGAGCGATGATTAAGAGCGCCGCTCCTCCAAGACAGTCTTGCCTCTTGACAGTGCAGTAGTGTGTGTTCTAGTGATAGGTTGCATGCTGCAAGATGACCGGCGACGGACACCGATTCGGTCCAGCAGTGCGGGTGAGGCAGGGCGGCGAGTCGAGTCGTCGAGTCAAAATGGAGGGTTCGTCCGCTGGGTGGACAGAGAGTGTGCCATGTCGTGTCTGGTTGGGTCCAGGTTCATGGAAGTATGACATGAACACCAGATACTCCGTGACCGAGATCCATTGGGATTTTGGGTGACACTCCTGCTCGAGGGCTTCTTGACATTTGGTGATAATTACCCGCTGCTTGGTGGGGGTTTGACGGAAGTGCCATCCAACCAGAAAGCCGGCAAAGCAATCCACTGACCACCTGTTGACAGCAACACAACGGAGGTCCCCTAGCCCCCGTAGGGTAGGGGTACTTGCGCAAGGGTCTTGGACTCAGGTCAGGTCGCTGTCGCCGTGTGCTAGCTGGGAGCGGTTGGTAATCTTGGTGTCTAGATCGCGCCCAATTCGTTGCTATTGTAAGGTAAGGTACGTGAGGCAGTCTGATCGATACTGGCTTGTTCGCCTCTCAGCCAGAGCGCTAACCATGGGAGATCTAACTGTACCAAGAAGAAGGCGGCGGCGTTGGATCGAGCCCGTAGCCGTGGGAAGAAGCTAAGGAGAATATTAGACGGGAGGCAGAAAAGAAGAAAGGAAAAGCGGCCAATGTTTTTTGTTTTTGTTTTTTAATGGCATGATTTACTTGCCGTGCTATTATTACTTACTGGGTACGAGGTAGTGGTAGGTAAGCACCGCATGTCCGTCCGATGGTTATGGCCGCGGGACTTCCCATCGGGCCAGGACCAGCATTTGCTGGATGCCCTGTGTTGGTCCAGGTCTTGAACCGAGGGGTTGTATGTTCGATTCCTTTGGCTTCCATCGGTGAGGAGGGAATATTGTCAGTGATTGAGACTGAGGGTACCCGAGTCGAGTCTCAGGGCTGTCCGTGATTTGCGTGAGTGAAAGAGTGAAAGCCAAGGCGTGCTGTCTCCAATCTGGGCCATGGCGTTGTCCAACTCCTGCCAATGACGAGATACTCCCCCTCTAAAAAGGTTAATGAACCCCGCTAGAGCTGCCACGTCCGGCCATTCCTTCCCTGACGCCGTGAGCCGTGAGTACACCGCGCGGAACCACGAAAAGGACGACCTGACGAGGAATAATAAGAAAGACGAAGAGAGCAAGCAGGAGGAAGGTACCTCGCCCTGCCTTGCCTCGTCGCCGGCCCTAAAGATAATCATTCATTTACGGTATCTACAACCTTCGCCTGCTTACCTCAACTTTCTACCATGGCCGATCTAATACAAGCCCAGATCCAAGTCTCGACTTCCATCTCACTGACTCCCGTCTTGTCCGCTTCTTACCAATACGTACCCTACCTTACCTTACCGAAGGCTGTCCCGTCTGGCAGTGCCGTCAACGTTCCGGCATCCTGGGGAAGCATTAACCAAGTACCCTCCACCTCCCGCATCCCTCACATTGACAATTCAGCAAAAAGTCACCCGCCGCCGGGGCTGAACACACGCCTCTCTCGTTCCCTTCCCTCTAATTAATTACCTTACCTCCCAAAAAGTTAACCACCACATCCATCTTCCGACAGACACATCGTCAGGTCTCTTCGCTTCCGGTCGGACGACGTCGTCTTCTTGGCCCGTCGCGGCCCTCCGTCTCCGACTTCTCTTATTCTTTGCATATCTGCGACATACAATATGGAGCAGGTTCATGGAGTAGATGTTAGCTGGATGACCCACGGCTCTCCAAAAGGTACGCAAACAATGTCCCATCTGACCTCATTTTCCAGGGCTGGTGGCCGTCACCCCCAGTCGTCCGTCCTGTCCCAGTCGCCCAGTCACACTTGCGCGCGTGCTGCTCGCCTACTACGCAGTACGCCAGAGCCAACCGCACCCGCACCACCAGCACCCGCATCCCACCAGCCAAGTCGGCCCAGATAAGCAACTGGCCTACAGGAGCTCGCCACTGGACACTGCATACCAGATCTCTGGGTCTCGCCCAGTGGATATATCCAAGAACCCGTCATTTCCCTCTTCTTTCCCTCATCCTTCTCGCGCATCTTGTCTTTTCCCATAATACACCTCCTTCTCACATACTAATTCATAATGCGACTTACAGACAAGGCGTCGAAACCCTCCTCACTCCGACGACCCTCGCTGTCCGCTCCGAGAGACTCACCACCCCCGGCCTCTCCGACCACCGGCCAGCCTGTTGTCAATGGCAATCCCAACGCCAACGCCAACGGCAACACCAATGGCACAACAGACGCTGCGAAGGGCAACACAGAAGGCGCGAAGCCCATCCCGGTTGGACGGCCTGCAATAGGCAGGAGTCCTTCAAATGAAAAGTCCCCAGGTCCTAATGGCACTCCACCCTCGCGCCGCAATTCCTGGTTTTCCAACATCTCGTCCAAGTTCTCTTCATCTCCGAATAGCAACACTTCCCCGACAAGCCAACAACCACAGAATACTTCGCCGAAAGACTCAGGTCCGGCACCTCCGAAAGTGAATCCCCCCAAGAACGCTGTGCTGCCGCACGCCGCTAAAAACGACGGCGACCAGCCATACACACCAGCACCCCCCGGTCGCGGCCAGGCTGGTTTTCTCGGGGTCTTCCGGCGGTTATCTTCCTCGGGCGGCGTACTGTCACCCGGCGCGAAAGGGACTCACGGCTTGGTCGAGAGGAAAGTTCTAAACGTCGACCATAATCGCGAGCGCTGTCAGATCACGGACTTGCACCAGGCGAAGCTCCGGAGAGTCGCGTTCAGCGTCGACGTCGAGATCGCGCCGATGCCAAAATATATCGATACCGACACGCCTGCGAAGAAGCCTCTCGAAAAATGCAAGACCCGCAAAATTGTAGAAAAAGGAGAGGGCGAGGCCTTGAAGAATCCAAAGTCTCTCGAGGAGCAAAAGGAACGCGACGGAGTCATCCATACCACGGGTGAGCCTGTGCCTAAGGAGCCGGAAACAGAAGGAACGGACCCGACCAAAGAGAAGAAGGAGGGCGACGCAAACAACGCGAACGTTCCGGCGGATGGCAAGGAAAAGGAGACCAAGAAGAAGGAAAAGAAGAAGAAGAGCGAAGAGGAAAGGAAAGCTAGGAAAGAGAAGAAGCGGAAACTGGCTGAGGCCAATGGAACGATCCCCATGGAGATTCATTTGGACGACAGCGACTCTTCCAGCGAAGGTACCCCGGCTGCAACACCAAAGACAACGGCTTCTCCCACGACGAACCCTGTTAGGATATACCGGCGCTGCTGTCAGTTGAGAGAAACGCCTATCCTTAAGAAGATCACCGAGCAACTGGGCAGCCCCTCGAACTGCTCTTCCGACATCGGAATGGTGCAAAAATTGGATCTGACGGGCTACTGGATGCAGCTGCCAGACTTGGTCACTTTGGGAGACTATCTAGCAGTTGTGCCGGTTAAGGAGGTCATTCTGGAGAACTGCGGCCTATCGGACGAGGGCTTAAGGGTTATTCTTGCAGGCCTCTTGGCTACGAAGAAGCCCGAATCAAGGCGGCGGAAGCACACCCAGCCCGATGGACTTACCCTCCAAGGAGGTTTCGTGGAGCGCCTCGTCCTCAAGAACAATAAGATCGGCCCGGAGGGTTGGAAGCACATTTGCCTTTTTACTTACCTCTGCCGAACGCTCAAATTCCTGGACGTATCCACGATATCATTCCCTCGGCCTTCCCAGCCAGCTCAGATTGGACACAGCCATCATCTTTTGCGGCATTCCAACGAGGATAAGCCCCAAAACGCCTCCGCTACACTCTTCTCTGAAGCAATCGGCAAGAGATTAGCTGGGTCCACGCTGGAGCTCCTCAATCTTGGAGAGACTAATCTGAATCCAGACGATCTGGGTGTGATAATAGATGGCATCAACCAGTGTGGTGTCAAACGACTGGGCCTTGCTCACAACAACATTGATGACAAGGGCTTGCAACATGTAGCAAGGTACCTCTCTCAGAGCACATGCGAGGGCCTTGACCTAGGGGGCAACGACCTCCGCGATCACATGGATGTGATTGCAAATGCGATTTCAGAAAAGGATTCTTTGTGGGCACTCAGTCTAGCTGAGTGCAACTTGAAGCCTGGCTCGTTATGCAAGATCTTCCCAGCTCTGGCGCAACTTAAGGACTTCCGCTTTATTGACCTTTCGCACAACCGGGATCTTTGCAACTCAGATCCTAGTGCCATTGGTCTTTTGCGCAAGTGAGTAACAACTGCCTACTGACTTTCTGAATAGCAGCTGACTTTTATCAGGTATATCCCCAAACTCAACGGCTTGCGTCGTATCCACCTTGCAGATGTTGCCATGACCTCTGAACAAGCAATTGCTCTTGCAGAGATTCTTCCAGAAGCCAAACTCCTCGCCCACATCAGCTTCCTTGAGAACCCCGAGCTCGTCAAGCTCACAGACGCAAAGACTGAGGAGGCCCAAGAGGAAGCCTGTGCGTTGTACGCATCTTTCCTGGCTGCCACGCGGGTATCGAAGACGATTGTTTGCGTTGATATCGATCCCCCCAGCGACAACTCTGGCGAGATTGTTAAGGCGTTGGCTAAGCAGGTAGTGGCCTACTGCCTGCGGAATATGGAGCGTTTCCCTCTTGGCGACATCAGCGCTGTCATATCAACGGTGCTGGCCGAGTCTCAGGGAGAGTCCCAAGGACCTCAACCAGCTGGCCCAATCCCTCCTTACCCAGATGTACTTGCACATCTCGTCGGCCACGACGTACTGAGGGACGACTCCTCGGACAACGAATCTGCTCCTGACGATGATTACGTTATTGGTGGGACCGGAGTCGTCAAGGCGCTCACTTGCTGTCTCAAGAACAGAGGCGACGAATCTAGGAGACAGTCTGGAGAGTTCATTCGAGACTTCGAGGACGGCATTCCAGTGCCAACCAGCCCTCGACCGAAACTTCCTCCCGGAAAAGCCAAAGACATGTCGAAACACTTACTCGCGAGTGCCCGCAAGATTCGTCAACGTCTGCAACCCGCTTTGTCCAAGGCTAGGGTCAGTCCTGAAGAGGACGAGCACAATCTGCGCAAGCTGATGTTCCTCGATACAACACTCGCGAATATCATTAAGCGATTTGAGGACGAGTTCCCTGACACTCGTGTGTCTACCGATGAAGCTTCCGAAAGCACAGTTCCTAGTCAGAGCGACAGACTTGGCACGTCGTTGTCGTCAACTGAAGACCCTGACTTGGGCAATATCCCGTCTGATCCCGAAGACGAGACTGGCCTTCAAGTCCGACCTGGCCTGCCTCGCACAAACTCGACGCTATCGTATACATCCAAGGCACTTGCCGAGGAGGAAGGAAGAATGCACAGAGCCGGCCACAAAATCCGCTCCGGCATCATCAAGCCCGAATACTATGGCCTGCTCAGCGGAGTGCTCGAAGTTGGTCTCGATCCCAAGCATACTGCCATGCTCCACCAGATGATCGAAGAGATCGACGATCCAGACCTGACTGAAAAGGTTGAACAGAAGGGCATCATGCGTGTCTTCAATGAGGATCGCGATCAGGTCCGAGAAGGACTCCGGGCACTGGATCCCATGCATTGGGACCGCTTCGTCGAAAGTCAAGAAAAGGCCAGAGGAAACGTCAAAACCAGTCTGTCCAACGGCGTCAAGCCGGCTGACGAGGTTGCCGTTGAGGATTGAGAGAAAACTTGAGCAACTCATCGCTCTTTATCCCGTGGCGGCGTTTCTTACGCCGTTTGTACACATAAGTTATTCATGAATTATTGGATGAGGTTTCTTTTCAAATAGCAAGAAGCAAGCATAGGCGTACCGCGAGAAGGAAATTCATCGCCGAGAACATTTTCTTTTATTACTTTTTGGGGGGGCCTTGAGAGGCATCACGGGCTCTGATGAGTCCTGATGGTACGAGGACGAAGTTCGCATCGAAATCACGATGACGGAGAGAGCAGGTGGGAATATGAGATAAGACGGAACACAGTCGTTACTGGACTTCCTGTATTGTGCCAGGATACCTCTCAAATGAACCATGCCACATTTCCGCCCTTGTTGAGGGCGAAGAGGCCGCCGGTTTTGACGCGCCGATGATGTTTTGCTAATCTGGAAGCTGAAGTGATGATAAAATAGTTGAGGCTCATATCTGTGGGAGCTTCGGGAGACGTCATTGACAAAAACGTTTACTCCGTGGTATAGTGGAAGATCATGGCAAGTGAGCACGGTCCAAGGATCTCAACCTCCAATCCTTGCAAGATTACCTCAGCACAATTCTTCCACGCAGCAGGAGACGATCATCACCATCTTCTTCAACCCACCTCAAACGGAGGTACTCAACCTAACGCTTTCCTCTTCAATTCTTCACCGTTCTCAAACTTCACGAATAGATTCTCATGGGGGCACTTTAAGAAACCTTTTTCCGTCTTCGGTGCTTCAACTGATCCCCTTCAGTACCACTCCGTTACTCCTGGAAGTCACGATCTCGACACTGCCATGTTTTCCCAGCCCGGATACCTCGATCGGGCGCGCCTGATCACAAAACACTACGGACCGCTATGGACCGCCATACTATACGGCGTGCCCCTGACCAACCTCGCCGTCCACCTCGCCTGGCTCCTCGCCCTCCACCCGGCCCTCGCCTCGCTGCCCCTCCCCTTCGACCGCAGACGCCTCCGCGACTTCTTGCACCGCAACTTCATGCTGAGGCCCGGCGCCGCCCTCGAGCCCCTCACCCTCCTCACCTCGGCCTTCAGCCACATCCAGCCCCTCCACCTCTTCGTCAACATGTCCACGTACAACACCTACGCCAGGAACCTCTACGTCATGGGCACCTCGCCGCTGCGCTTCGTCCTCCTCGCGCTCGGGAGCGGGCTCGCGGCCAGCGCGGCATTCGTCCTCAACGCGCGGCGGCGGCGAAGGGCTGGCAAGTCGGACGCGGCGAACACGGCCGTCGGGGCGAGCGGGATCCTCACGGGCTTCGGGACCGCGCTGGCCGTCATGTATCCCACCATGAGGGTCCGTCTGTCGGGGACGCGGGTCATGCTCTCGCTGCGCGAGGTGCTCGTGGCCATGTTCGCCGTGGACGTTTTGTGTCTTGGCACCGAGACCGAGACCGGCGTGGGGCATTCTGGGCACGTGGGAGGTGCGCTGTTTGGGCTGGTGTATGCCTTGGGGAGGAAGTATTTGCGTTATCGAAACTTGTAGACGATTTGGCTGCGTACGAATCACTGCATCCTAACGGGCTGCGCTACGACAAAACAAATTCAGAACCAACGGCATCCTCGCTAAACGGTACCTAAGGACTGTGGCTACCGAAACTGAGATCAACTCTAGCCACCCAAGTCAAGTACAGGAATGGTGTTTTCCGGTATACAAGAGCAACAACGACAAAGACAACGGCCTACCAAAGTAAAAAGAAAAACGCCGCGCTACCGAAACAAACGACATCCCACGTCAACTTATGAACTCCAGTTGTCAAAAAAGAACAAACAGCCAACCCGCAAACCGGCCCTCTACCACAGCTCTTCGCTGTTCACCATCGGATTCCCGCTCGACCTCTTACTGTTCCCATTCGCCGATGGCTGGCCAGACTGCTGCTGTGCGGCCTCGAGAGCGTGGTTCTCGGTGATCGGGCTTGGGTACGCCACCGATCTCTGCCCGGGACTACCGGCAACCTTGCTTGCCATCGTAGAGTCCCGCAAGGAAACCTGTCCGACACCGACGGGCGACATCTTCTCCGGGTATCTTGAGGCGGTGAAGCCGGGCTGACGAGGGCCCTTGTGTTTGTCCCATGGGTGGGTCGGAGACTGGAGAGGTGTCGAACCTTGACGACGACGGGATCGCAGAGATTGACGGCGAAATCCCGGAGACGTGAGGCCCCAGGCCCGGCCGAAAGCAGCGCCTGGGTGGTAGATGCATAAGATTATGCATACCAGCAACGGCAAGGCGCCGCTGATGATCAAGGACGCAACCTCAGTCTGGGCGAGTGAGCTGCCGAGGCCTTCTCTATACTCGACGATGCGGTAGATGGTGTGGGCGACCAAGACGACAGCGAGCGTAGGCATTACTGGTGGGAATAGTCAGTATGGTGAGGTGTGATTCCCTTCGTGGGTTGATTCACCTTTTACGAAGTGCCTGAACCGCGGTGCTTGGTATACGGCGATATGCTTCGGGTCTGGGATCTTGTGCGTGAACCAGAGGTACAGGCCGACGAACAGAAATAGTGCCGCTATCTGAATGCCCAGGCCTGCAAGGAGGATGGTGGTCGTCTGCGATGTCTTTAGCATTTGCATATCACGCTCTCAACAGGACACTCTTACCTGGACGCCGCCGAGCCCGAAGACGGCAGCAACGACACCGGCGATCTCCAACGCAACAACAAGCAGAAGGGCGAAGACGAGGAACAGCCCGGCGACTCTGGGCCGGGTGAAGCCTATACCGAGGCCGTACAGAGCGACGATATGAGGGAGCACCTGGCAGAGCGCCGCCGAGATCAAAGTCGGTCCAAGAACAGTCCCGAGGAGCCACAGCGAAAACGATGTCTCGCTGGCGAGGTGACCCTTCAGCCTCAGCCTTCCCGCGAACCCCAAGACCTCCAACAGGATGCCGGTGGCCAAGGTGGATGCGAAAAGAGGCGTCTTGAATCGATAGCCTTGGTAAAAGGTCAGCGGCACCAACAGGGCGAAAGCCGCCAAGAGGATGGCGCTGCCGGCTACCGAAGGCTCGTAGTTGAGGAAGCCGCCATCAAAGGGGCAAGTGTTGTTCACGGCGCAGTCGCCTGTCATTGTGTGTTTCGTATCACTTGACAGGCGACAGTGGCGGTCCCTTTACCATTGCTTGGTCGGGCATGCCTGGTAAGGAACAGGAGGAGGAGGAAGGCGACGAGGCGCGTTGGGACTTTTGGGATATATACACAGCAGGCAGCAGACAGAGCCTGGACAGGACAAGAGAAGTGGTCAAGCAAGGCAATTCACGCCCGTTTCCAGCAGGCTGGATTGGATCTGCGGTGGCCGGCGCGGTTGAAGGATATGGACGATTGCGGACGGGCGATGCAAGAGGACGGTCCGACGGGGAGAGTGAGTGGTTCACGCAGGACAGGCCGGGGTTTGGATCCAAACGGGCACACCACCAGCCTTCCGCGGTTGCATCCGATACGGATTACATCCACTTCGGAAGGGACGTTGTACCAACAGGAACTGCTGCTCAGTTCAAGATGGCCAACGGGGGGCAAGACTCATGACCTCTTGGCCAACAACACCGCGATGGCGCGAGAGGTTTGCTTCAGAAGAGGACCGAGGCGCCACCGCCAGACGCGCCAAGTGTACAGATATGAAGATTCTAAAAACATGCCGGGTAGGAGCCCAACTGCCGTGGAGTGACGAAGACAAAGAAGAAGGCAGCCTGACCGCCAAAGAGAAAGCAAGCCAGAAGCTCCGCGAGTGTATGCGGGCGGGCCTTGGAGGAAGCCGTCCCAGCGGAACGGTTCGGCGGTGCAACTGTTGGACTGGGCTCTGCAGATCAAGACCCATCTCTGGCCAAGGTCAAGGTCATGGGCCAATGGTGTGCGGACGGCTGGCGGTTGCGGGCTGTTTATCCAACGGGCGACGCCGATGATGAGGTCGCATTGGCTGGTTCAATGTTTGCTTCAATGAGCCCATGTTGGTCCATGTCGGCCGGTGAGGCATGGGCAGGGATGGGCGACCGCCAGTCCGTCCAATCAAGACTCGGACTTTCGTTTCTCATCTGCCCTACAGCTTGGCTCTGGGGGTGTGGTCCAACGTCCAACGTTGTTGGCTCTCAACCAGTGCTTTTGCTATCGAGCTTTGCTACGCCGCACCAACACGGTCAGTTGGGGGCTGGAATGGAGCAAAGAAGACGTGGCCCGGAAGCGGGGAACATTGTCAACTTTCGCATTTCATTTGCAAACGGGATCGGCCCTGCGGGCGGCGGGGGAGTGGTGGTTTGGAAAGCCTGATTTCGTTTCGTGGTCTTGTGTAGCCCGGCCCGGATATTACCAGCCCATCACAGAAGGAGATTTGAGAAGGCAAGATGGAGGGAAGAAGAAGTGAAGAAAAGGTACATGGTACGGAAGAGGAAGAGGTGGTGGTGGCAGATCGCAACACCCGAGATTTGCTCCTCCCGTCATGGCAGGTGCAGTGTTACAAACTGTGTGCGCACATACTCTGCAGCCTGCATGATCACACCTCGAAGAGATGAACCCAGACAACCTTCAGGTTTTTGACAACAAGACATTGACCAGATGCTGGCCTTGGAGGAAGAGGCCCAACCAACAAGTTCGAGTTGCTAATCCCTGCTACCTACCTAGGTACCTTACGAAGAAGCTCTGGCCTACGGGTGGATTGTGCGGGAATCCCGTCCACTACGCGGTGGGTAGCTTCCGCTGTCTTTCAGTGGACCGCCCGCCTACCCCCTCGGCCTAGAGACCCCCGATCGCGCTAAGCCTTTTCTCGCCGCAACCTGCATGACGTCAAAACCCGGGCGCTTAAACACCTTGGCAAAAACACAACAACTCCCAATTGCCATTGTCATTGCCAACACCAGACCAGGAAGCCCAGCCAGTCAGGACGCATTGCGCGTTTCTTCCTTCCGCTCATAGGTCGTTCGTTTACGACCAGGCCAGTAACGGCTTCCCTCCCACCCACTTACACGCTTAAACCCTGTGACGCCAGCCGACGGGAAACTGAACCACAAACGACCTGTCACCCACAAGTCAGATAGGACAGGAGAGGGACAGAGAAGGAAGCTCGTACCCATCCATCTGCAACCCTCAACTCTCAATGCCATGAGTGCATGTCTGGCGAGGAACTGCCGCCTTCGCCGCTTCCCTCGCGCGCCGTCCTTCCCGGCGCCAGCCGCGTCTCTTCGTCCTCTCGCAGGCCGGGGAACTCGGAACCTGTCCACCACACCTCTTCGATTCAATGAAGGCAGTGATCCCAGATTCAAAGACCTAGGGAAACAAATATCGGATGAGTTTGCCGTCGTCAGAGAACACTATGGTACGACTTTCCCTGTTCATCACGTTCCTTTTTCCCTTCCCTCCTCATCCCTCTACCCCTGTCCAGCCCTCGACTTACACACACTCACCCTCCACCTCTTCCCCGTCCCACACACCCATCATGTAAACTAACATGCCAACCAGACACCCCAAAGAACCCAATAGTCCTCGCCCACGGGCTCATGGGCTTCGCCGAGCTGCGCCTCGGCTCCTACGTGCCCCCGATCCACTACTGGCACGGCATCGCGGACGCCCTCCGCGCCCTCGCCGGCGCCCCGGCCGTCATAACCGCCTCCGTGCCCCCCTCGGGCTCCATCGAGGAGCGCGCCGCGAAGCTCTCCGCCGACATCGCCGCGAAGGCCGGCGGCCGCTCCGTCAACATCATCGCCCACTCCATGGGCGGCCTCGACGCCCGCTACATGATCTCCCACCTCAAGCCCGCCGACGTCGACGTCAGGAGCCTCGTCACCGTCGCCACCCCGCACCGCGGCAGCGCCTTCGCCGACTTCCTCCTCGACGGCCAGGGCCCCGTCAGGCTCGCCAACCTGTACGGCCTCATCGAGCGCGCCGGCCTCGGCACCAGGGCCTTCGGACAGCTCACCAGGGAGTACATGGAGAACGAGTTCAACCCGCGCACCCCCGACAGCGAGAAGGTCAGGTACTTCAGCTACGGCGCCTGCACCGGCACGCCGCCGCTCCTCAGCCCGTTCCGGCAGAGCCACCGGATCCTGGCCGACGTCGAGGGCGCCAACGACGGGTTGGTTAGCGTCGCGAGCAGCCGGTGGGGTGAGTACAAGGGCACGCTGCTCGACGTGAGCCACCTGGATCTGATCAACTGGTCGAACCGGCTGAAGTGGACGCTGAGGAAGGTATGGATGGGGCAGACGAGGACGTTCAACGCCGTTGCGTTTTACCTCGACATCGCGGATATGCTGGCCAAGGAAGGGCTGTAGGTGAGACTCGTACTGTGCAGTGTTGGTTGTGACGATGTATGTACGTGTACGTCTACGTAGCGTCATGCTGTACGTGATCAGATTCGTAGCAAGAAGGGCAGAGATAATCTCCCGGCTGCAAAAGCCACAAACCCCCCGATCTTTCACATACATACATGGATCAGATCCCTGAAGCCGTATACAGTTTCTCCAGTGCAGGTCGCCCGCCACTTGGCAGCTCTTTGCACAGGACCGGCCAACCTGCCTGCCAACCATCAACCAACAAACAAACGCCGACTGACCACCGACCGACATTTGAAATGCAAGTTTGTCAACGTCTCATTGGCCAGCCACACGATCGACAGTTTCCCGGCGTCTATGCCGACCGGAAGCTTGATTGAGTGACTCCCCCTCCTCTTCTTGTAAGTCTCGTTGGTGCCAGGGGAAGACGGAGAGACAGGAGAGAGGGGCATTGGTCAGCCAATACGAGTTGGTTGATATCCCTTGGCGTGGTTGGTTTCGGTTGGATAATCTTATGGATCATACGGAAAAAAATCGGTGAGCATTGTTCACTCCGTGAGTTGTTCGTGGTATTCTGCCTGGCGGCCACGTTGGTGGGCGGCATCTGATCAGGGACATGTTTTGTTTGAACATTGGTTGCCCATTTGAAGCGGATGTCTCTACAAGATGATTGCCGGCTTAAGCTAAGATGTTGCTGCCATGATAATCAACATCTTCCCTCACCCTGTAAGTTTTGACTGCATTCTCGTAGACGTCTTCCAAGAATGTTGCTCGGGTATGGAAACGAATCTATTTCATTAGACCTCCCCCATGCGAAACAGAACGACAAGGTATAATAAACAACAAAAAATGCTTCAACCGCCAGAAAATTGCAAACCCTTCTTTCCTCCCCCGTTCATCCTAACATTCATCCCGAGTCTCCTTCTCGCCCGGTCCAACGTCGTATCGACATTACTCATTACATCCAACCTGTTTGCCAGTGAGCCCTATCCCTACGTCGCTGTTGATGCCCCGTCGCACTAGCTCTTTTCCGGAATCTGGCTCGGCGCATTCTCGTTCGTAACGCCGCTGTACGCCGGCCTTTCCTCCGGCGCCGGCGCGCCGGTGGCCATAGCCTCGTCGTAGCTCGGGGGTGCGTCGTCGAACGACGCCGCGCCCGGCGTGCCCATCTGAGGCGGGTACAGCGGGTCATACTGCGGCGCGGCAGGTTGTTGCTGTTGCGGCGGAGCGTTGGGAGGACGTTGCTGCTGCTGCTGCGGCTGCTGCTGCCCGCGTCCCATTGTGTGCGTGATTGGTGCGGATTGCGATGTTCTAGGGGGTAACCTGGGAGGCACGCTCATGGTGGCGGCCGAAGGACGGTTCGCCTGCTGCGCCAGGGCCTCGAGCAGCTGCGGCGGCGGCGCGATGCCGGAGAAGATCTGGACCTTTGAGAAGTGCAACGGGAGGAAGATCGTCTGCGCGGCCGGGTTGTCCTTTGAGGAGCCCAGGAAAGTTCTCGTCGAGGGCGGCTTGCCCCAGCACAGACCCAGCTGGATGTCGAGCTCGTAGTGGCGCTGGAGGTTGCAGGCGACGAAGCTCGGGGCCACGGTGTTGGGGAGCGGGATGTTGCGCCAGAGCTCGTCCGGGATGACGGACTCATGGTTCAAGTCGTCTGAGGTCGGGTTGTCGAGGAGCGGGATGCTGAGGCCCGTTTGGGTGACGACTACCCATCTGCTCACTTCCGTGTTGAAGAGGTCGTGGCATCGCACGTGGGTCTTGCCGATGAGCTCGATTTGAATTGATGTGAGGAAAACTTGCTCGTGTGAGGGGATGAGCTTTTTGGCGATGAGGCGGAGAGGGAGCGGCTGGTTGCAGGTCAAGATTGAGGGATGAGGCAGGCGGGCGGAGAGTTCGATGGAAGGGGGCACGGCATCTCCATTGCTCGCTTCGGGTTCATCTTTGGAGGATCCGAATAGTGAGCTCTTCTTCTTTTGCAGGCCCTGCGGCCGCGGCTTGAAAGTGAAGGGTCTGCGAGCGTAGGCTTCCTGGGATGTCTTCGGAGGGCGGGGAGGCTCGATGGGCATGAACTTGAAGCCGATCTGGTACCGCCAGTTCTCTTTCAGGAAACCGGGCCGTTGGATAGTGACTTTGATGAAGTAGCGGACCTCGGCCTGCCGGGGGAAGCCGGTGAAGGACGGAGGCAAAGTCTTGGTGACGTGTTGGAGAAATAGCTGTTTGCTTCCGTCCATGACCCTCGCGCCGCCGAGTCCGAAAGGCCCGATGCCGGCGCCGAAACCTCCCATGCCGCCGATGCCGCCAATCTTGGACATGGCCACGGGGTCGCTGCATGCGTTGTTGATGGGAAGCTTGAACTTGAAGGGAAACTCATGCTGGCCGCCCTGGATGACGTAGCTTCCGCCCAAAGATGAGCTTCCGCCGAGATCTTCTTCGTAGGTGGGAAACACTTGAGCCACCCGGTACAGAATCTTGTGGTTCTCGCTGGCGATGTTGCCGGGCCCTCCCCCGGGCGGCATCAGCGGGCGCGGATGGTTCCGGTCATCATAGTTTGACGGCAGACCCAGTGCCGTCTTGGACTCGCCCTCGAGCTTCACAATGATGCCGCCGATCTGCTCAGGACGGCTCAAGTGCAGGACGACGCGGCCAGCGAGAGAGTCGAGGTTGGTGTAGAACTCTGGCTGGTTGTCGAGCGCTATTCTGATCGACATGATATCGGGTGTCCGCTCAGTCCACTTTTGAGTGGCCTGTCCGCAACTTGTCGTCCGTCGCGGGGTGATGTGGCAGGTACACGGTCTCTGTCCGTCGCTATTGCTTCTGGGATGTCGTCGGTGGTGTCGGTGAATGACCGGTGACCGATGATGGCATTCAACAATTCTCCTCACTAAAATGAGCGTACTGTCCCGCACCACACGCACCAAGAGCCCGAGAGTCGAGAAGGAGGGGCAAAGTGGGGTGAGATTTTTTTCGCAGTCGTCTGGCTTGTTGTAGGTCGCCAAGGTGTGTGAGTGAGGGGAAAGTTGAATTCAATCAAACGATGTGTGAAAGACCAAAAAATGAGGGTCGTCGGAAAGCCAAAGCCAAGAGTTTGACGTTCTGCGCGAGGGGGCTAATGTCCGGTATCAAGCGGCAGCTTCCAGACTCCGTCCGAAGGCCAAGGTCGACGGGGAGAGAGGCGACGTAGACGCGTGGTGGCTTAGCCTCCTTCCAAGCCTCGTCACTGGAGCTGAGCGATGGGTATGAAACCCGTTGCAGTTAATAAATGTTTTCAGGGTCAGCTTCTGTTTACTTATGTCCCGGTACACCGTGAGGCGCAAGCTCAAGCTACGTAAGCCGAAAGACACACCCTTCAAATTCAAACGTGGATCTCGGGAAGTTGCTGGACGGGAAAATGAGTTGAGAGCTTCAGCTTGTGAAGGTGCGCAAAGCTGTCGAGCGAGGTTGATGTCATAGGAATTTGACCCAATCACCACGCATTCCTGGGGTGTTAGCATGCTGCGGTCTGTCTGCTTGCCGGCCCAGCCGACTTCGGTCGCACCTTAAATAGACGCCGCTGTCAAGCCGAGAGGTTCCGTTCCGTCCGTGCCTGCCCTGCCGTCTGGTTTCTTGACCATTGACTCGTCACAGGACGAACGAGGAAGTATTCACAGGCTCAGGTCTTCGTATCTGATACAACAGTACCTTATCTTCGAATGTTTGCAATTACGACTTGTTTCTCTGCCATCTCTAGAAGCATTGCTTGCCATTCCCATGCAGCATTGTCCACATGCGCGACACCGTTTTAATGCAACTCCGTCCTGTTGACCGGATCGCCAGGCCATTACAGTAAGATCCCAGATCATCCCATCGCCGCCTCAACGGCATGGCACAATACACGACCCTGAGGACATGGCTCTCCAAGTCGTGACCTATTCCCAAAACGCCCAGATATCGCAGATGGTATCTTTCCCATTCCCCCAATGCCCAAGTAAAAACAAACGCCCTTCGATGTCTTGCTTGCATGAACGCCCCGACCCATATGCTGTCTTCTTGATACCATGCGAATTCTTCCCGACTTGCTGTTTCCGTTCAATCCAGTTCAATTATTTCAATCGGCGCCCGATTCATCGTCGCCGGTGTTTGTGTTCGTGATGAACCGGTCTTGACCCGCTTCGCCGGCGGTCCGTTTGCCTCATCCTCAGTCTCGTCGTCATCAGTTTCCTCCTCGACTTTGGGCCTCCATGATCCATCCGCCGCAACATGTACCATCTTGGTGCGCAGCAAGCCATCTGCGGCAAGTTTCGTCCGAATATCCGCCATGAATTGGTCCACCCGAAGGCTGCAGGGTCGAGCATCTCCACTGCAGAACGGGCACTTCCATCTGTCGACGAGCGACGGCTCTGGGCCCAGATCAGACCCGGAGCACGGAAGATGACAGTCTTCGCCGTGTAACGTGCACATGGCTTTGGTCGGCCTGGTATTTAACCAAGTGGCCAGGTCGAAGCATTCCATGTGCGTGCACTCGACGCCGCGGACCGGGATCTCGAAGAGGGTAGAAGTGAACGGGTCAGCCACGCTGACGTTGAGATCGCTGTCAACAACGGTGAGGTCATCGTCTTCAACTCCTTCCGAAGACTTCAGGCGCTTTTGAAGAGATTTCTTGGTGATTTCAGCTGGAATGACACCCTGTTGCGTTACCATATCCAAGAGGCTCTGGTGAACAAGCGTTTCAATGACTTCAACAGCCATGAAGTAAGCCATCCGAGGCGTCTTCTTGGCACAGGGCTGTGGCGTTATGCCAATTGAGACGGTGTTCATGCCGCGAGAAAGGTGTGCCGTCAGTTCAACAGGCTGATGCTGTGAATAGTGCTGCTTGCGACGAATTTTCATGGGTTTTCCATTGACTACGATGGATATGTGGTCAGGCCAGTAAGATGGTGCGACGGCCCATGTGGACTCTGGTACCGCTGTTTGAGTCAGGCCCTGAGGAAGTTGACATAGACGAAGACGGTACCGGAGGGAGCCATTGAAGTATTGCGACACGGGTACCAGCTCTCCTATGGGTAATCGGTTCGTGGAAAGGTTGTCAAAGTCTTCATTGGAGACAGCCAAGTCCAGACGGTGCAGTTCGTAGCGAGGTTGTGTCGGCACAGGACCTAATGCAAGCCTCTTGATGGATTGGTAGTGTCTGGCTGTCACCTCGTCTTTGAGTGGGAGTTCGCGTGGCACTCGTCTAGGACTGCGCACATCGACTTGATGGAGTGCTGAAGTAAAAGCTTTATACGCATAAGGGCTGTGGGGTATTTGATCCAGAGGCACTACGTGGTGACGGGGCCGAAACAGCGTTCCAGAAAGCGCCGGTCTTTCCTTGACGGTAGGTCTTGTTGGAGTGTCGGATGCTCTTGGTCGGATTTGAGAGGCTTGAACCTGCGGCAAGCTTGTCTGAACCTGATGGGGACTACTCCGAGCAGGCGGAGCATTGGCCATCTGGTACATTTGTGGCGACGCAGTGTTCGGCAAAGGAGACTGCATCGTTGTCTGGCCCTGCTGTCTACTGATTCCTTGGTTTCCTTGGCGAATTTGCTGTGCTTGCAAGGCTTGTTGTGAATACGCTTGTTGAGTGGAGCTCGTTCGTTGGCCTTGGAAACCAGTCGAAACATAGTTTGGTACGCCTGGGTACGCGGTCGGTTGCGTAGGTGAGGCGACCATCGGCATCGAGACGGAGATGCCTCCCGGAGGAGCTTGTAAACCCGGGGACATTTGTCCTTGAGGATGAACCATTCTGCCCATGTTCGGTAATTGCGTGTTGCCATAAAGAGGGGAGCCTGATGGAGTCAGCGGTTGGCTGAACTGACCCCCGTTGACAGGCGTTCGTGTCATTGCTTGGTACATCGGATTCTGCATCACACCGTTCGCAAACGGGGGATGGTTGCTGCGCAGTGTATACTGTTGTTGCATGGAAACAAGATTATTTGGGGCCTGGGAGGGATACATATCGAATCCCTGGGTGGAAGTATTCTGATTTGGGCTTCGGGCTGCTAGCTGTGCAGAAGAGTTTCCGGCACAAGCGGAAAGCCTTCTCGCGTGGTGGATCATTTGCTGCTGTCTTGCCAATGCTGGTGACATGCCCATGGGCGGGTTTGGGACAGATGGGGAATTGCTCATCGTTGTTGGCGACAGGATACCTCGAGACTCCAGCACAAGCTGTTTGTAGCGGGCGATCATAGTGTCTCTCAGGTTGGTTTGGTCTTGTTCTGACATCCTGGTGTAGTCGAATTTCTGATCGGATTGGAAGAGTTGGTGCATTTGCTCGGCAACTGGGCCATCTGGGACGCCCAAATGTCTCCGAGTGACGGTGAAAAGAACTGGTTCGAGAACTGGGGATTGCAGTCTCAGTTGGTAGCGTAGTTCTGCTGCAAGAATCGGATAGCCCCTGCCCGTCTGAGGTTTGAAACTTGGGATCAGAATAGTGTTCCACTGATTGTGAAGACAGCGGAGGAAGGCAGCAACGCTTCTGATATGTCTTTGATAGGGCTCACAGGCCCATAATCCCGATTGTGGCGACTCTGGAAAGTTGGCGAGGTGCATGACAATGGGCTGTGGCATGTTTTCGTTCTTTCTAAGAGTGTTTTGTACGATTTTCATGGCGCTTTCCACCACTTGAGGATCTTCACTAAGGTGGTGAAGTACAAATGGCTTGCTGAAAGACCACACACAAAGGAGTTGGTGTAGAGTGAGATAGAAGTAATCACCAACGTCAACAGCGTCTTTGAGGAGCTTTAACCTAGGCCCCGTGGTGTTGTCAGCGGGAAGCCTTGGTGCACCGCACTTTGTAGCAATATCGTTGAGTTTTTGGGTCATGACATCCTGACGGAGGCATCTCAAGTTGAAGGTGTTGGTGGTTTGTGTAACAGTCTCCTGCGTGCCTGCATTGTCCTGATTGGAGGTCGATGGCCCCGTGTTCTGAGGAGCAGCAGCTGGTTGACCAACAGGTGGCTGGACCGTGCTCGAGACTGGTTGAACAAGAGGTTGATGGGTCGTGCTTGAGGATACTGGAGTGTTTTGTACGGCTGTGGGAGTTGAGTTGTGACTTCGGTTTGGGTGTAACTCTGGCATGGACGCCACAGCTGGGACGGGTGGTCTCTGTGGTGTTTCGGAGCCCTGGTGGGAGGGGATTTGGTTGACTGCTGTAGCAGGGGGAGACGGCGATGCGTTATCGAGCGCAGCCTGGACAGCCCGAACGTCTTCCTCAGTAAGAGCAAATCTCGCCGCAGTGTGGCTATCTAACGCAGACGCTTGACCAGACTCAGCTGGCATAGATGCCTCCAGAACACCGTAGCTCTGCAGAGGTTGGCCGATGATGGCTGCCCCTTGCGTGAAAGTTCCACCTGAGCCTACTGCTGCGATATCGGGCTGCTGGTCAAAAGGAGGATTTTGGTACTGCGCCGGATTCGTGACGCTTGAATCTGTGACGGAAGTCTGAGGTTGGATTGAAGCGGCAGTCGGTGGGCTGGGTTGGTCAGTCGGAGCTGGTGACGGAAGTGCGGCTGCAGAATCACTATGATGGAAAGTCAGAAAACAGATAGCACAAATGAGAGAAATTGGAAGCGTGGGGATGAGAAAGTATGAATACGTACAGCGTCTGTTTGCCAAGTTCGGGTACCACCGCGGAAGTCTGGTGAATGGCATCGGTAGGTGTTTCGAGCGGTACGGGAATATTGCCGTGATTCAAACGGGACAAGTCCGGCGCGTTCTGAGCTGGCGTACGTTGAGATCGTGACGGAGGTCTTCTTGCTCTGCCAGAGCTCCCGGAAGGGGTGTTTCCAGCAGGCGCCGAGCCGTGATGAGGACCTGTTGCTGCTTGTGAAGTCATCCATGCCGGCTGACGGCCCCCTATCCAGGCGTTGAGTGTCTGATTCGAGGCAGCGACGTGAGGACCTGACAGAAAGTTGCCCATCGCGTTCTGCTGAGCCCCTTGGCGATGCATATCGGTGGAGTTGGGGGGTTTACGGGGCTTGCGACGTCGACGCGGCGGGGTCGGACGAGAACCTTCGACGAGACTGGACGGCATTTTGGTCAATGACTGCGTGATGGGGTGAGGAAGACTCGATGCGCACCATGAGAACGAGGTCCTGACTTGTCAGAAGAGGCTGGACCTGTCGGTAAATGGTGACGGGAGTTGTTTCCTCTTGCAGTCTGCCTGAAGAAACCGTTTCGATTGTAGAGAAGGCAGGTCTGACGTTTGGTGAGGAAGGATCGAGGACTATGACTGCTTCCGTCTCGACGCGAAACGGCGACGTAGATGCTCCTCGCCGGGGAGAAGGTAGGATCGAGGGGCTGCTAAGTTAGGCGTCTCGGACAGGTAGGTATTCTGTGGATAAGGTAGTCGTTGAGACGAGGTCTAGGACTCGTCGCGTCCTGCCTGCCTCTTTGGACGTCGAACGTTTGCGGAAGAAGCCGTCGACGGGGCCGGCTGGCGAGGTGGCCAGCGCAAGTAAGGTCGACGATACTCGGAGGTGATGTTCGTCGGTGCGGCTCTGGAGGTCGGTCGATGTCCATTCAGTGAGATGAAGGTGGTGACGGCGAACGAATGGACGTGCGCTGGAGAGTTCAAGTTATCCAGACGCAGCGAAACCAATGACCAAACCGAAATCAAACGAATTTTGGAGGGACGGCGGATGCAGTGTGTTTGCTAAGGTATCCGGGCTAAGGCTGGAGCAGTGGAGCAGGGGTGCTCGGTGGTGGATACTCCATATTATGGTCTATTCTCGTTGTGTCTTAGCGTCACGCGGGCACCACGGGGCGAGGCCTAATTGGGTCCTAGTGTCATTTTCGAAGCCGGGAAGGCAACTTCTAGAGTCGCTATTAACTCGATCGATACTGTGACAATAGGATCAATAGAGACCGTCTTGTACTAAACAATGGTGCTCGAAACCATATGTTTCCTCTTGTATTCGTATTTGCCGGACTGTAGCAAACTTCAACTGCGTCACGATTCTGCATTATAATTGATGGAAGAATCTGGTCCACGATTTGCTATCACGCTGGTTTACTGATTGCGTACCCATAATGTAGGTGGCGTTCGGAAAGCTGCAGATTCTCACATGCCGCCCAGTAGCCTACTGGCCCAACTCGTCAACTGTGGAGGAGTTTCTGACGAAACCTGGAGCGGCTTTTTCTGGTTTTGGTCAAGATTGAAATAGGAAAAAAAGCAATATCAAAAAAGAAAGCATGCAAGGTAGTAGTAGTCACAGTCAAGACCCAAGACGGGACGGAAGAGCAGCAATAATCAGTCACAACTCACCAATCGTCTCCCAGTACGAGTATCAAGCGGGCTAACTTCCGCATGATACGACGGGAAGAGCTGACCCCTCCGTTTGCCAACTACCTCTTCACAGTGTGCATCTGGGCAGCTCCTTGAAGTGCAGGACTGCTTAGTATATCAGCTAGGTAGGTAAGTACCTAGAAATCGGTAAAGCGGGAGCGAACTGGGCCAACACTGTGCATTCTTTCCGGCCTCCGAGTTGTTTTCTCTCTCCAAGGTTGTTTGTCCGGCGATTCCCCCATCATCCTCCGACTCCCTTGCTTCCTCCCGCAGCGTTGAGGGCTTGGCTCACCGTTGACAATGTCCAGTCGGTCAGGAACAAAGGCGGCAAAAGGTGTCAGTTGAGACGTTTCTTTGTTTCTTTCTTATGCGCAATGGCCGGTCGATAGGTTTGTTGTCAACAGGGCCTTTATCTTTATTTTCATTTTCTCTTCTTTTCACCATTAAACGGCCTAGGAATCTGCTTCTGTTCCCAGCGGACCAAACATATAAGACGGCATTCGCACACTATTCACCTGAATTGGGATCGCAGAATTTTGACAAGGACGATGAACTTACTTGGTTGACTTACTTGGCGTTGGCCTGATGATATCTGATACTGCCCTGGACCAGGCGCAGGCCAGTGACCTGTGGCTGGTGGAAACGCCGTCGATGGTCCCTTTTTACTAGCCCCGATTGAAGGGCCTAATTATCCTTGCCGTGAGATTCTTTTTTAGATGCATCTAGGCTTCAGGGACCAGATTCAAGCCTGATGTCGCCGTTAGGTAAGCCATCACATTCCACACAGCATGACATTTTGGAGCAGCGCCTTTCAACTGTGAAAACGGAATCGAAATTCGTTCCATACGTGAGTTTGAATGCCGTCCGTGTCCGGCCTTCCCTGGCCTGTCAATTTCGCCAGTCTGTTGTGATTTGAGCGGGACGCGCCCACGTTGGAAAAAGTAACAAGATTACATGCGCTATCCAGGCCAGCATCACCTTGCAGAGCACTGCTAGCCGACATGCATGAGCAAATGAATTGGTTTGTTTCCCTAAGGGCCCGACTGTTGCTCCTCCGGGCTACCCTTGCTAGGCTGGGGGGAACGAGCCGGTGCAAGATGCGATCACTCGCCCCCCCTTCCGCACCGTTAATACCACGAGGGAACGTCCTGGTAAATCTGGGTCTTGTGGTGCATGTTCGGTCTTGTCTTCTGCTATGGCGAAACCGACAACGGCACGAGAGCGCCGGCGGTGGCTCGGGGTAGGGATGCGGGACGGGATTATGGGTGCCCTGGACGTGAGCATCCGTTCGGTCGTCTACGCAATGAATGGACCGCGGCATGCGTGTCCTAGCAACGGTAGAAACGCAGGGAGACGCAAGCACGGGGAATGCGAGATGAAGAATTTCGGGACACGATGCGGACGACACGAATCAACACCACGGCCGAAGACGAAACAAGATGCAAAGAGAAATCGGGACGATGTCAGGTCATGGAGAAGGTACTTTTGACGTGTGCAAAGTCGTTCGCCATCTGCGCCTCATAGCAACGAACTCTATTGGACTTCCCATCGGTTCCGGACCACATGTCTACTACCTGAAGTACATGGTAGAAGTCAATATCACGAGTTTTAAGGGACCTGCCAAGCTGGGATAAGGATAAGGTAAGGTGAAGAAGGAAGGAAGGAAGAAATGACTGGACAAGCGCCGTCCCGCGTGGTGCCCATCTTCAGCTTCAGCACATTAAGGTACGACTACTTCGAATTCAGCTACTCGTAGCCAGCATTCGGTTTGAATTGAGGTGGCATCAATCACCTCCAACCTCCAGGCTTAGGTAGCCTGCTGTCGGGTCCATCCTTAAAGCTCCAGCCCCCGTTGACTTTAGCCTCAGACGCCTCCTGCCCGTCACCTTTGTGGATTATCCTCGACTAATGGCGGTCCTTTATTCTCGTGTCCCTATCCCTTTAATCGCCTCAAACTGCCCATTTACGAGTTAAAACGCCGCCCTGCCATTTGCTCTCTCCCTCGCCTCGGTCTCCAGGCCTATCTAATAATATTCAGAGAAGAGCTCCTACCTCCTTCCTCGTTATCCCTACTTCACAAATATCTTACCTTGCAGACTCGTCCGTATCACAGCCCGCCGACTTCTCTGCAGTTCCACGTGGAATATCTCCCCGACAACAAATCAACTCCGGCACCAATTCCTCGGAGTAGCAGCTCTAAGCTTGAGCTTACCTTGAGCTTGAGCCTTGTCAGTCTGATCGCTCGACAGACAAACTGTCCACGGACGGACCCGTCCCTCGCAACTACTCTGTGGTGTACGAGCATCGCATCGCCAACTTGGCCACACGGGCCACTCGTCGACAACCCCTTCCTCATTTGGCTTCCTTCCATTCCTTCCTTCTGGGGCCAACCAAGACATCTCAATCTCACTTCGACCACCGTTTCCACGACTACAATTCCGCTTCGCTTTCAACCCATCTCAGCATCGACTCGATTGTTGGTTGTTCATGCTCATTGCCAGTCCGACAAACCCCATATTCGTCCAATTCAGTGCGTTTCTTGGCATCAGATATTAGGATTTTGCGATTCGGCCAGTCCCAGCAATTAGACTTCCTTCGGGCAGCTCAGCTCTACGACAACTGATTCGGCATTCAAGACACTTGTCCAAGACACAGTCGGTTCTAGAGGACGGCGACGAGACAGCACTCGGAAATACCCTTGGGGGCTTATTACGTGCGGTCGTACCCCAGTCAACACCACTCGGCAAGCAGGGCAGCCAACAGCGGAATCTGCAAGCACTCGCACTCACTCGTGCATACGGAGTAAAGGTGCAGCAGCACAGCAGCATCGGCTCCTGGACCAGAACGTGGACCGTCACCCTTCGTCTGTCCTCCACTGCGTCCCCAGCGCCGTCTATGCGCCCTTACATTTGCGTCGCAATGATCCAATAGCGTCCTTCCACGCCAATTCAGTACCCCCCAATCACATCTCACAGCGCCGTCTTGAGCAACTCCAACCTCCAACATCTGTTACCGACGACCCTTCTTCTACGACCACTCGCCACATCTGGCCGGACAGTCTGTCAACCCGTCAGCTCAGCTCAGCCTAGCCCAGCCCAGCCCAGCCAAAAGCCAGTCCAACCTGTGCGAAGAGGCCACCAGCTAGGGGGAGGAAAGCCACTGAAGGAAAGAGCGAGGGGAAGGGAAAAAAATAATACAGGTCGAGAAAAAAAAGCGAACATCTCATCCCGGCCAAAAAGACGAAGAATAACAACAACCACTTTGGCGGAGGACCCATCATCACCGCGGCATCGAATCTCTCTCCTTCCCTTTCTCCCTCCGCCCCCTGGTCGCAATCATCTCATTAGACCCTCACCTTCTCCTCACCTTACCCGCATAACGCCGTCACCTACTGCGCACACTTACCGTACCTGGTCCCAGCTGCCGAACGACTGACAATCCCTGGCCTCTGCCGCTTTTTTCTCGCTTCGCCAGCTTGAGATTCTCCGCCCCCAGTCGTCGCACCCAGGTCAACTTGAGCCCAGGCCAGGCTGCCCAGACAGCATTTCATCTCCTATGTATTGATCCTGTCACAACCCATTCTCTTCAGCAAACGCCACCCGCAACTGTCGCGGCGCCTGGTATCGTCGGCATCATGGCTGCTCCAAGGCCAGAAGTTGGCGATATCCTCCTCGTCATACGTAAGTTCGATCCCTATTTCTGCTGACGCCGACTTGCTCACCCTGAGCCCACCTGCCGTTCTCGTCCCGCTCGTCGGATTCGCGTCATGCAACCTCGTTTTCTCCCCGCCTTCGACACGACCCGGCCCCTCGATTGCCTTGCCTTGACTGAACTGACATTTTCTCTCTTAGACGACTTCATTGCTCGCAGTTCCGATGAATTGAGTTTGGCCAAGGGCGACCGTGTCGAGCTGATCGAGCGAGACGATGAGTTTGGCGACGGATGGTTCTTGGGCAAACACCTGGTAAACGGCAACAGCGGCCTGTTTCCCGAAGGCGAGTTGCAGCAGTACCCCCTACAAACGACGCGCAGCTGACCTGTTTCCTTAGTCTACACCAGGCCAGCCCCGAAGACCGCCCCTACGAACAACTTCTCAAAACCGTTGGCAACGCTGCCCGAAGTAACGAACGAACCCAAGCAAACACCCGCTGAAGTCCCGACCGAGAGCAAAGCCGCCACGCCGACCCCGCCGCCGGCGCCCGTGTCCCCCGCCGATTCTACCGCTCCCGTAACTCTGCCCCTGAATAGCATCAAGCAAGAGACCTCTCCGAGCGATAGTGCGCCTCCCGTCGCAGGCTCCTTGTCGAGCTCCTTGGGTCGGTTGAATACGAACCAGGATCACGTTTTGAACGAGACACTCAATGTCATCGACGAGCACATCACCGATCTGCGCTCGGCGCCTAGCAATGGCGCACTGCGCGCCCCCACCGATTCCGGGAGCGAATACAGCGCGAACCTCGATCACCGGATGTCCTATATTCACGGCGAAGAGACCGACGAGGAGGAGGAGGGTATGCACAGCCGCTCCGAAGTAGAAGCCTGGTCGGCCGATGATGTCGCCGAGTATCTATTCACAGTCGGCGTTGAGAAGTCACATTGCGAGGTTTTCCGAGACCAAGAAATTACCGGCGAAGTCCTTTTGGGCATGGACCAGAGCTCTCTGTTCATTAAGGCCTTTGAACTGGGTTCCGTGGGTCGACGACTGAAGACGTGGCAGAAGATCAAGTCCTTGCAAGACGAATGCAACAACATCGGAGTAGCGACCAGGCGCACCACACAAACGTACGGTAGCGACGTCGGTTCGGAAGACGCGAAGCGTTCGCGTAGTCGGACGAACACCCTGACAAACTCCATTCCTAGGATGACACCGGTTGACGACAGGGCCATGTCGCTTTCCAGCAAACGACTTTCCTTTTCCCAAACGCCCAAATTGGATACTGCCACTCTGGTGTCTCCCGTTTCCCCAATTACTGACAGTCCGACGCGGCCATCTCACATGAAACGACCTTCAGCTGCCTCCGTCAGAGATTTGCACCACTCCCGTCGACACTCGTCGTCCACTGATTTCCGTCTGACGGGAACGACAATGGGCAATGCTGTCACGCCGAAACTGGCTACGAGTGGCACATTTCCCCAGGCAGACGGTGTCCATAAGAAGCAACCATCTTTCGATAGGAACTGGACTCTTGGCGGCGCCTCCCAACGACCGCTTTCTTCTACCGGATTCCAAGACGTCATGCAGCAATCCGGTCTCCACGCTCCGGAGTCCGCCATCGATACCGACCGCGGATACTTCAGCGGCACTGAAGTCGACGGCCGGCGCCGCAACGTGCTCAAGAAGCGCGACAGCACCGCCAGTCATTCCCGAAAGCATAGCTACGCCGACGAGCAGCGAGTCCGCAGCGCAACAGCTATTTCGAGACACTCCAGATTCGGCAGCGTTGACTCGACACGCGACTCCGTCGCTTCTCCAGCAGCCCAGAAGTACTACGGCATGCAGTCCACCACCCCTCACAGACGAACCGCTTCAACAAGTACCACTCAGTCTGCACGGCCAGCTCCCCCTATTAAGGATACCGGTGCTCCCAGCGTCACGAAGCTTGATGGTGCTACTTCTACGATTCGCGAGTCTCCAGTGCCGCAGTCCCCGGCAGCGCGACAAGGCTACCATGCTGAGTGGCTGTCCGCTGTGGTAAAACCATCGGTGAAGGTCACTGGCCTCAGGGCCATCTCCGATTCCGTCTCGTCGGATCGCAAAAAGATGGCATCGCCTGTGGACTCTCCCCTCAAGGTGGACTCGCCTCTGCATTCGCCCGCCAGGACCGGATCTAGTACTCCTTCAGCTGGCCCGAGTTTCGAGCTGGACTCACCGGATACCGCCAAGAGCCCCAGCACTGCGACGACGGTGGCCAGTAAGGGCAGCAGGAAGAAGGGCAAGAAGGAGACGAGCGCATACCAGCGCGGTCTGCTGAAGATCAGCCCCGCAGAGGCTATGAAGGATGCAGACTACAGCGGCTGGATGCGGAAGAAGAGTTCAAACCTCATGACGACATGGAAGCCCAGATTTTTCGTCCTAAAGGGCCGGCGCCTGGCATACTACTACTCTGAAAGCGATGATCAGGAGAAGGGACTCATTGATATCTCCTTCCATCGCGTCCTCCCGGCAGACAATGAGCGACTGACGGGTCTACATGCCACTCTCACTGGCGCTGGAGCTGCGGCGCGCGAAGATGCTTCTGGAGACAAGGGCGATGATGCCATGTTCATCTTCAAGCTTGTCCCACCCCGCGCGGGTCTGTCGCGCGCTGTCAACTTCACCAAGCCAACCGTCCACTACTTTGCTGTGCCCAACCTCAAGCAAGGCAGATTGTGGATGGCAGCTCTTATGAAGGCCACTATCGACCGAGATGATACCCAGGCGATAACAACGACGTATCAGCAAAAGACGATTTCCCTGGCCAAGGCTCAACAGCAGCGTCACCGCCCACCTGCGCTGATGAACCTGAATGAAGCTACAGAAGAGGAGAGGAAGAGGTTGCAGGAGGCCAAGAAGAATCCTGACGTTCTTGGCATTACATTTGGCGAGACCGATAGTGGAGTTTCTGGCCTTGAGAAACCCACGTTCAAGGTCGAGCCTGCAAGCGCGCGAAAGTTGGCATTTGAATCAGAGAACAACGGCACAGGTGAGGCTCCACCACAAAGTGCTTGAGGGTGTGGGCAGTGAATCCGCTCACCGCGCCTAATGGAGTTTCCTTTCCTACCTTTCTTGTACCATGGAACTTTCTATATATACCTTTGTCATGTATGAGGGACACGAATTCCGCATAAGGGCGGCGTATTTGGGATTGCTTGAGGAGAGCCAAGAAATCCTGCAATGAGTGAAGGGGGGATGGACCTGGACATACGAGCGGATAATTTCACAGACACGCCGGCTTTTCTTTCCTTTGTCTTCAACTCTTTTTTCTTCTTCCTTCTCTCAGCTACGAGCCACCCAGAAGAGGTCAGAGACTCGATAGCAGCGCACAGCAATGGAGCTGTACATACGCGGGAGTAAGGGGATTTAGAAGTTTCCGGGGGAGGTCTTGATGTGCCTCTAGGCAAGGCTGACGAATGGAGTTGGCGACAAGAGACCTCCTACACATCCCCCCCAAGAGGGCGGGTATACCATGAATAGTGGATGATAATACACCAATTTCCTAAGCGTCTTAAAATTATTGATGTCTAATGTGTGAAGTCGATGCGGCCGACAATGTGGTTGTCGATGGCTTTGGTATAATCAGCAATAGCAGACGAATCGGAGCATCGTCCCGTTGAGCACGACGAAACACATCCATCATTTATCACGTTCGTTGCCTCGCATGTTGGCTGAATTGCGAATTTCTGTCCGTTTTGCTAGGTACACAAACAAGAGTAGAAAATAGAAAGCCCAGTTCGTCATCTTGCCAATCCTTATCCATCCTTTCCCTCACTTCTTACTCAAAGCTACCAAGATAAGAGACAAAAACAAACCCTGATTCCATTCAGAAAATCGGAGACCGTTCCAATCGGTGAGGTATACATGCCCATGTTTCCGTAACCTTTGCGAGTCGGAGAAAGTATTGGTGGTTCGGTCGACAACGACTGACCGTTGCCAGTGCCGTTGGCCGAAGGTAAGAGTAGCGTGTACAGAAGCGAATTCGTAGACGGCATCAGATCCGGATGAGGACGCCGGTTGTTCTCTAGAACCAGTCTGCGTCGTAGCCGGGAGCCGGGCTCTCCGGGGCAGGAGGAGCCGTGGCGGCGCGCTGGAAGCGACGAGGGGCGCGGCGAAGGCTCTGGACCTGGCCGGTGCTGCCTCCTCCAGTGCCGGCGGTGCTGGTGCTGGTGCGGGCGCCAGGGACCGTGGGGGCAGGACGGGTCGGGCAGGGAGGAGCGGCGACGCCGTCGGTGCCGGCTGGGACGGGGTAGCCCGCGGGAGGGGCGGGGTACTCGGACTCGGTCATGCCATAGGCGGCGAGGACTTTACGGCGCTGGTCGTGCGTCAGGGGAACGGGGTCCACGCCGTCGGGGAGAGGGTGGTGGTTGCGCTGAAGGTGAGCGTAGCCGTAGGCGAGGGCCTCCTCGTGGTAGGCCGGGTCGTCCCAAGGCTGCTGCTGAGGGCCGGAGAGGGTGGGCGTGACGGCGCTGCCGGGAGCCTGGTAGAGGTCGTCGTTCTCCTCGGCGAAGAAGTCGTCCAGCTCCTCCCACTTGTCGTCCGTCGTCTTGGGGCGGTGGTTGGAGGCCGGGGTAGGCGGGAAGGCCGGACCGCTGTGGCCGTAGCTACGAGTTCCGGCGAGCGGCTGGGGCTGAGGGAACTGACCGTTGAAGTTGACGGTCTGCGAGACGATCTTGGAGGTGTCGCCGGGCGCAAGGGCGAGGTTGGTGGTCGTTTGGGCGACGGGCTTCTTGTTCTTCACGGGAGAATCCTTGACTAGCTGATCGTAGTCGTCCTGGATGAGGGACTGGTAATCGTCCGCGGTGAAGCTCAGGCGCTCTGGGGCTTTGGCGGACTGGGCAGCCTTTGCGGCCTCTGCGACCTTTGCGGCCTCTGCGGCCTCTGCGGCCTCGGCAGCCTGGGCTCGGCGTACCTGGCGAGCCAGAAGTTCCTGCTCGTAGACGATGTACGGACCGGGCTTGTCCTTGGTTCCGAAGAAGGCGTTGAGTTCAGCGCGGGAGGATAACTTCTTCTTGCCGGCGGGCTGAGCGGAGGTCTGAGCGGAGGGCTCCTTCTCCTGTCGGCTCTGGGGTCTACTGAAGTTGACGACACCAGAAGAACCCTTCGTATCGTTCTTTGAATCATCGGCCGTGAGCTGTTTTGTGCGAGAAGGAATGCGAAGCGGCGCTGGCTTCATAGTGTGGCAAGCAATGGAGCGCGCGGCGTAAGCCTCCTCGTCGAAAGCAGGAGCGGACGCCTTGTTCTTGCCAAAGCCAGGGACGATGTCGGACTTCTTGATATCCGTCGAGATCTGGTCCCGAATAGGCTTCGTATTCTCAAGATGAACGATCTCGTCCTTTGCATGAGCGGCGTTGACGACCTCATGCGCGCGTCGGTTCGCGTCCTCTTTCTCTTTGAGCTTCGCCGCAGCCTTACTAGCCTTGACAGACTCAGTGTCGGAGATCTCAGCATCAGGGACATTGAGGTAAGTTCGAACGCCGCCCTAGAACGCATCGACCTCCTCGGGGTCTCTCTGGATGAAAGCAAAGGACTCTCCATTGGCGCCTGACTGTGCAAGGGGCTTCGAAGCACCCTGGGACGAAGACGAGACAACTACCTCGCGAGACTCATCGAGGGTCATGGTGCCATCATCGTCGTTGATGCTTTTGTCGATAGTGATGTCGGCTCCGTCGTCGTCGCCCTTGTCGCAGACGTTCTCACGCTTAGCGACTTTCTGCGCTTTTTTGTCGGCCTTCTTCTGTGCCTTCTTATCAGCTCGACGCGAAGCTTTGGTGCTGGCGTCGGACGCGGTACTCGAGATAGCACTTTTGGAAGACTGTCCGATTTTGAGGGCCTCAGCGACCGCCTCTTTCTGCAGGCGCTCCTGCTTGGCAGTGGGGTGACGCTCCTCGAACGTCTCGTGCAAATCAACAAGCTTGTTGTGAAGCTCGAGCTTGGCAGCCTTCAACATTGACTTTCCCTCGTCTTGCTCGATGGGAAGAACGTCAACCTTCTCATCGTTGCGCTTGGGAGGGACGTAGTCGTCGAGGCAACGGGCCAATGGCTGGGTTTTGTAGAACTCCTGCATTTTGAGGAGATCCAACTCATCCTCGTCGGCGTTCAAGCTCTTTTGCTGGATAGGCTGAGAAGCCTGACCGACGGCCATGGATGAGACGGTCGTGCTGGTATCGATGGAAGCATCGACCGACTTACCCTTGCCCTTGTCGACGATGGGCGAGGACGGGGTGTGATCACAGTCAGCCATGCTGTCAGCGGCGATTTTCTCGGGGGTCTCGCCGGCGCCCTCAAATTTTGCGACCATAGCCTTGACGGACGAAGCAGCGGAGGCCTGACGGTGACGAGATGTAGGAAGGGGAGGATGAATGCCAGCAATGACGTCTCGTTTGCGATGGATAATGCTCTTGCTCTCGGGAAGAGGAGGGACGGTTTGGTCGGTTCCAGAAGCAGATTCTTCCTTGGAAATATAGCAAGAGGTGTTTCGACCCAGGTTGGCAGAAAAGCTGACGGGAAATCGGCCGACAGGGCGCTTTCGGTCAAGGACACTAGGCTCTGCTCTAGCCTGAGGCTTCTCTGGGCCATCGTCGAGAGGGACAGTCATCGTCGGGGTGATGGAGGGTTCCACTGAGATGAGAGCGTGCTGATTATGCGATGAAAAGGAGTGTACGACACAAATAATAGGAGTGAATGCAACGCGTGATATGAGATGAAAAGGGATGGGCCAGACACCAAGAGGCCAGACAAAAACCAGCAAGAGGTGGTGAAGGAATAGCAAATAGACCTGAGTGAGAAAGGGAAGAAATTAACACACTCAGAAGAGTGATGTGAGAACCTTGGCCTTGTTCTCTGTGAGGTGGTGAAGCTTAGTTTTCTAAAAAGGCAAGAGCAGGAAGGGCAGAGCACCTTCCTTTGGAGGATTTAGAGCCACAATGTGCACTTTGCACCATCACAACCTGAACATTTGATCATTTGCTTGTCAATGATAACACCTTGAAGGAATCTAAAAACCAGAGTAGGTTAAGCATCAAGTTCAGGGTGAAAATGAGAAATTGGTGACCCTGAATGCTCCCGAGACTGCCACATCTCCTCTACAGCCTCATGCTGTCGTAAGTTACCGCGCATAGAACTCCCAGAGAATCAGAGCCATTATGTACTCGGTTTTCCTCACCAGAAGAAATGTATCTAATGAAGATGTATGGCATTTGAGACTTCTGTCCCTGAGGTCGTCTGGGTGGTGTACTACTGGGCTTCTGACTTTCAGCAACCACCCAACCATGCTGCCATAGTCTTTCCAAATGACCGTAATAATGGCATAGTACGAGTGATTAGAGTGACGCAATGGAGTCAGATTCGTTGCCGCAATGGCTGGCCTTCCCTCACCTACTCCCAAAGCGAGCAAATTCGATGGGAGAAAGCTATGACGATGAAGTCGTTCGCACCACATCGTTTTTCTTTAGTACCAGAAATATATGCTATTTCTCCAGTTCATCCAGAAATCTGGGTGTTTCGACGAGAAATTAGAAAAAAAAAAGACGAATGTTTTGTTTGGGAAAAGCGGCGATTTTTCGAAGCTGAAGATGAAGCTCAAATGTTGATTCCGTCCTCGACGACGTCGAAGCGCACGGGCCAAAAAACCACCGACCCACCTTCCCGACCGGCATCCTCCGTGCCTTCTCAGGGTTCCACGTTGCTCAAAGTCCCCCACATCAGTGAGTGACCTGCCTAGGGGAACAGATCACAGCTGGCATTTGGCATTCGACATCAACGACGAACAACTCAATCAAACCGCCAAAATGGACCCCTACTCTGCTGAAGGCGAATTGATCAACATCCACAACCACTTCCATCAGGGCCAGTACCAGGACGTCATCGACTACGATACTTCTGCCCTGTCCCCCGAGAATGAGCTTCCCGCCCGAGTTCTTGTCCTCCGCTCCCGCGTCGCCCTAGGCCAATCCGAAGATGTCCTCGCCGACGTGCAGGGAGAGAAGGAACCCGAATTAGTCGCCATTGGCGCCCTGGCTGAGAGTGCGCTTGGAAAGACGGATTCTGCGGTCAAGACCATCGAGAAGCTCGCCGCGTCCGAGGGAGAGAATGTCACGGTCCAGATCGTTGGAGGCACCGTCCTGCAGGCTGCAGGAAAGTCAGAGGAAGCGCTTGCGCTGTTGTCGCAACACCAGGGCAGTCGTAAGTAATGCATGTGCAGCCTGGTCTAGCAATCGCTAACATACCCTGTGCAGTTGACGCCGTTGCCTTGATCGTCCAAATTCATCTCCAGCAGAACCGAAACGACCTCGCCCTCAAGGAGGTCACTGCCGCCAGGAGGTGGGCGCAGGACAGTTTGCTGGTCAACTTGGCCGAGTCGTGGGTTGGTCTGAGACAGGTTCGATATACATGGTCCTTCGACGAAGAGACAAGATACTAAGGCGATACAGGGCGGAGACAAGTACCAGCAGGCTTTCTACGTATTCGAGGAGCTTGCGCAGGCGCCGGCAACCTCGTCGATTGCGACGCTCGTTTCCCAAGCTGTTGCAGAGCTGCACCTTGGACGCACAGAGGAGGCTCAGGCTGCTCTGGACCAGGCACTTTCGAAGAACTCAAACTACGCCGAGGCTATTGCCAACCTGCTAGTGTTGACGGTGATCTCGGGCAAGGACCCCAAGGAATTCGCGGAGTAAGTTCCGGACCCCTTGGCAAGGAAAGGAGAAAATAACTGACCACATGGATACAGCAAGCTTAAGGCGGCGGACCCCAAGCACCAGTACCTGGTGGATTTGGAGGAGAAGAGCGCGCTGTTCGACAAGGCGGCCACCAAGTACAGCGCCAAGGTGTCGGCATAGGTGGCGATTTGATGTGCTGCTGACTAGGCATAATGTTAGGCGTACGGTTTAGAGGAACTGAAATGGATACAACGGCTCGGAAAAGCGAAACGAGACCACCCGAATTACTACTTTCCGCTTGAAGATACCCAATGCCGTTCTCCTCTGTGTTCCAGAACTCGCGTCTTCTCGATGCGCGCCACCCGAACCCCGAACCAGTGATCAGCGGGCCTCGAAGGGTCTAATGCTTTGTTGGTCTGGTCTGGCCACCTGTTGGCTTCGGAGCGCGCTACGGGGATAACTGTGTGGCCGGCTTGGGATGGCCGGTGGACTGAGGTCGCCTCCGAAGTGACGGCCCGGTTGTTTTCGTAGCCCGATGATTGACAACATGGCCTTCCAGTTTCTCACTAGCACTGAGCGCTCTTTACATGGTTCTGCTCCGCCCGAGTCAGGGCTCTTGACGGCAGGTACAAATCGCCAAAGGTTTGGCTCGGGCTTACCCGCATTGCTCTCGGACTGTCCTTTGGTTTCTTTGCGGAGAGAATTTTCCGGTGGGGTATACGAGCGACAAAGGGCAATCCGATGTTGCCACTATCTTTTGCATCCTGCGAGACAATATCCCATCTGGCTGGTTGAACCGGTGGGCCCAGGCGGGGAGGCGTCGAGAAACACTCATTAGGGTCTCCTATCGATGCTGGGGGTTCGCGGGGTTCAGAAAACTCGATATCGGTGAACGGCATGTTGCAGGCCAGTTTACTGAATGACGTGTTTTAACAGCCCTCATAATCCCGCATGCACATGTAAAATTGCTCTCGGGGTTTGAAGGAGCCTCCATCGTCATCATCCATGGCGAGTGAACAATATGGAAAAGGTCTCGGCGGACAATGCAAGACGGCTGGCGAGGGGTTCGATGCAGGTCAAGGTAACGACGGAGACTCCTCACGACGATGGTGTCTGAATGGCCCAGTCACCTTGACACGACAGGGACGCCGTTTGTTCACCGCCATGGCGGCACAGATCCCTCCATAATCAGTCATCATGCAGAGTTGCAGTGGCAGGGGAGGGAGAGAAAAGCGTAGCGAAATCTATCGACGAGGGCCGTAGGACAGACGACTAAGCGCGGTTTACCTGCAGATGGGATGGGTTTGAAAGAGGCTCTCCCATTTGCTACAGCATCCCCGACCTCGCTTGTTTCGATCTGGGCCTCAAGCCTCCTTCACAATGCATATGCATGACTCCACGGACTCGGTCTAGATAAGCTGGAGTGCAGAAACAACGACACTGACTTGACAACACAGCCCAACCATCGCTGTACTACTGCGTACGGCGGAGTAACCTTCCTAACAAATCCTGGTGATTTGCAGGTCAAATGCAAGTAGGAGCAGACATGGAGATTGAGAAAGCCCCACCGAGAACGGAATGACATCATGGCTTTGAATTCGCGATCCCCCGCTCGCCAACCAAATGCCATATGCTCTAGAAACGCCTTTCCCATTTTAGGAAGATTCGGTAGGGTTGTTACAAGCATTACGGACGCCCAGCCGCCGACAGACCACGCTAGGTACGTGCAACATCAATATTCACCAGTTAACTTTTTTTTTTTAATTCCCTGACATTTTCAGTTGCTTTCTTGCTTACCTAAGTCTATTCAAGTGAGGGGCTGGAAACTCCGCCGGTAGCATCGTTGTCGTCAGGCCCATGTCTACCGTCCAGCTCGGGTTGGATGCGGCCAGGGCTTGGCTGTTCCTCCGGGGCTGGAATGTTCTCTAAACTCGATATCCAGAACGGATGTATCACGTCGCCTCCCGATTCCCTGTGGACGAACGGAGGAGCCGCTGTCCGAAGTATCGGATTCTGCCCAGCTATCGGCTGTTCCTAGTTCCCCCCCGAATCGGAAACAGTTTGTGTCTTTCCACATGTCTCTGATGCTTATCTGTTAGGACGTCGAATAGGTACGTTCCTGTTCTGGGCATATCGGAGGAACCTCCTGGCGATCAGTAGCGGCTCTGCGATAGTCAAAGAAGAGGGAGGGCAGGAGGCTCTTGTCCGAGTGGCAGAACACGGGCTGATTTGTCATAGAGACTGCCGGCTGCTTCCCGCCACGGTGGGAGCGTGGCCACCCTCCCATTCATGACTGGCGAAGGAGTCGCTCAGCCATCCCGGTCACCTATCATGGCGCTAGAGATCCCGATTCGGCATGGGTTGGAAAAATCGAAGGAAAAAACTCGAGGAGAGCCAGATGCGACTACGGGCCCTGTGAGAAGCCGTCATCGAAGTAGCATGCACAGTCTGCGGTACGCCCGTTGCGCCGCCGTCCCAGTCGGCGTGTAGCCGCTTGCCATCTCACCTAAGCATCCCCCGGAAGCGGCGTTGTTCAACGAGCGGAGTCGTCCACCTTGGGCTTGGCCTTGGTTCGGGTTCCTCATTGTCGTTGTCCTCATGCAGCATGGCGCGCCGTGACGTGCTCTCCCCCGTGTTCTTCGGGGGGATCGGTGGGAGCTACTCTTAGGCCGTCATCGTGAGAGACGGGCTGTGCGCGCCTTTTTTTCGCCGCTACCGCTCGCGGGTCGGTCGAGAGTTCGGCGAACATCGTGTGGCATTGACTCCTATAAAGCCGGATGGGTTCCCGTTGAAACCTGTTCGTGACAACTCTAATCGTCAGCACTCAAGCTTTGGACACAAAAGCCTTGGACATCAAGCCCATACATATAAACTGTTCAGTGAAGAACTCGATCACTCACATACACTGCCCAACTTCAGTAACTGCAATCACTTCCAACAACCGCCAAAATGCCTATCGCCATCACTCCTCCTGAGACCAAGGCCAACCCCATGAGCCTGGCCGCTGTCTACGAGAACAAGAAGCGCAAGATCATCTGCTTCTCAGGTAAGAGGAACAAGTTTTTTTGACGCAGGTTCTTGACACTTACACTGGTCCAGATTTCGATGGAACCATCTTCATGCAGGACACCGGCCACATCCTCTTCGATAACCACGGCTGCGGCTCCAAGAAGCGCGAGATCCTGGACGAGCAGATCAAGACCGGCGAGCGGTCTTTCCGCGAGGTCTCCGAGGAGATGTGGGGTTCTCTCAACGTCCCCTTCGACGACGGCTTCGAGGTTATGGAAAAGACCCTGGAGATCGACCCTGACTTCCACGACTTCCACAAGTTCTGCATCGCCAACTCAATCCCCTTCAACGTCATCTCCGCCGGTCTCAAGCCCATATTGAGGAGAGTTCTCGACACCTTCTTGGGCGAGGAGGAGTCTTCTCACATTGACATCGTCGCCAACGATGCCGAGATCACGGATGACGGAACCGCATGGAAGCCTGTCTGGCTCCACGACAACGAGCTCGGCCACGACAAGGCCCTCTCCATGGGTGTGGCTCGCACGCAGGCCGAGATGGAGTGCGAGGACGGCAGCATCCCTCTTATCGTCTTCATCGGCGACGGCGTTTCGGATCTTCCTGCCGCCCGCCAAGCCGACGTCCTGTTCGCTCGCAGGGGTCTGAGATTGGAGGAGTACTGCGTCGAGAACAAGATCTCGTACATCCCCTTCGACACCTTCGCCGACATCCAGAAGAAGATTGAGGAGATCAGGGAGGAGGACGACAAGAAGACCGGCGGCAAGGGTATGCCCGCCGCCTTCAACCCCCGCGCCAACATGTGGCGCCGCATGTCGAGCAAGACCGCCGTTCCTCGCATGGTCGCCATGTCGCCTCAGGAGGAGAAGATGTTCCTGTGGCCCGATATGTTCACTGTTGTTTCTCCTGTCGAGAAGGCCAGGGTCGCGCCCGTTCTGGCTTGATCTTGGCTAGTCCTTTGGGTTTCATTTGGGCGTTCTTGTAAGGGACAGAGTGCATAGCGAGCGGTTAGAATGGGATTTTGAATTGGCGTCTACTGGGCAAGGTTTTACAGAAGACTGTTACACAGATACAGCTTAAAGGGAAAAGACAATAAAGAGATATCGTTTGGTAGTTACCTGATTATCTTGACTCGTAATGGTGCATGCACTCGATGAATATGCCATAACTCGTCTTAATGACTATACTCATACACCTCCACGGCCTTGAGACTACTTCTTGCTACCTCTAGTGTACGCCTATCCCTGCTACTATTAGCTCTAGTGCTACTATTATTATCCGTTCTTACTCCCTAAGTATTCGACCAGGAATAATAACCGTAGAGTAGTGTACAGTTTTACAAACCGAGATCACTCGGATGAGTTGGGATGTACGTATGGACCAGAAAGGATAATGGTCTGTTATGGGTATCTCATCGTGAACCTGTCCCGGGAATCGCTGGATTGCCTGCTTTCACTAGCCTCCCCTTCGCTCGAGTACCGAAGCATGGAGAGGAGATGCAGTTGGATCAGGAGGAAGTAGAGAAAATCTTGAAAAATGCCGCCCTTCCGTCTTGGTACGTCAATGAAGCTCTACAGGTTGGGATCTCGCGGATGGGTCGGGATCGCGCGTCTGTATGGATACAGAAGCAGAAAGACTCTAACCCTTCCGTCGAGCTTCAGACTTCGACTTTCGTATTCAGGCAGGCCAAGATTCGGCTGTCCTCACTCAAATTACAATTGAAAGCCCGGGTACATCGCCCGTCGGGTACACCACGCACACATGCAGCGGCTCCCGCACTATGTGTACCCCTTTGTTTCAGCTCGCAGTCGCCAGCAAACAAAATCTTTTCTGCCTATCGTGAGAACCACTTCTGCCCATATGTGGGCGGTTAACTATCCAAAACCAGTCAACCTCGCTCTCGGGATCGAGAATTTTGTGGGAAGGGTCAATGCGAGTACGAACGGTTCGTCCTAGGAAGCAATATCGTGCCGCTATTCGAACAATCAAAACCAGCCTTACACCCATTTTGGACGACAATGCAGCCCCCATCGACGTTTCAGGGGGATATAAAGGATCATGTGGGATGAGATGTAGGTATGTAGATGGATCGGGGGCAGAAAAACTTCTTGGGATCTACGGAGTCCTCCGACCCAAGATCGAATATCCCCGAACAGTTTTCCTGAAGTGGATGTTGTTTCCCTGCTTACCGCATTGGCGCCGACCACATCGGGACGTCACCGACCTGCGCTTATGGGGATTTGGCAGCCCATCACCGAGCGGTTCTCGAGCCGCCACGGCCGCCACGACCGCCAGGAGGCTCTGTCAAATCTAAAGGCGACGGGGGCGCATCCGATGTTGATTAAAACGTGGGGATTGACGGCGGTTAGCAAGATATGCTTCAAACGTCGCCAAGACTAAATGGTGGCCCTGTCCACGTCCCCCTTTCTCGATCGGGGAACGAACGCCCCAAGCCCACCTGTCAAGACAGGGATGTGAGATCGAGAGAAGAATCAACCTACAACGAGATCCCAAAGTCAGATAGAGTCTCACTTAAAAGCTGTGATGGGCGTTCGTCTCTTCTTGCCATTCTGGTCTGGTTTGTTAACTTTCATTCATCCCATTCCCCTTCTGACTTTGTTGCCTACTTCCGCTGGAAAGGAACGTAGATTTTCCTCTTCCTCCCTTCGCGGTCTTCACCTTCGTTTCTTGAACAACCAAACCGTCATTCGTTGAACAAATCCCCCCAAGTCAAAGATGTATCACTCATCAACTCTTCTCCTGGCCTCCGCCGGCCTGGCGAGCGCCTTCACCAACACCAAGGTCGACTTCTTCATGCGCAAGAACATTGACCCCATCGTCATCCCCGGCGAGTACAAGAGCCACATGCACAGCTTCTTCGGCAGCGACGCCGTCAACGTCAACCTGAGCACCACGGCCGACCTGCAGAAGGGCTGCGCCACCGCCCAGAACCCCAACGACTTGTCCGTTTACTGTAAGTCTTTGGAGTGGCTGCTTTCGCCATGAGCTCGAGAGACTGACAATTCGAAGGGATCCCGACTCTCTACCACGTCGAGGGCGACAAGCGCACCCCCATCGAGCCCGTCGCCTTCACGGCCTACTACAACTTTGACAAGGACCCGGCCGAGGTCGCCATCCCGCCCAACTTCAACGTCGTCGCCGGCAACGCCCAGGCCAAGACCGAGGCCGACCTGATCGAGGGCTCCGACATCGCCTGGCTCTGCCAGAACCAGGACTTCGACGCCGGCGGCAAGACCAACTCCCAGTTCCCGCAGAAGACGTGCTCGACCTCGCTCCAGTCCGTCCTCTGGTTCCCCGACTGCGTCGACACCACGACCCTCAAGTCCGCGTACTCCAGCAAGGGCGCCTGCGCGAACGGCATGAAGCGCATGCCCCAGCTGCGCTTCAGCATCCGCTACGACACCAAGAAGGCCATCCCCAACGGCTGGGACGGCGAGCCGCCCATCGAGCTCGCCTGCGGCCCCTCCCACTGCTTCCACGGCGACTTCATCAACGGGTGGCTCGAGGAGGCCGCCGAGACCATGGTCACCGCGCTCACCTCCAAGAGGAAGTGGCAGGCCGTCGACGGACCCAACGGCAAGGCCAAGGCCGGTTCCAAGTGCAAGGACAAGGCCACCGACGCGGACCCCGAGAACGGCACCAGCGACTACGCCGAGAGCGTCAAGCTGATGGCCAAGCGCCGCGTGGACATGAAGAAGAGAATTGCCGCTTAGAATGAAGCGGTGTAAGTGGGGGTCGGTGACGGATGGACCCCATGAATGGTGATGAAAGAGAGGTGATGGAATGAACGTTTTTGAAGACGGTTCTTGTACAAAGTTTTAGACCTGTTGTCAGTATTTAACCCGTGTTGATCACACCACTACCGTTGTCCAGACTTGATGTGATATGTTCTTGCATCTGTTTTTATGGGTGGACAAGAGAGCAATTCAAAGCATGCGTAAGAGCGACTATGCAAACCCGTCAGTCACTTTGGTACATATGCGTATAAAGTGCAGTGTGGGCTTACCAGTGTTCTCCGGATGAGATGGTCATTAATAATCAGACAACCTGGCTGCCGTTCTGGCCGGGCCTGATCCAGGCTCCTTTGGCGATCGTATGGCAACGCAAACACGCGCCGTGCCTGACAACCTACTGCCACAGATGGCAATGCTTGTATATCGAATACATCGTACTCTACTGCAACGTACTCGGAGGTCAAAGGCACTTCAAGGTCTATGCCGCAAGAGACATCCCTGTTTCACAGTACATTGCAGCCAGAAGGCATCAGTGGCTTCGCCATGAGCGGTAGATATCGAATACAATGCTTCTGGTCCATGGTCCTCAGCCTGCGTTCTGGGAGTGCACTGAACAAACCCACTCGAGGCAAAATAGGGACCGCCATTCTTGAACACATAGCAAGGCGATAAAACCATGACGGATCAAGGACGAAAATGGAGATGGAGCCTTGACTGATGTAGTAGACTGTATCAACAGAATCGCGATCGATGTCATCCGGTGGAATGGACGATCGTAAGTTGCCAGGCTCTGCGTCGAGCCGATTTTAAGTCTCACGATCGCTGCCGACTTGGCTTCGATCCGATGTTCCATTGATATCGTACTATTGCTCGATGATACCGACTGACGTAGCAAGCTTCTCTGACTGACGATTAGCAGTAGCCATTCGTCTGGGAATTGATACAGACTGACAAGTCGAGTCACGCAACCAAGGTCCAACGCTCTCGAATGACCGGTTTTTCCCGTACTCGACCGATCAATTGCCCATATTGTGAGATAAAAATGTTGAACACAAGGAGAGATTGCGGTCCTGAGCTACACCTGAACGAGGGTTTGGACGCAAATGAAGATGTGACCAGCACCAATATACAAGTTGATTGGAGTTGGAGAATGGGATAATGAGAGCTCATCCCCTGGTTGATAGATACCCAGACTGCCAGTTCATGTTAAGCTGCCCACTTCATACTGCCCGCTGGAGTCGAGCAAATGAATTGCCTACAAGAGGCTTGATTGCCCATTCTGATGACGTTGTCCACAAGTCTTTCTTGACATTGGATGATAGTAAAGCATGCCTCATTCGTGCAGAAAGGCAAAGAAGCCAAGAAAAAAATTGAGACGGCAGTTGAACTAAGTCCCATCTCAAGTCAATCAATACTTGATAATTTGGAGACCAGTTGAAGTCAGTTATCAAAGTTCAATGATGACCTCCAACTCTATGCCGAGTCCTTCTTTTGACATACCGGCATATGACGATGTCATCTCGACAATGGTGGTTCCCGTGATTCCGCTTGGAGTTACATGGCGCGGGTTTTCGATAACAACGGGATATGTTGTCACAACCTCAACAGCACCGCGGGTTTCATACTATCAAGTGCGGGGGTGAAGGATCTTGAGCCACGGTAGGCGTCTTGTGCATCGCAGCTCAACGTTGCCACCCGCCTTGGTATCAAAGGTTTTGCCGCCAGCCGCAGGTCTTTTTCATCCCATGCCGGCGCGGCCGCTGTCCGTATGGTCGGAAGAACACTTGTTTACAAGCCGCGACGGTCTAGTCTCTGAAAGAGAAAGACTCGTCTGATGTTGAGGCGCTTCCTCCCGAGAGTAAAACGTCCCGAGATTCCGCGAGACGTCACAGTCCGTAGTTCTGCTTCGAAGTTGAAGTCGAAATGTAGCGCAGCATACATATGAACGACTAGCGTAACGCCATAAAACAGGGCAAAGCGTTGTGCTTGGGGCGGCCACCCTTGGCTCACACCAAACGCAGTCGCTAGTAAACATCAGCATACATCGGACGGGTAATTAGAAGAGAAGCCAATGCAGATAGTTCGGAGTCGGGGTGTTCGGGAGCGTCCATGGCTCCACGCGGCGGATATCCGGCCGAACCTTGGAAGCTTGGCCCTTGCCCGTCGCAGCTGTGTGGCCTCGAAAAGTCGTGTGTGCCTCGAGTTGTTGGTGATGTCCTGCGTCATAAATGGAGCCCTCGTGCTAAACCAGGAACAGCCACCGAGAGTCCAAGACGGGTTTAAGGATTCACTGGGTCCTTCCGCCGCTGTCTGGCGAGCGATGGTGGATGAGATTCGACACTGGCGATGGATGGTTACGTTGACTGAGGGACTTGAGTCGGGATTGGGAGTGAGAGAGATGGGGCCTCTCTTTGCTTTGCCGGAGGCCTCGTGGAATGCTTGGCTTGATGAGCTTGGGTCTCCAATTGTCTGGAAATGGCTGGCAATTCGGGCGATACCAAGGAGTGAGTGGAGGCGACGAATGTGGCTGTTGAATATCTGGGAGCCTGGCTGGAAGAGGTCATCCTGACGGTGTCGAGGTGAGTTGGCGAGTGGCGCTGCAGAATCCAAGGGCGATCGTCTGTGGTTTGTTTCATTTCAATGCCCATCGGCATCAGCACCAGCCCGGCCGCCTTGTTGCCTTGGTTTGGCTGGATCCATTTGAATTGGATTGATTTCGGCTGAGTTAGAGTGATTGTCGGACGAATTGGTGGAGGTATCAAATGGATGGTCAGCGAGGTACAAGAGCAATAATCCAAGATGATGGTTGAGCAAAGCCAAAAGGGATGGCATTCAGGTATCGAAAAACCTTAGGTAAGGTGGGCGGCACCTTCAGGGCGAAGCTTGGATCGTCGGGGCGTCAAGGGCGGCCCGTGCCCCAGCTCCAGCTCGTCTGCGGCTTGGGTTACCACTGAGCCTGGAAGTTTTAGCGCATCGCAATTTTTAGTGCACTAATCAACCGCTGAGTCGCACCTAGCAATATAAGGCTCAGGAGACGCCTGCGGTACGTACCCAAGGTACTTGCTACCTAAGGTCCAGTTGGACAGGTATTCGGAGTTAATAAGCGCCGATGCGATTACCTCAGTTTTTCCCCCGTGCAATACGAAGTGGTGGTCATCCCCGCGCCCCTCAGCTTGATCGATACATCGAATTCCTGGCCAGGGACGGATATTCCTCCTGGCTGACTGCAACGCCACGTTGTTCGCTGTTCCTGGTTTGACTCTGGCTACACACGAACCTTGGACGACAAACGAGGGAGCAGCACCACTAACGAACAGCGGCTGGCAGAGCCGGGCAAGGATGGAGGGTGTTTTGATGACGAGGCCCACGCGTGCCAAGATGGAAGCGGTTGGCAGCTACTGGCCTCGCACTCGACCTCGACTGGTTTTGACTGGTTCTTGACGTGCCTGAGGGTGAGGTGAGGTTCAGATGGCACGAGCCGCGTCTCTCGGCCCTCGCTGAGCAGATCGACCAAGACTCTTGGGCGAAGGCTTGGAACCACCTGCGAATGCTTGGCGAGGGGGGGAAGCTTGGGAGCCTCAGATGCGTCGCATCGCAATTCGCAAACCCAACAACGCGGGCGCCCTGCTTGCCTGCCCTGATGGAGGGAGGGAGGGAGCCATCCGCCTGTTTGTCCCGACTCCTCCAGAGCTCCAGGGCCGCGGCTTCCTTGCCCAGTGTTACGGATAGGGCAGAGGCGGATGCACGGCAAGCAGATGGGGAAATCGTCCGTGGGATGAATATGTTGTGCGGTGCTGCAGGTGCAGTTGCAGCCGACGAGGGGCATCGCCGGGGGACTGGATTCGTGGAGATGGAGATGGAGGGGAGAAGAGGGGGGATCAATCTGCGCCAAACCTTTCTCGCCCGAGAGGCTAACGCTCTTCGTTGGCACTGGTTGGGACACGATCAAGAAAGTCCGAACCGAAGGAAGCGGGACTTTTGGCGAGGTGGCCGCCACGGAGACATATACGATGAAGTTGGATTTATCCAGGCTGACAGCTGTCTAACTTCCAGCCGGTTCGAGGGAATGGAAGGGGTGAAGAGCGGGAAAACAAGAACTCAAAATCGAGTGATTTGGATCATACCTGCACGCTTTGAATCATAAGACGCAAGGGATAATCGGGTGACAGTCGTCGACGGGGGCGGCAACGCGGGAACTCAGGGGATGAAAGGCATTGATTCTTCGAGGGCAACCTGGAGCCGGGCCTTCATCCATGTGAGAACAGCAGGTCAAGATGAGGGGAGATGGACTCTCGACAAGGTCTGTGACAATTGGACATGGGCTGTGACCTGGTCTCCGGTCTCTCGCGCCTGAAGACGTGTGGATCAAGAATCGTAGGACCCCATCGAGATTCGGGCGGTATTGACGCGGGATTTTGGGAGGTCGGACGTAGTTGAACTTTCAAGAGTTTCCAGACTAGTTCGGATACTGGGTGAGGTGTTTCTTCGTTGGGGCACCGGGCCGACTAACTCGACTAAGGAGGTCTCTTGAGCTGCGCGATAACACGTCCCAGAATTGAACCACCAATATGGAGGTCAGCCAACCGAGGGAACGAGCACGCGACCGAGAGGCGGGACAGCCGCGGGTGCAGGGAAGGGAAGGGTAACGAACATGAGGGAAAAGGAAAAGGGCAGAAGGAAAAGCGAAGGAAGGGGAATGGAAGCACAAGACGGGGCATGTCGGGGGCTGACGATGGGGGCGGACAGGGAGCAGCATCTAATTAAAGGACACGGTTTACTACGCAGTAACTGTCTAATAGGACGGACAAATAAGCAGCCGGTTGATGGTCATGCCGGACGGGACAGAGAGTGAGTAAGTTGAGTTGAGGCACCAACACTTTGAACGGATATGGCAGCAAGTAGAACTCTCAGTCAAGCAAACTTCGAAAGACAGAGGTAGAAATGGCGGTGGGAGATGCAATGCAACTGAGAAACAAAACACACAACAAATCCAAAACAGCTTGCGGCCAACTCTGCATCCGCAGCTGCATCTGCACGACTACATCGCGCAGTACATCTTGGGGGCCAGGCAGTGAGTGAGGTGGATGTGGATGTGGATGTGGATGAGGACGTACTGGGTACGGGCCCTGTCATCAATCATCAAAATCCGCGTAAAGACATCCAGTGTTAGTGAGGTTATTAGTGCAAATGCAAAATGCAGACGGATAGGAGGAAGGGCAGACATATGTTCCGTCTTCTTGGGCGGCATAACTGAGACAAGTACCTCCGTCTCCAAACGCGTTTGACATGTACAAGCGCAAAGGCCTCAGAAGAAGTACATTAAACATGGCAATCTCACTCTCCGTTCGAGCCAAACCAAACTGCCAAAATAGTTTGCAATGGAAAATCCAAGGGAGGGATGGAGGGATAGGGAAAGGAATAAAAAGGAAAGTGACGAGAGAACAGATCAACGTCAGCTGCTTCTGTCGGTCAGGCTCTCTCGTGTCATCTCTTTTCTTCCTTTCTTCTTTGAACTTGTTATTTGGTTGATAATCACTACCGTTCTTCAAGACAAAAACAGAGAGGCATCAAGAAGTATCTGGTGTCTGGTATTAGTACTACGCTCTCTCTCCCTGGTTGTCCCTTCCACCCACGGTTTCTGGTTTCTGTTTCCAGCCGTTTCCAGCTTCTCTCGGGCTTCAGCTTCAGCTTCAGCTCCAGCTGGCTTCCCTGCTCCCGTAACTCCCAAACCAGGTGAATCCACCGCACGGCACCACTCCCCAGACAGTGCACCACTCTCGTCCATCGACAATTTGGTGGGAGACGGGGACGGGGAGACGGAGAGACGGACAGTGGCCACTATTATTGCTGGGGATTGCAATCCGAAGCACCCGCGCGCAACCGCGACACTAACGGCCACCCGACCGGCAGACCATACGCATCTGGGACGAATACAGACACAACCCGAATGCGCGAGACAGGACGACACGACGCGGTACCTCGGCTCGCTGCGATAACCCCAGCAAACATCAAGTACCTTTTGTTGTCAGAATACCCGCGGTGGCTTCAACCCACGCATCAGATACGCCCATCCCAATACTCCTAGCTATCTATTGTAAGGTACTCGACCTTGTCAGATAGACGGATACCATTTCACCTGCGGGAATCTTCAATTGCTTGCTGTGTGCCGGGTTGAGGCGGTCTGCGACACTGAACGACGTGCCGTCTCTTATCCCGTCCATTCCTCATTCCTCACCAGCTCCATCCTCAGTCCCAGCCCCAGGCCTACTTCCTCTCTCTTTCCCGACCTTCAAGTTTGCCTGGAGGCGCCTTACGCATCTTTCCCCTGCGTTTTGTTTCTTGTTCTCGCATTATTTGCTTGGGCTACTCCTTCATTCCAACTGCGCATGGCGTTGGTGCCAGCTTGACGTGCATCCAAGCCACCCGACATAATTAATCCGTACACCATACACCTATTCACCTCCTGTTCTCGACCCTCGACCCTCGACCCTCTTATTACTCGGACATCACCTCTGGGGGTTTTGGAGCTCTGCCACCACTCCTGTTCCTTCGATTCCTCCCCTTTTTCTTTCTGTGGGATATCTCTTCGACCGTTTGGAACACGGCTTCTGCTCTCCACCTTTCCAGAGACGTCGACGATCCAGCTTTCGATATCAATCATCCTTTCGCGGACCTGTTACCTCAACCGACTCGAAGTAATCCGGGCGAGACCTAGACGACCCTCGGGCCTCCCAGACGTCTGACATCCATTCTTGCGACCGTCTCGTGTTACGTTGGCCTTTCTCCGTCAATTCGTCGAAGATAGCTACAAAACACCAAACTCTAACCACGGCGTACACACCATTGCGGTGGACGAGGAGGACAAGTTGAGGCAGACGGAGAAAGCTACCATCGCATCCATATATCCTGATCAGCACCCAACAATCATCGAGTACTACGGGGACCCTGTCTTGCAGCTAAGGTAGCTAGCAAGCCGCAGCATCTGCATCCCTCGCCTCACCAGCTCCAGCGCGCGCGCCTGTCTGCTAGTGTTTGCCGCCCGCTACCACACCGCACCATACCAACGGCTGCGACATCAGCATCAGCATCACCGCATACGACTACATATCTGCCTTGCCTACCTATGTTGAAAGGAGGTGCTCAATCGGGCAAACAGAGCAGCAGCAGCAAGGCCCTTGTCGGAGAAACGGCCAGCTGGGTCATGACAATTGGATAGTCACTGGAGCCATATACGTAAGGTACCGCAAGTACCTGGGCGCGACGGCGACCACAACCTTGAACTTTGGGCTTTCCAGCGCTCCGCATTGCGTCTCCTACGTCACCCCGGCCCCCCCAATCTGGCCGCCCTGCCCGCGAGTGGTGTCTGGCCCTTCGCCATCACACGTCGTCCACGGGTCCCGTCCAGTCGTGTGTGCTGCGCCCTCAAACGCTGTGCTTGGCTTGCCGCAACTCTTTTTAGGGGCCGCTCCCCGACCCGTCGTCCACCATGGTCCGCATCATCCCTGGACGACTCAAGTCCAGCTCTTCTCTCCGCCACAGCCGCTCCAGCAGTCCGACTCGTAACAACAGCAACAGCAGTAACGGCAGTACCGGCAAGATGGCAGAATTGAGTCCAAAAGACAATGGCTTGACCTTGAAGGTCGTCATTATGAAGGTATTCACTCTAGTCTACTGCTCTGCTACCCCGCCACCCTGTCCCGTCCTGTCTCGCTCCCCCGTACTCTCGCTGCAGTCATCTTGTGATACTCGGCAGCGTCCGAATGCTGACGGTTGATCGCATTTCAGGCCCGTAATCTTGCGGCGAAGGACAGAAGCGGCACATCCGACCCGGTAAGACCTCCCAATTGCCATTCTAGCCGATCCACCTTGGCTTTACTAACCTGTGCATCTGCAGTATCTCGTTCTCACGCTCGGTGACGCCAAAGTAACAACTCACGAAGTCCCCAAGACCCTGAACCCCGAATGGAACGTCATCGAAGAATTGCCCGTCCACTCGACCCAGAGTCTCCTCCTCGACGTGATATGCTGGGACAAGGACCGCTTCGGCAAAGACTACCTCGGCGAGTTCGACCTAGCTCTCGAAGAAATCTTCGCCGACGAACAGAACGAGCAGCCCCCGAAATGGTATCCTCTCAAGAGCAAGCGACCCGGCAAGAAGACGAGCGTCGTTTCTGGCGAGGTCATGCTGCAATTCACCCTCTTCGACCAATCCAACACCGCCGCCACCCGCGAACAGGTCTTTGAGAAGTTCTACGCTCTCGTCAGTCAAGTGCCCGCTGGTTCTAGGCAAATCACGCCCACCATGACGCCGTTGATCCAGCCGATTAAGACTCTGCGCGTCCGCAGCGGAACCACACCTTCACCCCCGCTCTCACGAAATGTGACCGACGCCGACCAGGACGACGAGGACGACGACGATCTCGATATCGAAGATGACACCCCCGAAGACGAGGACCCGAGCAAGCCCGAGGTAGCGGAGAAGCGCAAGCGGCGCCTGAGGATCAAGGGACTGAAGAAGAAGAGAAGAGAAGGCGCGTTCGAATTCAATAACAGCGGAGGCGACGTCGTCGGCATAATCTACCTCGAAGTCGTGAACATTACCGATCTCCCTCCCGAGCCCAATTCGACCAGGACAACATTCGACATGGATCCTTTCGTCGTCGCATCCCTCGGCAAGAAGACATACCGAACCAAGCGAGTGCGACACAACCTGAACCCCGTTTTCAACGAGAAGATGATCTTCCAGGTTCAAGGGCACGAACAAACATACTCTTTCTCCTTCACCGTCATGGACCACGACAAGTACTCCGGCAACGACTTCATCGCCGATTGCAACTTGGCCGTCCGGGAACTTGTAGACAAGGCTCCGAAGGCCGATCCCGAGACCGGTCTCTACGAGCTCCCCGAACCTCACGAATTCGTTCCTCCTCAGCAACGCCGATTCAAAAAGCTCGGAATGTCGCGCACATCGTCGTCGCAGAGCCTCAGCAAGGTCGTGCGACCTGGTATGTCCAAGAATCCCAGCACCATGTCCACTGTCACGGGAACCCAGTCCGGTACCGCAACACCTGCTCCCCAGACCGGTACTCTGAACCCAGAGTTCTTGTCGCCTGAGCAAGCTCTTGCTGGTGCCGGAGCTCAGACAGCCGAGGCGGAGGCCGACGACATGGATTTCAACGAGTTCAGCATCCCATTGAAGATGAAGGACGCGAAGAAGTGGGAAGACAAGCACAACCCGGTTTTGTACATTCGTGCGAAGTACGTGCCTTACCCTGCTCTTCGTCAGCAGTTCTGGCGCTCCATGCTCAAGCAGTACGACACGGACGAGAGTGGTCGCATCAGCAAGATCGAATTGACGACAATGCTTGACACACTCGGATCAACGCTGCACGAGTCGACGATCGATGGCTTCTTCCAGCGCTTCCCCCACAGGCAAGAAGGCGACGATGTCGGAGATCTCACCATGGACGAGGCAGTTATCTGCCTAGAGGACCAACTACAAGCCAAGAGCAAGCCGCTCACGGTAGCAGAGAAGATGAAGGGCATGCTGCCAGACACCGACAAGGTCAAGAATCTGCTGCATACTCAAGGAGGTCCCTCGACGGAGTCATCAAGTTCTTCAGATGGCACTATCAACGTGCCAGAGCTGAACACTCCTGGCGAAGAAGGCGATCTGCTCGACAGAGATGATTTGGCCGAGGATCGTTCCGGCGAGGAGCACGTGGTTGAGATCAGAGAATGCCCCATCTGCCACCAGCCTCGCTTGAACAAGCGCAAGGACGCCGACATCATCACCCACATTGCCACATGTGCCAGCCAGGACTGGCGACAAGTCAACAACCTCGTCATGGGCGGCTTCGTCACCGCCAGTCAGGCGCAACGGAAGTGGTACTCCAAGGTCATCACCAAGCTCTCTTACGGTGGATACAAGCTTGGCGCCAACTCAGCCAACATTCTGGTTCAGGACCGCATCACCGGACAGATAAACGAGGAGAAGATGAGCGTCTACGTGAGACTTGGTATCCGTCTCCTCTACAAGGGACTTAAGTCTAGTAACATGGAGACCAAGAGGAGTGAGTACCGCTTCCGTAGTACCCGAAGACAATGTACTGACCCTTTGTTCCAGTTCGTAAGATGCTCAAGAGCATGAGCATCAAGCAGGGCAAGAAGTTCGATGACCCCGCCTCGAAGGCTGAGATTCCCAAGTTCATCGAATTCCACCGTCTCGACATGTCTGAAGTGCTTTTGCCGCAGGAAGAATTCAAGAACTTCAACGAATTCTTCTACAGAGCCTTGAAGCCCGAGGCTCGTCCATGCTCCGCTCCCGACCGCCCTGACGTCGTCGTCTCCCCTGCCGACTGCCGCAGTGTCGTCTTCAACAGCGTTAACCAGGCCACCAGCGTGTGGATCAAGGGTCGCGAGTTCTCCGTCAAGCGGCTCCTTGGCGACGCCTACCCTGAGGACGCGAAGCGTTTCGAAGGTGGTCCGCTGGGCATCTTCCGTTTGGCACCTCAAGATTACCACCGATTCCACATCCCCGTTGATGGCATCATGGACAAGCCAAAGACCATTGCCGGAGAGTACTACACTGTCAACCCCATGGCTATTCGTTCTGCTCTTGACGTCTACGGCGAGAACGTCAGAGTTGTCTGCCCGATCGACAGTCCTGTCCACGGCCGTGTCATGGTTATCTGTGTCGGTGCTATGATGGTTGGCAGCACTGTGATTACCCGTAAGGAGGGTGAGCAGGTGAAGCGCGCCGAGGAACTTGGATACTTCAAGTTTGGCGGCAGTACCATCGTCTTGTTGTTTGAGCCGGGCAAGATGGTGTTTGATGATGACTTGGTGGACAACTCCAACGGTGCTCTGGAGACTTTGGTAAGTGGTTCACTGATATTGGAGAAGGAACATTCCCTAACAACTTTGCAGGTTCGCGCTGGCATGTCTGTTGGACACTCGCCCGATGCACCGCAGTGGGCTCCGGACATGCGCAAAGACGACAAGGACATCACCGAGGCAGAGAAGAAGGAAGCAAAGCGTCGCATCGGCGGCAGTCTGACCGGCGAGGAATCTTCCAGCGGCGACGAGACGTCTGGCCACGGCACAGATCTCGGAACGCACGCTGCTTCGGCCATGTAGCGCGTCCGTTTACGTCGTGCGCGTAACCGCCTCAGGCGTCGAAGACGTTTGAGTACCGTTCCCGAACTTGCATAGCCCCCGAGGGCAGGATAGACGGATACAGGTAGACAACAAAAACACGGTGTTGGGGGTTTGGTGGTTTCTCACCCTTCGCGTTACCCGCGTAGGGTCTGTTTTCTTCTTTTTTTCCATCTACACGACGACGACGGTGGCCTTCAACAGAGACACACTCAATCGACTGATACGACAGATACATAGCGACAGTAGGGACCATTGTGGAAAGGCAACGGAATGTGGGAGTTCCTCAGAGGCGCGAGAACCGAGGGAAGCTCTCAGGTGTACAGAAAACAGGGGACAGAGAAGACGAATGGTGCGGGGAGGACCTTGCTTGGCGAGGTGGGGGATCAGCAATGTCGCTCGCTCGCTTTGGTATGAATGCAGCAACATGTCAGTTTTCTGGTATTTGACGCTTGGCTTTTCTGCTTCTTGGTGTGACGGTGACTGTCATGCGTGCCCAATCGATTGACTCGAGGTGGTCGAAAGGGGAAGGATGTCTGCAGTGGCTCGTCCCGCGAGGTCAGGTAAGAATATGGGCATTGCGGCGTTCAGGTGCATTCGAGGAGCGTTTCTATCGCATGTGCCTGACTTACCTTGCTGATCGTGGCGATTGAGTAAATTCTATATGAGAAGGGGTCTCTTTCGGCCGTCCTGGGTTGGGGCCTTTGCCTTGGGCAAAGGAGTCTCTCTCTCTCTCGACCTTCCCAGCGGTTCTCATCCACCCCGCAATAGGGGGGAGTGAGAAGGAGCATAAAGCTCTAGCGTGGTCCGGATTCAGAATCTATTCTTAGGCGCCCGGTTCCTCGCGGACGGCGGATGAGCAAAAAGAAAAAAAAAAGGTTTTTCTTTGCCCGCGTGCTGAAGTGGTGTCGGGATCGAGGGGAGGGGATGCTGGTCGTCGTCGCATGGCGAAGCTGCCGCGAGCCGACATGGGGATGCCGGCTTGGGGTGGGAGGTCTTGGCGGGTGAGGCCTTTGAGGCGGGTGAGGGGAGGGTGAGCTTTGGAAGCTCACCATGCTGGGAAGAGAACACTGAGTGGTGCGTGTTCTTTATTTCCTCTCTCCCAGAAGAACACAGAAGAGAAAGAAGTCTGCTCGGTGAGAGGGATATCTTTCGATAAGGTAAGGTTACGGTGGGAGATGCTAGTGGTGGAGCATGATGAGGGTGGTGCAGGTGCAGGTGGAGGGGAAGGAAGCAGGGCGAGTGAGTCTATCTCTTACCTCTCACTCACTCACTCTGATTTTGTACGTCCACCAAACGTATTTTCCATGATTTTTCTCTACGTCGCGCTATGGGAAGCACCCGTCGAGCAAGAGTATAGCAAACCCAAAAAATTCTAGAATATTGGTTCCTCGCGTCTATCGACTCTATTTCCCTCCTCCCCTTTATTTTCCAGGGGTTTTAATAGCCACTGTCCGAATGAGGAAGAAGCGAAGCTGGGATGAACCCTCCCCGCCGCCCCGGGGCAGAGCGATTGGACGGGGTCACCCCTTCGGAGGCTCGGAGGACCGGTCACGGCGAGCGGGTGGAGTTGGGAGGTGGATTTGAGCCGGCGGGCGGACGGTGAAATGCTTCTTGTGTTCTCCTGTGGCTGGTGGACGCGCGACGCGAACTTGCTTTTCGTGGCTGTTCGAAAGTGGACGCTCGTGGTGGAGAATGATTGTTCGTCGTTGCGGTGTTCACGGTTCTGAGTTGACGATCTTGCGTCACTGGTGGAGTCGGTGACGGAGTCAGATGGGGAATGGGACTGAGTGAGTGCTTTCCTCCTGATTTCGGGGCTCCGAGTTGGAAGTTGGAGAAGAAAGAGTCGGTGACGGGAGGGGCATCATGGCACGTGTGGCGATCTATTGTAGGCGGGCAAATGGTTCACGCGAATAGGATGGAGATGAGTTTGAACGGAAGAATTATCGGTTTGGGTATCCTATTCGAAGAGCGCCCTTGCTAACTGGCTAAAATGTACTTGGGAGAAAAATGAAAAGACATGCAAAGATGTCGTAGCTTCGCATGTCCCTCGAACGATTCCACCCCCCGCTGACGATACAACGGAGGGGGGTCCGCGTTTTGTGAGTTAAAGTGGATTTGATGTGATGCCCGACCGTGATGGCGTGATGCGCCCTTCCCCCCCCCCAAATCCCGCCCCCGATGATGTGATGCCGCATATTTGCGTGTAAAAGAAGATTTGTTTTGCGCCGTAACTCCATTGGCTTATTCCCGGACCGTCGTGATTGCGGCTCGATTGATATGTGGTGTCGAGTGCGCGAGGTGTGACCGTGTTGATGAGGTCGCGTGAGTTGGGAGTTGTTGGGGTTGAAAAGGCGTGTGTACACTCTTGTGCTCCTCCCAAATCTGGTCCGTCAAGTCGTAAAATGCGTCCGCAGCCTTCAATCGTCCCGGTGACTGAGTCTCATGTGTATTTGACCCTTGGCCCCCGGACGGTATGTAGTTGCGTTTGTTGTGTTGGTTCGATGGTGAACGTTGGCAGTGCCATACTCTCAGCTTTATGAGAGACAGGCTACCCAGAGAAGACCTAAGAGATCATCTACTTGGGACCGCGCCACGATGATGCCGAGGGAGATCTTGACATGGGGACACCGGCGTCGCTGCGGTCGCTGTCCATGGAGCGCTTCTCCGGGGACGGGCTGCGAGGGAAGTAGGAGGTCATGTTGGGAGCCGGGACGCCGGGGGAGGGCAGGTCGGAAGGAGAACGGCGGGTTTCGAGCCAGGAGGAGTAGATCTGCTTGCACAGGTGTGCGGACATAGTGTAGGTAGGCGACATTTTGAATGTTGTTTTTGTTTGAGAAGAGTTGTCGAGGTGTGAGGAGAGAGCTGTTAAAGTTGCTCTCAGAGACGGAGGGAGTGGTTGGTTTTGTGTAAGAGTCGAATGAGGCTGAGCTGAGCTGAGCTTGGGTTGAGATGACTTGAACAGTGGGGTGCTTTATCGACACGCGTCTTTGGTGGCAGTCAAAGGTCGTGTCAATGGGAGTCGATGTTTCTGAAGCTTGGGATATTATTAGAATCCTTGAATGAAATAATGGGAGACAGAAGAGTCGAGCTGCGAGGGGGGCAGAAGAGCTGGTTATATTTGGACGGTAAGAAGGCAGACAAAGAGACGAACGACCCAGGGGTCTTACTTTTCGTCCAACGTCTGTAAGCCCCCTGGCCGTATCTACAGATACTTTGGTACTTTGCGAGCTGCACAGCTGTCAAAATCGACCCAAATCAACGGACGGGGGCCACGAAACATGCGAAAATGGCGTCAAAAGAGCCAGAAAACGGACGAGGTGCGACATGGGGGAGATTAGGCGGGCGTGTGTGTGTGACTCGCTCACTGTGCAGCCTGTGAGCAAAACCACGCCGTTCGGCTGCTCACATCTCCGCCCCATCACCCCCCTCCACCATCGGGAAGAGGCACGCCACAGATTGATTACACCAATGAGGAGCTCTAAATAGCCAGATTGATGGCTTCTGGCCAATGGGAACGGGCGCAAAGTAAGCAATCCGACGACAGGAAGGTGGGAGGGAAAACGTGCGATTCGGGCCTTGTGGCTGTGCGAAATGGCACCACGGATGGGTGGGTGTGGTGGTCCGGAAGGGTCTGGCTGGGCTGACACTGTGATCAGCTTTCTTCTCTCCACCTTGCTCAGAACCCGGTGGGCAGTGGACTGCCCCCAATCTGGATTGACAAGAGCTCGCCCTTTGGCCTGTCTGGTTGGCTGTTCAGTCATGTTTCTGGCCGGGGATGGAATGTTTGTTAGCTGTTCCGAGACCAAGATGCCGTCGTATCTCACCAGATCGCGGTCCTGGTCAACTGCTCACATCGAGCTTCTTCTCTTGCCATGGTACGCAATTTCGTGCGAAGAGCAAAATGACAGTCCAGCGCCATGGATCGTGTCGTCTGAGGGGCTGCCTGTTTGAGATACGTCACTGCTTGCGTGCTCGAGATGGAGGATGAGGAAGCCGGGCTGGAGGGAGGGGTGAACACTGTCACCAGCCACAACGGGCGATCGTCAGGGCCGTCCAGGGTCGGGATCAAAACCAAGGCAACTTTTCTCCCAACTTGTCCAAGGCCAACTTCCTTTAGGCAGGCAGGCAAGGGTCCGCTTCGGGTCGGAGACCCTCCCGAGCCTGTTCCGACTTCCAGTCCCGAGAAATCCAGGTCTCGCAGCTCTGCCAAGTGTGTGCATGCCTCTTCTCTGCTGCACATGAGCTCCGAAGATGCCAATGGAGGGCAGGTATCGCCGTGGAGCTCCACGTTCCGAGCCGTGGGGAACCGATGCTGCCGCTGCTGATGGTCCGATGACATGACGCTCTGCTCTCTGTGCCATTACCTTTTTCGTGCGATGCTCACCAGTCGTTGGCACGGGCGCATTCGCTAGAGCAGCCGATGCTCCTCGTATTTCCCCAAGGCTGGGCACGCGGGGTTCTGTGAATCTGTAAGATTTACGACAGATTATCCAAATCGCTGTCAGCCTGTCACATCTCGTGACATCTGCCTGTCTGCCAGCCTGACTCTCGGGATTCGGCTCTCGTGGACGGGGTGCCGCATGGTTAGGCTATCCGGGGTGCGCAGCTAAGGTTTCTGCGGTGGAGGTGGTGGATTTTGGCTGTTGGTTCGGATGGAGAGTGTTCTAGATGAGTCTTCTCCAGGCTGAGGAGTGCCAACTGATGGCTGGGGAGGTGAAACCAGACTCGGGATGTTGGTGATGCTGTCTGTAGGCAGCAGGCGGTAGGTGCAAGACCGTCTTCGTCACCGGTGAGGCTCCTTTACTGACAAGACTGAAAGCTCACCGTCAGGCAGAAGTGTAAGAAATTGGATACACTCTGTCGGAGATGCGACTCACCGCAGCAGAAAAGACGGGCAGTGTAGGAACGATGAGCAAGGCAGAAATCAGAAAGTGCTTTGTCGGCTGCTTCAAATTGGAAGGAAAGTGCGTGCCATCTGCGGGGCGTGGTGGCAGCTGCACCCAGATCCACCGACTATGCGGAGACCCTCTTATGTCAGAATTTTCGCAATTAACTCAACAACATCCGATATGGTGTAGTGGCCAACATGATGCCCTCTCATGAACTTGAGAGGTTAGGCATAGCCCCGAGTTCGATTCTCGGTTTCGGAACATGTTCTTTTGCTTTTGCTGCTGTTTCGTATTGGTCGTCTTTGCCATGCATGGGAGCGTCTTTTTTTATGCAGGGCGACGGGTTCCTTCTGCTAGAAGCCTGCATGATTGTTTACAACTTCGTATGTCTGTCTGTCTACCTACCACATGGCATGAGTAATAGCCTGGGGACTCGCTCGTGAGCTCATTGTGCAGCTCACCTTCAGAAAAACTTCGTCGATCAGCTGTCGATGGTGAAAGCTGTCGACAACTATGACAGGGCACGTCTTAACTGAACCCACGGTACGCCGTTGGCGGTTCCGTCGTTTCAAAAGATAGCCACTAGCTTCCCAAGGCTTAGGTGACAGCACACGGAGACGCATCACCTCTTTCTTGGCGGCAGGAGTGGCTGCAGCCGGGAGTCGTCAGCCTGTCTGGCGAAGCTGACGTCTCGACAGCCACGTATCTATTCTCACTTCAAAGGCAAGCTCTCCATAAGCACCTCTCTCTCGTTCAGTGTTCTCCGAGAAGAATGATGACCGAGGTGCCCAGGACCTGGCGGAGCAACGCTGACGTTCCATCGAGAGGGGCTCCGAAAGTCAGACTTTTCTCTTCACTCACCCTCTCAGAGCCCCGAGTCAACGACGTTGTGGATAGTGACGGCGATGGCGGGGAACAGAGGAGATTTGAGGGTACGAGGAGAAGCAGTCCGGCTCTATGCGATTACGGCATGGCGCGAGCGAGAGAGAGCGCGATGATCATATTGGGTGTTCGCGACGTCCTTTAATTGAGCTGGAGCTCTTGACGGGTCTAGCTCCGGATCTGCTGAGGACGGAGGGGAAACCTTTTATCAAGTTTAATGACCTCGTCCGCTCACGACTCAATGCGTCCGGTGAGGCTGTGGGCGACCGGCCGAAAAGAGAGGGCTTTCGGACCAAGCAGGCTGGGATGAGTGAAGCTGCAATGACATATAGACGCCCGACATATGGTTCGACGGGTATTTTTCCCAATCTTTTCATCCTCTAGCACCCCTGGCGGAGGGCTTGAAACAGGCTGACCCTGATCTTCTGGGATGGCGGTGCCGACGCATGAAAGTGTGAGTGGTGCTCGCTCGCCTTCACATCCTCGTTTCGAGAACCACGAGGGCGAAAGGGGGCGGAGGCGAGGGTGATGAACGTTAGGGATGAGTGACCGAGTTGAGCGGACGTAGCCAGGGTATTTGGGCTTTGTGGGTTCTTTCGCATGAACGATCATGCTCGAGGCGGGATAGGAGGCTTGATTGAGGGAGGAGAAACGTCATCCCCGTCCCTCGAGTGTTGGTTCGATGATTGATCGTCATATAGTCAGCAACAGCCAGTTGTCCTGAAGGGATTGGTGTTTTCTCGCGGATCTAGGCAGCAACTTGCGATCAACAAGTCGAAAGGAAGAGACGGCGAGATATTTCCAAATGATGACGGCGGATGGTTACAAAGTGTTGGTTTTTGGAGGTGCGAATCGGCGTTAGACTGGACTTCTAAAGATGGAAAAAAGGTAACCGAACGGCGACATCTCATTGGCCCTGTGTCTTACGCGACAAGCCACCCACTGCAATTCGCCCTGGACAGTGGATTCGGGTGCTTTAAACCCCTGTAAAGCCTAGGAGATTTGTAGAAGAGGTTGCAGAAGCGCGTCCCATCCGCAACTCATACCTCCCATGTCTTCACCCACCTTCTCCCAAGGACATGCCGGCACTTGGATGGTTCTATTCCGTTAAGGAACAAAAGTCGCGAGTGATCTGATCTAGACCCTCGTCTGAAACTGCAGGAAGAATGCCGGCGACCATCATGTCCAATATCCACCGTCTCTCACCAATCCGCCAACGCCGCAGTAGCTCCCGGATCGTCCATCTGCCACCGCAAACTACCGCCTCTAGTCCTCCTCTGGCTGATTGCCTCGTCTCCTTTCCCCGGAGAACGGATGCCAAAGCGTACCGTCAGTGAATTGTCATTCACGGTGACAGCCTCCTCCAACACCGATCCTCGGATTTCCTTCTTCATGCCTTGAACCAGACGACGACGGGCATCGACGAGATAAAACATGGACAGACATGTCAGAAATATCAATGCCTCTTGCTTTTGCTCCCTCGGAATCCATGACCCGTCCCTCCCCAAACCCCAATTATCTGATATTTGGCTCGCCCTGGACTCAGAACTCTGACGAGAGCTCATCAAAGCTCAGCCACCCCTTTCTTCCTGCACGGTCAACGAACCGGCACCGGCCCCTCTTGTCATCCAATCCAGCCAGGTGGAAAGGAAGCTCTGGCTTGAGTCGTTCGCCCGTGAGCGGTATGCCATCTCATCTTGCGTCTCCAAGCGCCTCCCGCCAACATCCTTGATTCCTCGTCATGTCCCGAACGTCGTCACCCCGACCTCATCGGGCATTATCACAACCCCCCTGGTAACCCTCCATCTCTGAACCGTCATCCTCGCCCTCGCTCGATGGCGTTGCGGCTCACCACCACGACCCTCGAGCCCCTCTTACACATCGTTCAAGCCTACGAGTCTCGAATCCCCCAAAGTGACAAGGTCCATCCCCTGTCCATGATCTGCCATGGGCCTTAGTCCAATAATCGGTGGCTCCTCCCTCCACCTGCGATGTGCCCTTGTCAGGGCCGCCTCTCCCGCGCCAGGCCCGCCGTAGGAGAGGTCGGACGAAACCCTCTGACATATACAAGACGATCGAAAATCCTGGCGCTCGCCCATGGGTGCCTCTTCCTCCTTCTTCCCGCCTCCTTCACCAAACGTGTCAGCTGCACGTCACTCTAAAACTCTATTCTGTTTTGTCTCTTTTCTAGACGAGACGAAAAGCAAGCGCCTACACTCTTTTGGTCTTGCTCTGTCGTCTTGTCTCGTCCTGCACTGACCAGACCTGGGAGACTATCCCCCTTATCCACCATACTCTTATCGCCATCAATTTTTTCTTTCTTAATCCATTCATGTCTTACTGCCGCGCAAGCTTTTCTGCGCTGCCGTCCTCCGTGAGGTCATGGAGGTTGTAATTCCACCAAGAGATCATGGGCCGTCCTACAGGTATACTTGGGACGAGAATGGCGATGTCGAGAGGGTAGAAAGGTACACCTCCTTGGCACCCGCGTTTTAGACTTTCGACATGCACTTACACCACGCAGAATCCAGGAGGAGATCAGAGAAATGACAGAACAAGAACAAAGGCAAAGCACAGTCAGCAGGCAAACGGTACAATGGCCGTTCCTTCGACATCAGAGTTCCGCGTCCGATGTCGCGTCATCGAGGCCCTTTACCGGCTTTACGGGCAGTTTCCAACCGAGTTTCCCAGCGGAAAGGGAAAGAGAACCACCGAGGAGGGCAACATGGGCGCCGGGTAAGCGCAACTCGACGGCAACCATACTTGAAAACATTGTTCCGGACTACATCATCAACTACATCAGAGGAGAAACACCCGAGACCATGGCGAGGAGGAGGGAAGAGAAGCAGCGGCATCCAGAGGGTGGTGAGATCGAAGCCGAAGTGGAGGATCGACATGCAAGAGAAGGATTCTACGACGAAGCGTCTACGCACAGCATGGCGACGGCCTCCATGAGCCAAGATCTCGAACGAATGGCACTTCCCGGCCAAAAGCAAGGAGGCGGAGGTGTTTTCAGCCGTATGAAGTCGGGGTGGAGGGCAGGCATCGCGTTGAACATCGTCATCGGCTTTTTCATCCTCATTGTCACAATCGTATGTCTCGTCCTGGCTTTGGTCGTCGTCGGAATGATCAGGGGCGAGAGCAAAGTGTACCAGGGCTCCTGCGCCAAGGCGGATGGGATCAAGATCGGACTCTCTGTTGCCATCAACATCATCGTCGTCATCCTACTGGCGACGGCCAACTACGTCTTCCAGGTCCTAAGCAGCCCGACACGCACCGAGCTCGAAATGGCGCACGAAGAGCATCGATGGCTCCATATTGGGATTCCCTCTTTCAGGAATCTACGTTTTGTTTCCAACCCTCGGGTTGTTCTGACGGTCATCATTATGCTGGCGGCCGTCAGTACCCAAGTAATGTGCGTTACTGACGAAATGCCGATGTCGTAGACTAGATCTTGCTGACTTTGTTTACAGATATAATGCTGTAATATTCACCACACAGCCAGCCTTCGCCCATCAGATCGCCTTCGTCACTCAAAACTTCCTCTCCTCGGGCCAATTTAGCAACGCATCCGCAACGAACGCCGGACGACTTTCAAGGACGGATCTCCTCAACCTGCAAAACCAGGCTTCTGACAATGAGCTTACGAACCTCACTGTCGTTGAGTGCTTGAAGCAGTTCGGCGGTGTGTACCAGTCCGATTTCAGTGCCGTCGTGTTGGTGACGGACTCCGCCTCGACCAGCAACTCCCTCGTTCAGACTGCAGCATCTGGATCCTCGCTTTCTCAATTCGTCGATCCGGTAAACCCCTCCGTCATCAAGATCAATAGCTCAACGGCCGAGTACTGCTTAGCTCGCCCCGAGTCCCCTGAGCCTTGTTCGGTTATTCTCAACGGCTCTCTTCTCGGCGTTATCGCCATTCTCAACCTCGTCTCCGTCTCGGCCATCGGCGCCGTTTACTTCTTCACCGGTTTCGAGCCCCTGGTCACTCTTGGCGATGCCTTAGCTTCTTTCCTCACCCAGTCGGACCATACCACCCAGAACTCATGCCTCCTCGACAAGAAGGATATCAAGCAGGGTCGTTGGGGTTACAACGAGGCCAAGTACTGGACTTCCAAGGAGCACTTCTGGTTTCAGACTCCTAGTCTCTCCATGTGGACAGTCTGGTTCCTCACCTGGGCAGCCCCAACTGGCCTCGCGGCGGCAGCCCTCGCTGTGCCGCTGAGCAAAGACTCGATGGCCAGTCTCAGTGCCTTCGGCCGCGCCCCGGATCATGAGATGTACATCCTCCCCAACGGAGCGGCTCGCGCAGGCTTTGCCCTTGTCGCCGCCGTCCCCCATCTTCTCCTCGCCATCCTCTACCTCTCCACTAACGCCCTCATGTCCAACTACTTCCTCTCCCACGAAATGTCCCAATACGCCCTTCCTGGCCTTACGCTTCCCCTCCGCGTCAGCTCCGGTCGTCCTCTCGGCGCGCAAACCACAAGTCTCTATCTCACTCTCCCGCGTCCGTTTTCCTGGCTCCTCCTCGCTCTCTTCTCCGCCGCAGGCTTCGTGCTCAGCCAGGCTGTTGTCATGGTCTCCATCGATGTCCTGCCTGCGGCCAAGGACGCCGACTTCCCTGGCCCCATCAATGGCGTCGGCTTCAGCGGGGTCGGACTCCTAGCCCTCCTTGCTCTGCTCGTCCTGATCGCTGGCTTGGTTCTCGGCCTGGGCCTCCGCAGAGCAGACCCCACGCCCACTCGCGTTGACGGCGAGCCCTCGGGCAACCCGCTGGTGTTGAAGGGTGGAAGCTGCTCCGCCGTCATCAGCGCTAGGTGCCACCGTTCTCCTGGTGATGTCGGCGCTGCTTTCCGCGAGGTGGCTTGGGGTGTCGTTTCTGAGGGCGAGGGTGCCAACATCGGACATGCGACGTTTTCGAGCCTGCCTGTTTCCGTCCTCAACCCCATCAGAAGCTACGCATAGCTTTGCACGTTTGCTTTTTTGACATTTCTCGTCTTTTTTCTTGCAAGACGTCAGTTGTCGTCTTTCGATTCATTTCGTTGTCCATCTTTTTCATCTTCAGTTGTACATATTCTTTTGATGGCAAGATGGTCTTTCTCATAGACCGTCTTGCTGGTGTGTATTGAAAAGCTGGGGATGTGTGCGGTGAGTTGGTTCGGTTTGGAAAAAGTTCAATGTCTGGTTGCATTTAATGGTGTTAATGGGGCGGATGACTCGATTTGTTACGTTTGAACGCGCAACGGTACGGCGGCAACCACTGGGAACCGAGAACAGTGGCTGGGATCGGAATAGAGATGAGAATACTGTTATGGGACGGGATGGTCATTGTAGTAGTTTATACCCTAGTGTTTTGGTTGGTAACCGGGAAAGATAAAGACAGGAGACGTACAGACACCTCTGGATGAGGTGATGAATTACAATGCGAGCAATCGAGAGTTTGGACAAGTTTATCTTCCTATCAAGTGTAATCTCGTTTCTCTTCACAATCAATGAACGGTGATTCACCTCTACTGCTCCCACAAAGAATGAGCTTGAACAAGCTCGGAATATTAATCGATCATAAGTTCGTACTTCTAATTAATTATTCGCTACCTTGGATCTCAACCGCAAGTTTCACAACACAACACTCAACTCTCCTGCCTCAGATTATCAGGGTCTCCTACTTCTCCTGACCCTCGACTAGACGCGCCATGCGTCGTCTCTACATCGACCGAAACATCAGTCTTTTGAGGACCACTGCCCTTTTCCAAATCGAGCATCTCAACATCCTCATGCTGGCCGGCAACCATGTCGTTTTGCACGGTACCCCCTGGGCTCTGCGGCTCCTCGACATCCGAGTGCGTACCGCGGAAGTATCCCGACCACCGGTTCAAAACGCTCCTCCTCTTCGTGTCGTCCGCCGACGAGGCGGCGGTGTTCCGTTTCGTGCTGTCCAGCCGGCTGCGCAGGCCCAGCGCGAACGAAGCGTGTCGCAGCAGAGGCTGCAGTGCCGGGAAGCATCCCACCCAGAGACCGACGTGGAGCTCGGCGTCCGTCCACGCGGCGACGGAGAGCATCTTGTATGTTCTGGGAGAGCAGCTGTCAGTCCCGAATCTCGACGCGAGGTATCAAAGCTGCAAAAAAGGGATACTCACGTGTTCACGCTAAAGTCCGTCGTGACGATGATGCTGAACCGGACGATGCCCGTCGCGACGGCGAAGAAGCCGAACGAGAAGACGAGCAGGATCTGGATCGCCTTGACGCCCATCTTGACGTACGTCGAGACCACCCACAGGGGCAGGGCGACGAGCATGCAGTCGACGAAGATGCAGATGATGGCGTGCGCGAGCATCAGCTTCGCCTCGTCGCCCTTGTCCTTGCATTGCCGCCACGTGTTTGCGTAGTTGAACAAGTCGCTACGCGTTTTGGTCAGTTTGAGATACAGACGCAGAGACATGTGGACGTAAGTAAGAGACGTACGGGATTTGTGAGCATTCTGTCAGGACGAAGAAGAATCCCGTTAGGCTTATGACGACTACGATGAGGCGGAGGGCGTAGACGGTGTATGTGTATGCCTCTGTCAGGAGACGTCAGCATCATTTGCACTTTGTGATCAGGGTCAAACGTACTGTTCTTGCTGAGGCGGGGGAGGAATGCGAGGATCGACAACCGCACGGCTCCTGAGGCCAAGAGATACACGAGCTCCATGATGGTGAGTCTCTGTTGAGATTTTGTCAGCTCATCGTCTCCGTCACCAGGTCAATAATTTGCCTACCTTGAAGAACTGCAAGAGCATCGGCTTAGGCACGTCCTCGATCTGGGCGCCGGTCCCATAATGCGTCGTGTCCATCTCCAAAGCAGACAACGTCAAGCACAGCGCCTACGATGACATTCTGTGTCAGTTGAATCAATGTCTCGGTTCAGGGAGCATCCGCTTACCCATGCCACTATGGCAATGAGGTCGTCCCATCCTAGAGCCCTGACAATGGTCTTCCGAACATACAACCTCAATCCTATCAGAAGCGTGGAGACGATGATCAGCGCCAGGTTGAGGTTGAAGATGTGGTGCCCTTGCGAGTTGGGGTGCCACAACATGGAGTCGCTGGGGGTCACCATGTCGTTCTGGCTCTCCGCGATCAACCTGTGAACCATCTTGTACTTTGGTGATGTTCGAGGTGATTTGCGATCCACAACACAACAGAACACACAACCAGAGAGAACTTCAAAAACTGTGCCGGTTATCCGGACGGCACTTGTTTTTGAACGAATCCTGCAGTCTCAGCGTTGAACCAAACTCTCCCACGTGGGCATATGGAAACGTCAAGAAAAATCAATGGAAGATGCCTTGAGGCAAAGGATAGGATGAGAGACATGCCAAGCCACGTTGAAAGCAACATCAGAACAGTACACACACAATGACCAGCATTTCTTCCCCTCCTCCCCCGGAATGATGAGATCCAGGCCTCCGGGCTGCCACCCCGATTGACGGCTCGAGGCTTCGCCGACATGGCCGAACGCCACACATCACGCCTCAGAACCTGGCGTGTGAGCTTATTTGAATCGGAGTCCAAATGCAGACGGACGTGACAGACCTGGAAACTTCGCCAATGACACGCGACATGTCCAGTCAGCATGAGGCTTTGGGTATCGTAGTCCGAGAGGCTCGTACTTCCATGACTTCCACGGTTCCGCCACTGACTCAATGGTGATGAAGAGAGACAAAAGTCCCCTCGATATACTGAGTTCTCCCATTATCTACTAGATGCCATGGGAGGTGAGATCTCCCGCTCTCGGCATGTCTTGTCTTAGTATCAGGGGGGAGGGGTTCTCTGGCTACGTTCGTCCGAAAGCCGACGGCGATGTGGCCACAGCATCTCTCAAGCTAAATCAAACGGACGCGTCTTGGCATTTGACGTGTTTGTGTGTCGTGCTGACCTGGACCCTTTTTTCTGCGGTTCGACGTTTCCGTCGATACCTTAACATACTGAGTTCCGTTCGGTGTATGCAGACGCCTTGATCATCATCCCAAGGCACAGCCCCACGGATCACACCGAAGAATGCATGTTGAATCCATACGGGCGACGGTATGGCTTTATCAAAGCCATCAAACGTTTTTGCGGTCGCAGATGCAGAGGCTCCGGGCTTTTTGAAGTGTATATCCTCCGGATGTATCCTTCCCTCATCATGACTTACACACATGAAGCGAAACGAATCTCTACTTGCACCAAAAAACGAGATTCCTCGAATGCTTCAACAGCTTCTAGGGTAATAATTCCGATAGTTGACCGCGACCTGCAGTGACGAATCGATCGCCAACCGGGACGGAGGACAGCTGGTGCGGCGAGACAGCTTGAAGACTTCTTCAGCCACCTTCTCAGAGATCGGTATCCCACATTTCCCCTTTCCTCTTCTCAGAATTCGGTTGTCTTGGCAAGGCTTATCCATCGACGAAGACGGATATAGTTGAATGATACCGACATCTCACTCCCTGATTCCACACCTCGGCGTCGGTTCTCCGATCGCTGACAACGGCAGAGACCTTCTCGAATTTCAAATCGAAAAACTCTCTTGCATTCCTCTGATTTCTTGGCCCCAAGAACCGTTTCTGTTTCCAAGTGGAAGACGCGAGCTGAGGGAGGCCGGGACGAAAAGAACAATATCCCTTTCTTTGTTTGGTGGAAAGCAGAGCTTCTGCCTCAACGCTGCCACTCACCTCTCACAACCAACTTCTTTGTTCGAAGGACCTCAGCTCTCACAGACAGCTCTCAGTTGCGAAGGACAGGGTTCATATTCGATTATGAGCTTCTACTAGAGCTCTCTCGAATAGTAATCAACGCCCTTGCGTCAAAACCCAGCACAAAAGGGGAAGGAAGGGAGGAAACCCCTCCTTCTCGACGCCACATCTCGTAAGGCAGTGCAGCTCAACCACCACCACCAAGGCCGTTTTCGTCCAAGTTCAGGTTCAGCAGCGACAAACATTCCCCCGAAAAAAAGGCCAAGCCAAGCGCCGTTCGGGCCAAACAAGTATTGTGCGATCACCAATGAGCCGTCTCTCGAAGACAGACGTCGTCGCCCCTGTCACGCAAACCGTCAACGCCCTGCTCCTGCGCACCTTCGCCCTCCTCCAGACGACGCCGCTGACCAGCGCGACGCTCCGCCTGGCGCTGGGAGCGGCCGACGAGGCCCTCTCCATCGCGACGCGCCTGTGCCGCTTCGACCTCGAGCCGCGCGCCCAGCTCTTCCGCGGCCATGTGCTGCGCTGCTGGGGCCGCTGGCACGAGGCCTGGCGGGCCTACATCCGCGCGGCTAGCGCGAGGGGGGCCGGGTACTCGGGGACGGATATCAAGGCTCTGACGGACGAGTGCCTGGAGATGATGATGATTCAGAGCGAGCGGGATCCCGAGAGGCAGAGGATGATGATGAGGAAGAAGGGAGCGAGGATGGTGAGGTTTGAGGTCGATGAAGAGGGTTCTGGGGACGAGACGGATGGGGATGCGTCTGACGAGAGTGCGGCGACTAAGATGTATCTTCTTCTGAATGGGAGCGGAGAGGTGGTTGGGAGTCGGGAGAGTTTGCCGGACTTGAGATCTGTCAGGGGCAGAGGGTCTGTCACGAGGTCACCGACACCTGAATGAGAGATGTAGTCGCAGGGCATGTCAGAAGACGGGGTAGAATACGACCATGAGAAGCTGTCGCGTTTCTCAATGACGAAGAACACTGATGAGAAGCCATACTCGGTCGCTCAGATATTCCATTGTGCGGTGCCCCTGTACGTCTCGCCTTTGTCGATGCTCCTCCGACGGTTTATTCTCATCACTCAAGAGCTGAGGGTGCTTTATTACCTGCGGCGGGATCCCTGCGGTCTTTGACGGTCTGATATCCCTTCCAAACAATGTCTACTGAAAACGTCGGCACAATTGAACTGACGATAAAATGATGCGGACGGCTATAATCAACGTTGGAGGATGCTGCCTCAAATCTTGGAGTTGATAATGCTATAGAAATGTTGATGTCTCTCGACAAAGTTTTGGTTTCACCCCTTCTTCATCTACGAAGTCCTTCTCTTTAGATTGAATTTCCTGTATTCTCATAGTACTTTGAAGACCTGCGTACGAAATCGAAATGAGGGAAAACATAAAAGATATTTTCTCCAGGGGGCGGGGCGATCGCCGAAGAAGCAGCCAGCCAACATCACCCATTGTCGACCCTCCCTCCAACGACTCACGCAGCTCGAGCATCTCGCCGGTGCCCGTATTGAACGAACGCGGGGCTGAACGGTCTGTCTCTGCAGCTACTGTGACAGCACGCCGGACCGAATCAGCAACCTACGCTCCCATCGCCCGGAAACCGGTGCCGAGCCATGACTTGATCAGTCCTCTCGAACTCGGCGCCGGTGAAGGCAGCAGCGTGTCGTCAAACAACGCGGCTCGGCCTCCAAGACTTGAGAGTCGTCGTGCCAGCCACACAGGGCGTTATGGTGACCTCCATTCGGGGGTTTCCAGAGCTGAGAGGCCCACCACGGCTCGTGCAGCTTCGACCGGGCGTCATGCCTCATTTCAAGGGCAACCTGATGAGATAAGGGGAAGCAATCGAGGCATGTCCGGCAGCAGTCAAGTCGGCGGCGGCGGTGGTGGTGCAAGTTTTGTGCCACCATCTCGACGAACGAGTGTCGAGCGTGCCCTACCTCCTCCTCCACCTCAGACGTCGGATTCCGTATTGCGGTCTGAAACCGGGAGTAGAAGGGGTCATCGAATCCCATCCGCCGGAAATCAAGGAGGTAGCAGTGCAAGCTCTCTGCCACCATCTCGACAGACTAGCCTTGACCGTGCACTGCCTCCTACTCCTACTCCTCCTCCTCGAACTCGGGCTTCGGATTCTCTACCGCGTTCTGATGGCGACACTGGAAGACGCCATCGAGGCCCGTCGGTTGGTAGTCAGGGAGTTGGTGGTGTGAGTTCTCTGCCACCATCTCGACAAACCAGTCGCGACCATCCACTGCCTCCTATTCCGCCTCAGACGTCGGATTCCCCATCACAGTCTGACGACGAGACTGGAGCAAGCCATCGAGACTCATCCGACGGCAGTCAGGGCGGCGGTGGCGTAAATTCTCCGTCATCGTCCCAACGAACCATTGTTGAACGACCGCTAACTCCTCCTCGACCTCGGACGCCGGAACTCGTATCGCTGTGTAACGAGTCACTCGATGGTCAATCGCCATCCGGCGGCCGTCAAGGAGGAGGCGGTGCGAGTCCTCGGCCCCCGTCTCGACAAGGTGACCTTGGCCGTTCATTACATCCTGTTCCATCTCAGAGGGTGGATTTTCTTGGCGACGAGACAGCCCGTCAACGATGGCCTTCTCTTACCGATCCGGCGGCTCCTCCACGTCCACTGCCCGAGATTCCCGAGGGTTCACCGCCTCGGAGCCCTACGAGGCTTCGGCCTGCTGACCAAGAATCAGTGAACCTGGTGTTCTTCTCTCCCCAAAGAAGAAATCCCGCCCAGCTTGCCCCTGCGGTGGGAGGGGAAGGTTCTGGACAGCCTTCCTCCACTACTGCCGAAGACAACAGTGCGGCAGTTATCTCTACTCCCAACCTGGCGCCGACAGCACCAGCTGAATCCTCCGCACAGGGTCAGGAATCACCCGCCAGACCCGGCCGAACATATAGATATGTCATGGAGGATGATTCTTCTTCAGAAGAGGCACCGGAATCCCCTTTCACGCCACCTGGGCCGATTCCCAACCCAATCGTATACCAGAATCGTTTAGAACCCCAAAGCGGCACCCCCACGCCACGAAACGCTTCCGCCTCAGAGTCTCGGGATACCTCTGGGAACTTGCCGCAGTTTCCTACACTGGAGCCCACTCCCATCACCGCCATCGACATCCAAAACGCTCTCGCAGGGTTCGTGAACTCCGACGACAACGACGACGACGACCGGACACCCATCGCACAGCAGCCCTCGGCACCTATCGCACAGCAACCCTCGACACCTCCCTTCCCAGACCCCGACTCTCCTACTCTCAGAATCTACAAGACCGAACCACCCCGAACCGGCCCCGGCTTCAACGGCAGCGTCGCCCCCGTTCCCCCTCCCGACGCCCATAACCGTTCGCACATCTGGATTCGTCCTCATCGTATTCCAGAAGATGAAGAGTTCATGATTCCGACGGAGTACAACGACCTCTTCACCCTCACAGATGCCACGAGGGAGTCCATGATGCCTCGGACGCACCGCTACCCAGATTACGCACGTGACGAAGAAGCCCGCCGGCGCAAGCTCGACTTCGAAGCCAAGACGGGCGAGACCATGTCCGACGAGGACTACTACTCCCTCTTCGACCAGACGACCTCGACGGGCGGCATGCTCTCGACGCTGCTCGAGTTCATGCAGGGGCGCGAGTACGTCAAGGCGGCGCACGTCAACCGCATCATTCACCAGATGAACCGCATGATGTACGAATCCGCCCAGGAGGAGGCGCGGCTGAGGCACAGGAGGAAGCTGGAGTGCGATTCCCTCCGGCGCCAGCTCAAGGATAGCGAGGAGAGGTGCAGTGATCTGCGAAAGACGGTGGGCTTTATCAAGGGTAGAACGACGGCGTTGGGCGAGGTGGCGAGCTCGTCGAAGCGGATAAGCGAGATATCCGAGAAGGAGGACGACCACATCCGCGAGAACATGGGCCACTGGGTCGATTCTGATGGCGCATCCGCGAGGGTCGAGGAGGACTTTAGGAAGTGGCAGGTTTTGGACAACAACTTGATGAGTCGTCTCGATGAACGTCAGCAGATCGAAGATACGATCGAGGATGAGCGCAGCATCTCGGCAGAAGACCTGGTCCGGCTCAGAGACGCAGACGCCACTATCGAGAAGCAACGCAAAGAATTCCAAAAGTGGATGGAGCATAGGACCAAGAACCTCATCGAATGGCTCGAGGTCAACGACGACGACGATGAGAGCGAGGCCAAGGCGGTGTTGAACGGTATTCATCAAGAGCTGGTTAAAGAGGGGAAAATACTGAACCAGGCCTACGACAGCCTCAAGAGCGTCGCGGGTCTTCAACTCTCGCAGCGGGAGTTGCGCAACCGACCGCTGATCGACGTGTCCGAACAAGTCCCGTCTGACCAGGCCCTTTCTGATAGTAACATCTACGAGGACTCTCTCGGCGCCGATCCGGATACTCCGAGACAAGTTTCTCCGTCGTCATTGGAAGACGACTCGGAAGGCAGCACTTCAGAAAAGTCGGACGCAACGGTTGTTGCCCCACGCGAGGACGCCGACTGCGCCGGCTGCCGTAGACGAGACCGACAGCTGCGGGAGAAGGACCGGAAGATTCAAGAACAGACGAACCAGCTCAGGGTCGGTTTCCACAACTGGACTCAGTTGAGTAGAAAGGCAGAACAGCTCCGGTTGGCGCTCACGCGTTGCAATAACGACAGCATCGAGGATGCCCTTCGCCACATCACCAACTACAGAACTCTGATATTCAGGGACTTCTACGACGAAATGGCCCACTTGGAAAGGATATTCAACATGCAGGTCGATCGAGCTGAAGAGCACGCCGCCCTTTTCATCAAACCGATCGAACACCTACAGGAGGGAGGTGGGCCGGAGGAGATACTGAAGCAACTCGAGGCGATGGGCAGCTCGGTCGAGTCGCTCGCCGACGCATCCCGTGTTGTCCAGCAGAAGTTTAGCGACCAACTGAAGAAGATGTGGTCGGAGCACAAGGAGAAGTTCTACGAAGTCACCCAGGAAAATGTCGACGACGCACAACGCCAGAGGGACCTGATCAAGAACTTGAAGAAGCAAGTCGCGGAGCTGACGGAGCACGCCCAGGGAAGCCTGGAGCATGACGCGCAGGAGAGTTTCCGCGTCGCGGCGGCGCTCGAGAAACAGATGAAGGCCAAGATCGGCCAGATCCGGGACAAGGTCCAGCGCTACAGGGACGAGATCAGGAGGCAGCAGAAGCAGTGCGATGCCGACCAATCTTCGACGCAGAGCGCTGATCCTGAAGTGGCCAGAGAGCTGAAGAAGAAAGAGAAGGAATTGAGGAATCTCGACCGTCAGTGCACAAAGGCTGCACAGCTGATTGGAAGAATGGAAACCGACCTCGAGAATGCGAAAGAACTTGCGAATGTACGAAAACAAGACGCCTCGGTGCTGGCTGAACAAGTGGCGGACTTGCAACTGCAACTCGAGGAAAGAGACGAGACCGAGCGTTGGTCGTTGTGGGATGGCACCGCCGTCGACGTTACCGATACCTCCGACCCCGAAACTCTGCGCCGGAGCAGGGTTGCCCAGCTGCAAAAGGCTCTTCTGGAAGCAGTCGGCAAAGTCGAGAACCGCGCGCAGAGCCAAGCAACTGTAAAGCCCAGAGTTCCTTCAGTCACGAAGCGCATGAGGAGTCTTGTAGTGCAGAAAATTCGGAAAAGCGAACAGAAGGATTCAACCGCGACAACCGAGGAGGACATCGATGGCTTTTGGAGACTGGTCGACTTCCAGAGACGAAGAGCAGATGTGGTGTCCCTCCTCCGCCGCAACCAATTCCAGCATGCTAAGGAGCAGCTTTGCGAGCTGGAAAAGTGGAATCACTCGCGCGGGAAGTGGCATGTCGAGTCCTATGCAGTCGAGGTCAGCCGGTCGTTGAACTATCTCCAGGCATACGCCAACGTGAAGCTCGTGCCGGTCCAGCGGCAGGCGGATGTCCTTGATGTTGCAAACGAGACTCTGGAAAGCGCCAAAAGCCATTTCGTGGCCGCAGAGAGGGGCAATCCAGACGCTGAACACGAGCGAGTATGGATGGCTTTGAGAAGCCATTTGGAGTTTGAAGTACAGAAGACGGTCGAAGAGATTCAGAAGTGCGACTGCAAGCACAAGACACAAGCTTGTGGGAAGCACGAGGAGAATGGTGCTGGAGTAAGGTACCATCACTTCATGACAGTGGACGGCGAAGATGGGGAGATCCAGTTGCCGGAGTCAGCGTTCAACTCGCTGGATCCGTACAGCTACAGGCTAGATACTATCGCTGAGGAGTAGGAGTTTTGAATTGTAGGTTCGAGGTGGTTTCGAGGATGGGATATGTGTTGTACGGTTGATCGGCGTCATGGCGGAGTCTCGGGAGCTTGGGAGATTGTCAAATGAGGGCAAATGCCAAGGATTTGTTTGTTATTTTGGCTTGGTCGATTCGTAATCTCTTAGATAGCCTAGTGTCATCGCATCGTCTTGCTTGCGAAGGTGTTGAGATGTTCTTGCTGTGAGTTTGAGGCTTCGGTGGCGTTTGACTCTCACTCCGGTTGTCAGCGCAGAGAACTGATTCATGTGTTTCCCTGTTGACCGGGACGGCGCGAAGCATGTTGATGAAGCGGCCTCCTCATGGATGAGTGCAGATTGGACGTTGGAACGAGATGTGGAATCCGCCAATGACGATTCGGTTGCAGGAGGTTAGTGGAGGCTGATGTTGGAAGAGGACGAGAAGTCAAATTGATAACTGGAAGCGAGTGTGGGGCCGGAGCTGGCACATTAGAGGAGTACATGTCTTAGCGGTGATATTGTGTGGATATAGAAGTACTCGCTATCACACGATACCAAGGGTCTTAGTGCACTCACCCGCGCGGTTGTTGTCTTCCTTGATTGCCCACGGCGCCAATGCATTCCTCAAACTCTTCTCAACGCCATCTACAACTTTACCATGGACTCTCCTCCACTTACGTGCTCAGCCTTCCGCGCCCCTTCGGCTTGCCGTGCCTGGCGATAGGTCGAATCTCGTCTCGTCCACCCCCAACATATCCCGGCGATAACATCCCGAACCTTGTCTCGGGAACGGCATATCCTCGAGCCTCATCTGCGTCGCCAGTCGTCAACTGTCTCAGCTCCAACGTGGGCATGGGAATGGACGTTCCATATCAAGCGAAGTAGGGGTGGGTACGATGCGATATGCGATGTGATGTGGCCGGCATGCAGCGACAAACCAAACGCAACCCAGGACATTCGCCTGGTAAGGGAGGGCGCCTTACGAAAACAAATCTCTGTTTGGCGTGCTTCGCAATCTGTCGCCTCCCTCCAGCCAGCACACGTGGGACACAGAAAAAGAAACATGCCCTCAAGATCCAGGAGTTGACGTTGAAGCTGGACCCATCAGAACCTTGCGATAGGAAACACCGCCTGGAGATGCCTGCCAACTGATCTCCTGTTATTGCACCGAATCCGGTATTTTAGTCTATCCAGAGGTATGATGGAAGTGGACCACGACGGCCGCTGTAGCAAGACAATGTCTTCTTCGACACATTGGACCTTTTGCAAAGGTCCCCAGCCAAGTCCACGATGCAGAAGCGAGAGAAACGGGCAACTCGTTAGACCAAAGTCTGGATCGTCTGGAACGCGATGCAACGCAAATCTTTGCACGATACAACCGCATCCCAGGTCGGAGCAGCTATTTGTCCGCCTGCCACTAACCACCCAACCGGCCTCGACAGTCCAGTGTCACCGACCGAAAAGTCTACCTCATGCCACTCGCCGCCGCCTTCTCCATCAGATTGATTAGATTGATTGACATGGCCAAGGCCCATTGGATGGCCCTTGCCGTTTGGCTTTCTGATTTCACTCTCCTTGACACTGTACGCACTTTTGGTTCTCGTCTCCTCGTCTCCGGTTTTCTTTTTGCCAAACCGCGGCTGCTTCCGGCGATGGGGACGGCAACGAGCACAAGCAACGGGAGGGAGACGCTTGGTGACGAGTCTGAACCGGCCAGAGGCACCAAACGCCTGGCTAGCCGCGTCGCATCGCATCATCTCACATTTTTTGCGTTCCTGACTCTGACGCATCACCAACCTATCATGCCAAGAACGGATGACGAGACTGGTTGCGCAGGCCTGGCCTGGTCTGGACAAGGGCCCACGCCACTCACTCACTCCGCGGCCCCCGTCCTCCCGCTCTCCCGTGGACCCGATCTTTGCTAGTCCATCACCGGCTCCGGTCTTCAGCTCGACGAAACCCCAACTGGAACGGCATCTCCCACCATCGGGCGCACGCGAAATCCCGCCAAGGGTCGAACGAGTGACGACCTACCCTTCTCGGGGAATAGGCGCGGTCTGTTCTGTGCGTCGAAGATCACGACGACGACGGGCGGGACACGGCTCAAACGAGGAAAGCCGCGACCATGCCAGGGTCACTCATCCAGTAGGTGACTACGGATACGGAGGACAAGCTGGCAAGTGCCACTGTCACTAACGGGGACGGGGACAGCTCAGCAATGGACTCGAGCTTGCACCGAGAAACACGGGCCGTACGACGGCGTCTACAACCTTGTTTCTGTCCCATCTAGGCAAGTCAATCTATCCTGCAAGATGCAGATAGGCACCGTGATACCGGGAGCTCCACCTCGAATGCCACAGCCTGGAGGCAGATTGGTGCCGAAGAATGGTGCTTGTTGATTCCAACAATTCCCACGACCGTGACGGCGTCTGGTTTGTGGGGTAAATGTGTCTCTCATGAGTCTTGATTCTCTCACTCTCTCCTCTCTGCTCGAATTCTCGGCGTTGTCTCGTTCCTTTCGTGGTTGGCTTAATTTACCCAAATTATGTCAACACCCCCCGGACTTCCGTCTTTGGCTGCGAAGCGAGGGAGTCCGAGTCCTGGTGCGGCCCCAAGTTGACGGCCGACGGTTCACGGCACGCAGGAGCAGTAGCAGTAGCAGTAATTACATGTCGACGCCCGGGGTAAAGCATCCCGTCCCAATCCGCCCCCTTTGTCCCCAGCATCCCGCGCCACAAAACCACTCTACTTCAACCTCAATCGACGTCGCTTGCCTTCTGCTGTGCGTTTCCTACTGCCCCCTCGCCATACCTTGCCTTGGTTGTTGAGGTGTCAGTCAGACCCCCGAGACTGAGGGCTTTGTCAAGCTGACAAAACTGAGGCAGCCAACCGGCCAAGATGGAGCTAGATATTGCGGCCCTCTGTTTCTGGTAGGGAACCCCATATCACGATCTAGATTTTTTCTTTCTTCCGTGGCCCATCCCGTGCAACTCACCCAAGCAAACATTCTCCCCGTGCCCCTTCGCTTGCCTTCCCGCCATCCTAGCTCCCTTTTTGCGGGGAGCTGTTGGCGTGCTGGTTACACCGGCTACTAGCAGCAAACCCCTCGTCGAGGCTTGGGGTTGTCAACCTGTCATTGGGCCTCGTCCGGATACACTCAGATGTGAAAGAATATCGGTTGGGTGACAGGTGAATCCTCTCAAGCAGCTATCCAGAGACCGTGTCGAAGTTCTCTGCCTTGACCAAGGAAGGCTTACTAGGTTTGGCCCCTCCCGGCCGGCAAGGCCGCAGTAGGGGCCATGTTCATGTTATTACACCGGCACAGGAACCCGTCCAGCTGGGGAACGTAACGCTTGTCTCACATGGGGATGGACTTGACAAGTTGCCCTGGCATGAAGGGTCTCAGAGGGTGCTGTGTAAGTGCGTGGTAAGCAGAGTAGATGGTTCGAAGAAGGGTGCATGGTCAAACGGGCGGCAATGCCCATGATGGGAAGGTCTGGGACGCGAGAAGCCATTGCGACATGTCTCCCAGAGTTTGGGCGGTTCTTCGACTGCTGTCATACCCTCCCTACGCTTCGTCTTATCATGAGGTTACGGTTTGGAGGCTAAGAAAGGAACAGATGGGAAGAAAACGCCACCAGGTGCAAGCCACGAAGGGGAGGTCAACCGCTTTCATCCTTGCCAACGTGTAAGTGGGAAGCTGCAGATGAAGGTGTAAGTTTGCAGAGCAATGAGAGGAGAAGTACATGACACTGGGCCCTTTCAACATATTGTTTTTGTCCCTGCTCTTCTGACAAAATGCCTACCTTACCTTAGTAACGCCCTTTTTTCTTCACCCCACCCTCTTTACTTCAGTAAATACACCTCAGTTCGTCTGAATGAGGCAAGCATGGGGGCTTTAGACAACCAAGGCAGGAACGCACTGTGGGACCAGAAGAAGTTGGTTGCTTCTTCACAAGCCCGGATCCCTTCTTGCTTAAACCCTGCAAAACTCTTTTCACTTGTACTTTTAATCGAGCAAGTGAAAGTGAAGGAGGCACTTTACTTATCTTCACCTTAGGAGTAGCTGCAACCTACTTTGCTGCACCTCACCTTGTCTGGCCGTTGTCCCATCTGCTGCCCTCCTCCACTTGCCTTATTTACACCCACACAGCCAGCACAATATTCACCTCACATTCACTTACATGCTTTCTTCCTCCCTTAGCTGCTATCTGCACTCAGGTCGTCTGGACTGGGCTCTTTCCTTCCTCAACCCACACTTCTTGAGCCATCTTAAATTTCAAAGACCGTCCACACTTTCCACCACGACCTCACCTTCTCACCACTCACCCTCATCACTCACCTTCCACCTCACTACAACAACACCTCAGTCATAACTTGGAATATTACCCGTTGTTGTGTGCTGGACTTGGAAGGTCTTCTTCACCTTGCACGCGCTGCATATTTTTCCGCTGCTGCTGAACATCCTTACATCACTCAACCACACATCATCAGCCATGGCCGGAGGTCCTGGTGCGTATCCTGTTGCATTTGCAACGCGGATGCGCATGAACCATGAGGTTGTTACATGGTTTGCTGGTATCCTGAGTGGTCTCATGGGCATCTTCATCATCTTTCATCTGAGCCGCCTGGTCGCGCAGAAGACTGGCCTTGCGTCAAAGCTTTCAGGTCCCGCAAAGCCCTTCGTCTTTGTGTCCAGGTAAGACTGAAGAAAATCTCCATCTCACCAAGGGTCGCACGATTTCGGGAACTAACCAGAATCCAGAATCGTCCGCAGATTTTCGGTCCTCAAGTTCCCTGGCCTTCCATCTGTTGGTCATGCTTTTGTTGCCACCACCTATATCATCGTCAACATCGTTCTCCAACTTACCTATCTCGATACTTCGGTTCTGCCCTACATCACGGTTATTGCTGCTCGAGCTGGATGGTATCTACTCTGCCCTACCTGACTATCTTTGGGAAGGAGACTAACATGCCCAGGCTGGCCATCGCCAACATCGTCTTCGTCATCTTCCTCAGCCTGAAGAATACTCCCTTGGGCTACCTTACCGCCTGGTCCTACGAGCGCCTCAATGTCCTTCATCAGGTTGCAGGCTACGTTACGATGGCCCTGATTATCGTACACGGTGCCACATACTCCTCGTACTTCATCCAGGCGAACAACGCTGCACGACTCCTAGTCCACGAGGAGATCTACGGTATCGCCGCCGGCTTTACCTTCCTCACCCTGGTCTTGGCTGGCGCAATCGTGCGATTCTGGTACTACGAGCTTTTCTACATCCTCCACGTGTCTTTCTTCATCATTTCGATGGTCCTGGCTGGACTTCACCAACCTGAGATGACCAAGAAGATGCTCATTGCCACGGCCTTGGGCTCCGCTTTGTGGATGTTCGATCGTCTCATCCGAGTTCTACGGGTCGTCTACTACAGCTTCAACAACACTGCGACTCTCTACCCTCTGCCCCACGGTGGCACTCGCGTTGTTCTCAAGAAGCCGCCTCTCCTTGCGAGCTCTGGCGAACACTGCTTCTTGTGGATTCCTAAGATCCGGGCCCTGGAGATGCATCCGTTCACTATCGCGAACATGGATCCCCTCGAGTTCGTCATCAACTCTTACGATGGCTTCACTCGCGACCTCCACGAGTACGCAACCCGTAACCCCGGGACCACAGTCAAGGCCTCAGTGGAAGGTTCATATGGCACGTTCCCGAACCCGGCAGACTACGACAAGATTGTCCTGGTTGCCGGTGGCAGCGGTGCGAGCTTCACTTTCGGCATGGCCCTGAACCTTCTCAAGAGGATTACTCAGGGATCGAAGCAAAGCATCGTGTTTGTTTGGATGGTCAAGGATCCTGGTAAGTCCTGCGAGACACTTACCCAATGAGGAAAAAAGGTTAACATCTCTCAGCTCGTCTCGAATGGTTCTCAAACTCCCTTGCCACGATCCGTCACACCCTGAACTCATCGGTTCAACTCTACGTCACTCGGAACCCTGGAAGTCAGACATCTTCCCAGGAGAACGTGACTAATGTGACAGAAAGATCGCGTTCTGGCACCGTGTCCTCTGAGGCGTCAGGACCCTTCACGGTTTCGTCCGAGAAGCACGACGAGAAGCACGCCCCGCGACTCCCATCAAAGGTTCTTACTCGAACAATTTCGGACCCCGAAAAATCCGGCAACGAGTCCGAACTCACCACCCCGACTTCTCCGGTTCAGCAGGTCGAGCTCGGTCCCAGCATCCACGGCATTCCTATCAACTTTGGCCGTCCTGACGTCTCTAAGATCATCACGAAGGCTATCGAGGAGACACCTGCCGACCAGCGTGTTCTTGTCATGGGATGTGGCCCGGAGACTTTGATGACCCAGGTGCGCAACACTGCCGCCATGCACATCCGCCCATCCGGCCCTGCTGTCGAGCTACACTGTGAGCAGTTTGGCTGGTAAATCTTCTGCTTCTTTTTCTTCTTCTTCCCTTGAGGACGTCCTGCGTCGGGGGCAACCCTGAATGCATGCACCTTCAGTTCTTTCTTGTGCATAATTGCAAATTTTTCCCTGTTGTTGTTGGAGTAAATAAGGGCTAGGGATTGGTCTTGCATTTTCGGCAGCTTTGAAGGATGGATATGCCTTCGACGTTTGGAAAGCTGCATCGCGTTCATACCCTACAGTACTACGGCCTCGTGGCCACCTGTATTTCGCAGGTCACAAGAGATACACTTGATACTCGCATTACCCGATTCATCATGACAGTGTAAATCTGCCATTGAAAAGTGAGAGCCCCTGGATGCCATCCGTATCGCCAATCAACCCACTCGCCGATATCAACGATGCAAAACGCGGCAATGGATAACCTCTACCCCAACAGCCCGCGGCGATCGACGCAAGGACCACCCGTTCCCTTCTCACGCCGTAGACATGACCGTTAGATCTCGTCCTCCCCATCATCGCCAAGGCGGTGGCCGCGCCCGCGTTCCCCGAATCGTCCCAGTCCACTCGCCTTCCTTCCCATCCCGGAACAGCCTCTACCGCAGACCTAACCCACGAAACGAAGACACAAAACCATGCGAAAAAGCATAATTCTCGCACTTCCACCTTGACGATCGTGATGTCTGCCGTCATCATCACGGACGAGGGTGGCATCCAATCAGGCACTCGTCGTAAGGATGATTAGTCTTGTCTGGTGACACTACTCGTAAGGATGACATGGCTCGTCACCGTGACTGGAGGTCGAAAGTAACGCACGTCTCTGACACTAACTACCACTTACACATACGCGCGCGCGAGAGAGGCGGAAACAGAACACACTTTGAACGACATGCTTCTACCTCCATCGTCCAAACAAGCCAAGAAAAGTCATCGCAATACACACCACACACACACACACACACACACACACACACACACACACACACACACACACACACACACACACCACCCACTGACAGCCCGTCGCCCGGCAGCATCCGAAGCGAGTCTACTAAGCCACCCTTCCATCCCGCGACGGGATTAGGAAAGGCGGATTCTCTGTTGTGAAATACCGTCGGTTGAAGGTTCCGAAAAGCTGGGGGGCGGGCTGGGGTGTGAGTAGGAACAGCACGACACCGCTTTGGCCCAAGAAGTCTGGATGCGTCGTAACCGAGGGCTTGGGTTATCACGGGGTGGTGATCACCGGGCCAAGCATCAATATAAACACGACCCGGATTATCGAAGTGCAGCCGTTGATGTAATGTCGAGTTTTGGTGGTTGGCGTTGTTGTGTGGTTGTGCGGTTGATGGGGGAACTCGGCACGGAGGCTGTTGTCCCGTGGCGTGCCGTGTCTTGAGTGCATGGGCTCGGCGCCCGAGTCGGGCTCTCTGATCGGCTACGTCGAGGGAGGAGTTCGACGTGGAATGGTCCAGATGGAAGGGATTGTGATTCCGGCTTGAAAGGGGACATGAGCTTGATGAAGGACTTAACTAGCTCTGGGCGCGACCAGAAACTTGCGTTAGTGGAGGGCCGTTGAAGAAGTCGTTGTCCGACCGTGACCGCTTGAGATGGCAATATCACATCTGGACCTAACGCATCCAATTAAGAATCCGCGAACCCAATGAGACACAGGATGTAAACGATCGCGAATGTCTTGAATAGTCCCTTCTATTCCAGGTTAAGTACTCTACAAGCCGAGAGCAGGTATCATTGTTGAACAGATGCTAGTCTTCTTTCCCTTATTTTCCCCAGCGCCATTTGTTGAAGAAATGCCACCGGAATGCCGCTACCCTTACCCACGTAAATCATGTAACCTCTAATAAACCGTCCCGAGGCGCCTCAGAAGCCGGATGCCCGCACCGAATGGGCGGCAGGATTTTCCCGTATCTCGTAATCCGGTTAGAACAAGCCGTCAATCTCGCCCGTCTCGGTGTCGACGTCGACGTTCAAATAGCCTGGGGCCGTGGGCAGCCCCGGGATGGTCTGGATGTCGGCGGCGAGCGCGTACCTGGATCCATGTTAGTATTCGTTTCTGGCTTCAGGGGGAAGGGGGGTGACTGACAGGTAACCCGCACCGGCGGCCATTCTGACGTCCCGCACGGGGACGGTGAAGCCGGTGGGCGCACCCTTCAGGTCGGGGTCGTGGGAAAGAGAGTACTGAGTCTTGGCGACGCAGATGGGCAGGTTGCCGAAGCCCTGCTTGGTGTACGTGTCGACCTTCTTCTGGGCCAGCTCGCTGAACTCGACAGCGGCGGCGCCGTACATCTTCTGGCCGATGGCCTCGATGCGCTCCTGGACGGAGCCCTCGAGGTCGTAGAGGAGCTTGAAGTCCTTGGGCTTCTCGCTGGCGGCGATGACGCCCTTGCCGAGCTCGACGGCGCCCTTGCCACCCTCGGCCCAGTGGTTGGAGAGGATGGCATCCTCGGCACCGGCGGCGATGGCCTCCTCGCGGATGACTGCGATTTCGGCGTCGGTGTCCGTGACGAACTTGTTGATGGCCACGACGACGGGGATACCGTAGGACTTGGCGTTCTCGATGTGCTTGCGAAGGTTGACGCAGCCGGCGCGCAGAATGTCGACGTTCTCTTCCTTGTAGACGGCGTTGAGAGGAGCACCGGGGGCGATGGGGGGACCGCCTCCGTGGACCTTGAGGGCACGGACGGTAGCCACGACGACGACGACGTCCGGCACAAGACCAGAAGCGCGGCACTTGATGTTGAAGAAACGCTCTCCACCCATGGTGAAGTCGAAGCCAGCCTCAGTCACGACGAAACCAGCCTTCTCAGAGTGTTCCTCATCGGGCTCAGTACCGACGATCTTCAGGGCCATCTTGTCAGCCAAGATGGAGCTGTTGCCGACACTGATGTTGGCGAAGGGACCGGCGTGCACAAACACGGGAGTTCCCTCCAGAGTCTGCATGAGGTTGGGCTTGATGGCATCTCTCATGAGAGCAGTGAGAGCACCGCCGGCACCAAGATCGTCGCAAGTGACGGGCTCGCCGCTCTTGGAGCTGGCGACGACCATGCGGCCGAGGCGCTCACGCATGTCAGCCAAGCTAGTGCTGAGGGCAAGGATAGCCATGCACTCGCTTGCAACCGAGATGTCGAAACCGGTCGCGCGGGTGTGGCCCTTCTCAGTGGGGGCGACGCCGACGTTGATGCCTCGCAGATGTCTGTCGTTGACATCCAGCACGCGTCTCCAGGTGATGGTCTCAGGGTCGATATCCAGGCGGGCGAAGCGGCGGATCTCCTCCTCCGTCAGGTCGTCGGGGTTGGTCTTGTCGATGCCGAGCTTCTTCAGGCGGCGGAACATGACGGGAGCGAACTCCTTCTTACCGTTCTTAGCAGGCACAAGACGTCTGAAGAGGGGTCCGTCCTTCTGAGTGTTCTCGTGGAACATGCGAGTCTCGATCGCAGCGGCGAGAAGGTTGTTGGCAGCGGTGATGGCGTGAATATCACCAGTCAAGTGGAGGTTGAACTCATCCATAGGAATGACCTGGCTGTAGCCGCCGCCAGCAGCACCACCCTTGATACCAAAGGTAGGACCTTGACTGGGCTGACGGACGTTGGCGAAGGTAATGCGGCCCAGGTGAGCGCCCAATGCCTGGGCGATACCCATGGTGGTGGTCGACTTGCCCTCTCCAAGGGGAGTAGGGGTGATACCCGTAACAACAACGTACTTGCCGTTGCGACGATGGTCAAGGCGCTTCAGAAGGCTGAGGTCAACCTTGGCCTTGTAGGCTCCGTAGGGCTCGAGCTCGTGTGATGCGATGCCAACCTCCTTCGCCAAACGAGTGATCTGCTTGGGGTTCTGGGATCTGGAGACTTCGATGTCGGAAGGGACGGGCTCCTTCAGGTGGAGAGGAAGAGGCACAATCTTCCTCTGCTTTTCTCTCTCGAAAGCCTGGACCGCCGAATCGATGACGTTGTGCATGAGCATGGCGACGGTCATGGGACCGACACCACCAGGGACGGGGGTGATGTGAGAAGCGACCTGCGAAGCAGACTCGAAGTCGACGTCTCCTACAAGACGCTGACCCGACTTCTTGGAAGCATCGGGGATGTAGTTGGTGCCAACGTCAATGACAACAACGCCGGGCTTGAGCCACTCGCCCTTGACAAAGCCAGGCTGGCCAATAGCAGCGACGACGACGTCGGCAGCCTTCAGGTGGTCCTGCAAGTCCTTGCTCTTGGAGTGGCACACGGTGACAGTCGCGTCAGCGTTACGGAGGAGGTAGCTCACAGGGCTGCCGACGATATCGCTGCGACCAAGAACGACAGCATTCTTGCCCTTCAAGTCAACACCAGCCTCCTGGAGAAGGACCATGACACCCTTGGGAGTGCACGGCACGAAGGGAGGGCGACCACCCCTCTTCGCCAGCTCGCCGATATTCCTGGTGCCGAAGCCATCGACGTCTTTCTCGTCCGAGACAGCAGAGGTAATAGTGTACTCGTCGAGGTGCTTGGGCAAAGGCAATTGCACCAGAATGCCGTGGACGGCGGGGTCATCGTTGAGGCGGTAAATGCGGTCAAGGAGCTCGGGCTCAGAGATGGATTCGGGGAAGTGAATCAATTCACAGCCAATGTTCGCCTGGAGGCGAAAGTCAGCTTCAAACGTCACATTGCCGAGCTCAATTGAGAAGTGTTTACCTCCTTGGCGGCCTTATCCTTCATGCGCACATAGGTGGCTGCGGGGTTGTGAGCATCGCGACAAATTTCATGGTGGGGTAGAGATGGCGTCGCAGCATACCAGAGTCCGATCTATCGCCGACTACGGACGAGCTTCGTTAGCCTTTATTTCTCAGCTTCCCAAGAGACCAAAGAGCCAAATTTACCCTGAATAATCTTGAGACACGGTTGGAATCTGGGATTCAGCTTCTGCTTCTCCAGAACGTCGCTGGCCAACGTCTCCCGGATCTTCTTGGCGACAGCGGTGCCGTCAATCTTAGTTGCGACCATGGCGGGCGATGTAGTTGCGAAAGACCGATAACAGTGACGTCTGTTCGAGGAACCCAAGGTCCTTGCGGTAAATGGGCTGGGAACGTGCCAAGAAACCAGAGAAGCGGTTCGATCTCTCAATTGTCTGAACGTAGAGTCGGAGGTTTGTTGGGAGGAAAGTGTAGAAGTTGAGATGTTCGCCGCGGCCAAGACAGTTTGAGTGTGAGCGGCGGGAGCACCGAGAGGGAGGGGTGAGGGATGACGGCCAAGCTCGGGAATTAGCGCCCTGCAGGACCGACGGTCTGATGGATACACCTGGAGGCCGGTATCAACCCCGAGGGACAGCTTCGGCCGGGGGGTTGCGGGAGCCTGTGCAAGTGAGTTTGGTACAAGCACCACGGCTCCAGTTGGAGCCAGTGTAGATGCTGCTTCAGCTACAGTTTGTAGTCTGGAGAAGCTGGAGAAGCTGAGATTGGACGGTTCTGCGTGCAGGCGACGATAAGTCCAATGCGGCCAGCGTTTGCCGTTCAGACGGCAGAGTGAAGGCATCTCGGATCTGTATCCGAAGCCTCGATCCTCAACTCCTACTTAGTCCCCCTAGGCCCCCTTCGCCCTATGGCGCGCAGCTGCAGGCTTCACGCGAGCCAATCCTCCTCCAGTGGACCTAAGCGAGTTCTCTGACTCTTGGATCGTGTGTACGATGAGTCGTGTGTGACTGATAGTCGACTCCCTGATCCTGGCTCTATGCAGACTTTGTTCTAGCAAAGCCAACGGGTATCGGGATCAGCACTTTTGGGCAGGTCGAAACCTCGGACTCCTATCCGAGGCCCGCTGGGAGCTGATAAGTGCGTGGCCGCCGGCTCCAGGTATTAGACAACACAATGACACAGGCTGGCCGTTGGTTGTTGTAACAAGTCAAATCTTGTACAAGTCTCGTTTGTGGATGCTGAACGAGGTAGTTGTCGACTTTTGGAAAGCCAAAGACTCTTGGAGTCTAACCAAATAACAAAAAAGGGGGCAAGTAAATGGTAATGTACAGCAACGGCAGAATTTTGCCAGTTAGTGGTGGCCTGATCCAGTCGCAAAAATCTTCATTGCCCAACTCAACGGCGATGGCGGAAATTGAAGCTCGAAGCAATGATCCGATGGACTCTAGGACGAGGCGGAACGTCCCGGAGATGAGGGTGAGTCACCAATGAATCGGACTGCCAGAGTGAGGTCGTTGTCGGCGCTGCGATGGGCGATGAATAAGGTGTCAATCACCATCAGAGAGCTCGAGGAGCTTCCTTCGATGACTCCATGGAGAACAGCTTTGCCTGACGTTCCCTGTAGCGTGGCGGACTGGACGCGCTAGACTCAGCAAAACAACGCCTCATTCGAGTGACTCAACCACCAAAACTGCCACAACAGGACCACAGCTCCCTGGAACTTTGGAGCTCAGCGAAGCTGGCCCGTGCTCGAGGCGAAGGCGGTGAATACTGCTCACCCTCTGGCGGCAGAATTGTCGCGGGGGAAAAAGTGCGCCCCACACCTGTGCACCGAAACCCACAATGTCGAGTTGAAGGGCAAAAATTCCACGATCCCCGACGACATCGCAAGCCTTTAAAGACCGACGTCCCCTGCCGCAAAAACGCCCCCCGTACAGCTGCCCCCGAGACCGAGAATCGCATACTCCCGAAATCTGTCAATATGAGGCCCATTCTTTTGGCAGGCCACGAGCGTGCGCTCACCCAGATCCGGTACGTTGCGCGACGCTTTTCGATTTGAGGAGGGGGGGGGAGGGCTTTTTCCTCAGCTCTTTGTCTCTCGGCAAAGAGGGGCTGCATTACAGCTTGCTAACTCGTCGCGTCTCCCCAAATATAGTTACAACAACGACGGTGACCTTATCTTCTCTACCTCCAAGGACCAGCAGATCTGCGTTTGGTACGCGCACAATGGCGAGCGTCTCGGTACCTACCACGGCCACGTCGGTGCCATCTGGACTGTCGACGTCGACCCCACTAGCACCATGATCGCCTCCGGTTCCGCCGACAACACGATGCGCCTTTGGGATATCAAGACCGGCAAGAACCTCAAGACCTGGGAGTTCCCCACCGCTGTCAAGCGCGTCGAGTTCAGCGAGGACGGTACCAAGCTGCTCGGTGTCACCGAGAAGCGTATGGGTTACCTCAGCAACATCATCGTCGTCGACATCAACCCCGACCCCGAGGCCGAGCAGAGCGACGAGCGCGTCCTGACCATCGTTTGCGACGAGAGCAAGGCCACCGTTGCCGGCTTCAGCTACCTCACCAAGTACATTATTGCCGGCCACGAGGACGGTTCCGTCTCTCAGTACGACGCCAAGGTGGGATATATCGATACGCCTGCCGGAGGGGAACGTCTCGCTGACTGGATCATAGACTGGTGACCTCATCTACAACGAGCCCGTGCATGAGCTTAACACTCCCATCACGGATCTCCAGTGGTCGGAGGACCGCACCTACTTCATTACTGCCTGCAAGGACAAGACTGCCAAGGTGAGATATCTGTTAATGCAACGGGGAGAACCAAACGCTGACCCACGACAGCTCATCACGGCTAAGGACCTTGAGGTCCTCAAGACCTACGTCTCTGATACCCCTCTCAACAGCGCAACCATTACGCCCAAGAAGGATTTCGTCATCCTCGGTGGTGGTCAGGCTGCTATGGATGTCACCCGTACCTCGGCGAGACAGGGAAAGTTCGAGGCCAGATTCTACCACAAGATCTTCGAAGACGAGGTCGGCAGAGTCCGTGGTCACTTCGGTCCTCTGGTAAGTCGGCGAGCCACGCCCGGTATCGTATCTCATTCACTAACCCGTAAAAGAACACTGTCGCCGCAGACCCCACCGGCAAGGGCTACGCAAGTGGAGGAGAGGACGGTTACGTTCGTGTTCACCAGTTCGACAAGGGCTACTTCGACTTCATGTACGAGGTCGAGCGGGAACGGAAGAACCGACAGGAGAACTAAGACTTCGGTTTTTTCCAAGAAAACACAAAAAGGGGCCTTTTTTCTCGTCTTCTTCGCGGCTTGCATAGTACGGCGTTTGGGAAATCTTCTGGGGGATGGTTAGATTGGTTTGTGTAAAACCTAGGGCAGTCCGCGAAACAGAAAGACTGGTGGGATGATATCTCTTCTCCCCTGAGCGGGAGACCTCGAAGATTTTGAAGAAACCAAAAACGGGGTAATGATGAGTTCTGACGCTAGTTTCAACGCAATACGGTCATGATCTGGAAGTGCTGTGCCCTGGTTATGTGAACTATTTGCTCACTTTTGCTTGCGTGACATATGTGATCTCACTTGGCGCACTTGAGTAGGGTCATTTTCGTGACGCACGATCGATATCTTCTTCGCGTTGAGTAAGCTCTCACATGACGTCTAGTGCATGAAATCCTGCCCGACTGCCTCGAGCATAAATAACTGCCAAAAATACGGCATTACTTCACCTCTAAGTTCACAAAAATGCAAAAATGAAAGGGACGAGACTCGAACTCGCGCGGGTTGCCCCACCAGGAAACAGATGTTAAGCTGACCTTAACCTGGCGCCATAACCAACTCGGCCACCCTTCCGGATGTACTGATTCTTAGAGAACCGGATGTTGCGGATCTTCGCCGGTGAAGATTCAGATAAGGCCAGCGTGGTGGGGTGGACGATGATGGTGGGGTGGCAGCAGGGCACCGTTGGCCGGCCGGGAAGTCCCAAGTTGACCGGGGTCGGGCCAGTTGTCCAAGACCGTCTTAGACAACGGCAGCCGTTTGAAGGGTGGCGAATGAGCACCCGGATGAAAAGAGAATCCCAACATTCCCTGGTCCGTTTTCATTCTGAAAAGGGTCGAAGATGTTGCTATGTAGTCTGACAAGACCGTTTACCTCTGGAACGTGGCCAAAAACTTTGGTGATTCTAGAAGTTCGGGCTGAAATTAAATGGTGACGTGAAGCGTCCAGCGGATTCTAATGGGTGGGGCGGCCGGCGCACCCCATGACTCTTCGACGAGCCGGCAACTCTGAGCTTAGTTGCGCAAACTGAGTTTTTGGTTGAGGGATTTCCCAGGTGTTTGGATGAGACCCCTGGCGCTGGCGACTTGGGACGAGGCTGAAGTTTGCAGCGGGCGAGTCGTTCGCCGTGAATTGAAACATGTTTTGACTGTTTGCTATGCACTGTAGAAACCTATGTAGCTTGCTTATCTAACATACTGAAACATGGCACTTCCTGGATCGCATTCGGAGTTTTGACGCACAAGATTCATGGGACATGGCATTGTGTATTATGTGATTGCGTCTGTCAAGTCATCATGACAGCTACATTCGTGATGATGTAGCCGCCATTGTTGACAGTGGATATATTTGATATACGTAGCTATGGACATGGACTAGCTAGCCGTCCCTTATGGCATCATCGCGAAAACTGTCCTGAACCTAACACCGCCCATGCACCTTCATAAAACCAATCAACGCCGCTTCGTGATGCACTCTATGCTTGTATCCCTTTCCCTCCATGTTGTGCGTCGATGCTCGCTCAATGCCCCGCCACAAGTTGCCCGAATCGTTGCATGCAAAATCTAGCCATTCGGAATGTCTATATTTGCCGCCGTAGAAGAGAAAAGGAGCCCCGACGGGCGCTCGTCTAGATCATGTGTGGCGAGAGCGTTTCGGTCCGCCGCCAAACATGTTCTTGTCCAGGCTGCTCAGGTCGAAAATCTCGGCGAAGTTGATTTTACGCTTAGATCCGGCGCCGCGGCCCAAATTGTTCCCTTGCCTTGTCGCCGAGCGGGGCATGTTTGCCGGGTGGCGTGGCCTTGATGATCGGGATGCCGTGTTTATGTTTGTCGTTGAGTTGTCATGTGTACGAGAGTCCGACAGGTCGAGGTTGGCAAGGTTGAGGTAGGCGTCTTGTTGAGGAGGTTGAGGCGGCCACGGGTGCGAGGATTGGAACGTGAAAGTGTCCTGAGTAGGGACCGTAATGGGCATGACCTCGGGTTCGTCATCGGCCTCGCTAGATTGAGGGGCCATGGGAGCCGCATCCGTTGTCATCTGGTTCTCCTCTCGCATCTGGGTCTCGCTGTTCGATCGATTCAGCTCAGGTGAAGAAGCAGGTTCCGGCTTCTCCGCCTCGTCGTCGCTTTCGGTGTTCTGAGAGTCCCTGCCCTCCAGTTGCTTGGTTGCCCAGCTCCGAATCCTCCAGCCGTCGCCGTCGCCCAGCCCGATTTTCTCTTTGTCGAGGAACGCCAAAAGGTCGTCGAGGCAGTCCTGATATCCTTCCTGGCGAGACTTTGACTGAGCGGCCGCGGATGTCTTGTAGAGCTTCGTCACGGACAGGGCGGCGGCCTTGAAGGCATCGAGGAGCTGCTCGGGGGAGTCATTTTGGGCAGCCTGCTGCTTCGCTGCCGAGGAGCCGGGCAGGGAGGTGTTGAGGCTTCGCATCGAGTCCATGGTGTATTTTGCCGAGTGCAGATTGACTTCCAAAATGTCAGCAGAAAATCGAGGAAAAGGAAGTGGAAGTCCCGCACCTAGCGGTGTATGTAGTTGATGTTGTCGGGTAAACAAATCTTGATGTCGCGGGTGGGGTCCAAACGGGGTCCCCAAAAGCGTCGGTTGCGACGATAAGGTGTGGGTGCAGCGACGTCGACGTCGAAAGGGCTGCGATTTGCTGGGTCTGATGCAGGGGAAAGACGAAAAGGTGTCGATAACGACAGCTTTGTAAGGACGATTCAGTATCAAAAAGGCGGCGATGAAAGATGCAGGTGTTTGTCGACGGAGGAAGTCAGCTCTACCAACCGACCGACCTTCCCAAAGGTCGACGTCGCCGCAGAGCACATGACACTGGAAGCGGCACTAACCGGACAGCCAACAGCACCTGCCACCTGCAGCGCTTCTAGGCGGTAAGGTACCTGGCCCGATTGCGCTGAGTGCCCAGTGCCCGGGTGGCTTTGACGTTATCCCCTCGGTCAGTGCGCTAGTTCTGACCGGCTGGTCCAATCACTGCGGGCCCCCTGCTGGCTTTCATTTCGCCTCCACTTCCGCCGTCTCGGGCCTCCAGCTCCACTATTGAAAGGGCTGTCGGAGAAAATCTCTTCCTGCCCGTCCAACTGGCCGGCGCCGCATGGAATCACTTTACCGTACTGGAGCTTGACACGGGTGAAAACGCGCTAATCCTGATTAGATTTGTCTCTACCGGCGGACGGATCCCACCTTTCCCTACGACTTCTAAAAAACATCTCCAGGCCTTCAATCTTTGCGCCGCAACACAAGCATTCGAACATTTGGCCGAGCGCTCCTTCTGGCACTTCAACTCGACACAAGCTCCGAATTTCAAGCATACCCGTTGGTACTGGTCTGCGCGACGAATTTCCACGAAACGCGTGTAAGTCGCGTAAAGTGATTTACGGCCATCAAGATGGCGCCTTCACGCTCAAGAGCTGCCGCGGTCGATACCGACGCGTCAATGTCTGACGCCCCAGAGACCCATCATGCGGAAGATATGGTACGTTTGATTCTATCCCGTTTGCCCTTTGCCTTGGTCTACCCAACAAACTCGTCTGCTGCCTACAAACGGAGCCTTGCAGCTGACATGCATCTAGGAAGTCGATGAGACTCCAGACTACACTGATTCAGACACCAATCCGAACACCACCGCTAGCAGCGTTGCTGGTGAACCCACCGGAGACGGCCGTAAGAAACGTTCTGAAGCGAACCAGCTCCGCCGGAGCATCTTTGGCAAGAAGCATGATAGGTTAGGCGAATCCAAGGTAAGTCTGGCGCAATTCTGTCAAATACCAAGTCCCCCGTGATGCTAATTGATGATTTCCAATAGGAGGAGGATAGCATTCGCCGATTCAGATACCTTTTGGGCCTGACAGACCTCTTCCGCCACTTCATCGAGACGAACCCCAATCCTAAGATCCGAGAAATCATGACCGAGATTGATCGACAGAATGCCGAGGCCTCGAAAAGCAAGAAGGGCGGTGCGCGTCAAGGTGGTGCGAGCAATGAGCGGCGTCGTCGGACCGAAGCCGAGGAAGATGCTGAGCTTCTTCGCGATGAGAAGCACGGAGGCTCCGCCGAGACGGTTTTCCGAGAATCGCCCCCTTTTATCCAGGGAACTATGAGAGATTACCAGATCGCCGGTCTCAACTGGTTGATTTCTCTCCACGAGAACGGCATTTCTGGAATTCTGGCTGACGAGATGGGTCTCGGCAAAACCCTGCAAACAATCTCGTTCCTGGGCTACCTACGACACATCATGGACATTACCGGCCCGCATATCGTCATTGTTCCCAAATCAACGCTGGACAACTGGAAGCGAGAGTTCGAGAGATGGACACCCGAGGTCAAGGTTCTTGTGCTCCAGGGTGCAAAGGAGGAGCGCCAAAGCCTCATCAACGATCGCCTGGTCTCGGAGGACTTCGATGTCTGCATCACGAGCTACGAGATGGTCCTGCGCGAAAAGGGACACCTGAAGAAGTTTGCGTGGGAGTATATCATCATCGACGAGGCGCACCGCATCAAGAACGAGGAGTCATCACTGGCCCAGGTGATCCGTCTGTTCAACTCCCGAAACCGACTTCTCATTACCGGTACACCTCTCCAGAACAACCTTCACGAACTCTGGGCGTTGCTCAACTTCTTGCTTCCCGATGTTTTCGGCGACTCGGAAGCCTTTGACCAGTGGTTCTCCGGCCAGGATCGTGATCAAGACACAGTTGTGCAGCAGTTGCACCGTGTGCTGAGACCTTTCTTGCTTCGAAGAGTGAAGAGCGACGTGGAGAAGAGCTTGTTGCCCAAGAAGGAGGTCAACGTTTACCTCGGCATGTCAGACATGCAAATCAAGTGGTATCAGAAGATTCTCGAAAAGGACATCGACGCTGTCAACGGCGCAAACGGAAAGCGCGAGTCCAAGACACGCCTTCTCAACATTGTGATGCAACTGCGCAAGTGTTGCAATCACCCTTACCTGTTTGAGGGTGCCGAGCCCGGCCCGCCGTACACCACAGATGAGCACCTCGTCTACAACGCTGGCAAGATGGTTGTTCTTGACAAACTACTGGCCAGAATGCAGAAGCAAGGAAGCAGAGTTCTCATCTTCTCCCAGATGAGTCGTCTCCTGGATATCCTTGAGGATTACTGTGTCTTCAGGCAATACAAGTACTGCCGCATTGATGGTTCCACAGCACACGAGGACCGCATTGCCGCGATTGACGAGTATAACAAGCCGGGCTCCGAGAAGTTCATCTTCCTGCTCACTACAAGAGCTGGTGGTTTGGGCATCAACCTAACCACAGCCGACATTGTCGTGCTTTACGACAGTGACTGGAATCCCCAGGCTGATTTGCAGGCCATGGATCGCGCTCATCGTATTGGCCAGACCAAGCAAGTTGTTGTTTACCGTTTCGTAACGGACAATGCGATTGAGGAGAAGGTCTTAGAGAGAGCAGCTCAGAAGCTTCGCCTGGACCAGCTGGTTATTCAACAAGGCCGAGCCCAACAGGCAGCCAAGGCCGCAGCCAACAAGGACGAACTCCTCTCCATGATTCAGCACGGTGCTGAGAAGGTGTTCCAGAGCAAGGGCGCTACTGGCTCGTTGGCTGCCAATGGTGCTGATATGGACGAGGACGATATCGACAAGATCCTTGCCTCTGGCGAGTCAAGAACCAAGGAGTTGAATGCCAAGTACGAAAAGCTCGGAATTGATGATTTGCAGAACTTCACATCCGAGTCTGCTTATACATGGAATGGCGAGGACTTCAAGACGAACAAGAAGGATATCGGCATGAACTGGATCAACCCGGCGAAGCGTGAGAGAAAGGAGCAATCCTACTCCATGGACAAGTATTTCCGGCAGACAATGTATCCCCCTAAGGAGAAGGACAACAAGCCAAAGGCACCGCGAGCCCCCAAGCAAGTCCCCGTCCACGACTACCAATTCTATCCGGACCGCCTTAGGGAACTCCAAGACCGCGAGACTGCCTACTACCGCAAGGAGATTGGCTACAAGGTTCCCCTCCCTGACGGTGATGAGGATAAGCTTGAAGAGCGTGAGCAAGAGCGGGCTTTGGATCAACAAGAGATTGACGACGCGACACCACTGAACGAGGAAGAGCTAGAGGAGAAGCAGCGCCTGTCACAGCAAGGCTTCGGCGAGTGGAACCGTCGTGACTTCCAGCAATTCATCAATGCGTCGGGACGCTATGGCCGCAACGACTACGAGAGCATTGCTGAAGACATTGACAACAAGACCGCGGCCGAGGTCAAGCAATATGCCAAGGTGTTCTGGCAGCGCTACACGGAAATCGCCGACTACAACAAGTACATTAAGGTTATTGAGGACGGCGAGGAGCGTATGCGCAAGATTGAGCATCAGCGGAAGCTGCTACGCAAGAAGATGTCCCAGTACCGCGTCCCCTTGCAGCAGCTGAAGATCAACTACTCCGTCTCCACTACGAACAAGAAGGTCTACACGGAGGAGGAAGACAGATTTCTTCTGGTTCTTCTCGACAAGCTGGGCATCGATTCTCCCGGCCTTTACGAGAAGATGCGTGACGAGATTGCGGAGAGTCCTCTCTTCCGATTCGACTGGTTCTTCCTCAGCAGGACACCTGTCGAGCTCAGCCGTCGCTGCACTACCTTGTTGACGACTATTGTGAAGGAGTTCGAGGACGTTCATCCCACGAAGAATGGTGTCAATGGCAAGACGAAGAGAGAGGCTGACGATGAGGAGAATGACGAGGATAGCATTCTCGGCATGGCTCCCGCCAAGAAGAAGACTAAGAACGGCGTCAAGGTACGATATGCGCTGAAACCCTCGGAATGAACACAACTAATAATGCACGCAGAACAAGGCTCTGGACAACGTCAAGTCTGAGGTCGGTAGCAAGAACACGTCCGCAGCACCTTCGAGGGCATCGAGTGTCGCCTCCACAAAACCCACTCCCAATGCGAAGAGCAAATCCAAGGGCAAGAAGAAATAGACGGTCGGGTCAGCTACATGATGACACAGGGGTCTTTGTGGGTAAAGCTTTGCCGGATGGAGGCAGTGATAGAAAATGGCGTTTGGTCTGGCGTGACCTGTTATTTGTTTTGGGAATTATTCAACGGCTTTCGCGATAGAGGGCCTCGACTTGCGTCGAACTGTATTTTCTAGTCAAATTCCCTGACACGAGAATGAAGTCAATTCTGAACAACTGGTTATAACGCTGTGACATTCTATTGGTGTATTAGTTCTCGCATCAACAGCGGCAACGGACACCTTTTGGTCCTATGGCACTGGCAGCAAGGTACACCTGTCTTTAAGCAAGGTTCTTCATCATAACGGTGCCATGCCGGAGTTGATTTCCACAGCGTGCATTTATTTCTTGCCGTTCCCAACTTTTCAAGAAGCCTGCTTCGGTTGTCTCCTTCCGCCACCAAAGAAAGCTGCACATATCGTCAAGAGACACAGTTCTGTAATCATGTCTTCCGCTTCCGGGTCACCAATCGTCCGAGAACCCTTCTACTACTCAGGTGACACCTTCTCGGTCATCACGCCAATTGGGACCATCCACCCACGACAGACGACCGTCGAGCTGAAGGCGCATTCTTCAAGTTGCTTCTCGCAAGTTCAAGTTCTACCGGCATCAAGGATCAACCCGCTCACTGGTATGGGGCTCAGCTTCTGCATTATGGTCTAACATTGCCCAAAATCAAGGAGACAGCCAGTCGTAGGCTCATAAGCGCCATCCTTGGGAATCCGGCAGGCTTGACTGTTCCAACGCACATCGAGAATTTGGAAAAGGAGATGAAGGCCGAGTGGGAGGCCCAGCAAAACAGCGTGACTGCTGACGAGACTGCGAATCGGAAAAAGAGGAAGTCGAGGGATGATGGCATTTCGACTGAGGAAACAACTACGAAGAAGATCAGGGCTGCTGAGACAAATAGAACCGACGGCAATCAAAAGTCGGTCGAAGGCCACCTTGACGGAATCCGTATTCCCCGAGAACACGGCATCAAGGCTACGATTCACCATGAGCAAACGCCGCCCTCCCACACCACCAATCGTGGAAACGCAGATCATAGGGATGGCCGTGGCGACAACCAGACATTCTGCGATCGAGCCCTTGTCCCTAACCGCAATTATATACCTCTCTCTGGTCAGACGACGCTGCCTTTCTCACCTGTCCCAACATCGAGCCAGACGTACAACGAACCCCCGCCGCCGGATCCAGGCTCACCTCAAGGTCATGACGCTTTCAATATGTACAACAAATCTCTCCGTTCTTCTCAAGGACAAAGGCGCCTTCCGCCACTGGGACCAATCAACGGCCGCTACGAGATTTACAATCTCGAGATCCCCGAGGATGGTGACGTGTTGTTCGGCACAGGGGTGAAGGGCATGGTTTGCGCCGTAGACAGCAACGCCATGTGGATTACCTTCGGGTTGGGGTTCGTCAACGGCGTCATGTACGCCCCTGAGCGCCCACGGCGATCCTCACTGAGTCCCATTGAGTTCGAATGGTGCGGTGAAAGTCGGCTGCGTGGACAGGCCTACGGTTCACATTACGGATGCTCGATGACATTCGTTGGAGATGGCTTTATCAAGGCAACTTTGTATTGGGAAGGTCGTGGATGGGATTTTCGGGCTCGGGGGCTCGATAAGCAGCCTCCGTGGAATGAGAAGACGTCCAAGGCGTTGCGTAATCGATGGAACAATTATTGTCTCGGGGGGTTATACATATTACCAAAGCCAACATGATTGAGGTGAGCTCTTGACACTGTTGAGCAACTATCAATAGAGTACAACTTCATACCAAGACCTATATGACTAACTTACTTCTACACTGATCTGCTTTGAGGAGTTAGACAGATATTTACTATTTCTTTGGTTTCTGTTGTGTCTGCAAGCTGTTTTGCGTCTGAAGGGATTGAGCTTGATGCAAAGGTTGCAGAACGCGCGACGTTAAATATGCATCTTGCCCGGACATGAATTGCCGGTTGATGCTGTTAAGAGAGCTTCACTTAATGCCCAACCAATCCTCATGGCAATAACATTGGTAGACTACTTGAACCTGGTGTAGGTTGCCAACCTCAGGAGATGAGGTGAAGTTTATTGATGGATGAGTCAATGAGCCAACACCATTCAAGCGGCGTTCATCGTCTGTCTCGCCTATCTATTTTGTACAGTAATCTCTCGTGGCTGGAAAACTACGCTTATGGTCTCAAAAACATCTAGTCGTTATTGCCTTCCATCGTCAACTTGATCAGCAGCAGCAGCCTTCGACAGGATAGGACACTGGAACAGAGCCTTCCAGGTTTGTTAGTGTGCATGCGGTAGCGTTAGTGGGGTTTGGGTACCTGGCAAGCACCGCGTTACAGTGAAAGCCGCCTGGAAAGCTCTAAAATTCGCCTGCACAGCACTCACTAGGTCTAAGTACCAAATTTTGTTGCCTTTTCGTCATCATCAGGCCTTCCTGGCGCAATGGTTAGCGCGCTGGGCTTTTATCATGACACTTCTGTCTGTGGAAACCTAGAGGTTATGGGTTCGAGTCCCATGGATGGCGTTTGAATTCTTTTTTGATTTTTGCAGCGAACATGTGCTTGGTTATCCTAGATGATTTGTTTGGCAAATACCTTTCTAGACAGTAAATGATTTTCGTCTTCATTCTGGATGGAAGACATGCTAGCTAACATGGCGCCAGGCAGCACAAATCTTGACTCAATAAACACCAACCAACATCGAATGGCTACATATGCGTGAACTAGGACTTCTTCGCAAGGCAACAACCAAAAACCATGATTTCCTCCTGGAAGTGATCGGTATGAGTTTAGGCAGTTGAAATTACGTATGCAATCGCATACGCAAGCCTTAACTTATCCATCCAGTAAATATGGCTCGAATTTCTTCAGGAAGGGGTTGAAAGCTCCAGACCCGAAGAGTTTCTCCCAGCAGCGCAACTGCACTGGGGGTTAGGTAGCTAGACCGAGCCTGGGTTCAAGACTGTCTTACGCCTAGGTACATGATGAAATGCTTATTTTGGCTTATTTCAGTTGAAGAATAGATTCGGAATGCGTCTGCCGCGTATTAAAACAGTATCATAGTATCCTACACACCTCATTAAAGCCAGATAAGCAGTGGCTCATACTAGGTAGTACGAGTAACATTGATCTGTATTAACCGCACATAACTACTTAGACGATATTCGTTGTCAGGTCCAAAACTACCCAGAAAACAATCTTGTGCTAGAATGAGATCCAACATTGGCGATGCCTACTGTAATGATTTACTATAAGCTGCCTGCCCACCTTGCAGGGGAACGTCATCCTGCCCCGCACCAGCACCAGACAGCACTGCCCCTCCATGCCAGGATCACCACTCCGGGTCCAGGTCCCAGGTCTAGGTTTCCACATCTCGACCGCTATTGCGTTGCCTTGGAGCTGACACTCGACCCAATCCACCTCCCGTCTGCCTCACTTGCTTCACCTCTTTTTTATTCCATTGTTCTCTCGTCGAGCTTCGGGAGCTGCAAGTACAAATCATTCTGGCGTTTTAGGAGCCCATCATGTCCGTCACCATCGAAAAGATCCTCGCTGCTTCGCCAGCTACTCAGCGCGGCCAGCCAACCCAGCTCTCGGCTGACAACAAAGGAGAACGCATTGCCTACGCGGTCAGTTTGTTCACTCGAGCCCTGAACATTGTCTCAGCTAACAAGACCGTACGAACAGGCTGGCAAGTCCATTTTCCTTCGATCCATCGACAACCCGTCTGTCTGCAAGCAATACACGGGACACACTGCCCAAACGAGCGTTGCCCGCTTCTCGCCCAGCGGCTTCTACGTCGCCAGTGGTGATGTTTCGGGAGCCGTAAGAGTCTGGGACGCGGTAGAGGCCGAGAACACCAAGGGTGCCATGGATTCGGACAACACACTCAGCTGCACACGCTGACAGACTGCCAGGCGAATACCACATCATCTCCGGTCGTATCAACGACATTGCATGGGACGGCGACTCCCAGCGCATCATTGCCGTCGGTGACGGTAAGGAGCGTTTCGGGCACTGCATCACGGCCGACAGCGGAAACTCGGTGGGCGAGATCAGCGGCCACTCCAAGGTTGTCAATTCCGTCGCCGTGAGACAACAGCGTCCGCTGCGGGCTGCGACGGTGTCCGACGACAGCTCCATTTGCTTCCTGCACGGCGCCCCTTTCAAGTTCAACTCGAAGCACGCCACGATCCACCGCGGCTTCGTCTTCGGCACCGCCTTCTCCCCCGACGGAAACCAACTCGTGACGGTTGGCGCCGACAAGCGCATCCAGCTCTACGACGGCAAGACAGGCGAGCCCACAAGACAAATCGGCGAGGGAGAGCACACCGGTAGCATCTTTGCCGTTTCATGGAACAAGGAAGGAACCAAGCTCGTCACTGCCAGCGCCGACCAGACCGTCAAGCTCTGGGATGTGGAGGCCGGCAAGGTCATCCAGTCGTGGAAGTTTGGCGATGGTGTTAGTGTCGGCGACCAGCAGGTCGGTGTGGTATACCCCCATGGCAGAACCGATGGTTTGATCATCAGCATCAACCTCGACGGCGACTTGATCTACCTCAACGAGGGTAGCGACAAGCCTAGCAAGGTCGTCCAGGGACACAACAAGAGCATCACCGCTCTGGGCGCTTCGTCCGATGGCAAGGGCCAGACTCTGTGGACTGGTAGCTTCGACGGCCGTGTCTGCCAGTGGGATGTCGCATCTGGCGTTGGCTCTGTTGTCGACGGACAGGCGCACTCAAATCAAGTTACCCAGTTCAGCGCGGAGGCTGGACAGACTTACAGCGTTGGTTGGGACGACACGCTGCGGATCGTCGACGAGTCTGCCAACACCTTCGCTGGCGAGTCTGTCAAGCTCTCCGCTCAGCCCAAGGGCGTGGCAGCGACGAACGGAAAGCTCTATGTGGCCACAATTGAGGGAGTGGATGTTTATGAGAAGAACGAGCTGCTTTCCGAGAACCGTCTTGGATACGCACCTCTTGCCGTGGGCGCCTACGGCTCAACCGTAGCAGTAGGATCAGGGAACTCAGTCAAGATTTACACCGCCGACGGCTCTGGAAAGCTCTCGGAGATCAAGTCACTTGACAAGTCGACTTCTCAGATCTCCTGCCTCTCGTACTCCAAGGACGGTCAGTACCTTGCCGTTGGCAACCAGATCGGCAAGATCGTGGCCTACAAGACGAGCGACTGGGAGGTGGCGACGGACAGATGGTCGGCTCACACGGCGAGAGTTACATGTATTAGCTGGAATGATGCTGCTACTCACGCCGTCTCTGGAGCGCTGGACACGAATGTGTACGTGTGGAGCTTGGCCAAGCCCGGAAGCCGTGTCAAGGCCCTCAACGCGCACAAGGACGGTGTCAATGGCGTCGCCTGGGTTGAGGGTGGCAGCAAGGTTGCGAGCGCAGGAGGTGACGCCGCAATCAAGGTTTGGGCCGTGTCTGGACTGCAATAGTTGCTTGTATATGAAAGAGTAGACTATGCATACCTGCTAGAGCCATGATGACTGAACAAAAAAGCGAAATGATGTTATCCCAGCCGAGAACGCCTGCTGAAGTTGGGTATCTCTTTAATCTAGAAGCAAGCCGCTTCCCAAACCATAGTGCACACATTTTCTCCCCGCCTTCCTTGACAATCGTGAATCATAAAACCAGCATACACTATTACCAGAAGAAATCCGACGGATGAGGTCAAAAGCGTTGCAGCGGCATGGGCGACTAACCCATTGTCATCTGGGCCACCTCCTCGCGCTGGACCTCCCCTGTGCCTCCTCCATTACCCACAACAGTGTCTGGAACAACTGGCTTGTCATCCACATCGTAGCGGCCGAGCATTGCGCTGCTGACCGTCCACAAGTCAACAGGCGGCGCGGCGGTGTCCTCTTCGACAGAGTGCGGCTTGAACGACAGCTCGGTCTTATCGAGCTGAAGTTGAAGCTGCTCCAGTGCCCAGGGGATGTCGCCGAGCTTGCCCCAGATCCCGTAGCACTGGCGTTGGATCTCGTCGGCCAGCTCGACCTGGTGGTTGTCCTTGAGCGTCGGGTTTGGGACGACGACGAGGGGGACGTTGACGCGCATGCCGTCCAGGATGGTCCCGGTGCCTTTGAGATTTTGTCAGTACGCTTCGCTGTTCTCCATTGGGTGAATATCTGACTGCGTACCTGCGTGGCAGATGACGGCACCCGCTCTGCGGTCTTCTGCGGCGCGGCACTTGACCATCTCGACGGTGAGGTCGTCGACGAACTCGAACGCGGTGATTTCGAGTGAGGGGTAGCTTGACACGAGTCCTGGGAGGACATTTCGGGAGAAGTGCTCGTAGTCTTTGCCGCACTGGAGCGTCAGGTTGGTGTAGCCATCGCCAACGAGGAAGTCGAGACACGTGGGGTCGAGAACTTCGGTAAGGAGCTGCGTGAAGCGGGCTGTCGCACCGACCGTCACGAGACAGTGACGCTGGAGGCGCGGAGGTTCGGCAGACATGTCTAAGATGGCGGTATGGGAGTTGCTCTGGATTGAGATACGGAGGATATTCGTCTCGTGAGGTAGACGATGCTTTGCGACGATGTTGAATGAGTGGAATCTTGAAGCTTCAGGGAAGCTCTAGCAGTGACGTCCAGCCAAGGACGCCGTGGCACAGCCGATCAGGGTCCACTGGCGCGGGGCGCGGGGCGTGCTGGGACGCCGTAACAAACGCTACCGGCTGCGGCAGTGCCTGGACAGGGGTTAGGCTTCCATCTTCTTCAGTTGGGTCCAGTGGGTAAGGTGTGATTAGGTATGAAACGAACTTTTCTGGCCGAGAACATCTCTCTTTCATCGTGAGTACAAAATGATATGATTAAGGGTATATAGTGGTATCATCGCTATGACTATACTGCTCTCCTCCTTTTGATTATTCATCTTATCATGATTCGTCTTAATTGTCCGACATCTGGCCATCCTTTTGATCCCTCCAAAAGGGCTCGACTCCCATCTCCCGAAACCTCTTCCTCTCATAAACCTTAGTTACGATCCAGTTGCTTACAACCATAATGACCACGAAAAAGATGATACCGAAGCCAGCGATGAGAGGGGCTAGTATGGAAAAGACCGTAAATCCGTAACTGGCGTTCTGGAAAGATTCGTCTCCCATCAGGCGATCGGTGCCTAACCCGACTTGCATGGCAGTCAGGACGATGACGACGTAACCAAGAGCCGCAGCCAGTGTGCCGAAATTATCTCGCAACAGGTCCTCATAGACTGCGTAAGACGCTACCTTGGAGTATCCCCGAAGCAAGTGCCCCAGTCGGAACCGGTAGATCTTGTTCAGCCGGCTCAGTCGGAGCTCGCCGTACCAGTACCGCGGATTGACGGACGCGTAGCAGTGATTCTGCACGATTTGCGCGGATAAAGCTCGCCATCGGTCCCAGCTCACTTGGTGCGGCACAAGGCCCTTTTCGACGGCAATGCGAAAATCGCTCTCGTAGGCGATGAGAGCCGTGTAGGTGAACAGGAATCCGAGCGCGCACGGCGCAAGATCCTTCCGCGGATCGGGCTGGTGTCTGTTCCCGTCGTGGCAGACATTGGCCGTGGTGGTGACGAGCAGATGGGCGGCCCAGAAGTCTGGGTCTAGCAGCCATCGGGGTATCGGCTTCACGAAGATACGGTTCTTGGCCCAGACGAGATGAAGCTCGGGGTTCTCTGTGACGTGGATGTCCCGCGAAGTCAGGACCTGGTAGTGGAGGGGCCTCGGGGGCATCGGACGCCCGCAGAGCCAGAGAAGGTCCTGGACGTCGTTCAGACGTCGGACGAGGAGTTCTCGGTCCAGGAAGTCGACGTTTTCGGCTTGCGGCACGGTTATATCGTCGTTCTGTGCTCGGGTGGTAGCCGGGAGAAGGTCGCTGAAGGCTCCGGGCGGCGAGGTCTTTGCTGACGTTGCTGCAAGATCAACGCCGTCATTGAGGACGCGGACGGTGAAAGGCACGGACGGGCCGTCCATGGTGTGACTTTGGTGACTCCTAGGTTGATGTGAGAAGGTTGGTAAGCCGGGCTTCTCTGAAGTCTGATCCGGGATGTCAACCACGAAGTTGGATGCTGATATGGCTCAGCGAAACTTCATGCAAAGCATATGGCAGTCTCAACTCACCCCCTCCTGCCCTGGTGACAACTTCTTCTGATTGGCAGGAGATGGTTTAAGGGAAGCAGAACCACCTGTCTGTTGCGGTCGGCCCTTAGGTTCTCTGTTGTAAGAGAAAAACTATCAACACTCTTAGGGGAGCTGCGTGGATCACGGTCGTCGAGGCAAGCTTGACTGGGGTTTCTTTTTCTTGATTCATCTCACCAGCCTCACCAGCTGAACTTCAGTGTCCAACCTGAAGCGAGTCCATCGAACCACATGATCATCACGATTGCAGCAGGCTGCACAGGAACAATAGGCATCTAAATTTCTGGGGTCCAAAATGGCAGGTCCCCATGTCACCCGAGATGATGAACAGCAGTTTTGGCAGGGTGTGTCTCCTCGCTGCACCGCCGGAAAGCAACAAATTCTGCTCCCCGGGGTCCCGAACAGGGACGAATCCACCAAAGCTAGTTGCTTACCTGTGGGACAGTGCTACAAATTTAGAGACAGCTGTAGTCCGAATGAACCAGTCTATTGGCGCAGTCAGACGGTTGTTAAGCATCGTAGGATGACAATGCATGGGGGCTGACGCCGCTAAGGTCGTTTCGGGCCGCCTAGATGCAGGGGGACCCAACGGCCAACTCGGTACGGAGTAGTTCTCACACTAGACATTCTGGACCCCGGGACTGACAGCCTTACACTTACAGGCACTGCCTAGTCCCTACCCGGGCTGCGCCCGCCGCTTGCGGACATCTCATCATCTTCCTATGATCTTATTCATACCTCTTTTGCTCCTGTCATGACGGGAAGGCTGCTTTCTTCGTCTCACCAGGTATATTCAACGACAGCAGCATCATGTCTCTGCGGCGAGCGGGAACGAGAAGAGCGGCGCCTCATGGAGCTCACGGAGGTCCGAAGCCGAGGATAACGTATCAGACTGTCCAACAAGGCTTCAAGGAGCTGTATAATCCTCAGAAAGAGAATGGCCTCGGGTCAGCCATCGATGTTGAGTATGTCACCGTCTTATGGGTCTGTATCACATTGAAGTTGGATCTGACTGTCGAACAGCATTGTTTTCGTACCGGGTTTGGGCGCACACCCCGAGGACAGTTGGAAGTCTGAGACAGGATTTAACTGGGCAACCGGTATCTACGATGGCGCCTCAAAATCGTTTTCAGACTCCGTCAGCAAGAAGGATGGTCTCGCAAGAGACTTTCCGAAAGCTCGGATATTGCTGTATCAGTACGAGTCGGCATGGATTGGTGATCTTAAAGTCAAGTCCTTCATGAGGGACATTGCAAAGTCCATGTTGGAGGGCCTGCAGGCCAATCGAGAGGTTTGTCTGCTGACGTGTTATACGAGATAACAAGCTCACCGGCTGCTAGGGAATCAGAGACCGCCCTATCGTCTTCATTGGACACAGTATGGGAGGTTTGGTCATTGCCAAGGTAGGCGACATATCCTTACTCATTTGACAGCAGAAACTTACTCATAGACAGGCCATCACTTTGGTTGCAGACACATACCGTGATGTGTTCCCCAGGATGTTTGAGTGCATCGCAGGCTGCGCCTTCTTTGGAACACCATTTGGCGGTACCGAGATCGCCGCCACTGCATCTATGCTCGGAGATTTCGGTGAACAACTTGGCTACACGAAGTCCTCAGCCTTGGTCAAAATGATGACACCAGGAGACGAAAGCTTGAACGAGCTGAAGAACGACTTCTTGCGGCTGGCTCTCAAGCTGAGCCCGGCAGTTCAACTCTTTTGCTTTTATGAGAATCACCCGACCGATTTCACCCAGGAGAAGTACGGAGCCGCCATGTCAAAGATAGCCAAGACAGTTATCCCCAAGAAAGTACAAGACTTCGTGCCGAGAGAGTCGGCAACACTTCCTGGAATCGAGGACATGGCGCTTGCGGCAAATCACAGAGATCTCGTCAAGTTCAGCGACTTCAAGGACTCACGGTACCAGCTTGTTAGGGAGCCTCTGAAGAGACTTATCCACGGTGCTGGGCTCGTCGTAAAGAACCGCCTTAACTCCACTAGAGGCATTGACCAAGAAACCGTCAACGGCGTGATGGAGCTATTGAACGGCGGACAGGTTGCAAAGAAGAGGAGGATGCTCGCGCCCCAGTTTCCACCATCGACCTGGATTCCAAAGGAGACGGAGTATCTCGACTGGTTGAAAGACGCTGACATGTCGAGCATCGCCAGACCTCAAAGTCGTGGTCAGGCACTTTTCATCCGGGGACCTGAAGGACGAGGCAAGACACGAGCTACCATGGCCGTGATCCAGGATGTCGACCATATGATTCAGATTGATGAGAAAGAGAACAACGGTCGGGGCCCGATTCTTCTCGCCTACTTCTTCTGCGAGCCATCTTCGGATTTCTCAACTGCCGAAGACTTGCTCAAGTCACTTGTCCGCCAACTCATTGGCCAGCAGCCCTCGCTAGCTGTATACGCGAAGCATTTCGTCAAGAGGAAGGGCGAAGACTCCTCGAAAACTCAGGCCAACCTCACTGTAGAGAACTTATGGCAGACTCTCCAGGATATGCTAATGGATGAGTTCATCGGTCGCCGGGTGTACTTTGTCGTCAACAACTTGCATGCCCTCCCCGAAGATGCCGAGTCAACCGTCAAGCTTATGCGATTCATCAACGCGGAGATGCAGGAGCTCAGAACTGAGGACGAGAAGCGTGTAACAACGAGATGGTTCATCACGAGCAGAGATGTTCAGAACGTGGAGGACGCCATGAAGGTAGATGACATCCGGCTCATCGACCTTGAAGACGACAAGTACTGCGATCAAGTCCAACTCGAACTGCGCAAGACAGCGCAGGAGAAGGTTCAGGAGCTCGGTAGCGCGAAGAAGTACAACAAGGCCCTCACTTACTATGCAAGCAGTCTCATCGGCAAACGCGCATCGAACAGCCAGTGGATCAAACTCTCTTGCATGCAGCTAGCAGAACTCCCTGAAGCCGAAAGCGATCTCAAGATTCGACATATGCTGGAGGGCATGCCTCAAGAGTTGAAGGCGTTGTTAGATGCGGCCTGGTCCCAGATTTTCCGTGCGAACGAAAAGGACGCCGAGAAGATCAAGGAACTTCTGCGGACTCTTGCTCTCACTTTTGAGGAGCCCACGGAAGACGAGCTTGCTATTCTCGCCGGGTTTCCTACGACTGAGGAGGGCAAGACTGAACTTCAGGACTTAGTAAAGAAGTGCAGACCGTTGCTAGTCGTCAAGCGGAGTGGCAAGTCTGAGAACACGATTGGCTTCATGGATAGGGTCGTCAAGGACCACCTGCTGGAGAAGGAGACTTCAAAGAGGACACTGGGAATGTCTGGCGACGAGAGAAGATGGCAGCATGGCATCATTGCGCTCCGATGTCTGGCACACATCAAGGATGCCTTCGATTTCCCTCCTGTCGAGAAGCCTGACGAGGAAACCAGCAACGGAAACGGATCTGAAGCAGCAAGCAACGACGGCGAAGACGATACCGACGGAGAATCCGAGGCAAACGATGACGAAGCAAGCGACAGCGAATCAGAGCAAGAATCCGACGACGACACCGATTGGGATGACGAAGAGTCCGTCTATAACGGCGATATGGAGGATGACGAGGCCGAGGAGGCGCAAAGTCTGGTTGGCAAGGCCATGGCTTACCCAGTCAAGCACTGGCTACATCATGCCAGCAAGGCGACTTTGGAAATCGCCGAAGACCTCAGCGAGGATGACTTCTGGCAGAAGGAGTCTCTCATTCGCTACCGATGGCTTCTGGTTTACATGCATACCACCAAGGTTCTGGCGGGCTTTGAAGCCAAGCATTTGACTGCACTTCATATTGCGGCTGCCCTTGGTTTCAGGCAATTGGTTTCGGCACTGATCCAGAACGGCCATGAGGACGAGATCAACAAGAGAGATGAGCTCACCAACACCCCTGTAAGTCAACCTTTTCCCTATGCTATGTCCCCTTAGGATTGTAGTCACAGCCAGCATTTCGTGTAAAACATCATGCTGACAGCCTTCACAGCTCCATTTCGCTGCGTACATCGGACGCCCGAATATCGTAGACGAGCTCTTGAAGCGTGGAGCTGACATTGACGATGGCATCGACATCGACGCTCAAACCCCGTTGTGCATGGCCGCAAATGCTGGTCATGTCAAAATCATGAACAAGCTGATCCAGAAAGGTGCGAATGCAAATGCCATCGCAAGCGACATCGGGCCCGTCATGAACGCTGCGATCTCTTCCGGCAATCCGGATGCCGTAAGGTTGCTTGTTGAGAAGAATGTCTCTTTGGCTGTCGAGGATGATAGCATCGACTCTCCCTTAGCGCTAGCCGGTCTTCACGCCGACCTCTCCATGTTCGAGTACCTCACGCAGACATACGCCGACAAGTTGCCCGCGAAGGAATTCGACAAGGCCTTCGTCAAAGCTGCCGTGGCTGGAAGAGTTGATGTCTTCAATAAGCTCCTGACGCATTCTCATCCTCAAGAGTGTTTCCAGGAGGCCTTGGAAGCGGCGACGGAGGAGGAGAACTGGGACATTGTCATGATTCTCCTTGAGCAGCGTCAAGACCTCGACTGCAATGACCTGTTCAAGAAAGCAGCAACTACTGCTGAGCACCAGGACAAGGTTTTGGAGGCTGTGTGGAAATACACCAGTGGTAACATCTCGAAAGAAACACTCAACGACAGTCTGTATGAAGCTACGGACCTCGAGAAGGAGTCTACGGTCAAGCTTCTTTTGGAGGCATTCAACGTCGATGCAAACGCAACTGGCGAAGAGTAAGTCAGGTCTGTCTACTGACAGTGGCGCACTGCTAACATTGCTTAGGTACGGCACCGCCTTGACCGCTGCCGCGTACGATGGAACGCTCGATATTGTCAACCTGCTTCTCAAAAGCGGCGCTGACATCAACTCTGCCGACGGATGGCCTCTTCAAGCCGCTGCTGCGGAAGGCCACTATGACGTGGTTAAAGAGCTTCTTGAGCGCGGAGCAGACGTCAACTCGCTCACTGAAAACGAAAACTTCCCCCAGGGAACGGCACTCCAAGCAGCCTGCGAATCAGGCAAAGTCGAGATTGTGACGCTACTGTTGGAGAACGGTGCCAGCCCTGACTTGGGAGCTGGGGAGGACACCTGCCCTATGATAGCTGCTGCAATGAGGGGTGAGCAGGCGATTCTGGAACTTCTTGTACACGCCAAAGCGGAAGTCAACGTCTTCGGCGGCTGGGATCACTCGACGGCGCTGATCAACGCCGTCATCAACCTGCCCACGGACGCGCTCCAGGTCATGCTGGACGCCGGGGCTGACATCAACCTCGGGGACCGGGAAGGAGATACCCCCCTGATCGTTGCCGCTCGGGAGGGTGACGCAGACTGCGTGCGGTTTCTCTTGGATCATGGAGCGGATATTTTCCACGCGAACCAGGACAATGAGAACGCTCTCCAATCGGCAATCAAGTATGGTGCAGACGACGATTGCACAGGAGTTCTCATTGAGCGCGTCTCTGAGATCATGTCAGCGCTGAACAAGGCAATGCTCAACGGCAACTCTGCAATCTCAAAGGTTGTCCGTAGCGTCGGCACTGGACGACAGGGTCTTACCTACGATGATTGGGAAGACCCTGATGACAAGATGTCAGAGGTATCCGACGACGAGGACAGGAAGGCAGGCTACGAAACACCAAGGACCGAGTCTTTCCCAAACAGCGCCCGCAGGATCGAAGATGTCTCGCCCCATGCACCATCTCCGCTCAAACCCCGCAGCGAGAAGTTGTCGCAAGAGCTGGAGGCCGCCATCACCGCACAAGTCTCGCTCCTCCAGCAGTACGGAACGTCGCCTCCCAGGCCCGCCAAGGTCGAAATGTCGCCAGTGGAGATGCCCCCGACCACCATCGCAGGACTGCCGTCTCAGAGAAGATACTCCCAGCAAGTTCAGTTAGAAGAGATGCTCTCTCGGTACGACTTCGATCCGCAACCGGGTCCGGAGGAGAGATTCCACAAACCGCCGTATATCAAGACGCCTTCGACGCAGTGGTTGCATTCGAGCGAGGGTCTGGTGAGCGAGCCGATGCTCTCGCCCCCCATCAAGCGGAAGCCGGCCCCGTCATACGCTTTGGCTCCCTCGCCTACACCGTCAAACCTTTCCGGGAGCCAGTACCAGCCGCCTCCTTCTCAGAGTCCGGATGCGAAACCCGCCTTTGAACAGCGGCCGCCGTATCAGAACACGGCGTCGTATCCCGGTGCCCCGACATACTCTGGAAACCTAGGCCTCCCGTCCCAACACGCCAAAGGCAGGATCTCGGAGGAGCGAGAAGAGCTTGCCCCGCCGGCTGCTCCATACACGACTCCTTTCAACCCATCATCACACCGGCCCAGCCCGGGTAATACTCCGCCTCAGAACAAGGAGCCCTTCCCAGAACTGCCGCAGCAGATGCCGGGCGGATGGCAGAGTCCGCCTCTGAACCAGCCTCAAACGTCATCTTTGAGCACCACTGGCAGCGTCTCCCCGCCGCAGTCCTCCCACCAGCAGGAATGGGAGTCGAGGTGAGCCAATCATCACAAGTCAATGTGTCTGAACCGATGTACTAACAATTTGCAGTAAACCTGAGTTGAAGTCTCATCGGACCTCGTTCATGGGCATGAAGAATACGCTCGACAAGGCGAGGCAGTTCAGTACAGGCATCATGAACCGCAAGCCGTCCGGGTTTTAATGTGTAATTGTAGATGGCGTGGCTTGTACGAAATGGTGTACCAGGGGCATTTATCGGCGCCGGAAAGCTGGGAACTAATACTTAATTGTAACTTACTTTTGTTGAATCTGAACATATCATTCTGCATATGCGTGTAAAAGAAGTCGTTGACAGAGAAGCGCCCAGTGACTTCAGGGAATTGGATTCGAAGGACATTGGCGCTCAGTTGTTCGCCCCGGTGCACCCATATTTTACACGTTCACTGTACAGAAGTTTTCTGAATGGATATGATAGATTGAAGTCCACATCCAATACGTGTGGGGTGACCTTTTGAGTAAGACCGAGTATGGTAAGATGGATGGTTGTGAATGCGAGGACTCCCGTCTGAAGCGGTGGCTGGTGGCAGATTTGGACACCCAACCCTGGCTGTGGCTGATGATGAATGTGGCTGGAGCTCGATCCAAAAATTTCGGGGACATGGATTCAACATCACCTACTCGCCAGTGCGCGACAATCCACGGCATCAACCAACAACCGCCCTCAGCCCCCGCGAACCCGCCCACAATGGCAGCAGCAGGGCAAGCACTTCGACTCTGCGTCCGCGGTTGTCGTTGGATGCCCGCCGCCCCCCGAATCGCTCCTCAGGCCGCGACACAATTTTCCCGGCACACGCAAAGACGAGCATTCGCCGTGAGCTCCACGAGACGGGCCAGGGACGATGACGATGGGGAGGGCGACTCGGACCCGATCTACTCGTCGAACGAGACGGTCGCGGATATGATCCAGAAGCTGAAGCCCGAAGAGACCCAGGCTCTCGAGAAGATCAGGAAGCGCGACCCGTCGGCGCAGGAGATGACGCTGGAGAAGTTCCTCGAGAGGGAGATGACGAAAGACCTGCAGACCGAGACGGAGCCGATCATGACCAACCAGGAGTTCAAGGTGTTGACGCATACCCCGCGCCCCAACAGGATGTCCTTCTGGTATGACGAGGACGACCCGAAGGCAGACACGGAGAATGTCATGGACGAGTTTGACGAGGATGACATGACGACGATGGCGCACGGAAAGCTGGATGAGATTCGCGAGTACAGACACTACCATCGCATCATGGCATGGGAGATGCCCTTGCTTTCCAGTGCGTCCGCCCACTCCCGACCGTACACGGCGAGAAAGATAGTGCTGACTGACTGCCCACAGAGCTTGCTAAACCGTTCGAGCCGCCTGCCAAGGAGGAAGTGCTGAGATTCCGATACACCACATACATGGGCGAATATCACCCAGCAGAGAAGAAGGTCGTCGTGCAGTTCTCGCCTTCAGACCTGGAGCTCACTGAGGTGCAAGCCAACAAGCTCAGGAAGCTGGCTGGGCCGCGATACAACCCGGAGAAGGACATCATCAAGATGAGCAGCGAGAAATACGAGGAGCAGGCGCAGAACAAGCGTTACTTGTCTGATCTGGTGGACAAGCTCGTCGAGACCGCAAAGGTGAGCATACGCGCACGCGACCTAACTTTTGCGTAGAGATAAGGCGAGACTGACCGAGAACTACGACAGGACCCCAATGACACTTTTGAAGATATCCCCCTGGACACTAGGCACCACCAGTTCAAGAGAAAGCCTAAGTTCCCGGTAGAATGGCGCATGACGCCGGAGCGGCGCCAGGAGCTCAACGCGTTCCGCGCCAGTCAATTGCAGAGCGAATACGCCAAGGAGGAGCAGGGAAAGATCGTCAGCGGCGAGGCCAAGATCGAGAAGTTCCTCCAGGCAGCGGACGAGGCCGCAGCTGAGGGTAAGGTGGAAGAGATGGTGGCTGTTCAAAGCCGTGGCGGCAAACAGAAGGCTCCAGCCGGCCGGTAGACCGGGAGTGTCGACAAGGTCGTGATCTCACCAAGCTCCACTGTTCCCGAGGGATGTAAGTCCGATCCTGAGGTCCATTAGAAAAATGTGTAAAACTAGGCGTCTGACCTCTTCGAGGTTCAGCGTGCCCGTGTAACATCTCCATGTATACATCCGCGCAAGACCGGATCTATAGAAATGCAAAATGGGGCGTGTTTATGCAGCCCGGCATGTATAAGACAAAGACAGTACCGGACGTTTAGGGACTTGGACTTGGACAGCGAGCTGACGGGCCGAAATCTGGGTGTTGCGTTTGGCGCCAAGTAACGACAGGTTGATACCATCATCAAACCAGTGTGGTCAGCACTCTAAGGTGGCCAGAGACGAGATGCGAGCTTATCTAACTCACGGCATTGGCTCTTACTAGTTGGAAATCCTTCACTGGCTGTTCACCACGATGTGGCGCAAATCTACAAACATGACCGTAAGCGGCCTCGAGCTTATAACGACGACAGCCCGACGGCATATCATGGGAGTGTCACTTGACCTCTTGCTCAATTGAGTTTCAATGTTTGCATTGTGCCAAATTCTAGCACAGAACGTCTGGGATTGCACATATCGGCCCACGCATTCTTTCGGATCAGGAGCAGATGCCAGAAAGGGACTTCAATAGACGCCGGGGACAGGGATTTTTGTTAGTCAGCCGCATCCCCCTTCCGTCAAATTGATGCCTCGGCATGTTTCCTTAGCGCATATGCAAAATAGTCCTCCGGGCGCGGTTATCTTTTCCTTGCGACTACTTCTTACTGCCTCTATGCCTATCCTTGTTGCTATTGGCTCTAGTGCTGCGCTTGTTATCCGTTGTTACTGCGTAAGTATTCGACCAGGAATAACCGTGGAGGACTGTAGTACGTATGCAGGGGGTGGCGTCTGGTGTGGGGAAAAGGGACGAAGCAGTGGAACACTGGAAGCACCGTCGCACCGGACCTAGCTAGAGCTCTGTGATGCTCTGCTAAGAAAGCACCGGCGCGACGAAGCTGGTTGATGAGGATGCTTCACCTGAAGCTGTTCGGTGCTTCTTGAGCTTCTAGAGGCAAACCAGAGGCGACTAGCACGAAAACAGAGATGAGCTACAAGCGTCATGGCTTGTGTAATGGCAACAGACAGCGGCTCATCTACTTTGGCTTCGATGGTCCAGTCCGTCCCGTCCCCAGCCTGCTCCGTCGGGGCATCTATGCTTCCATTCCCTGTCTGTTTCCAAGCAACAGTTGGTGTAGGGCGTAATATTCCAGGGCCTGTGGACTGGTTGGTTCAAGGAAAGCAAGTGCCCACGCCCACACCACCTTTTCCATGTAAGAGGAATGGCATTCATTCACATGCAACTAGCGTCCTACTGCATCGTTACCGTAGCTCCCTCTTGGGGAAACGAGCTCGTTTCCAACTTGCAGCCGTTGCTTCTCCTCGCCCCCTTCCTGCATTCTCAGTATCAAGCCTACAGTTACACAGCACATCCTACATCGCTACTTCTCCCACTCGCTCCTTCGACTCAGCTGGCGTGTAGTAAACTGTTTTCTAGAAGATCACATTGAACAGTAATCTGCCCGCTGTTCATCCCGACCGTCCGCCTTATTTTGCGCCGAGGTTCATCGCCCCGGACCTCCCTACTCATCCACACAATACGATAGCTTTTCATCTCCAAGTACCTCCTGTGCTCCCACCATCACACCCGGCGGCGCGGAGACCGAGCACATATGCGGTGGAGCTTTGTCGTAGTCGCATCCATCCACTCACTTTAAGCTGTGCCTTACCGAACGGCCATTCCGCTAGCTGCTGATACCGCTGCCATTTTGCTACTCCGGCTACATAAGTCGACGCAGCCCTCTCAACCTTAACTACAATCCATCCCGTCATCCCTCCGCGACCCCGAACCCCGGCTTTCCATCTTCCCCTCACAAACCTCCTCTTTTACTTTCCAGGTCCGGCTCATTCCAGAAGAAAGCAGCAATCCGTATCAAGAAGTCATCGATTCAAACTCGCACACAATGTCGCTCTCAGCAGACGTCAAGATCCCGGAGTTCACTCACACGTCCACCGACGACATCTACCGCCTCACCGACACCCTGCGCGCCACTTTCCGCTCCAACAAGACCAAGGACCTCAAGTGGCGTACTCTCCAGCTTCGGAAGCTCTACTGGGCCATCAAGGACTTCTCCCCCCAGCTTTGCGATGCCCTGCGCAAAGATCTGAGGAAGTGCAAGCATGAGGCCCTTCTCTCCGAAGTCGAGTGGGCCGCCAATGACTGTCTCTACATGATCAAGAACCTCGAGAAGTTTGCCAAGGAAGAGACTTGCGAGGATGTGCCGCTCACCTACGCCGCCCTGAAGCCGCGCATCCGCAAGGAGCCTCTCGGAATGGCTCTTGTCATCGGCGCCTTCAACTTCCCCGTCCAGCTGACACTCCTGCCCATCATCGGTGCCATCTCCGCCGGCTGCACCGCTGTTCTGAAGCCCTCGGAGAGCGCCCCGGCTACCGCCATGGTTCTCGTCAAGATCTTCGAGGCCGCCCTCGACCCCAAGGCCTACCAGGTCGTTAATGGCGCCGTCAAGGAGACCCAGGCTCTCCTCGATGTGAAGTGGGACAAGATCATGTACACCGGTAGCACCGCCGTTGGCAAGATCATCGCTAAGAAGGCCGCCGAGACCCTCACTCCCGTCACCCTCGAATTGGGTGGTCTCAACCCTGCCTTCGTCACCAAGAACGCCAACGTCAAGCTGGCCGCCCGCCGTCTCATGTGGTCCAAGTGTCTCAATGCCGGCCAGGTCTGCATTTCCCAGAACTACATTTTGGCCGACCGCGCTATCGTCGAGCCTCTTATCCAGGGCCTGAACGCCACTTACAAGGAGTTCTTCCCCAGCGGCGCCAAGAACAGCCCAGACTTCTCCCGCATTGTCAACAAGAAGTCATTCCAGCGCATCAAGAAGATGCTCGACGAGACCAACGGCAAGATTGTCATGGGTGGCGGTTTGGATGAGGACCAGCTCTTCATTGAGCCTACTGCGGTCCTCGTCGACTCCATGCTCGATTCCGTGATGAAGGAGGAGTCTTTCGGCCCCGTTTTCGCCATCATGCCGTACGATACGCTCGACGATGCGATCAACATCGCCAACCAGGTGTACAGGACGCCTCTGGCGCTTTTCACATTCGGAAGCGACGCGGAGAACGAGAGAAGTAAGTCACCACAACCCGCCACCGTGAATATTCCACTGACATTTTTCAGTTCTCAACGAGGTCACTTCTGGCGGTGCTACCAAGAACGACGCCTTCTTCCACGCATCCATCTCGACTGTTCCCTTCGGTGGTGTTGGTGAGTCCGGCACTGGTAACTACCGCGGTCGGGCGTCGTTCGAAATGTTCACCCACCGCCGTTCTGTCGCCCAGACGCCGTCATGGCTCGAGAAATTCATTCGCGTGCGCTACATGCCGTACTCTCCCAAGGAGCTTGCTCGCCTGTCTGGCATGACCGCCTCCAAGCCTGACTTCGACCGCAACGGCGTCCAGGTTCGCGGTCTGGGATACTGGCTGAGTTTCGTTGCTGGTCTCGGTGCGAAAGGTGCTAAAGGTGCGTTGTTGAGATGGCTAGTGGCCTTGGTAAGTATGTACACCCTAACCCAGCGAAGGAATCATTAGGACTGTGATCGGATAAGGAGAGGATGAACACACTACACACATCTACATCTCTACCACACCTACCTACACTCCACAATATCACAAACACACAAACACATGTCTTGTGCAATTTCCTTGTAAGTTTTAGCCCCGGAGAACCCTTAGGAAAGGGACTGGAAAAAGTCTCAACAAGTTGGACACACTCGCTAGGAGTGACGAACGCTGCCCGCCGCTGAGAACGGAGGGAGACCTCCAGGTTGGACGGCGGGCCTGTACGCTACTGTGCTATATACCATTTTTCTTTTAGTCTGCTCGTCACGCGATAGTAATGGAAGGGCAAAGTATTTGCCTGACGGTCTTTTCAACCTTACAGTTGGACCAAGCTCCCCGTCCATGTCGTCCGCAACACATCCGGGTCGGTGGGTCACGTGAACTCTAACCCGCCTCTTCCACATTCACCATCAACTTTCCGTCCAGGCAGCAACGCAGAGGGAGCCCTTCATAGTCCAACTCACGTCTAATTCTTCTAACAATCACACATCCTAAGGGGCCGTGGCTTAATGGTAAAGCGTTCTCTCGCTAAGACCTTCAATGGTCGAGTTCACACGTTCGAATCTACCTGGCGGCAACAACCTCTTATATGCGCCACTACAACAGAAAGACTAAAAATAAAGATGAAAAAAATATACCACGAATGAACTCACGAGAGAGAGATAATGGTTCGACTCCATTCGGCTCCAAATCTTTTTTTGCTTTTTTGTCATTGATTTTAGTTGCAGCTATGTGCTATGAATAAAGAGGCAGAGATCAGACAGACGACGACAGCAACCTGATCCACGCAAGACATATAAAGCTGAGCGTTCTACCTATTTCGGTTCTGCAGCTCAATGGGAATATTCATAACCAGCTCATCGCCCTTGCCCTGAATCTCCGCGACCGTCTCCCCCCTCTCTTCCTCCCCGGTAAACGGGTTAGGATCGAAGTATCCCGGCTTGGAATCAGACTTCGCCCGCTTGCGTCGTCTCGCGTCGCCGGAATCGACGATGGAGGACAGGATGCTCGCCTTCGAGACGTCGCGCGGCCGTGTACCGTTCACAGTACCTTTCTCGTGGACAAAGTCCTTGGCCTCATGCTCGGTATCAGGAGGTGTCTTGTCGCCCGCCGCATCGCGTGGTTCGGCGGTAGTTTCTGCCAGTCCAAAATCGAAGCCCGGGAAAACCTCCGTTTCCTTCCCCTTGCCCTTGAGACTCAGAGTCTCTGACATGGTTGTCGTCGTGTGAGGCAGGATAGAAGCGTCTTCGTCGGCCGCGGCGTTGGCTGTCTCGGGTCCTGCTATGACAGTCGTCGGAGCGACTTTCGCAGACCCGTCCTTTGCCGCCCATTTCTCGTCGCGCTCAATTTTGTATGCTGCGAAATCCGACTTTGCGTACGGGTCTTTGTCGACGTAGTGTAGCAGGATGAGCTCGAGGCGGTCGCGGAGGCGGACGAAGTAGCGATAGAGAGACATCCGTGGCCGGATTACCGGGGCATGTGATGGTGGCGGCTGCGCCGACATAGTAAAGAGGCCAGCCGGGCGTCCCGGGATCGTTGGAATCGTTTAGCTGTTTTGGAAAGAATACCCAACCAAGAGGGGGGGGAAATCAAACGTGAGTGATTCAGCAAGGTGTGGTAAAAGTCCTAGGAAACCACTTTGCTCTCTCCATCGTCGCGCAAACCCCTGAATGGTGACTGCAAGAGACATAGGACCAACCGTCCCGTCGTACTACACGCTGTCCGCATGACAGGTCCCGTCACAAAATCCCACCATATAACGACCAAAAAGTGTGTACACAAAGAAGAAAAAAAAGGCTTGCCGTTTCCATTCTATAAGTTGAGTATGGTAGTACAACTTCCGCCCCTCCCGTCAGGCCACCGGGAAGCCCCTTTTTGGAAGAATCGTCGCTAGGTAATGTAGGTAAGGTAGTGCAACAGTGCACTCAGAGACCTCTGAGCTGCGTGTTATCCCGCTCGTCAACCTTCTGATAGCGCTCCGCGAGCACCTCCTTGACCGTCTTGGTCAGCCCGCTCGGCTTCTCGTACCGCTGGTGCAGCGCCTTTTGCACAGGAGATCCCGCGGGCAGGACCTTACCGTCCTGCTTGACGCTGACCTTGTCCTCCACGACTCCAACGGCCTGCTGCGCCTTCACGACAATAGCCTCGCCCTGCTGCTTGCCCTTCTCCACGATGTCGCCCACGACGGCCTTGACCTCGGCGGCCTTGGCATCGGCGGCTTTCCTGACCTCGGCAGCCTTCGCGCGCGCCGCCTCATCCGCGGCGAGCGTCTTTTCCCTTGCCCTCTCCCACGCGCTCTTGGCCTCGCTGCGCAGGCTCTCGCCCTCCTCCTTGGCGAGGATGGCCCCCTTCTGCTTCGCGCCCTCGACGACTTCCTTCGCGATCGGCGCCGCCTTGTCGCCCGCCTCGGCGGTCTTGTCGATGGCTCCGCCCCACAGCCGGGCCGCGCTGCTCTCGAGACCCTCGCGGACCTCGCCCCAGTCCGTCCGCTGCGCCCACCGGACGGCGTTCTCGACCTCCCTGTTCCAGCGGTCCTTGGCGGTCTCGAGGAGATTCTCGCGGTCCTTGACGGCCTGCTCGGAGCGCGTCAGGGGAGGAGGGATGCGGACCTGCGGCTCGAGGAGGGTGTCGAGGACGTGTGATTGGGAGCGCAGGATGTGGGATTGCGCCTCGCGATTGCGCTTGTGGGCGAGGACGGTTAAGTAGGCGACGCCTAGGGTGAGGGTCACACCGCCGGTCTTTTTGTAGAAGCCGTTAGCATTTCATGTTCCTCAGTTGAATGCATTGTCGTGTTGCTTGGAGGGGGGGCAGCAGCAGGACGTACGAAGCCAGAGGTGAAGCCCATGTTTTCTCTCGATTACTCCGATCCGATTCGCGCACTCGGGCCCCGTGTAATATCGTAGGTGACTCTTTTCTTAGGTGGGAAAAAAGTGAGAATGCTTCAAGGTATCATGTTGCGACGTCTGTCAAGTCCGTCGTCGGAGCGAATTGGGTCCTTGCCTTCGAGAAAGCGGGACTTGTCGTCGGTTTGCAATCGGCGAGAGCTTTCCAGCGGGAATGACGTTAATTAATCGGATTGGCCTAGGCGAGCGAGGGACTTTCAGCCTCTCCGGGTGGATTTCGCTGGCTGCAGGGGTTGTTGCTCAAAGAATGGTCCCGCAGGGCTCGTGTGAACCAATCAGAACGAGCCTTTGCCCGCTGTCAGGGAACCTCCCGGGCCTGCAAGCCGCCAAGGGCCAAAAATTTGGGAGAGCCTATCGCAGATCCGACGACGACGACGACAGCCCATTCGATTGCCGGCCGCGAGCGAAAAGTAGCAGAGAGGCCTCGTCACTGCTCCTTTGTCGTAACGTCACGATATCCGCCAGAACCGCCGATTGATTGAGACGACGCAGCCATGGCGGGAGGTCTCACCAAGTACAGGCACTTGAGCCGTAACTCGTCGGCGCGACAGGCCCTCCTCCGCGGCCTCGTCACTTCCCTCATCGCCCACGAGCACATCCACACCACCTGGCCCAAGGCCAAGGAGGCCCAGCGCCTCGCGGAAAAGCTCATCACCTACGCGAAAAGGAACAACGAGGAGACGAGGCGGAAAGCCCAGGCTACGCTCTACGTATGTCATCCTCCCGCTTGTGCCTCTGCCATTGTGGTGGTCAATGCCAGAAACTTCGGGACAATGAAGTGTTGACTTGCGATGCCTGTTTAGACACCCCACGAACTCCTCCCCAAACTCTTCGGCGAACTGCGCGAGCGATATGCTGAGCGCCCCGGCGGCTACACCCGTGTCCTCCGCACCGAGCCCCGGTCGACGTACGACCAGGCGCCCTCAGCTATTCTGGAGCTCGTCGACGGACCTCGCGATATGCGCTTCGCCATGACGGCCAAGTCTGTCGCTCACGACCGCCAAAAGGGCCACAAGTCTACCGACCTCACTCGCAAGAACATGGAGAAAGTGACGAGGTACCGCAAGGATGGCAAGGACGAGTTCGAGCACATGGTGGCCAAGTTCCAGGACATGAAGTCCTAGATACATGTGACAAGGATGTGCGGCAGTGAGAGTGGCGTGTGGATGAACGTTTGAGCAGCAGACGCCTATTTCGACACAAGGCATAGCTCACGTTGATGATGGGGAGTTGGTGAACTGAGATATGTAACTTTTTATGGATGGTGTACCACCAACGGAAATACCTGGCCAGTCTATAGATTATGGTCGTGTAGGGTATACATGTATACTATGGCAAAACAAACAACTTTTTCCCAGCCTGGAAATGCAAAGGCGCAACAATTCATCTACCACATTTCCCGCCTTCTACACAAAGTCGAAGGTGTCGCCCTTCTCCTGGATCATCTTACCCACACGCTGCGTACCGACGATACGCTCCAGTCTCATGACGTCGTACTTGGAGAACATGACCCTAACAGTGCCCTGTCCGGGCTCGATCTTGAGGTCCTGTTCGCTGCGGGCGAGATAACCTCCCGCGATCTCCCGGTAGAAGGTGGGGTTATCCGGAAGACCGTACATAACGACACGCTGCACGCCGCGGAGGGCATAGCGGCGGAAGTGGTGCGCACGCTCCGTGTACAAGAGGACCTTGTGCCGGCCCGTCAAGAAGTGAGAGCGCGCGCGGGAGGCCTCGGGAACATCTGCGTACTCGGAAATCGTGCCGAAGGAGAGACTGGCGACGGAGGGGTTGGTGGCGAAATAGTTTCTAACGCGCACAAAGTCGAGGTAGGAGGGTATGAAGATGAGTGTGCCGGTCGTGTCCTTGGCTCGCTTGATCAGTGAGGGCAGGATAGCCGATACGAAGTATTCGAAGCGGGCGTCTGGCTCCTTGTCGATGGCCTTGGCCTCGAAGCGGGAGAAGGTCTGCCGGGCCTTGACGCCCAGCTGCTGTAGAACGCCGGGGTAGTTTGCCTGGAACCGAATCTTGCCAGCCCAGTTGTGGCACTGTGTGCGGAAGAGCTCGGTCAGCTCCGGGGTGTTGAAGGCAGAGAGAATGATGTTTTGTCGGAAGTACTTGGACCAGTCGTCGAGGCACCAGCTGCGCACGCGGCTGAAGTCACAGCCGTGGGCGTCCTTGGGCTGGAGGTTCATGTGCTCGAAGATGTACTCGACGTGCTCCCAGTTCTGCATGAGCTGGGCGTCGGCCTGGTCGACGACGACCATCTCGATGGAACTCAAAAAGTCGTAGTCCATCTTCTTCTTGTCTTCCTCTGACCCGATGGCCATGCGCAGACCCAGCGGACTGGCGAACAGGATATCGGAGTTGTAGAACTGTGAGAAGTACTTGATGGTCTTGCGGGTGAACTTCATGCCGATGCGGAACATGTCGTCGTCGTTGCCCTCGAAGAGGTCCTGGAAGTCTGCGGGCTTGTCGGCACCGAACTTGACTTCTTCATCGGTGTAAGCTTCCTCGAACCGTTTTCTGTTCTCGCGCTGCTCAGGTTCGATAAGTTCCTCGATGGTGTTGGCCATCTTGAGACAGGATTGTCTTGTTGGCAGAATGAAGAGAATCTTGGGGCGCGTGAAGCCCTGATCTCTCAGTTCCAGGTCAGCGTTTTCCTCCTTTGCCAACTTGTAGTTGTTCTTGATGACGCGGTCTCGGGTTCTGTGATTTGTTAGAGAAGCCCCTGAATCCTGAGTTTGAAGGTCTTACTTGAATACGTGATTGACAGCGTGTAAGCACACGAGCTGTCTCAGGCTTTCAGAGTTCTTTACATCCCGATTGTCGTACAGAACGTCGTTGTAGTTGAATAGTACCGGCGCCATGGCTTGCTGCAGGGTGCTGAGAGATGTGATTTTCTTCGAGGCGGATTCCTTCAGCTTCTGCTTGAGCTTGAGGCTCTCCAAGCTTGAGATGGGCGAAGGAATCGATGGCGCATCCGATCCCTCGGGGTACGTGACAACAGCCTTCGAGATCTTGGACATGGTCCTCTGGAATGTCCAGCCGTTTTTCTGGATAGCCTTGACTTTCTTCGTATAGGCGGTTTCTTCGGGTGTCGCAAAGTGATGATCGAATGGGTCAGTCGCATCGACGTCGTCTTCGCCATCGCCTTCTTCCGCCTCCTCTGCGATATCCGCCGAAGGATCTTCCTCTTCCTCGTCAACTCTGTCCACGTCCTTTTCACCTGCTTCTCCACCCTCATCTTCGTCATCATCCTCGTCTCCTGAAGATTCTGCTGTTGTCTGAGGGGCACCTTCAGGCTTTCCGCTTTCCAACTTTCTCCTCTTGGCGCTAGGTTCTGAAGACTCGGTGAAGCCTTGAAGGAGAGCCATATAAGGGCGGGTGTTTTGCGGCTGCTCATCCTCGTCGTCATCATCATCATCAGACATGGAGACATCAGAGTCCTCCATCTCAGAATCCATCTCCTCCCCAGATTCCGATCCAGATGACCTAAAGAAGTTAGTGTTTTTGTAAAGTAGACAGGAAGGTTATGAAACTCACTCATTCTCTTCAACACGGCTGGAATCAAATCTTCCGCGGCCACGGCCCGAACCTCCTCTGCCTCTGCCGCGTCCTCCTCTACCACCACGTCCACGAGCACCGCCTCTTCCTCCTCCACGGAACCCAGCGCGACCTCTGCCTCGGGGACCCATATTCGCAGTGAAATTACACTGAGTTGGCAAATATCACAATGAGAGGAGTGAAAATCACAAACAAACGCTCATTCACTTGGTCGCAAAAAAAAGTTGTAAGTCGCCTTAACGTACCTATCAGCCTTGCAGAAAATCCCACACCATTCACCAGCCACAGCGGGGCAGTCAGACGCCTCAGAGCTCTTATCGGGGCTTATCTTAGCGCGCACAACCCAGTCGGAGCCAACCACAAATCACAAAATCCCACCAGCCAAACGAGAGCGAAGGGTAGGTACGCCAGCGGTAGCGGGTGGCAGAGTTTCGAGAATTTTTGAACAACCAGTTCTTCCCATCGCGAAAACGGTCCCGAGACAAAAAATCCACTCTTCCGAGATCAATTTTGGCCCGCGCACCACCGCCTAACCCGCCCCTCCCCTCCTCCTCTCCCCTTTTCCCCAAAACAACTTCTCAACGACCATCCCGCAGGCCGATAATTTTCGACACCATAACCTGCCCAGCATGGCTGTCGCTGAATCTGAGAAGTTCCTCCACCTCTCGCGGCCCATCGCGCCGGCGACGGTTGGCCTCCAGGGCAACATTGCCCCGCTCACCGTCAACATTCAACCCCAGGTACGAACACCTCTGATATCTGCGCTGCAGAACTTCGTCTTGCGCCCAAGCCACACTCGATCCCGTCATGGCTTTTCCTTGCCGACACTCGTGCCACTCCGACATGTCACTGCCCCTCGGAGAGTCACCCTAAGCTGACCCCGCCTCTCTTCCATAGGCCATCCTCTCCATTCTCGACCATGCCGTGCGAAGAGACATCCGCGATACGCAATCGACCCGCGTCATCGGCGCCCTGGTCGGCACCCGCTCCGAAGATGGCACCGAAGTCGAGGTTCGCTCCTGCTTCGCCATCCCTCACACCGAGAACGAGGACCAGGTCGAGGTGGACGTCGACTACCAGAAGAACATGCTCGCCCTCACCCTCAAGGCCTCCCCGCGCGAGTCCCTGCTGGGTTGGTACACCACCACCCACGAGCTCAACTCCTTCTCCGCCCTGATCCAGAACTTCTTCGCCTCCCCGGACACCGGCACCTTCCCCCACCCCGCCGTCCACCTGACCATCAGCACCGACCCGACCGCCGAAATCGAGGCCCGCTGTTACATCTCCGCCCCCGTCGCCGTCAACGCCGAGCGCGCCGCCGAGAGCTGCCTCTTCATCCAGGTGCCCCACAAGCTGATGTACGCCGATGCCGAGCGCAGCGCCCTCGAGGCCATCTCCATGGCCAAGGACACCGAGGACCGCGTCGCCCCCGTCATCTCCGACATCGAGGGCCTCGCCCGCTCCATCGAGCAGGGCACCAACCTCATCGAGCGCGTCAGCGAGTGGGTTAACGGCATTCTCGACGAAGATGAGGAGCCCAACCACGCCCTCGGCCAGTACCTCATGAACGCCCTGTCCCTCGCACCCAAGGTCGACCCCGCACAGATCGAGCACGACTTCAACAACCACATCCAGGACGTCCTCATGGTCTCCTACCTCGCCAACACCATCCGCACCCAGATCGACCTGTCGCAAAGGTTGGCGACGGCCAACCTTACTGGTGGTGAGAAGGATGGCGAGGGCAAGGCGGCCGAGGGCGGCGAGAAGGGCGAGCAGCGTGGCCAGCGGGGCGGCAAGCGTGGTGGACGTGGCGGTGGCCGAGGCGGTGGCCAGAGAGGAGAGCCCAGGGAGCCTCGGGAGCCCCGCGAGCCGAGGGAACCCACCGAGTAAATCCAGCTAATTGTGAAAAAAAGGGTTGCAAGACGTTTCTTCACAGGAATCTGTGAGAAAAGAAAAGTTCGGCTAGGAACATGAAAAACGCAGGGTGAGAGAGCTGAGGCTGAAGGAGCAAGTAAGCCAGCACGCGATGCTGATATTTCCCGCCGCGAGGTAGCAAGCATGGCATCATGAGGAATTCCACACTTGAAAAACCGTCATGGCGTTATGGCAGTGGCAGGATAGACGGCCTAGGGTAGAATGCGCTAGGCAGTTGCAATGATGATATTCACGCTTTCATAAGTTGTTCAACATGTGCATCACAGGATGTTTTAGGAAGCTGAGTGACAATTAAGGTGCGTAAGTGTTCTAGCATGCAATAGCCTACATGATCTGATGCCGTCCTGTCCTCCGTTTGAACGCCAATATGCTGTAAACATGAAACCCCCCCATACGCCAGTCATTCTGCCAGAGACCCCCGCTAGCAATGTCAAATGCGCACCTAAACGCCCATGTTTGGCTTTTGAGGCAAAGTAGCAGGGTTGCCGTAATGTGGCAGATGGCTGAACGTCTGTCCGGCCGGGCCCTGGGGGATGACGGGTTTACTGGGAATGTGCGGAGGTGGGTTTTGAGGGATATGTTGGGGGTGCTGAGGAACATGGGCGCCCGGTGCTTGAGGGATGTTGTTGAGATGGTACGGATGTTGCGAGGGTCCGTGGTAAGGAGGAATCGAATTATTTGATCCTTGTCTAGCCATGCCGTAGCCCGCGGCAACGCCGTACGGTGCCTGGGGGACTGGCTGCTGGTAGCCGGCGTATGCCAAGTGAGGCGAGCCGATCTGGGGGCTGCCGTGATGAGAGCCAGGAGCACTGAATGGCGGTTGAGGTGGCTGCATCGGAGCCATGCCGCCACCCGGCACGAATGACTGCGTCTTGGGATTGAAAGCATGTCGGTTGTAGCTGCCAGGAATCGGATGCTGGCTCTTAGGGTCATTCGGATTGATGTTGGCTGGCAGCTGTCCGTACATGTAAGGAACAGTGTTTTGCCCAGGCGGCGCTGACATGCCCCGCGGCGTGTAAGAGGCTGCGGCAGCACCAGCAGGCGGCATCGGGGCTGGACCAGGACCCGGACCCGGACCCGGCGCAAAGCCTTGCTGCCAACCAGCCTGAGGGGGGGCAGGGCCGGGTCCCCCGTAACCGCGACCATTGGCGTTGGGACTTGACTGAAATTGGGCTTGGCTTGTCTGAGGGGAATACTGCCACGGTGTTAGTCGACGAAGAACGGAGAGAATCGTGTTCCATACCTGCGCCATGTTCTGGTATGCATTGTAACCCGGGTTGGGCATCATAGGGGCGAACGACTGAGTCGGGGTCGTGTTGTATGGAGGTTGTATCTGATTGGGGTACGGCTGCTGTACTGGGGCCCCGTACTGGTTCGACACAGGAACATACTGCGGTTGGGATATCCAAGTCTGTTGCTGAGGGCCCCCCCAGTAAGCCGTGTAGTTGTGACGCGAATCAAAACTGTCCGAATCATCGCGTCTTTGTTTCCCGGTCTTGCCTCTCTTCCCAGCGTTGGCTTTCTCCCTTGCGGAGACAGAGCTAGCGCGCGAGATCCCATTCTCACCTTCGTTATCTATAGTCACTATCAGCGATTATGTGATACGAATATGAAGTGCGCATGGAGAAACGTACCTGGTGTTGAATCTCCCGTCTTTTCAGCGTTCCCGAAGATCCTCTCTCTTGCTTGCTTGTATGCTTCTTCACGCTGTTCTCTCGATAGCCTGTTTATGTCAGGAAAGGACAAGCATAAAAAAAGGAGTGATCACAAACTTTTGATTAGCAGCCAAATTCTTGTCCTTCGAGTCGCTACCATCCTCTGAAGTAGGTTTCGATGGAGATGCACTAGCAGGCGCGAATTCTCCATCCTCACCACGTCGCATGATCTTTTTGGGTTGGAGAGCAGCAGGAGGAGGAGTTGGAGCACTCGTTTCTGGAGCTGCTATGCTAGCTAGCGACTCAGGAACGCGGGCGTAAGGGGTTCTGAAGATCCGCACAGATCCAATCCGCGCTTCATATTGATGCGTCATTCGATAGTAGTCAGCCAACTTGTGGGTCAACATTCTGCAGAACGAGTTGGATGGAGGAAAGTCCATGTAAGGTTCCCTGATGTCGTTAGAAAGCCCAACCCCAACCTGTAACTGGGAGATACGTACTTTGAATTCTGGGCGAACTTGATCAGTTCGGCCTCGAGTCGCAACAGGAACAGTCGATCTTTGGGAGAGGCCATCGCTTCCAAGAGCTTCTCGTCTGGCGCTTGTCCATAAATGGTGTTCAAGACAATGGCCGGGTCTGGTGAAGTGGCTGAAAGAGCGTTTGTAGAGGGCTGCTGCTGGTCCGAGGTTGCGCTTTGCGGGGTGATCATTCCCTGGCTTAAAGACCCAGAGGTAGGTTGAACAAGACGCCGGTCAGGCATGTCACCGAGCTGGATGATGCCCCTCGCACGTGCAGCAATGTCGGAGCCCATTCTTGAGTTGGGAAGATGTGGGCCTCGGAATGAGAACGAATCGTCTTCATCAGCAGCGGCTTTCACGCTGGCGCTGTCGTCGGGTCGCAGGGATTCCTTCTCATCCAGCGCAAACGTCGTCCCGGAAGTGATACTCTTCCCATCCAGACTGGGAGGCTTAGTGCCGAGTTCGGAGCTGGAATCCGCTCTCTGAGAATCATCCGATCCATCCTTAGTTGCGGACTTTGATCTCTCGATGAACGTGGATCCCGTCCCGTTGACGACAAGACTCGGCGTTCGCGTTCCCACGTTCAAATTCTTTAGCCCATCAACGACGGTATCACTTGCATCGGGCTTCCACGGCAGAGGCGCCTCGCGCTTGATGGCCGTCGAGTTGGGGTTGGTAGAGTCCATGTCGGCAGGCGAACGGTTGTGACCTCCGTTTGCAATGATCGGCTCCGGCACTGGGGTGACGCCTGGCGGAACGGCTTCCTCGGGACGGTCGTGGGTCGGCGCGGCAACTCGTCGAACAGTAGTGACAGGATGGTTGTCTTTTGATGTTGATGCAGCGACCTGATAAGAAGAGCCATGGTCAGCACGCGTCGCAAGGCGGCTACTGCGCTTAAGAAGTGACAGCAGTCGGATTAAATGTACGCACCTTTGCGAAAGATGGTTTAGGTATGTCAGATGGCCTCTGGGCGGTAGCCATAATTCAAGTCGATGGCTCGAAAGAACACGATGGAGTTTCGCGGATAAGAGTGTAGAATCGAAGGTCGTCTGCTGGGTATATTTCGCGCGGGGAGACAGTAAAGCGCGGTAGGACGAGTAGACTCCGGGTTGAAGAACGATTAAAGACGGTATCCGAAATCAAGGAACAAAATGGATCAAGGCGGGCGTGCAGAGCGAGAAAGAAGTGCCGTGGATCATCGTCGGGACATAAATGTCATCGTGTGCTCTCGTGTGTTCCTAAAAGGTTGATGGTTGATAGCACCGCTGTTCTTGTTCAGAATGGACGATATCCGTGGGTCTGCGCCTGGCGGCTGTCTGTTAGCAGTTGAAGCCAGAGCTTGTTCGCGGCAAATCGACAGTTGGGCGCACAAGAAGTCCAGCAAGGCGACCAGAAGTTTGGCGGCCTGCAAGGCGGATAGTCCGTCAGAGGAGGGGGGTGGTAGTTGGTGGTAGTGGTGGTGTGGGTGATGTTGGTGGGAGGGAATTGGCAGAGCTGTGTGTGGGTTTTTGGGTTGCGCTGGAAGGGGAAAAAGAAGATGGGGAAACTGGAGAACCTGAATGAAGCACGGAAAAGGGAAGCGACTGTTCAGTGTTTCTCGCGGGTTGGCTCACGCACCCTTGGTAGCTTGCTCAGCTGTCTCGCTTTCTTGGTTCAATGACTGAACAGCACTCTCACACCTTCGGGTGCTCAATCTCGCAGTCTGCGTCGAATGTCTGGGCTGAAGTCCCCTCGCTCTCCTTGGTTGTGGTGGAGGAGCAGGAAGCTTAAATGCCGACAGCTCCCAGGCGAGTAGACGGTCTCAAGTCGGTACAGGATGGTGTCAGACAGCTGCCATCCCCTCCGCAACGTCGTGTGGGACGTCAGGCTGAAGAATCAGGTGTGGTCAGAAACTCTGGTTGAGGACTGAGCAAGTCTCGGGCTTAGGTTGGCTGGCGAGAGACAAAAAGACCACAGCCGGTACCGAACGGGGCTTAGTGTCGGCAGATTCCTACCTGACAAGAGTGGCTGGTGCACTCTGAAAAGGGGCTGGTGCGATCCAACCCGCCCGGGCGGCAGGCACCTTGGCACACCTGCTAACCGCGAGGGCTAACTTTCGCCTGTTCGCCGACGTATAAGGAGGACTGTTACTACAATCACTGACTCTCAACAAACACTCGTCGGATTATTAGCAGGTGACAAGGACGACGATGATGATGAGATTGATCCTATTTTATTGTTGTTGGACGTAGACGGGTCAAGCAGGTGGGCAATAGTGTTAAATGCTTCTTCTGAATAGAAAGATACATCATGCATTTATTCAATATGCGAATGACAATACCCCAGTTATACGACAATCGATGACCACCTCCTACGCCCCATGTCAGAGGTTACGTAAGGTGAAGCTTGACCAATTCTGACAGCTTTTGACGTCTTTGGCTTGCAGGTCGAATATTGGTCTTACCAAGTTTATCCAACGATTTCACAGCGAACACATTCTTCATTTGAGTGCCACGGTGAGCACGTTTCACCCAAGGCTCAGTCTATCGGGTGTCAGGCAAAGCGGAACATTGTCCAACCTGGAAGTTCTTGTCAAACCGCAAAAGTCCTGAAATAGGCTATAAGCCTTGCACAGACGCTGGAGCAGCAAACACCAATCGCGACTGAACTTGGTTCCAGCATCGCCAATGCATTCCTACAGAGGACGCGGCGGTCCACGCCAGTCCACACCGGCCAACGTCCAATGTCAGAAGTGTCTCAAGAGAGATATGTACATCATCATTGATCACATCGCAGGCCTTACTGACTCTCACAGAACGTCACTACTCATATGAGTGTAAAGAATCCGCCCAGGCGCGACCTTACGTGTCTCGACCCTCTCGAACACAGCAACTACGCAACCCAAAGCTGATGCCCAAACTTACAAATGATACCCCAGATGATTCTCAAAGGAAGTGAGTATTGCCAGTATTTTCGTCTCGCGCGGGCGCTCTACTAACAAGGAATGCAGAAAGGGAGTCGCGGACCAGGTGCTGGCTGAGAAGGAGGCCGAGAGAGCTCGAAAGCGAGAGTTAGAGGAGCGTGATGAAGAACTCATTAGGCAAACGGAAACCAAGCGCAGAAGGTCCGAGTCTGTCGATTCGGTTTCCACCATCTCCACGAATCGTTCAGCTTCGCCGCCGCCTAGACGACGTTCACCGTCGCCTGTACCTGCCCGTCGCAGCCGCAGGTCGCCTGACGAGCGGAAAGGTGGGAGGCGAGCATCTTTCAGCCCCGAGAGCGACGACGATGGCTCCATGTCCAAACGGTCGGCAAGAAGCAGACAAACGCAGTCCCCCCCTCGTCGTCGCCAAAGATCTCTCTCTCGTGACAGTCACTCTCCTCCTCCGACCTACGAGAGAAGATATCGCGAAAGGGGCGAGGACTATGCGAGAGCGGCTATTAGGCCGGCGCAAGAACGCCAACGCCTTCGTAATCGTGAATCGATGGGCTCACGAGAGTCGTCTGTCTCTCGTGGTGCTGGTACTCAGGGCAGTCGCAGGCTTCTCTCCAGATCTCCAGATCGATCGGCATCACATTCTGAAGGTGGTTCTCGCGGCGGCGAAAGGAGCTCGGGTTATCGAGGAGAGCCGGAAAGCCGCTTGGAACGAGCTGGTGGAAACAGCAGACAAGATCAAAGACCACAGCAGAGGCAGCCTCAACGCGAGCGCAGCTTGAGTCCGTTCAGCAAGAGGCTCGCCCTGACGCAGGCTATGAACAAAGACAGATAGTCGTGGGTATCAATTAGTTGTAGACAAAACGAACATGCCCTCTCTGGTGTATGGTACAGAAACACTTTTAACCTCTCTGAATAGTGTGTTCGCTCACAAGTCTTCGTCTAATTCCTTCTCGCGTCTTTCTTCCTCTTCCTCCTCCCTCTCTCGGACGCGCACTCCCTCCACCAACGCGATGCCATCCACTCCAGCCGGGGCGCCGTCTGTACTTCCAGCTGCAATCTGTTTCGACTTCTGCGCGTTCGTGATCCGATCTCTCACCAGCCTCGCAATGGCGTTGTCCGTTCTGACGTTGAGAACCTCGAGCTTCTTCTCCAGATCTCTCTTCAAGTCCCAATTCGGCTTTTTCGGTTGGAGCTTGAACAGATCGATGCCTTTGTCGTCCTGCGCTTCTTCTGCCGCCTTGTGCTTCACATCGGCCTCGATATCGGCCGCTTGTTCCTCCAGTGTCGGTTTGTCGAGGTCTTGTATCGGCGGCGCCTCGAAGCCGAGCTTGGGTCCGCGCACTTCGGGGTCGTAATTACGTCCGGACAAGTGTAGTCGTGAAACATCGGGCTCTACTACCGGAGCCGAACCTTCGCGTTCTGACTCTGGCGGTACGATTTCGTCTGCTGGTTGTTTTCTCTTGAGGTTCTTGAGCTTCGCGAGGCGGGCCTTGCGGTCGTCGGCGGCGGCGCCCAAAGTTGTCTGTGAACTCGACATGGCAGCCGTTTTTGCGAGGTTTTAAGGTGAGTTCCTTCTCGTTCGATGTGGATGCGCGCGGTGATTATTTTGGAGGAATGTGAGAAAGGGGTGCGATTTTTCTTTGCGTGTAAATTGGGATGCTCTGGAGAAGGAGGCTGAAGAACGTACAATCGATTCCAGGTTGTAATTAGTGGGGCCGAAATTTGACCCTGCTGGGTACCTTGCACCTGGGTAGGTACCTTAGGTACCTTACACCAGGACCTAGCCCCGGTTAGCGCATGCAAGCTGCGCTGAAGCAAGCGTTTGGCGGGTTAGCCACCCGAAAGTTTGAAATCTTGAACGTCCGTCCCGTCGCGCCGACTTCGCGGCTTGAACTTCACGATAGACGTTCCGGAGTCCTAGGCTTCCTTCGACTTCGACCCCCATGCAGAGCTTCATGCAGCTGCAGACACGCCCGCTCGCCCTGCATCGACATATAGGCTACGCTTCCGTCAATGTTTCAACCCCTCGCCTGTCGACAGTGTCTCCGACAATTTCAGCAGTATAGCCTCCGACTACCAGGCAGTGCCGGAGCATTGTCGCAGTCCCGAGAAATTTCAACCGAGACCGAACGATACGCACCGTTATCAGTCACCAGAAGCAAAGTCGCTGTCAGAAACAATCCATCACCCAAGAGGTCTCGAGTCGTTCCGAAGAGAAGGCGTTTTTTTTGGCGGCGCAAGAGTCCGAGCGAGAGAATTGCAGCAAACCTCGAAGCGATCAAATCCAAAAACCCAGTTCGATACGACGAGGAATGGGCGCGAGTATGGGCACAAAATGTTGTTGATCACCAAAAGCAATGGTCCTTCTTACTGCATCATCTGGACTGGGACGAAAGAACAGAATGGAAACAGTGGAGGCGCGAATTTGGGAACCTATTCGAGTATTTGGCGACGAGTGAGCTGTCTGCAGTGAAGCAGAGCGAACTCAAAGTGTTGAAGCCCGAAGACGTTGAAAAGGAGCTCAACAAATGGCCTCATTGGGACACGACGACGAAGAAGCAACGATGGCGAAGGCTCATGTTCTCTACGTTGTGGTCTTGCCCGGATCGAGCCCTGCTTGTTCTTCAGACGACAACCAAAGACATCAAGCTATCGGGACACATGATTAACGACGTTGTTCATTTTGTCGCCAGATGGCAGAAAGCTCTCGAGGGGGACGAGCGCACAGCTCACGCAGAGTCCCTGTGCGATTTCACGATTGAGTGCTTTGATACTTGTTCTGACGGCACGGCCATTCTTCGTCAGAACACTATTTACAATCTGATGCAAGATATCGACCCGGAGCGCATCGAAAGATTGTACTCCTTCTTGACGAATAGGAAGAACACGATACACGAGCAAACCCGTATGCAAGTAGCAAGTAGACTTGCCAAGTATTCGACACACAGGCAGTCGGCGCTCAAGATAGCCATCGACGTCATGTCAGATGGCAAGGTGAACCTCGATTCAACAGGATGGCTAAGTCTTTGCACCTCCATACTCCACATGAAGCCAGAAGATATCGAAAAGAACGAGGACTTCTCGGCCGCCGATGCGTTCAGCATTCTCTTGGAACATGGCTTTAGACCTAATATGGTCAACTACACGGCTGTGATCCGATCGCTCTGCATCTGTGGCGAATTCGACAAAGCCTGGAGCGTTTTTGATATCATGAGGCGACATGAGATCGAACCAGACCCAGTATTGTTTGCTACTCTTCTGGACGGCGCAAAGAGGGCATCCTCGGCATCGAACATCCACAAACTCGCGGAGGATGCTGCCCAGCACAACGCCATTGACGTCGTTTTCTTAAACGACCTCCTTATGTCGATCCTTGGGTTCTCGGAAGAGGAGAGAAAACGAAAAAGGTCAAATAAGCAACACGTTCAGTCCGTTCCTGCTTTCGGACCCATGTTGCACTACTACGCTAAAGTTTTCAACTTGGCACCGCTGCAGGCCTTGATCCCTTTGGATTTATCAGCTTATACCGAGCAGTTTGGTCGAGACATGCCTGATGACTGGCAAATGGCGCGGGAGCTCTTCCCAGCTCTTGACGTGGCCACTTCTGCCGTCCAGAAAAAGCTTCACCCGACTGGCGCGACTTTGAGTATCATGTACATTGCTTTCGCGAAAAACCTGGCGCAACCGATCAAATTGATCTCTCTCTACGCCTACTTCCGACAGTTGATCCTGAACAAACACCCGATCGCCGTAAAATTTGTCCACGAGAAGGGGACTTTTATATACGACGTCATCCTGAAAGCTCTATTGGAGCGTCCAGGCATGCAACGTCCGGCGTTGGACATAATGGCTGACATGCTCCGGGATACCCTCGGAGAAAAGGAGAGCGCCCACAGAGTCGAGAAGCCCGCCACAACTCACCCCCCGCCGAGCATTTACACTTGGAACATTCTCCTCGCCGGGTGCCTTTTCAGCCGAGAGAAGGAGTTGGGCAATAAAATCGCCCACATGATGCGGTCTCGCGGCGTTTCTCCGAATGCTGTCACTTGGAACACTCTTATTTCGGGCTACGCGGGCTTGCAGGACGCCAACAGGACCGTCAAGGCGTTGCAGGGGCTCGAGAGCTCTGGCTACGAGGCAGACATGTACACTATTAGAGGCTTCTCTCGGCTGGCGAATAGGGAAAGGGCACTGAAGGCGTTGGAGAAGAAGATAGAGCTGTCCGAGGTCAAAAGGGCTGCTTTTCGTGCGGCCGAGTTGCGAGAAGGGCTCGCGGTGGAGCATACGAACTCTGTGCCGCAGGACGAGACAGGAGGCACGACTGAGGAGGAGGATAAACTTCGCAAGAGGCCAGACAAGCGTCCACGTCAAGGTCGCCAGTCAATCGCCGAGCTTGACGTGCGTCCAGATGATCCCCTCTTAGAGGATTTCCTCGACAGCATACCTCTCGACGAAGTAGTGCAGAAACAGGCCCCCGGTTGGATGAAGAGCGAAGGCGCCGCTCGCCCCTTCAGCTTCAGGTTCAGGCGTATCGGATAATGAAAAAAAATCGCTTCTCCCTTATTATTCGCCAATGATGCTACATGATATTCCATGCTTTTGGGGTTCTACTCGAGAGTCGGACTGACCATGACTTCGACACATGACAGTCTCCCGTCCTCACATTATCCTTGACGACCCATCACCAAGAGGGTGTTACACCGTCCGCTTTCAAGACGAACAATAAGTACTGAAGAGGCGAGATTCATTTCAGCGTCGTAGTCAGTAACCCCATGACAGACGATTCAATCTACATTCGCTGTAGCTATCGCTCTTGTTGTTGCTGTTCCTACTTTCATCGCTGATGTTCTTGTTGATGGTGGTTTTCATGACTGTTTACCGTTGCTATCTTTGGTGCATTGGGCTTCAAGGGTTTCTGTCAAGTTACGCACCCTGACTACTCGTATGTCCAGTTTACTCAGACGTAAAAGTCTTATGGCGTATTCCTCCAAACCATGATGTTCGATCTGGAGACAGGTAAATCGAGTGTGGCAAGGATATGCTGTCCTGAACCTAGGGCATATTGAGCATCACTAGCAGACCACGCGGGAATGCCTGCTATGTGTATGGCATTAGGTGATAGAATACCTCGTCCTTGAGAAGAGTAACAGAGAAGTGGCTGATTTTTGGTAAATCCAAGCAAACCTTCGGTCATTAAACATGAAAATAGGGGCGTTTTGATGATCAGCTTACAACCGCCCTTCGAGAGGCATCCATGATAGCGTTTCCAACATCTGTAAAAGCACAATTACTTCATTCAAGCCTTCTTCATAATTTACCATGTCGTTCAGTAACTCGCTTCTGTCTGGTCAGTTCCCCAGAATCACTCATATCTTTTCATCCCAGAACCAAGTGTTTCCTCCTATGGGACTCTTACAACTTGGATCAACTCACCCAGAGCAGAATTTAACAATAGCAAAGTATCCCAAGCCCTTTCCCACCCGGCAGCCTGACCCAAAACCCGCACCTTCTCGGTACGTAGCTGGTTGCCTAAGGAACACCACCCCTTTTCGTCCCAACCTTGAAGCCTTCCCAACCAGACCCGCACTTGACTTCGCCTTTCCCGCGAAGTAAACAAAGCATCAAGAAGAAGACGCCCCCACACACACTCTCTCTCTCTCCCGTAATTCTACGATTCGAACGCAAAAGATGTCACCGACAGCAGGAGCAGGTCCGTTGGGCGTGACGGACTCAGGTCAACCTGTTGATTAAGCGGCATTTCGCCAAGGTCGAACGCTCGAGTCCCGAGTTTCCCTAGCATGTGCACCAAGAGATGTAGATCACACCGGTGATCGAACTCTTTTTGCCTTCTTGTTCTTTATTTCTGTGCCATCATCAAGTCCATATGGACCTGATGTTTTCCTGGTATGTCTGTTTGGGATGAGACGCCCCCTTGAAGTTGGTGTGGTTCTCGCGGTACTGTGTACTGCAAATGAGTACGGCCTACCTTGAGCCTGCATTCTAGGCGGCGGCGCGAGCAGGTAAAGCAGAGAATCAAGGAGTGGGCGTACAGAGTTCTAGTCTATCCAGCCCAGGTCTCTATACAACTTGGGTTGCCGAGCTATATGCGGCTTGAATGCTGGAGAGCTTCTTCTTAACGAATTGAACACCGTATTCCTCTTTCAACAGACGGAAGAGGTACTCGATGTGCTTCGGCGCGTTGACGGTCACCGTTGTGAAAGATACGCCGAATAAGACTCCGCTCGGTAGTTCACTCTTGCGCATGCGTGACCTAGATGGCGGCAGTTATTTGTATTCTCACATTTATGAGAACATCTACCAACGCAAGTCTCTCCGCAAACAATGCAGCCACGCTTATTGTTTTGGCTCGCCATACCTAACGAGTACACATACATTTATGAGAACATATCTGAGACTGAGGGAAAAGCAATCATCTTTGAGTGGCAGCCCCATGAATACCACAGCAGAGTACACATTCCTTCAGGTCGCAGCTGATGTTGTGCGCCCCTTACAAATGATTGGCGTGTCATTGAAAATCCCGGTGGACACAACATTGGGCCCCGTTCAACCAGAAGGGAAGATCCAATGGCGTACATGTCATTCAATCTTAAGACCCCCTAAGCATAGATGTAATTCACCATTTCATAGATTCAATGCATCAGAACAGAGTGGCCACTGCTTGAACCGTTTGACATAAGCTTCGTTGACCGAGCCTCGCTTTAATAGCTACAGATGGTGTGTGTATCATTACAAGTCCGTTCTTCCAGCCGAGTCGGCGTGAGCACGTCGCAGAAAGCGAGAAGATAGCTCTCCATCTCTCCGAGCACGATTTCATGCCAACTGCGCCTGGCCTCCCCCAACTCCCGCATACTCTGGTAAACCAAAAAACTTCCCCTTTTGTTTTTCTTTATGTGAGCTTCTGCTTGATGAAGAAGGAACGCAGATGCGACAGTTGCCAGGTGCAGGTAACGCCGAGAACGATGAGTTGAATAAGCATCCATCTGATAACACGGGCGTTGGTGGATTCGGACTGGTCACGGAACTCGGCTTCGCGCTCCTGTTTGGGTTGTTAGCATCAGCACATAACTTGGTGGGGGGCTAGGAGGCCGCGAGAGCCAGAAAAGGGGCGTAAGAAGAAGCAGGAACCTCAATCTTCGCCTGAAGGAGAGACGTACACGCTGGAAAACCTGTTCTCTGCGAATATCCTGGAGACGGGCGTTGAGATCCTTGACACGGGTGGCGATGTCCTCGAGCTTGCTCTTGTCGGAGCTCTCAATCTCGCTGCTCTCACCGATGGCGAGGTCGAGCGACAGGCGAATGCCACCGTTGTGGGAGTGCTGGGAGAGCCAGCCGGCGCGGCCAGAGGTGGAGGACGGGGTGAAGCAGATCATGTGGTCGCCGGCGTCGGCAGCCGTAAAGGTGAAGCGGCCAGAGGCAGAGCCGCGCTGGGAAACAACACGGTGGTCGTTGTCGAATGTTTCCTACCAGATTGCACCGTTAGCTCTGAATCCTGGATGCACAAAGCTTCAAAAGAAAGACCGCGCGGGACATCCCAAAGCTATCTGGGACCTGGGTAGGGATGATGCAAGGTCAGGGGGTAGCTCACATCGACGGAGATGTAGATGCTGAGGCCGTCGTGCTTGGCCCACTGGTTGATCCGGTCATCCCACTCCTCCGCGGTGTAGTGGCCGACGACGAGCGTATCCTTAGGGAGCTCCTCGAAGAAGCACTTGGGCGACGTGCCGTCGATGTAGAAGTAGAGCGCCTGCGCGACGGCGCTCATCGAGAGCAATGGGAGGAAAGGCCTCATCTTGTATGGCGATTGCGGATCGAATTGGCGGAACGGGAGGGACAGTCGATTCGTGGAGACGGGACAATGGTGGTATCACGAGTTCGTGCTCGTCGGGCCGTTGTCCTGCTATTTTCCGGGGCTCGAGGGGGTGGACGTGGGAATTGGAGATGCTGTCGTCGTGGTTTCGTAGCGCCAGATCAGCCAGTTCCTGATTCCCACATTAAAGTCCCAAGGTGCGCGGGAAGCTGCCACGTTCGAAAAATTGGCGGACTGGACGCAGGGATGGCACGTCCTTTTTGCATGTGGGTCACGTGCGGTTCTAAGAGCCTGCGCGCTGGAGAATGCGACTTCGCGTCCTGAGAGTTTCTGGATGATGCTGCTACTTTTTTAGAGGGTCACTGTTTCCATCCATCAATCCAATCTTCTTCAATTCAGCACCAACGAAGGCACCCTGATGTCACCAAAATACGCTTTATTAATACCACCGAATTGACGCGAGAAATTTGATGCCCACATTCTTGATGCTTGCGTCCCGACCGTCGATAATTTGATGCGATCGAGCAGTCCTGTCGCCGTCCCAATAGTGCACCCCGACCGACCGATCGCTCCTGTTCTTTGAAGCCGCATACACCGCAAATATGACATCCTCCGACGTACGAGACGTTCTCAACCTGCCCGACAGCCATGCAGGTCCTCGACCAGCAAAGAAGCAGAAGACTTCCGCCCCGCGGCCGAACCTGAAGGGTCTCGCGCGAGAAGTACAGAACTTGGGCGGCGACAACCCCATCGCCATCGTACCGGAGGTGTCGATCTTCAAGAAAAGGCGCTTCGCGAGCAGGAAACCGGCCTCGAAATGGGAGCTCAAGGCGTTCACGAACTCGGCACGAGGGGACAGCGGCGCACTGGTCCTGAAGCACTGGCGACGGAAGACGGGGCCCGAGGATGGGAGTGCGACGGCGCAAGGCGATGCGGAGATGAAGGATGCGGATGGCGAACAAACGGCGAAGCCTACGGACTCGGAGTTCGCCAAGTACAATGTCGAGGTCGACGTGCCGCAGTACAGCGAGGACCAGTACCGGACAAATCTGCTGAGCGACGACTGGACCAAGGAAGAAACGGATTATCTGCTTAGCCTAGCCAAGGACTTTGATCTGCGATGGCCGATTATATGGGATCGGTACGACTACTTGCCAGAGGCCATCAATGGTGAGGCTTCGGCTGACGGGGACGAGAGTAAGGCCATCATCCCAGTGCCGAAGCCGAGGACGATGGAAGATCTCAAGGCGAGGTACTATGAGGTTGCGGCGAAGATGATGGCGGTGCAGAAGCCTGTGCAGTACATGACGCAGCCCGAGTACACTCTCCACGAGCTCATGGCCAAGTTCAACCCGAACCAGGAGAAGCTGCGCAAGGACTTCGCCAACAACGCTCTCACGCGGTCAAGGGAGGAGGCCAAGGAGGAGGAGTCACTGCTCCTCGAACTCAAACGGATTCTCGCCCGCAGCGAGCGCTTCAACGAGGAACGTCGCGAGTTATACAACCGGTTAGACTATCCCCATACGGACCAGGACATCAGCGCATTCAAGTCCAGCGCCGGCCTGCAGACTCTGCTGCAGAATCTCATGAATGCCGACAAATCCAAGAAGCGCAAGTCTCTCATGGCGGCCGAAGGCGTGAGCCCTGCCACGCCCGCGGGTCAGCAAGCCGCGGCGTCAGAAAACCCAGCCCGCCGCGAGAGCATCGCCGCCGCCGCGGCCGCCGCACCGCCAGAGAAGCCGCACAAAGAGCCCCCCAGCAGCACCGCTCAGACGCCCACAGCGCCGGCCGGCGGCAAGAAGGGCCAGCAGCAGCAGGAACGCCGCAAGCTCTCCGAGGCCGAGATGCACGTCTATGGTGTCACACATCACGATCGCCTGTCTAGCGGACCGACGTTCCGCTACGAGAAGATCAACAAGCTGTTCACGCACAAGTCTAATCAACAACAACTGCGTATCATGAACACGCTTAACGAACTCGACATCCCGCCGCGGCTCGTCATGCCCACCGCCGCGGTCACTGCCCAGTACGAGCTGCTTCTCGGCGCCGTCAATAGTCTTCTCGACGCTAGAAAAGTCACGGACAAGATTGACGCCGAAATCAAGGTTGAGCTGGCGAAGAAGGCAGAGCGGGAGAAGGCCAATGCGCCGCCAACGCCTGAACCATCTTCGGAGTCCAAGGAAGGCGAAGGCGAGGGCCAGTCTGCGGAGAAAGAGGGCGAGAAGGCCGAGGAAAGCGAGAAGAAGGCAGAAGCGGCGGCTGCGGAGCCCGCGAAGACGGACGAATCGAAGACCAACGGCGAGAAAGCTGAGGCCGAGGCACCTCCGGCCGCCAACGGAGACGCGAAGGCGGCTACATCGGACGCCGCTGACGAGGGCAAGGGTGAAGCGGAAAAGGAAAAGGAGAAGTCAACCCGGCCGGGCAGTAGCGGTGCGTCACACAAGCGAAGCGCAAGCGTATTGAGCGGTGGTGGCGCGAGTGACGACAAAACCGCGAAAAGACAGAAGAAGTGAGCAAGTATCGTCGAAGTACCGTCAGACACGAGATACATGTCGTCGTTAGACGCTGTGACGAGACAGCCGAGATGCATCGCATCACGACCCGGGCGAACCTGGGGGAAGAGGCGAGTGACCTCTACCCCTGATCTGATGAACATCATTCGAGGGCCGCATGCCCGGTCTGGTCCCGTGTTTGGATCTTCTGTAAATATAGTTATGCCCATGGGTACGGGCAGCGGAGGAGAATCACCCGCCTCTAGAACCGATGACACGAATAGAAACATGAAACGACGAAATGAGAGAATGTGTATTACCTGTTAGGCCTGGCCTTGTGTATGTGATGTGACCAGGGTTTCCTCTGGATGATCAGCCCTTGTCTCGCTGAGCAAGGTAGCAACGAAAGGGGAGGGTCGTCATGAAACAAATGGCCGAAATAACGTCGAGTGGCGACCAGATATGGGCTACTGCATGGCGTGTGAACCGACAGTGGGGATACAGGCGGCGACGTGGAGGAGACACGGGAGATCGAGGGCATGTCAGGTCCCTTCCGTGGTCCCGCGCTGAGGAAGATGTGTGACTACACACGGGTGGACGTTTTGCGAGATGATGTCAGGGGTAGCGGCATATCCGACATGCCCATTTCGTGAAATGGAAAAAGGGAACACCCAGCTATTCCCTTGCAACATGAGATTACGGCGCGGGGTTTTGATAGATAAGGTGGTTGGGTCTTGGGCGAGATTGGCGTTGAAATCGGAGGAAATGACGTCTCGTTAAGCAAAATGCAGCTTTTCGGCGGCTGCATGTGAGGCTATTGGCTTAATATAGCAACGGCAACTAAAAATAACGACGTGGAGAGCGGTTATGCTGGACTGATGTGCCACATGCTTGCGCTTCCCCGGCCGTCAACTTTGCGTCCAGGGGTTCGGCGAATACAGATTTCCTAGACGGGTAGGTATCTAGGGTTCGTGAGGGTTCCCAGATCTATGGTCCCGCATCGTAGAGGTGGTGGGATAGTCCAATGGCAGGGCGTTGTCTGGACTAACTTGGTGATTGATCCCTTGGGAGCCACGATCAGGCCGCTTTGCTTTCCAGGTCCCTCATGTGCGTCTGCTCTGGCCACGGAAGGGGTGAGAGGGTAAGCGGCTACAGGCCGGCCGCGTATTTGCCCATCTTGAGATCTCATGCTGCAGGGCGGGAGAGGCTCAAGGGTTGTGCATTGAGGTAGCGAAGATGGCGGTGAAGCCCTGAAGGCGGAAGGACGACGAGCGTGACGCCGGCGGCCATCGTTGGCTAGGTCCCGCGTGGTGATGAGCACGAGGGATCTGACGTCCATCATGGTGTTCACGATTGGATAGCAGGTGACGTCTCCTTGGATTCTGCCACTGGGCGCGTACTTTGTGTGTAGAACCAGGCGTTTAGAAGATGTGGATGTTGGTGGAGAGGGAGATCTTCCATGGTGACCAGGTTTCGTGGCCGATGCGTACGGTCCATGCGGTAGTTATTCATAGAACAGAGACATGTCGACCCTGACAAGATCGTGGATGCCAATCTCATGCATAGGAGAAGTTCTGGAAAGATGACCAGAGAGTGAAGGTTGAATGTCGTCGAGCGCTTAAGACGGTGGGCGCTTAGTAGAAGCGAGCAATACCATTGGTTAGAAACTGGACCTGCCAGCCTGTTCGTGTGATGGAGCAGCGGTGTCGTGCATTTTCGGGAATTTTCATGGTCCAAGTTTAGAAACACTTGTGTCTATGAAGAGGAGTCCCGTTCCAAGATGCAATGTTTGGAGGCATGTGGGTTTGCGGAAGCAGTCGGGGCTGCGGTCAACTGAAGTAAGACCTGAGGTGACGAAGTTCCTCGTCCGGTCGTTGTGCTTATGTAAGGAGTTGGTGTTTGGGTCTGGGATGTGACTATCATGGGTCAGCAGCAATCGGAAGTCACGTGGGCAGACACTCATCCTGATTGTCGTCAGCTGAAGAACGAATCCAACAACCACAGCAGTTGTTATGGAAGCTCTTTGCAAGTGGCCGAGACCGAGCACGGAGGTAGGCTGATGTGATGGGAGGGGGTTGGAATGAGTGTTGTTGGTGCAGCTTGAGGTGGTGTGTTGGTCTGCAACAACACGATGGACGAGGTACGAATACCTGAAGTCTCCGTCCCCACTAAAATGCCAAAGTCCCAAATTCTACAGGCAGGCACGTACCACCTACCTACCTACGTAGCGTTAGTGTCCTGCCGCCTGAGAAGCCATCCATAGCGGTGTTGGCGGCGCGGGCGGTCGGGCAGGTACCCGAGGACATGTGGCAGCGCGCTTGAGAAGCTGTCTGGAAGCTTAAGCGGGCTCGCTAGCCCCCAAATTGCGTTTGTCACTCGCAACTTGAGGCGTCAAAAACACCAGGGGGGCCGCAGAATAGTCGCCAACAACAACAACTACCCGCCTAACAGATCTCGCCCGTTTCTGGCACACATGGCTTACGTGATGTTTCTGTGCGACCAACCTCGATCTGCCCGTATTCCAAGTTTCCTCCAGTGTACCGTATGCAGGAGTGAATCCCGTACCGTTCCCTTGCGGTAATTACTACACTGGCGGAAGTCGCTTGTCGGATACGGTGCCCGAGGGTTTTCCTACTTCATCACTACAGGTAGTAAACACCTTGTAGAAGGTGATGCGAGCCACCAGGTGGAAAGGCAGGGAAGGGACCGCTCGATCGTCCATTTAAAATGAGGTCTCTGGTGATAGAACTGGTGACATGCTACCTATGCGTTATTGCTCTTGTTAGGTGCAACCTAAGGCATTGTCGCCCACGACTCCTTCCTCCTGCGCGATGGCCGTCCCAACCTCCCTCTTTGAGCAACAACCCCGAGTCAATGTCTACCGTACCAACAACAATTCTCGCTCTGTCATCATCAGTTGACAAACAACACACGCACACTCTCGTTTGGCTCGCATTTCTGGACCAACCAACGGGGCCTGTGCAGTTGAGGTCGGCGCCGGGTATGGATGAAAACTCCGGAATAGGCCGCCAACCATTCGCAGTGCTATCCATCAGTCATCATGGAACAGGAATAGCAACATCGTGCATGAGATCGCACGTTCCTCGCGGATGATAACTACCTATTCGAGAACCAACAGCATCCGATCCGATGGCCTTGTTTCCTCCAGTCTTCGCCCTCCCCGAGATGGACTCGAATTTCAGTCCACACAAGCCCCTCCGTCGCCCTCCATACACTCACCGAGGGGCCACGGTCACGGCCATGAAGGGACCCTCACAATGTCATTCGCCTTCACCACGCACTCCAGACCCGTCGAAACTTGCCGTCGAGAGTCCCCGTTGCCGGGACTGGAACGCTGGTTCCTGACCGACGCAAGGCATCAGGCTGGCTACAGCATGTACGAATACCTCGACTTACCGCAAAAGTTGATCCTTCCATGGATCTCACTTCCGTCCCCCGTCTAGTGACGACACAATACGGAGTACACCACAGAAAACGGAACAGGACAAGGGTTTTCTTTCTTGGCTCCTCTCCTTCTCGAATTGACCGTCGCCCCACTTCATTCTTCGCTCTTCCTTCTTGGCCTCGCCCATCGCCAGTTGCACACACCCTTGCAACCTCGGTCCACGACAGCGCTGCGCTTCACCTCATTTGGTGACGCTGATCGAAGGTGCTTCTTCCCCCCACCCACCGAGGCTGCCCACGCCATGCGACGCTGCAGATGAAGGCACGCTGCATTTATTAGCAACTCGCCGACTCTGACGCCGCCATGCCATGCCATTCCGATTCCAGGCGTATATGGCGTTCGCGGCATAAGCTCAGACGCCTTCCACAGGCGCGACCTCCAAGGTTCTTCATGGCTTGCGCTCCACCTCGCGGGTGTCATTCCGCATTGGTCTGATCTTTCGATGCGACACAGACGAACGAGCTACCAGACCGTCCAGACGCGGCTCGGAGAGGGGATCCCCATACGGATTACGGTCGACACCAAGGGCTGAGGCCACCACTTTCACACTTGGTCACTGGCTCCTGCGTCCCTCAGGCCGCACCTCGCTGCCTTCCTACGAGTCTTGCTAGCCTGAGCATGTAGACGACTTGACCTCAACCTCTGGTCGTCTCATTACCGAAGCAGCCATGGCGACGACGGCTTGGGAGCCCCACCACGGCCAAGACCTCAACTCCCCGACCAATCGATCGGAGGCAACCGACACGATGTCAACTTGAGTGCGACATGATATGTAACGGAGCCATCTGGCGGGCCGTTCGCTTGACCTTGGATGACCCTACAAAAGTGTCGAATCTTGCAGCACTTGAATTTGCAAACTTCGGCCTCTTTCTGATACGGATACGGGAGAACAAGTGCATTCGGCCTCGCTCTTAATGTCAGACCCGGGAATCTCTTCTTGGCACTCAAGTCCGGCTGGGCAAAGTATGCCTGACGCATATTATGCGCAATAGACGGTGAAGGAGGTGTGCGCGTTTGTGCGTTCAAGTGTGACAAGATGTCAGCACTTGTGCAGCGACATCGCGATAACCGCATGAGTATTTGCGACGTCCCATGCAGGCCGCATCACATCGCCAGTCACGCTCAAGGCTGACTGCAACTGTATCACTGACTTGGTAAAGGACCTTGACAGCAGCATGCGGCTGCGATGCCTATCACATTGAGGACGTGGGATACAACGACGACGACAACAGACGGAAACTATCGACCCAGTCAGCCCTGCTCCGGGTGCTAAGACAGGACTGCCGAAGGTTGGACGAGTTGCTCCGCTCGAGAAAGGCTCGTCCATCTCGTCACAGCAAATGTGTCGAATGGAAGAGCCCTGTCCTCAACCCTTTTCCCTCAACCCAATCTGGGCCATCCCGTTGGCTGCAGCTCACCTTGTGGTTGGCCAATCAGACGGACAAGGTCATCTACCTGTCATCTCGGCGGATGGGCGTGTGGGTCGCGGCGGTAAAGACACCCGAGCGGAGGCGACAGTGGAACTGGAGCGGGTGTGCGAACAGATGTCGAGGCG